TTGAATCGAGGTGCCATCTTCCTTCTAATAGATTCCGTGAAATCATCAATGTGGTCGCAATTGCGATTGAGACTTTTATCCTCTTTTACAGGATGAAGGTCTTGGTACTTGACCCAACGCGTGGGAGTGCTCACTTTGAGGAGAGATTGGGGGCTCAACCAACACTGACGGGGGACATTGCAAGTTAGACCAGCATCCAACATTGTTCCACTAGGATTTAGTCACTAGTCACGTGTTTTGTCAGAATGTTGACAGGTTTTGTTCGCGTCCAGCTCGTGTATTTGTCTAGTTGGATGCAATGAAATAGATAAAAACCACCATAGCTTAAATAGCCTACCCCCTACATGGCTACATCTGAATCCTACTCGCAACGAACTTGCTTTCCCTCACATCTCACATCACACTTCGGAAAATGTTCTTGCACTCACATCAAGCAAACATGTCATTCGACGAACTAGAACCGCTAGACTCCTTTATCGACCATGACGAACAACTCATAGCACAAAAGCTTCCAGTTGAACCTGCTGTCTTGTTGCTTATTCTAGCTTGGTATGACTTGTTGCGTTTCACGTTTACTTTGCAGCCATGTATTGCATACAAGCATGAACGAATACGCATCATCATTACAGATTTATCGTGATGCCGTATTCCCTTTCTGCAACCCACCGCTCCCCTATGGGTGCCTTATTATCCAACTCAACATCAAAACTCTTACATTCAACTACCTAGGCTCGACCCAAAAACCCTCATACGAACTAAGCGCACTTGCAAACAGCTCGCCGCCCTCATATCCGACAACTCGACTACCCTTTGGCGTTCCATCATACCCGGCCTCTGCTCTTCCGCAACACTAGGCATATCCGAACACGATGTCGTCAACCTCCTCAACAGCTCCAGCTGCGAAGGTCCCGAGTGCAGTAGACAGGCCACCAGTAAAATCGTCTGGGAGTTTAGAGCCAGGTTGTGTAATCGCTGTGCTGTTGATGTGTATGTATTTGATGTGACTTGTTGGGTTGATTATAGTGTTTCATCACTGACACGTATGCCATCTATGAATAGGTCGGTGCCTAAATCAGCAATGGAGGGATTCACTGATGATATATTCGAGAGTCTGCCGTGCTGGGAACTTGATGGCCAGGCTTTTTATTTGGAAGATGATTTCACTGAGCTGCAGGCGGAGAGAGAGCAGAGTTTTCGCGAGAATGGGTATGATGCGTGGTAAGTTGTGTGTTGTGCTTGTTTGATGCTGCTCGACTCGTCGAGTTTGATACGCCTCTGTCTTGTTTTTTGGCGCACTCCTGGTTCACATCACACTCACCCAATACTCCTAGGCTCGCAAAACGCCAAACATTCGCCCGCGACTTCCACACCGAAATAAGCGCCCTAAACACCCTCCAAGTCCGCTTCATGGAGGGCGTCCAATACCAGGCTGCATCACAAAAGGCCGCACGCAGAAAACAGCTCCTCATCCTCGCACGTCGTCACAAGTGGAATGAAGACGATATCAAGGACACGAATGCGTATAATTCGTTTGTTAATGTGGAGGCGGATTCGTCGGATATTGATGAGGCGACGTGGGATGTTTTGAGGCGGGAGATTGAGGAAGAGTTGAGGGAGAGGAGGATGGCTATTAGAGCTGCTATTGGGGTTGATGATGAGGAGGAGGAAGAGGATGAGACTGCTGGGGATGGAAATCGTAAGTTATTCTCAAGCCAATTCATATCCTTTGTTCACTTCATTTTGATGAATCAGTGGAAACCAGGCAAATGATTTTTGATATTCATTTTATTTCATTAGATAATGCTAGAAACAAGAAGAAGCATAAAGGCAAAGCTACAGCCAATGCTAGTCTGAATAGAGATACTGCGATTAGTTCTATTGTCAACGATGTGAGTCTCGTGGGTGTATTTTTGTTCTAGCTTAGGGGTTGCAGCCCAACAAAAGCAGTATTAGAGGTTTTCAATGACATATTTCTGATGAATATCGGCATCATTCTCTAAATAGGTTCGTCGACGATCAATTCTCAAAACAGCACAAAAAAGACTGCTAGATGGCGACGGAGACGAAGATGCTGATATGGATGTAATCATGCAAGAGTCTCGACGTATGTATGAAGACGAAGAAAAGTTGCGCAAATACTCTCTCAAAGCCCGGGAAGAAATGGACGATGGTGAATTTGAAAACATTTTACGTCGTATAGAGGAATTGAACGATCCCTCTAAAACAGTGGTTGGGAGGAGTAAATCAGCAACATCTGTTGAACCAAATACGAGTAAATTATCATCGACACCAGCACCAGCAACTAGTAGTAGTGCACTTAAAGCATCGACTGTAAAGGCAGCTTCAAGCAAGTCGAATGCTTCTGGTAGGAAAGTTGTTATTGATCTTGATACGCCGTCGCCGCCTACTCCTACATCAATCATTATTGATACCACGATGCCAGGAAACACGTCAGGTGTCAAGAAGAATAAAGTTGGTAGGCCACGCAAAAACCCGAACCTTACTGGTCCTGCTGCTACCAGTAGTGCCAACAAGAAAAGTGCTGGTATTGATGTAATAGCATCACCACGTATACCTATTCCAAAAACTGATATAAGTAATAGTACTCCCAATACGACGAGAGCCGTACATAAAGAGCATGGTGGAACACCCATACCATCGACTACTGCTACAAAGAAGGAAGTAGTACCATCATCATCGGCAAACAAGCATGTATCAACCAAGAAGGAAGGTACTGCGAATGCTAAAGCAACAGGTGGTCCTATACCTACTCCGCTCACTATCCCAAAGATTACATTGAAGAGACAACATGCCGATTCGTCGTCTAATGAGAATAGTGTTGCTAGTAGTACTAATAGTAGTACTAGTGGTGGATTGAGTGGGAATGCTGCTAACGGTGTTATTGCACAACCAGCAAATGGTGCTGGTAAACAAAAGGTCGCATCAGTAGACTTTTGGTGTTATGGACCAAGCAAACAACTTGGACAAGGTGGAAGACCCTTTTATATGGTTCATTGGGTTGGTGATGATGCAGCAACAGTACTGCCAGAACTCATCACACGAGATGATCCACGTGTTGATTCGGATGCCAAGAAATTGTTTGAAAAGGCACCATTACAACCATATAAAGTGCCTGCTGATCATCCTGCATTGTTGCCAGAACGCGAACCAGAGCGGGAGGTTAAGAAACGTAGGGTTGTTGATGAGGATACAGATGATGAGCCAGTTAGTAGTGGGAGTGATGATCCGTTTTTGAAGAGTTTGAGTAAGAAAAATGCTGAGAAGGATAAGAAGGTTGCAACACCAGTAACGGCTGCTTCTGGTAGTAATGAAGGGAATGGTAAATATGCAAGAATGCATGATGATGAAGATATGCCTTCATTCGATGATGCTGCTATGGAGACTGAGACTGCTCTTCAACAGCATCAACAAAACATGGATAATCAAAATCCCATCAGCCACAAAGTATATACTGAAGAACCGGTATTACCTACTACTCAAGAGCCAATAGAACCAATCCGTGTTGTGCTACGGCGAGCACCGCAACCAACACAACCACAACAAACAACACCAAAACACTTAAACAGCATCCCATCTACAAACCCAACCACGCCTATACCCGAAACCAAGGTCGAGTTTCCTGAACAGGGAGACTATGATGAGACGATGGCAATCGATGATAGTGAAGGGTCGCCTACGCTTGATGTCGACGATGGTGATGTTGTAGTTATGGGAACGACGAGGCAAGTGCTGTTTACACAGCCTATACAAACGGTTACGGGGTTTGTGTTGCGTAGTCCGTCGGTAGTTAATGGTGGTGGTGGGTTTGGGAGCCCGGGTGGTGGGAGTCGTGGGGCGCGTAGTAGTGCTAGCATGAAGGTGAATGTGGGGAGTAATAGCAGGCATGCATCGTCGGCATCTACGACTGCAAATCATCAGCCCGTCGTTAATGGCATCAATAATAATGGTGCCAACAACAATAACACCAATAATCATATCCGTGACAATGGTGGAATGGATGTAGGACAACGTCTCACTACCCAATTCCGACTAGCACGACGCCAACAATCAGAATCGGAATCTACCGAAATCGCACGTCTAGAAGCTCAGCTAGCATATACCCGCCGCAAGAACGAATTCGGAGTTGCATTGACACGATTCCTCACATCTAAAGAATCGCTCTTTGATGAATCCATGATTGACTACCCATCACATGAGGAGATTATGACGCTACCACCAGTCATTGCATACCTCCAATCGAATGCCGCCCTGCCCAATGCAGTCTCCGCTTGGCGTATGAAGATCGAAGACTTGTGTGAAGCCCAAGTTAAATTCAATAAACGGGATCGTGTCGCGGTTTATAAACGGCTTGGATTACGCAAGGAAAAAGTTGCCATTACGCTCGAGTATCGGTGTAGTGGATGTGATGACGGGGAAGTGTATGATCATGGGGAAGTGTTTTGGCACGTCAAGTGTGGGCATGTTAGAGGAAGATATGTAAGTTTTGAACATGATTTTGAAAGGTGTAATGGTTGGTATTGATTGATGGGTTTTTTTGTAATAGGAATGCGTGGAAGTTACGATACCGATTAGACAGCATGAAAAGTATAGGATTGAGTGAGGGTGTGGTTGTATGTGTTGTGTTTTGTATATGATGGGTTTGTATAGGGGATGAGAGAGCATGGTTTAACACATTTTATAAGACATAAAACGCTAGATGATGTCTTGGAAATATAGAACAAAATGTTGACGCTTTGGGGTGGATTTGGTTTGAATCTTGTCGAAAGCTTGAGCAAAGTACCTTTGAGTGAAACGGCAAGTAAGCGTGAATCATCATAATAGACTATATAATATTTACAAATCACACACAAGCCTTCCTCTACCTTCTTGTCCCTCTCATCTCATCAACCTCACTCGTACTTTAACATCGCACTTTCGTCACAACGCAACAACTCAACCTAGAAGCTTCATTTCTTTCTATATACAAGACAATAGCAATCATGAGCGCCATGGAAGTAGACGGCCCCGAACCCACAGACGACGCAGGAGCAGCTGGTTCAGCGCCAGCAGCTGCAGCAGCAAAGGGAAAGAATAAAGATGCGAGTAAGAAGAGGTTTGAAGTCAAGAAGGTACGAGTTATAGTGTATATGTTGGTGTTTTGTATGCTTGCTTTCGAGTTGATTGAATGATGGGGAGGGGATTGAGATGGGCCATTACGAATGAGCTGACATTTGGACTCTTGGGTTGTTACTAGTGGAATGCAGTCGCACTATGGGCATGGGATATCGAGGTTGATAATTGTGCTATTTGTCGTAATCATATTATGGATTTGTGTAAGCTACTGTTGTCTTGGTTGGTGTGTTTGGACGGACACTGATTGAACTTTGGCAATCAAAAAGGTATCGAATGTCAAGCAAACCAAGCGTCAACAACCAGTGAAGAGTGTACTGCTGCGTGGGGGATTTGTAATGTGAGTTTTGTGTGTCCCTTCAGCATCGTGTTGAGGTGCTATGGATTTGTCCAATCATTGAGCGATCTGGATCAATGACTTTTTTTGGTTGGGCTTGACATTATAACGCTTTGATTTGCTAACTCTTTTAAATATGGTTAGCACGCATTCCACTTCCACTGCATTTCTCGATGGTTGAAGAGTCGTCAAGTATGTCCGTTGGATAACAGGGAATGGGAGTTCCAGAAGGTACATAACTGTTCTTTCATATTTATATTCATATGGTACTGACGATTGTTATCCTCTAGTATGGTCGATGATCTACTATGTGCCAAGAACAACGAATTATATGAATGTATAGATCCTTTTGAATGTTGTTTTTCTTGTACTATTTGCTTTATTACAGTGATATCGAGATATGTGGTGTGGTTGATTAAAGGGATTTTATCGCGGTTTATTTCATACAACCGACGCGTATGTGGTTTTTTTGTTCGTTATCACTCCGCAAATTCACAAAACGTGCTTCTTGGAGGGTGTAAGCTTTACGAAGATGGCGGCTGCAGGACTGTAAGCACTCTCATCACAATATCCACGCATTCCATATCCATCTCTTCTCTTTACTGACACTCCTGTACATAACAGAAGAACAGCAATAGTTGACATCCACACACACGTCTACCTGCCTCGATACATGGATTTGCTGAGACAACGCAGCACCGTGCCGCGTGCATTCAAGAATGAAAAGGGAGAAGAGAGACTATTGATTCTGCCGTCTGAGGATGTGGATTTGAGCACGAGGTTTGGTGAGTGCATGTGATTTTAAGAGAGATTGTGGTGTTTGGAGAGGATGGATAGGATTTTAGTATTACGCTGTTTTGGTACTCGAATTGGAAGGTGTCGGATGACAAGACAAGAGCGGTGGTGCTGGAATGGGTTCTAGAGATTATTACAAGGACATTTTAAAAACTGGAAATACGATTATCGTGCTGTTATATTGAAAAGGATCAAAAGGAGAGAATGGAATCGCTGCTGGAATGGGTTTTCGCAAATGTTTGCTCTCGCTCAAGACGAGTCCACTTGTTGTAGGACGCCCTATCGGTCCTGAATACTATGATATCAACGTGAAGCTGGATTTCATGAAAAGGCATGGGATATCAAAGTCGATTATCAGGTACGACGCTTCGATACGTTCGCATCCTTTGATTAAGATTTTTTCTTTGTCGTTTCACACCAACCATTCCACACAGCATCGCAAACCCATGGCTAGACTTCCTCCCGCCCACCACATCAACCCCGCTCGCAACATCCCTCAACAACGACCTCCAACACCTCTGCACATCCAACCCATCTCTGTACGCATTCGGCATCCTACCAACCACTGTTCCCTCCATGGTAGCTGAAATACACCGCATTGCAACCCTGTCGCGTCTCAAGGGCGTTATTATAAGTACATTGGGTGCTGGGAACGGGCTGGATGATGATGCGATGGATCCTGTGTGGGGAGCTTTGGAGGAGAAGGGGTTGACTGCGTTTGTGCATCCGCATTATGGGGTTGGAGATGCAGCGTTTGGAGGCAGGGCGAATGGACATGTTATGGGGTTGGCGCTGGGGTTTCCGTTTGAGACTACAGTTGTGGGTTGGTGGTTTGTTGTTTGGATTGTGCACGAGCAATTATGGGACTGACGTTATGTTTTGTTTTTCGGTGGTAGGCGGTTTCGAGGTTGATTTTGGCTGGAGTGTTTGATCGGTATGAGAAGCTAAAATTGTTGTTGGCTCATTCTGTAAGTCATTTCGATATGTTGAGTTTACTTTTTTGGCTTGAATAGTCTGGAACATATTCCAATCTGATGGTTTATCTATCCCAACATAGGGAGGTACACTCCCCTTCCTCGCAGGCCGTCTAGACTCTTGTGTCGCTCACGACCCCGTCGTAAAAACGCGCTTAAAACATCCACCATCGCGCTACCTACGCAAACTATACTATGACGCTGTCGTGTACCATCCAAGTGGTGTCGCCGCGACGGTGGATTTTCTTGGTGGATGTGAGAACATGATGTTTGGTATGTGAGAAATAACCGTACATTGTCTCCGTGCCTATTCATGAACTCATGAATTCTGATGGGTTGTAGGTACAGATAATCCATTCTTCCCGCCTCTTAACGAGTCGCCGAGTACGACGCGGTGGGAGTCCGTTGACACGAATTTGAGCGCAATTAGCAGTGCGTTGGGCGATGTGAAGGAGCAGGAGATGGTGCTTGGTGGGAATGCAATGAGAATATTTGATCTGGAGTAGGGGGTGCTTTTTGGGTGTATAAATCATGTATTGTAAATTGCATAAAGATACAAGTCTAGAGACTGCTACCACACAATTTCTGATACAGATGTCTCCCTTAACAGCATCAACAACAAACAACCTTGTCTCAGTTCCATCTGACGCCTGCAAATATGTGAGGCCAAGACCATAAAGAAAGACAGCACATTCCCTTGCGCTATTAGTTTTAGTGTTAATTCCTTGTCCAGATTCGTCAGAGGTGTGAGCCGTATATTGTGTTATTCAGAGTACGTCTTGGATGCCTGTATGGATTTTCATATTGGTCAAATTGCTATATCACATGGGCAACACTACTTTCGAGGTAGATTGCACGATACGGAATACCAAAAAACTCGTGGAAATCGAGTTTGATACCCTCCGAACATACGTTTGCTCTCCGACAATCAAAGATGAGACGCGAAAGCAGTGACCGTTTCCGAAAGTGATTACTGTCACGACTGATTTCCTGTGTAAATGTGAGCGGGAAGAGTACTTAGTAAGAATGCATGATATCTATATTCCGTAATGTCTTTTTTGTTGTTGTAAAATTGTGGTATCAATATTTGTAAATTGCATATATTTACAAGTCTAAGTAAGTATAAAAAATGACATTTACAAGCATTAAGAAGAGGGTAAACCCTCAGGTATAGGCAAAAGAAGGCTTTGGATATAGACGGAAATATATCTTCTGCAACCATCATGCATCATCATCAATAACTCCAACATCTCCCATCAAAATGATATAGTCTCGATTACGGGCCATTCAAGTACTAAACTGCTCAATGCCAAAGCTTGATGTCGAGTACTTGACTTCAACTTCACTGGCAAACTGAGAGGAGAAGACGAAAAATGGTTAAAACCATCGGAATTGATGATGAGGAGAAATCAAAACCACCGAGAGAGTACGCATGAGTATGCCTCAAACGTGTCAAAGCACATTCATCTCACCTCAGACAGAGCAACCCCATTAACAAATCCATCGCAAACCAGAGTCGATAATAACGGGCACTTGTTCATCAATTGTTTCAACGAGTCTGGCGTCACTCGCGGACAGTGATCAATGGCAAATCGTTTCAAATTCGGGCATTGACTGGCTACAATCTTCACTAGTTCATCCCTAGCAAAGCGAGAGCAGTCTGATAGGGAGAGTGATTCTAGTGATTTGCCACGGATTTCTACTAGTGCGATGATTGCATCTTCTGATACCTACGAAGACAAGAAAGAAAAGGTTGGTGATAGAGCCCCCACGACCAAAAAACGAAGACGGACGTGTGAAAGATCACTTTTCAATCACGCAACACTCACATTATAGGCATAATCGAGATAAATCTCTCGCAAGCTCTTACAGCCGTCAACAAGGAGAGCCAAGCCAACATCAGCAACGGGTATTTCACTGAATGTTGTGGCACACATCGAAATGGACTCAAGTTCCAAACATCCTTCAGCAATAGCCCCAAGTCCAGAATCCATTACGAAATGACAACCTGTGGGTGTCGCGAGAACATGTTAGAACACACCCATTTGTGAAAACTAACCTTCAAAGCAAAACGAGAAAAAAGAGACTTGGCAAACCATGATATACCTGACAGATTCAGCAACTTGAGATTCGGACATGATTCACTGATGGCTTCCATACTGTTGTCCGTCACGTCCGCGTCCACCATCCATAATTTAGTCAATTTACGTAATGGTTGAATCAAGGGTATGAACAAGGCATCATTGATTTTCGAAGAACTCAAGTCCAGTTCTTGGAGGTTTGATAGACTCGAAGCTGCCAATGCATGGTATAGTTCGTTGTTACTGCTTGTCATGCCGTGTCGGATTGGCTGTTAATATAAGAAGCGTTTAGTATCTGTGGCGTTCGGCAAAAGGCATTTATAATTCACAATCATACCAACTCCAGTTTCAAGCTCTTCAACTGCTTAAACGATGCAAACGACGATATAGAAGACACTCCAGGTGTAGCGACTCCATCAACAACAACCGAGAATGAAATGACAGAATCCCAGCTGAGCAATGTGAGTTTCTTCAATGCCGGACATGAAGCTACAAAGGTATCCAGCACACGAGCTTCAATTATGAAGGCACCCAGCACTAGTGTTGAGAGTTTAGGTAATCCTCCAGTTAAAGTTTTGAGTGCTTGGTTGGCTTCATCTCGCATCACTATACACCCCAAATCTAGACGTGCGAGTTCGCTTGATAGTCGGTTTGTGAGGCTGAGGGTTTGAATGAGGCGTTTTGCACGGCTTATTAATCGAGATTCTAGGAAAGGAGGAGCGAGTTAGATTGCTTCGTGAAGCAAAAAAACACGCAATATTCGCATTGTATTACGAGCTGGCAATAACTCACGGTCTAATGCAACAACAGGAGGAGTACGACACCATAGTGTTGGAGCAAAGTCGTCATCACCAGGAGCATAATTCAAGACAGGATTATGGTATAACAGCGGGTATGCGACATCATTCAAATACTTTGAAAGTGTGCAACATTTCTCCAGGGACGACTGTGGCAGAGCGGAAAAGAGAGCGTTTACGAGTTCTGGCGGTAGCTCGTTTACTTTTGCAGATTGCCTCGGCGACATTGACAGAATGTCGTCAGTCGTGGTGTCTAATGTTGTAGAGTTTGATGTTTGCCGAATTTGGACGATGGAGATTGTGAGGGATGACGATGAAGCCATTTAATATGAGGGAGCCGTGATGATAATTCTAGTAAAATTGTTTGAATTGTCCCGTCTAATAGATGGAAGCATTGGAGGGTTGGTTCAATGCAAATTGGTCAAAATGTGCTCCACTTTCTTTGCAGCAAGATAAGAACGAACTACAATAGATGTGTTTGGGAGAGACGGTGGAGCAGCTTACCTAGTCTATATCGACAGTATAAGCTGTCTGCGAGCCTTCCTTTATGCGCAATAATTCCAAGTTCTATTCACGTGCTAAAATTGTTTCGAGTCAGATGCATGCGGTTTCAGCAGATGAAACGCGGCTGTATTCGCTCAACTTTCAACCTTCTACGCGATGATGTACGTGATATCTGGTTGGGAATTTGAATTTTGTATTGCTACCATTGTACAGCATGTCTCGTCAATCTAAACGTGCGTCCAAGGTTTACAATGTGCCGCTTGGCCGTAAACACCGTCGCTTCTTCAATTGAGACGCTAGGAGGAGCTCTAGATCACCATTCTGATATAGCATGAAATCACGAATCCACGTTCCAACACTGCTAACGTTCCCACAGATAGTACTCTTAGCACACATGGTCAACTTGATGTCACTATCTTGCATATACGTAAAGCTCTTCTTTTCTGTGATGAAATCTTTACGCCAATAGCAGACCGGTTAGTCAACACCGGAGAGGCGCTGGTTGATGCTCTTGATTGGGAGACCGTGTAGCAGAAACTTGCTCAACTTATGAAACACTTATAACACTTTATTCCTCTCACGAGACATCTGAAATCTAAATAGAACGAGTATTGTGAGTATACAGCTACGTATTTGATACTCAGATGAAACGAATACCAGATCATCAGTTCTAGGCTCCTATACGAAATGTTGGAGGACAACTAAATTCGGAGCCTTCTCAACTTACTCCTGAACAACAGCAATTGCAATTGGTACGCGATTTCTCAATGATTGAGACAAAGAGTTCAAAAAAGAATGGTTTGACTTTTGCCGGCCATAATCTTCACTCTCATGCCATTGGAATATTCGCGGTTCGCGTCTGGTTGGTCTTGAAGCTGATTTGTTGGAAGAAACTTGTTGAAAACTCAACGTTCTATTTCGCATAACCCTTCCGGCAACGGGCAAGGGACCACGAAGGCCTAGTACTGTTTGTTTTCGAGTGTATTTTCGACACGGTTGCTAAGCAAAGAACGCAAAGTGATTGGCAGACCCTGGTTCCAAACCTCAACAACCCAAATCCTACATTTTACGAGATTCTATTTTGGAAACATCACGAGACTATAAAACCTCAGAGCGCCACTCATATCACCATCATCTCCAAAAATCAAAGTGATTACTCCTCGTTGACGTTTGTCGTTTACTTCAACAACACTAACGACAATGTAAGTTTAGTGTTGCACGTCAACCACATCTTTTGTTTTAGTACTTGCGAGAAGAGAAGCTAACTCTACCTTACTAACATCTTCTAGATCAGTACGACAACAACGTCACAGGAGTAATCATGGATACTACGATGAAGAAGAGTGGTTTGCGTCAACATTTCCTCAACTGGGTAAGAACCAAGATTTAAGTTCCTGCCATGATATCTACTTCTGCTAACTTTACTTTCGCTCTCTTTTAGTATAACAATACCACCTTGATCAGGTCTGACGCTCAAATACAGCGTGAAAAGTATCTATTTGGAACCTTGGGAATCGAAAAGGGGCCAGAATTTAACAGATGGGCTCTTTTACCAGCTGCTGTATTGAGTAAGCATCAAGTATTTGATTATCAGTTCCTTATACTAACCGTCGTTTTCATTTCTGGAAAATAGTCCAATTGTCGGTTGGTTCGCTATGTGAGTGCTCCATTTGATAATTTTCAGTCTGTCAACCAAGCTGACTCAAATCTCATCGAATAGACGCATGGTCCAATTATAATTCACCACTCGATTCTCTAATGTGGGGTGCCGATAACTTTAAAGCCAACCCATCTCTCGCACAAGCACCAAACGTCTTTTACGTCGCAGTCGGATTCTTTGGTCTAAGTGCTGCTACATTGGGACCATGGTTGGAACGTAGAGGGCCAGTACAAGCTCTCCTCCTCGGTGTCACCCTGTTCATGTTGGGACACATTGTCGCTGCTATTGGTGCCTTCACTCAAGTCTATGCTCTCGTCTTTATCGGATATGGATGTATTGCTGGTATTGGATTCGGTCTGACTTATATCTCCCCTGTCTCGCCATTGCAAAAGTGGTTCCCTGATAGACGTGGTCTTGCTTCTGGATTTGCCGTCGCTGGATTTGGTGAGTTCAGAAGTGATGACGATTGTCCTTGTGGCTCTTGACGATATGAATCTCTTTTACTTACACGATTTCTCTTCTGGAATTTTTTCATTAGGTGGTGGAACAACTGTTGCCTCTTACTACATTTCATACTTGATTACGACGTACGGTGTTGGTTACTCTTTCTTGATCACTGTAAGAATCGATCCATTTGAACCTTTTTATGTTTAATTTTCATTCGGCTCTGTATCTAACAAACGATGATTGGTCATCTAGGGTATCACATACGCTGGCATCATGTACACCCTCATCCCCATCTTCCGAGTCCCCCCACCAGGCTACACCGTCAAGAACATTGCCGTCGATGTCGTCAAGGGTGCTGAAGCCGTTGTCGCCAGCCCAGTCAACAGCCCAGTCTCATCCCCCACCCGTGAAAAAGCCGAGAAATCTGAAAAAGATGTCGTCGTCATTCAAGAAGACACCAACATTGCCATCAAGGATTTATTCAACCGTCGTGACTTGTTGGAATTGGTTACATCTATGGACTTTATCTTGATGTATCTGATGCTCATGGCCAACAGTATCACTGGTCTGTTGATCGTGTCGCGTTTGTCGAATATGGTTCAGCAGTTGTTTGGAAAGCCTGCTTATGAAGTAAGTATTGTCTTGAGGCTGGCATGAGAAACGTGAATTCAAGTTTCTGACAAACATTTAACCACATTTAGGGAACTACCATGGTCGCCATCAACTCGCTAGTCAACATGGCTGGTCGTATTATCTTCTCCTCCATGTCCGACATATTCGGCCGTCGCCCCATGTTTATCTTCACTCTTACTGTACAAATTGCTTCCATCTGTAAGTCTCTACGCAGAGCGCCATTTTGAGATTTTATGGCTTCCAAGTCACCAACCATCTGAATTCATCCAGATGGTATCTTGGCCTCAGCACACCAAGGAGTCTACGGTGGCTTCCTCTTCTGTATCTTCTGTGCCACAATGTGCTATGGTGCCGGATTCGGTCTCATCCCTGCCTTCTTGGCCGACATGTTTGGTGCCAAGATGACTGGTGCCACTCACGGATTCATCCTCACCGCCTGGTCATTCGACGGTGTCGTCGGTGGTCTCATCTTCACAGCCATCTACAACTCGCAAATCCACAAAATCCCAGGAACCACGCTCGTCGACCCAGCATCATATGATGTCGACTTTTACTGGGTATCTGCTATCGTTATTATGGGATGGATTGTCACCGTCTTGTTTGTACGAACTGATCTTAAGGCTAGATTCTTGCCATTACACAAGGGTGAAATTATAAGATCAAGGCTGTTTGGATCGCTCTTCTTGATTGGTACTTTTGGTATTCGAAGGATGACCAAAGATGAGGAAGAGAAGGAATGGAATGAATATCTCATCAAGGCGCAGACTGGACAAGTTATTGTCGGCAAGCTGCTCAATGGTGGTCGCCCACGTGGTGTCACTGCTGGATCAGCATAAAAAAGCAGTAATAAAACAATGGGATGTTTTGATTCCTGATTCTTTAATATATGGCACCCAACTCTGTAACATTTTGTGTGAGCGCGAAAATTGATCTTTTCGTTGGAGCTTCAAGCGAGGGTAGTTCCCAGATCTAAAATACGATATAGTTTCCATTTCAGCTACCAGAATTGCAGTTATTCGCCGTTCTTTGGTAGCTTTGCCAGCTTTGAACATCAAAGCAATAGCACAGCAAAGAGAAATCACAAGCAAGTTGGACTAGCGGCAGTAGCAATATTTGTTGCGAAACAATAAAATCGCGAAATCCAGGTGGTAAAACACAATGATATCTCTCTCAGGTTGGTAAATATTCAACTTTTTCAAAACCAAGTTTCGGAAGAAAGTCACGGCAAATTGACGTGACCAGGATCCTGGTCGTTTTCTTTCCCTCGAAATTGATTGCATTTGAACCACCTTCTCCTTCGTTGATTGGCTGTTTGAATCAACACAGCCAAGTCGCCTACTCGTGACATCCATCCCAACAATCTCCATACTTGTAAACTTTTAGCAAACCTTTACAAGATGGAAGGCAAGGAAAGCTGGGGCTTGCGAGACCGCTTCCTATCATGGTACAATGATACCACCTACATCCGTTCTGAGGAACAAATTGGTATGTATAGTGCATGTTGACATTTGCACATGTTTTTGTAAAATTTGATCAAAACAGACTATGGAAAGGATCAATAGACTAATTATTATCATCATCATATCCACTCCATAGAACGTGAAGAATATCTATTTGGTGTCCTAGGGCTCAAATCTGGACCCAAGTTCAATCGTTGGGCGCTCCTTCCAGCAGCTGTCCTAGGCAAGCTTGCCTCATCTTCAGTCATCCTTCAATCTTGATTAAAATGATCACTGATACGCATCTCTACAGTGCAACTGTCTGTGGGCTCTCTGTATGCATGGTCAAATTTCAATACGCCCCTCGACAATCTCATGTTTGGTGCGGCCAACTTCAAGGCAAATCCTACATTGGCTCAAGGTCCAAATGTGTTTTACGTCGCGGTTGGTTTCTTTGGTCTCAGTGCAGCTACATTGGGTCCATGGCTTGGTACGTATGATGGTTGCTATTGGATTGGTTGATGACGTGGCAAACTTGATCAAGTCATGATGATTCTCATCTTAAACTCATTGAAATAGAACGAAATGGACCTGTTAAAGGATTGTTACTCGGTGTTTCGCTCTTTACTCTCGGTGTAAGTACATAAAGTTGTTGGTCTTGTTTTGTCACATGTCAATGTCCATGTCATCATTCGTTCGTTATGAAAACTAAATCAATCTCATCATCATTCTCAGCATATCATCACTGCCGTCGGCTGCTATACAACCATCTACGCTTTAGTATTCTTGGGATACGGAGTCATAGGAGGAATTGGCTTTGGCTTGACTTACATCTCTCCCGTATCACCACTCCAAAAATGGTTTCCTGACTTCCGAGGTCTTGCATCTGGATTTGCAGTTGCTGGATTTGGTGGGTTTGAAACCTTGTTTCATCCATTGGCAACGACATGCTGTTCTTTTTTTTTGCGAGTAAACGTTACTGTTTCTTAACCCTGGCTTGAATTTTACTTTAGGTGGTGGAACTTTGATCGCTTCCTACTTCATCTCGTACTTGATTACTGCTCTTGGTGTTGGACACACTTTCCTCATTATCGTAAGTTGGATTGGTGATGATTTAGCTTTCGCTCTCTTATAGTTGGTGACCTGTCACACATCTGCTAATGCTTCGGAACGTATATAGGGACTTACATATGCTGGTGAATATCTACTCTACACAACTTTTCAGGTTGCGTAGTCTCATCCTCATTTATCTGGGTTTAGGAATCATGTATCTCTGTATACCAATCTTCCGTGTTCCACCACCTGGGTACACTGTCAAATCTATGGCTGTCGATATGATCAAGGGCACAGAAGTACTTGGCGCTCCTCCACCAGCAAATGAGACTCAAACATTTGTTGTCGAAGATGAAAAGCAACAAGCCGATTACAAGGATCTCTTCAACCGTCGTGACTTGCTTCAACTTATAACATCAGTCGACTTTATCATGATGTACTTGATGATGATGGGTAATTCAATCACTGGACTATTGATCATTTCTCGTCTCAGTAATATGGTTCAACAGTTGTTTGGAAAGTCCGTTGCTGAAGTAAGCCATTCAGAATCTTTGTAAGTTTTTTTGGCGCCCTCGAACCAGCAATTGTTTTAACCTAGGGAACTACTATGGTTGCCATCAACTCTCTATGTAACATGGCAGGTCGTATTATCTTCTCGTCAATGAGTGATTTTGTCGGAAGACGACCCATGTTTGTCTTTACATTGACAGTACAAGTTGCTTGTATTTGTGAGTAATCCTTCGTACTTTGCGTTTGCTCGTTTTTGTTGGCCATCATTCTTGCCTTCAAAAATAATGGATACAGACCATAAAAACATCATACTCACTACTGCTATTTTTCATCATACTCATTTAGATGGTATACTTGCCGCAGCTCATCAAGGAGTCTACAGTGCTTTCCTCTTCTGTATCTTCTTTGCTGGAATGTGTTATGGCGCTGGATTTGGGCTTATACCTGCCTTCCTTGCCGACATGTTTGGCGCCAAGATGACTGGTGCTACCCATGGATTCATACTTACTGCTTGGTCATTCGACGTAAGTATTGGTCATGTTATTCCTCTCTCTTTTGCTTGCAAGTGTTCCAAGACTTCGTACTCATATTCTCACCCTCACACTCTCAATTTATAGGGTGTCGTAGGCGGATTAGTCTTTACGGCGGTCTATAATTCGAAGCTTGTCAAGGTTCCAGGCTCAACTACACTCATCGACCCATCTTCATACGATGTCGACTTTTACTGGGTCTCTGCTATCGTCATCCTAGCCTGGATAATAACTGCCTTCTTTATACGAACGGATCTTAAAGCCAGATTCTTACCATACCGCCATGGAGAACTCCTTCGATCAAGGCTCTTTGGCTCTCTCTTCTTGATTGGTACATTCGGTGTCCACAGGATGACTGCCAAAGAAGAAGAGATGGAATGGGCTGATTACATGGCAAAAGCCCAGCGCGGCGAAGTTGTAGTTGGTAAATTATTCAATGGTGGTCGTCCAAAAGGAGTCACTGCTGGATCAGTATAAAAAAATCAACATCAAGAAAGTAGTGATCTCAAATAAGATGTAGTTTAGTTGTTAATGTAAAGAAATTGCTTTTTCAGTAAAGTTGTTTATATCAATGTGAAAAATAAATACATTTGATTCACCCCCATGCAAAAAATGTTTGGTCTATGTTCATGGAACGACTACATCACACATCGCTGAATAGTATACATACCAACCGTTGTTCACTCAGACTTCTCTTCCACATCCTAAAAGTGCCTGCTAATCAGATTGCATACCATATTTCATGTTAGTCACTAGTGATACCCTTCCGCAGCCACATGATCACTATAAGAGGAATTTGTTTGATCATCTAAGAGTCTACTAGTGACTCTTATCTCATTAGTAGCGCTAATCCAAAATGCAAAGAAAAACCTGCCAGTTTTGATTGGTTTGATGTTGCGACGCGATCTTAGATCTTGGCCAAAGGTAGACGATCAGACATCAACATTAGAGTACAAGTCTATACTTTTTGGTTTGAAGTCAAGAGAGGTGTCATGGTCGTCCTCTTTGAATTGAATGAGGACGCAGACGCGGTGTCTCGGACGACCAGACGACTAGAATACACGCAAAGTCGAATTCTTTAATCATTTGATCTGAAAAGCTTCCTGGACGTTGAAGTTTCCCAAGAAAATTCATTGTGAGCCAGTCTCGTAATATACTATCTTTTATCTAGGCTGTAAAAAAGCTTACCCAATGTATTCAAGAGAGCAGTGCCAAGCACAACACCTAGCTTTCTGAGTAGTTTCGTGAACCTGTTCTCGAACGTGAAGCAAAACATAAAAGTCCAAGGACTCACTCAACAGAAAGAATGATCTCACTCCTATCAAATGGCTCTCAACAGATTATATTTACCCCTTTTCAACTACATTCAATACTCATCCCTCAAATCTCCACCCACCCTCTTCATACTCTCATACTCCCCCGCAGCTTCGCCCAACTCGCACCACATATCCCGTCTCCTCGACACATCGCTCCCACACTCTGACCCAATATCAGATCCCACACTCGCCATCTGATGTGCAGAGAGTTTCGTCGCGGCTCGTGTAGCCAGTCGTGCTATAAAAAACAAGGCCGAGCGTTAGCGAGGGGCATTGCAAAACCCCAATTCCTTTTTTCCCTTACCAGCCCGCCTCGATGCTAATTTATCAGCCAAATCCCGCAACCCCACATCCCGCTCAATCAGCGCCTCCCTCTCACCCCCCGTCCTGCTCGAGCAGTTACTTGCAGACGACATGACGCTAATCGGGCGCGACAACAGTCCATCGGCGTTAACGCGTTTCAAATCACGTTGATGTTTCCTCAGATATCGTTCCCGATCGATTTCCTGTAGCTGTGCAGCAACAGCCTCGAGTTTCTTTTGCTTGGCGAGCATGATGGTTTGGCGTTTCGTGTTTTCAGTATCGATGAGGCGGGTTTTGGCACGGATTAGACGTTCTTGGAGCTATGTGTTGTAAACATTAGGCACAAAAAAATTTGTAAAGATGTTATCGTAGTTTCTCACCTCAAGAACAGACATCTCGCCAAGCAGCCCAAGCCCCGCCGTCTCAGTCAAATCCACAGTCTTGACGACAAATCCCGCAGGCGTCACATTCCGCTGCTCGAGCAGCCGTATCTGGGCAATCAGTTCCGTCTTGCGTATCCGGTCTTCCTCATGTTGCTTGTATGCCTGTTCACGTAGTTGCTGCGATTGTAACTCTACTTCAGCAGCTAGATCCAAGAAAGCGTCAGTATGTATTACAAAGGCTCTTTTTTTGGCAGACATACCTCTTCGTAAATTCTCATCAATGACTCTTTGCTTCGCCCGATTAATATTCTCCTGCAAGTCCTGCACCTGTTCGACTTTTCGGCGCTTTTCGAGATCGGCTTCGTGTTTGGCTTCTTCGGCGGCTCGTGCGAGGACTTCTTTTAATTCTTTGGCTTCTTGAACTCGTTCTCTAATAGCGAATGACGAAAATACGTAAGTAAACAATATCTGCAAAAAAACGCCATGAGATTGTACAAGAAATCCTGCTTGGATCGTACCTATTCTCAATCAATATCCCCTCTCTCGCAACAATAGCATCCTCATGCGCAAGCTGCACTTGCAGTCTCCTTCTCTCCAGCTCAATCCTCTTATCTTCCTCCTCTACGAAAAAAAATTCATCAAAATCCCCTCTATATTGAATCTCTCACCAACTCAATTACCCACGTACCTTTAACCCTCGCAGCCTCCCTCCAATTCCCATACGCATTATTATCCCTCAGTCGCACCTCACTCTCATTCATCTCCTTAACTTCCTCGTCCCTGCGTTTCTTACTGAGTGCGTTTTCTCGAAGGATGGCGCTCGTGGTAAGTTTTACCGGCGCGACTTCTTTGAAAGTGGGAGCCGGACGTGCGATTATGCGTTTGCGTGCTGGGTCTGGGGTGGTTGGCTTTGGTGGGAGGGTTTGGGATGCTGCCTAATTATCCAAGATATATTCAAGTTTTTTGTTAGAGGAAAGAGATGGGCTTGGAATTACCTTCTTGGCAGCAGCAGCGACTTTGGCGGCGTGGAATTGCATACGTTGGGCTTCTTCATAGAGGGTCTACCGAAACAGAAAAATATCAGCTACACCATCAGGGTTATATCAGTCACAAACCAAAGGTACCTGCGTCTTGTGCCGATTCTCCACCTTTGTCTTCTCCAAAGCAGCCTGCTCCGAGCTCCCTTCATAAACCGTTTTTGGCACAGGCCGTGCTTTCGGAACAGTTGATATACGTTCCGTGGGCTCAGGTAATCGACGTGGTCGTGGCTTTGTAAGTAGGAATGGTTTTGATTCTAACGGTAAGAGATGTGTGTTTAGCAATTGATAACTCAGTATTCGGCAGGTGTGCGATTTGCTTTTCTTAAACCTGTTGGTGGTTTAGTAGACTTAGCAACCGTCATCCCACAATTCAATTTTTCCAAGAACTCTTTGGAGAGCTTGTGAATGTTGGATGCGTTTTCAAGCAATGGCGTCACCAAGTTATCCTAAAGTTGGAAATTATTACTACCGACCACGGTTCTTTTTCGCTTCCAACAACGACTTACATGCACCCAACTAGCATCCAGCACCCTGCACCAGCACCCCCTCAGCGCGCCCTCAACCGCAACCGGATCCGACAGCACGCTCAAGAACGACGCGATATGGCGTGGCTCCAGTCCACGCACAAGACCCGTTAGTCTGTCAAGCCCGATCTCGTTAATGCGAAATAGGATCAGGTATCCCAGTACTAAGATCAAACGACAGATCAGCAACAACACAAAAATGGACGTAAAGTCCATGGAGTGGTACCTGTAAGAACAGCCCTTTCATACTGTGGCCTTACACCCCTCCCACTGACACCATTAACAACAGCTATAGTGCCCTTTAAGATCTTGACATGTCGCACACATCCCAAGAATATCTCTTCCAGAAACACCTTTTCATCTGCATTCTCAATCTAAAATCAAAAACCAGTCAGTCAAAAGATCTCGACATATGTGTGCTCTTCTCTAGTTTGTTTCTTTTTGCACTCACCTTCATACTCTCAAAGTAACCCCTCAAACACTCCATTTCACCCACCACACCCTCAGCTTCAATCTCATCGTCCATAGACATTCCACCATCCTCATCATAATCCTTTGATGTCTTCTTGTGCTTTTTCAATTGTGGTTCAGCGATAAGATCCGGTCTAAGCAGGACCAGCGATGTAGCGTGCTCCATAAGCGTCTTGTAGTCTGGCATTGCCTGTGCGGGTTTCGGTACGGGCGCCATATGTTGCTGCATATCAGATCTTGATATATTTGCGGTTTTGCGAGCACACTTCGCTTCCACAAAAACACCTCCCATAATTCTCCGAACTAGACTCATGATTCAAACCACACATATAATTTACCCCACACACAAGATCTATACAAAAACCACTGCCTTCACATCTTCCCCCTCCTCCTCCACACTCCACCCAGCTCGGGCCATTCAGGCATCCACGCCTCATCAACATCGACATTGCGCACATCGAACAGTTCGATAAACTGCTGATCCATAGACCGGGATTTGGGGTGTGAGAAGCGCCGGTACTCGTCGAATATGGATGTGTGTGACCAGTGTTGGAATTTGCGGAGGCAGCCTACGAGGCAGCCTGTTCGGTGCTGAGGAGAAAGTGTTAGATTGGGTTGAGAAAGGTGAGGGATGGAGGGTGTACCTTTCCCTTGTTACAGTGTATGAGTACTAGAGAGGTATTGTTAGTGAATGGTGGTGGTTGAGATAAAAAGCACGTACAAGGATGGTTTCTACGATCTAAATAATAAAAGCGTTAAAAACACACATCACAATCACATAATAAAACACAAGAATACCTAGTATAACAGACAACGCAGCAGATATAGTCTCCTCAGGTATATCCACGAATGGTTCCTATCCAGAAAATTAGCTGCAGTCTTTTTGTGCGCATTCCGCAGTAACCACACATACCTTATTCCCAGGCACGCCAAACTGAAACAACCGAATTCCATTCTCATCCAGAAACTTCTTATTTCCTTCTGGATATTCCTCTAATATGAGTGTCCTGCGAAAAAAGACACCAGATGTTACAACCACACGTTCAACAACACGACGTTTTAGCAACACGGTATACGAATACATACAAGACAGATCTCAATCGCACACTCTTCAAAAACCCATAATTCTTCTTCTTTGGCATGCTGCTACGATACACGCCCTTTGCCACCATACTCCAATTCTCGCATGGGACCAGCTCTTCTTCGATTTCCTCGTTATTGTTGATTAGCTCGTCAAGCTGGGCCGTTTCGTCAAGGTTCCAGTCCATGTTTGGTGGATGCGGGATGGAATGTGGTGGAATTATGGTGCTGGATATGGATGTGGGGGAATGCATTATCGAGTTTCGTGATGTTGTTGCTGCCGATGCAGGGACAGAGGATGAGAGCTGGGGAGTGGTTTGCGAGGTAGATATGCGAGGGGATGTGAGTGGGGATTTGAGCAGTTCGGCTGCTGGCGGTGGTTTGGACGCCATTGCTGCTTGGTAAGTTGTTTGTGTTTTGGTGAAAAGGTTCAAGTTGAAGTAGGAAGCTTCGCGAAGACGAAAAAAAGCACAATCGGCTATCGAAAATTGTCTTGTTACGATGTCAAAGAAATCGGACCCACGCGAAATTCTCGTCGCGTGTACAAACACGTCCAGTCAAACAGGAATGTGTTTCTTATATTTCGTTTGGGTAATAGTAGAAAAAGGGAATGGAAGATTTGCAAAGTAATGGAAGAGCATACTTCCATATCTACGTTCGGTACCACATTCTATAAAATAGGTATGTGAGAACCAAAAAACAATACTAGATCAGCGGATATTGGAATCGTTCGTACCTCGTTACTCTTTCACGCTTAATCTTCTTTTGAAGTGCCAACACTCCATACATCAATGCTGTGGAATCAGAGGGTGGATTAGCATGTCGTAGCATTGTATGCAACAAGGGTGATAATGCAGGTAGAAATGTCTTGAGAGGCTCGTTATCTCAACTACCAATGATCATACCTTCAGCTAAACACGGATGATATGTTAGACGTCATACAGTTGCATCCAACAGAAAAGTTCAATTCATCACATACCAGTAGGAGGACATCCAGGAACATAGATATCAACGGGAACAATTCGATCACATCCACGAACAACAGAGTATCTGCATGCAAGGAATATGTGTATGAGAAGATGAGATGTGTCAGGGAGGACACTTGAAAATTACGAAGGATTGGCGTTTTGTTCTTACGAGTAGTGATAGTATCTAGAAAGCAAAATAAGAATCAGATACAATCAGGATACATTCAAATGCAACAACAAACACATACCCTCCACCATTAGCACAACTTCCCATACTAATAACCCATCGAGGTTCAGGCATTTGATCATACCTAGCCAACAAAAAGTCACATTCACTAAACTCGAATCGTGAACAATGAATCTCAACATACACTTTTCTCAACGCAGGAGCCATCTTATTCGTCAGTGTGCCAGCCACAATCATGACATCGGACTGTCTCGGACTGGCCCGAAACACAATACCAATACGATCCTGATCGTATCGTGCAGCAGCCATGTGCATCATTTCCACAGCACAGCACGCGAGTCCGAACGTCATTGGCCAGATGGATGATGTGCGGGCCCAGTTGATGAGCTGGTCGATTGTTGTTAGTGCTACGTCTAGTGAGGTATGGTTTAACAGTTGAGTTTATGAGTTGAGATGAAGCAAACTTGAGTAAAGATACTTCCTCCTCTTTTTTGCATCCAAACAACAACCTATTAACACACATACCAGCAGCATTACTAACAGGAGCAGGCAAATTGAATGGGTTTGCAGGACGTAGTGGTGCATCGGCTTGATCAAAGGCCGTCAATGATTTATCCTTCATAATCAGACGGGCGATAGAGCGTGATTGTTGAGTGTTTGATGGGACTGGGAGATATGATTCTATGACAATGAGATATGTAAGATGAGTGATGATTTAGATGGTTTGATGGCATGTCTAGTGCTCTTGTCTCACTTTGTTTGGATGTATGGTTGATGGATGATATTGAGCGTCTGTTTGTTTGTGGGAAGGAGCGGGGCGTCAGTATATCTGCGCTTCCAATATGCATTGCAAGCGATTCTGATTTCTCCTCGTCTATCTGTTCCTCCTCTAAAAGCAAAATAACTTACATTCCCATCTTGCATCCTAAACAAACAATAATGTGTTAATACTACTAAAGCTCATATATGAGATACTAGCTGCTTGCCTGTTGAGGTACCAGCTACTCGAAGCAGCATCGAGAAAGAACGTTGTTGCGTATTCATTCTTCTTGCTATGTTTTTGGCAACGCTGTCGGAAGTGAAAATGTGAAAACTGAAGCAGAGTGGGGAAGGATAAAGAGGCATTGTTTGGTGCTGGGTATTATTTTACGTGTATTCTAAAATGCTTGGCATATGACGATGCGTGTTTCATCTTCTATATACCGTCACAAAGTCACGAAGATTGACAAAGGTGTTGGTGCCGTGAGGCTTTCACCCTCTGAACTCCGAAATAATCAAATGACACGTTCCTCCATCTATCCGCTGTCCTATCTTCATACTGTCACCTCAAGCCATATGTTTGACTATCTGCACTTTTATATTCTCACAACGTAGTATCCTATACAAAAGAGCCCAATTCTAGCTAATATACACTTGCTTCGACTTTTCATTTTATATGGGTGTGAGCCTTTAATCAATTTGCGATTCGAGATCTAGATTTCGAATTAGTATGGTGAGCTCTCTGGTGTTGTGCTGCGTAGAAACAGTCAACCTTGCAAGTTCAACTAACCTCAATCCATAACATATGGGCGCAATTCAGTGATCCGTAATCTGCTTCTACAAGCAAGCTTCCCTCGTTCTCGTAGTATACGATCAGACCCTTCTCCAATTTGTATGGTCTGGACTATCGTTCCAACAAATACCAGGAGTCCACATCCCCCAAATTCCAAGCCACGATACAATGGCGGTCGTAGCATCGCACTGCTCATGATGGTATTACCAGAGATCACAAGGTTGCTCTCGTTATCAATATAATACAAGAAACTTTCTAGACACGTTGGTGTGCAATAATCAGACTTGAGGTTTCCCCACTCATAATCTGCGGAAGGAGACCAGTATGAGAAGGATACAAGATTGGGAAGAACTATGGGCATTCGTCCGTAGTTGATTTGCGAATTCGGCTTTCCATAAATAGTCAAGTGGGTGACTTTCTCCATTCGGCGTGGCGTGTTCTGGTGAGCAACTGGCCCACTTGCAAGTCACTCTCATCCATATCCATTCCTTGTAAGCATGGCAAGTCAGTGAGAAAAATAGCCTTTGAAAGTGATGGCGTTTCACCCATAGTCAGCGTCAGCAGCGTCAACGTGCTACTGCTTTTCAATATTACATCATCAAGTACTATTAAAGTCCAGTCAGAACGTCTTTCAAACAAATATACTGAAGACTTTCTTACTTGAAGTTCCCAAGACGTCGCTAAAATCAAGGTAAAGATTCTCGAGCTTGCAATCGGTGACGAACTCCAACACTCCAGAGCTATAACCCATGACACCTACGTCTGTAACATTCGTGAAAGCTCCTATGACTTTACAAGACGAGGATATGTGGGACTGTTCCATATAATTGAATGCAGAGATGCCACGTAGAGACTCTTTACTGCCCTTCAACAACGCCCTCCATGTAGCTGCGTCGATAGCGCCGCTCGAACGAAATTCACAGAGCTTCCACCTTCCCATTGCTTCCTTTAGGCTTTCAGGAATACCCTTGAAATGTAGGCGAAGCTTTTTTTACATATTGGTGTGTATCGGCAAAACCGGATAACCTATTGTGAAGTGAAAAGCCCCACACTCTTTCTCCAGCTGGAGATACCTCAAATATACTCAGTTTGACAAGCTTTTGCGATACTCGGTGAAGAAGCTGGAGGTTGTCGTTATAAATATCAAGGCTTTGCAGGTTGCACGCCTCTGATACCAGGCTGCTCTCCAAGTCGTGACGAGCGTCCTGTAGTTCCCCGGGGCAGTCAAGTAGGGATAAGACTTTATAAACTTTAACGGGCGTTAATAGTATATGGGCTTTTTGCAATAGGTTCCTCGGAATATCCAACTGAATGACGTAAAAAACTTTTGGTTGAGCGGCGACACGTCGTGATACAGATGCCTAACTGCTTCGGAGTTCCAGTCTTTGCAAACGAGTGCTGCTGATTGCAAAGTCTTCCTGTCATCAGCAGAGTACTCGAAGATTTTCTCCAATACTAGAGATGGTAATGGAGGCATGGTTGATGGATTACGTTGGTTTCGAACTATGAAGAGTTTTATAAGGGTATCGATGAGTTGGAACCATTGGACCTGTTGAAATAATTGCGTTATAGTTAATGCAAAGTTGATGTTGAATGTTTTTGAGATGTGAGTTTAATAGCAATGAATGAAACCAAAGGAAGCAATGGGACATCAAGGAACTCAACCTTCATTGTTCTCATAATAGTAATCCTCTCAAATATCAAAACACGGTACCATGAACAATTAGCACGATTCTTGAAGCTATACCTCAGTAGAAATGCAGAGCTTTCAAGAAGAACTGATCCTTGTTAAAACCTAGTGACATGTACAGCTGCACAGCTATCACTGATGCCTCATGCTCCTAATGCGCCACTCACTATGTGTGATGTTGTGATGTTTGGAATGACGTGAACAGCCCAGTGAGAAGACGAAAGTTCAAAGGTGCCGAGTTTTTTGCTCTCTGAACACTGATCAAAGTACGCTCTAAACCGCTTAAACAAAAAACTCTTTCACCTCTTTCAAGATAATCACGTACCTCTACGTCAATATTCAGCCCTAGGAAGAAGCAGTATATTTGAAATGAACAATACAAGCATATACGCGATATACGAGTATGACTGATGCGTACCTAGATGAATCCCTAGTCTCTGCCGGAATAGGACGATTGAAATAGTGGATGCGAGGACAGCGTCATTAGACATTTTGAGAGACAAGGATCGCAGTTACGCGGTATTTGAGCCATTTGAGCATTGTCACCTTATCCATAATGATACGCACATAAATCTCCATCGAACCTTTCAAGAACAGCAACTAGAACTTAGCTAGATCAACCACAGCCCACAGCAGTGTCTTCGCATGCTTTCGCGAATAGACAAAAACCGACATAAGTGTGATATGCCATTTCTTATTGTCCCTTACATCGTCGCAATCTCAATACCTGATACAAAGCAGCATTCATCAGCAGCAAGTTTGAAATCCCTCTTCAACACCATTTCAGACCATTTTGGTATGCTGTGAACCACATAAGACACTTTCCAAGCTCTCAGCGTCGATTCGATATGCTCAGATCTTGGCGAGCCGTCCCACAAATTGTGATTTGACATGTGCGAAATCGATGCTGGCGCAAACAGCATTTCCGCCGTATCAAGGGGCTTCATCAAACTTTGAGTATAATGACTGTCTTTCGTAAGCTTATAAAAAGAGCCTCCAAACACTAATTCATCCCTTTCAAACCAAAGTCCAAGACATTCGTACCTTTAGGAATCATTCATTTTCAATTCAGTTATTTAAGTAAGTCGAGTTCAGCTATTCACATTATCTCACTAATTCAGACTGTAGCCACACACAAAAGCACACACTAAACACACATATTCACCATTTCTCTTCAACCCCACAAACCCATCCCCACTCAGGTATTCTCCAACGGCGGTATCTAGTATAATCAGTATCATAAATCACTGATTCGATCCGAACTAAAAACGAAACTTTACCTCAGCAGCATTCAGCACGTCCGCATCCTTGATCCGACAATCCCCCAACGTCTCCCCCGATATCGTAATCCCATCATTCGACACCAGTTTCAGCTTACTTGTCGCGATACCAGTTACGTTTGACACGACTGTCAGGAGTGATTTTATCGGTGTTGTGGGTGTGCATCTACCCAAACCGACTGTTAGTCCAGCGTCACACCCCGCTAATTTTTCCCACATACCTGACATTCAAACTCGTTGTATCCCCATGCAGCACGGTAATAATCATCCTCTTCTGTCCCTGCGGTCCCGGCGACGTGCCCACACTACTACTGCTATTCCCATTGTTATGGGACGATGAGCTCGACATGCATGACGACGATGACCGTGGCCGCGTGGCAACCGTCGACGATGGCCGTGTTCGTATGGGCCCTGTAGGTACTACCGGTGGTGCTGATATCTCGAAATCTAGGATTGTCCAGTTGTGTGGCTCGTCGCCGAATGCTTCGGATGCGATGCGGAGGAGAGAGTCGATTGTGGAGACTATGCAGCCGTACACTATTTTGATTGCCTGATGTACACACGTTTTAGATGAATGGAAGGGATTATAATGTGTGTAAGAATGCATACTTTGGTATTCCGATTCCTCGCACGGAACTCCCGCAGCTGTGAAAAGTACGTTCCGGGCTGATCCCAGTATTTCAGTATTGGTTTGCAGCCGGGCTGGTCGTGTATCAGTGACATTGCTAATAGCCTCCCTAAGCAATTGCATACTAGTGTTGAGCAAAGTTCGACTGTGCGAATATGCGAAGCTCTTACCATGCGCCTTATCAAGTTCATTCGAATATGTGAGTTCCGTACTATGATATATAATCGGTACGCCCAGCATGGCGTACAATCCTTCAGCAATCTTAAAAAAAAGACATGTGCGTAAGAAATGTGCAACCTCAAAACATCACACACCCAAGCAATCAAAACCACAATGAAACACCAAACTGCGACACGTACCGCATTATTCAACAATGCAAAATGCCATAAATAATCCAGCAAGTGACCAGCTACTAAATGTTTCAGTGGATGCATCTTCTTGATAATCAAAAACCGTAACAATTCTTCTGCAAGTGCCTGTGCATACTGAGGATCGAATCTACGTGCACCGTGTACTAGTTGTGCCATTGTTTCTTGTTGGTTTAGCATCGTCTTTTCTATACGAGGTGTACTAGTGTTGTAATAATCACGGTTCGGTTGTTGCTGTTGGGTAAGATAGTTGGTTTTTGTTGGTTGGATGCACGATAAAACGGGGTGAGAATTAGGAACTGGGCCATACATCATAGGACAAGCATTTACAATTGATTGTGTAGGTGTTTTGCTCGTGCTGGTTAAGATTGGGGGGTGACTGTTGTTTTCTTTTCATGATGTTTTTCAAAGGTCACTGACTTTTCATGTCACGCACGGTGTCACAAAACCAAGAAATGCACAACCTTGCGTTCAAGCACCCACGGGTCCATAGTCTCGGCTCGGAGTATGTCAAGATCTGCACATGTCAATCATGTTGAAGGCAATAATCTTATTTCGCTCTCCAGACCACAGATGTTGGCATCAAGGTTCAAACATCTGAACCCGTCTTAGTAGAGTGCTTAACTTACTAAACCAACCTATATATACTTTGTTGGGAATCAGCTAAATACAAAAGCCCAATATCAACCACCAATTATCCCCCTTCATCATCTTGTTTTGCGACCAACTGCCAATCAGCACTACTCATACTCTCCACTAACACTATACACTATGTAAATTGTTCATCTCCTCCTCAGACACTAATCATGACATCACATTTTCTTCGTACTAGATGCAACCCACGCTCCTTATAATCAGCCAGCTTTATACTCTCAAGATTCACATCGTCACCACCAGCACCAGCCTGCCACTCACTCCTATCAAACCCTTCAACAACATGTGCCAGGTAATCTAACGCATCTGCACCCGTCTCGCCTCCAAAACACGTCAACCTCTACATTGATTCTCGTGTTTTGATTGTTAGGATGAATTCTCCTTCTGATATCTTAGCGGCAGCGGGTGTGTGTGGTATGATGGTAGCAGATGGATTGTGTGGACGTGGTATACCGGCATGGTGATCAAAGTCGAGTATTTGGTATTCGTTTGCAGCGCCACCGAATACGGTTGCTGCGATTTCTTTTAGTGAGGATTCGGTTGATATGAAGCTACCGTATACAGTGTACTATGTAATAACGAGTGTAAGTAGGGTATTGCCATGTCATGCATGCATGCAGAGAAAGTCCCACAACCGACGATCAAGTCGCATACCTTGACGTCATTCCTAAACGCCGTATAACCCCTCAAATGATCCATCACACTACCCGGCTGCTGCCACCAACGCAAACACGGGTCTGCCTGAAACTCTCGTTTCATCAATGCCATTGTCGTCAACCTCACATTCATCTTTTCGATTTCGTCCTTGTACATTGGTGTGAATGTGTGCATGACAGTCATCACTCCCAGCATCCGATATACCCCAGATGCGATCTATATATTAAAATGGGTCTTAGCAAAAAAACAACGTCATCAATGACCGAAATACGTTCGCGTTGACACACCACAACACAGAGATATACAATACATACATCATGATGATCCAATATGTAATGCCATGCTTCATCTACATACGTTCCTGGGGATGTTTTGAGGAACTCATGATCGACCTTGACTTTGAGAAATCGCAGTAATTCAATGGTTAAGTGACAGGCGTCTAGTTTCGTATTGATCTTGCATTTTTCTCGTATATTCGGGTCCAGCCATAGACCAGCAGCTAGTCTGTCCATTGTGCTGAAGGCTGCTTCCATCGTCGTTGATTTATTTGTTGACTATTTTGGATTTTGAGGAAGAGAGAGAGAGAGAGAGGAGGTTCCTATTTATATACAGACTATGTTGGATTATATGCTGCTGCCTGCTGTACCTCTCTCTAAGCCATAACAAGGTACTGTCTTATTTCTGTCAAGATTTTGATGGTGCAAAGTCAAATAGAAACCAGCTCTTGAATGCGATAGAAACGCTTTAACCATACCAGATACGCGCTCAATTCATCATATATATATACGTTTAAATAGCAATCTTAACTCTCCACAAAAAATTCCGTAGCAACTGTCACAGCAGGGTCTGGGCTAGCTTAAAAACCAGGTTGCTCACTCGCCACCACCAGCAATTGGAGAAAACCTCCCAAAATCACACAGAAGCGACCAACCACTCCATTTAATTGGATTCAATATCTGAATATCGTTCCATACCAGCTCCTTGCCCATCCATTCCCAAGGTTTTTCTCATTTGCGTCTTTCGACGACACAAAAACACATTTCTTTTCACGAGAAAGCTAACACACTTGTTTAACATAGATGGGCATCGCGTTATCATCAGTCTTCCCAACAGACACGTCATCACTACCCAAAGACCCCAAATATCAAGGAATCGGAAACCCGAACTTCAATAAACAGGGTGTGGCATCATCATCATCGAAATCCAAATCTAATAGTAATAGTAATGCAGCACGGAAAGCCAAACAGAATTCAGCTGCTGCTGCAAGGCTACGGAAGACGAAAGGGTTTAGGGATAAAGTAGCTGGGGGGAAGATTGTTATTGGGGAGCCGTTGAAGGAAACGTTTCGAGTATGTTATGGTTATTGGCGGTTTTTCTTTGGTCAGGTATGGTACTGATACTCGTTTGGTTTGTAGCATACAACACACGTCGGTGCTGCTGACTACAAGGCAGGGAATATTGATGTAAGTTGAATGTGGGATGTGGTCTACTCCGACCGTAAGAGTGATTGAGGAAAACTTACCTTTTTCGCCTCTCTAGTCAAAAGCATTGGCTGTTACAGTTCTGTAGTTATAAAAAGTCTTTATATAAACCACCTTTCGCCATATTGTACATCACCCAAGGTCGGACTTCTGTTTGTGGAACGATTGCTGAGAGAGGTATCCGGTCAGAGTAAATGGATGGCAAGTATAAGCATGGTGCACTAGATGTCATTTGGTGTCTATTGAAAACCATTACAGTTGGGCTTACAAACGTTTCTGGGCTTGACATCTTCTTATAAACGAAACCACACAACCATTACAAAGACGCCAATTGAGTGTACCCACAGCTGCTAATGCAGCTCTCCTCTTCGTCTCCATTTGGAGGTTTTTTTTTGTGCTGCCAAACCTCCCCAGGTTTTCTCAACCAAGTTTCAAGAGAACAAAAAGCCTCTCCAATGTATTAGTTGCATGATATTAAAGCCACCAAACCACTGTAGCTCGGCCTCAACCCTGCTGCCACAAGTGCAGACGAGTAGATGTGAAATTCATAGGTGGACGAAGACTGCTGGCGTCGAAGGCCTGAAAGATGGCCATGCTGATACGGGCGTTCAGTTAATGTTGGTGACATGGATGTACATGGAAAACCCAAGGAGTCTTATTTCCGATGCTCTCGAGCACTTTTTTGGGTTGAAGGAGAAAGGGTGTCGAGATACTCACCGAGAAGAAGACAATGACAATCAGTATCCAAAGAGATCGGGTTTATGGTCCATCGCCTTCAAGTTCTTCTTTCTTTGCAGTTTCAAAGATTACTGCGTTTGATATGCAGATCGAGATGGCGGCAAGTTTGAATTCTTGAATGGTTCGAACGACCAGCTGTTGTTTCGACTTCCGGTTGTCTCGAAATACTTTGACTTGCTTGCTCGCATTTCAACTGGTACGAAGATGGTCGTTTCGCATTTCAACTGGTACGAAGATGGTCGTTTTGTTGAGATGCTGGGTGGTTGACTAGGTAGACGGTGAGAGCAATATATGAAAAAAAAGTGAGACAAACAGACAAACACTGGTTGACGCATGAAGGTGATTCAAACAGCACGGTGCTACGTCACAATAGCCTTACTCCTGGTTAGCTCGTGGAATGTACTCATCAAGACAATAACCACCGACATTTCCAAGACAAAAACACCGACATTTCGTTATCTGTAGTGGGTACTTTTGCCCATTCAACGCCCACCACCATCTATCTCTCCACTGTTCCGTGTCTTTCAGCAGTAGCAATATCTCTTTCAAGCCAGTTGAAAGATGATCCAGATAGAAGGGTAGCAAACAATGGAGGCGCAACCTTTTAGTGTCGAGGTGGAGTAGACTTCGACCACTCATTGTAACAATGGCTTCGATATAAAGGCCAAAGGTGAGCGAAATAGTGCTTTAGCCACCATCAAAATCCCAGTTGTTATGCTCACCTCTTACGACGAATTGTACCCTCCTCGCACTTTGACATTGAGCAATCACATTGAATAGCACCTTCAGTGTCTGAGGTGATTTCAATGATACACAGTGCGAAAAGCTGTAAGCTTGGAGTTCAAGTTCCGAGCAGTTTTTGAAAGATTCGTAAATTGAAAAAACGGCTCATTTGCCATTGACACTGAGCAATAATAGTCGGTTTAGCATCTGTGAATCACATGAATGACAAACGACACGAAAAGCTCTCCACGTGAACTTCAACTTCCTATAAATCGAGTGGAAGGTTTGTACAAAAAGAAAAAGCGGGTGGTCTCTACATCTTGTTGTTTGTAAGCTTGTTCTCGTAGTTGGCGAGAGCGACGATATAACACGTCGTTTCCGGTGACTTGAAATACAGCGCATGATACCCTCAATAGCCAAAAAAAGGGCGCAAAACTTGATATCATGAAACTCTCTGACTCTTTCGTTGCGACACCTCATCCGTACCATAAGCAATATTCACCTTAGATGTGGACATTTTACGGTAGTAAAGCAACCTTCATTCTTGAATCCGATTAAAGTAAACGATAACTCCATGACAAGACGATGTTCTTTAATGTCCCCATCCTTGTTTGATCTTGCTACATGATTTGCAATGATATGCGTATAATATTTGAAAAGAGCAGGAGATCAGTCTTTGAATTGAAATTTCATAGGTGCTTGTAGTAAATTAGAACGATCCGATGCTCTTTGGCGCTATCGTTCCCTTCTGACTCTTCAGTTTCTCCTTGATGACGTGTACAGCAGCTTTCACGGATTCAAGTGGACCCGTAAACTCAAGCAGCTACATGCCATAGTATTACTCGTGTGGTCACCAGCAACACCAGCAACAACCTTCCTCTTCTTTCCAACCAACAACATCAACGAAACCAACCATATTCACAGTAGTATCCAGCGCCAAAGATCCTCGTCAGGGCTAGCTTATACTCACTACCATAAAGATGACATTTTCGAAGTTACTTTTCTCAGCGAGGCCTTGTCTTAAGAGCGCTTTGCGGCAGTTCTGCGTCAGTAACAAAAACCATCTCACTTCCCCACTTGCAGCCATTTCGTAGGCATGTGCAACATTTTAAATACACAAACATTTATCGCATCAACAATCCTCTATATTTTGTTACAAATTTCCTTTCCAATTTCGTTACTTTGACAACCAAATTCACAAAACACAATAAATCAAACAACTAGATACACTTCTTTACAACTTCAACTACCTTTATCATTTTTTTCGGTTTTACTTCTTTTCATAGTCTCGCACCACAAGCCAAGCTCTCTCAACAACGAAAGAAACAGCACCGCCCATTTCTATTCATAATGGGGTAGTGTATGATTGTTCAGCTTTTCGACTACTGTGACTCGGCATCAAGTCATGGGCCATCAGTGGAGACGAGTAGATGTGAGATCCAGGTAATGGATGGAGATAGTTGTCGAATGATCCCATATATGGTGATGCTGAGACAGGTGATCCAATCATTGTTTGTGACATGGATTGATATGTGTATCTGTTAAGGAGTGGTTGACAGTTATGCTTTGTGACGAAGACTTTTTTTGCTGCCATTTTGCTGCCTCACAAAGATATGTCACTTACCCAGAAGAAGTCAATGACTCAGTATCAAAAAGTGACGCGGTACGTGGTCCATCGTCTTCCAGTTCTTCATTTCTTCCGCTTTCACGATTCGCTGCATTTGATGCAGATCGAGAAACAGCAGCTTGAAATTCTTGAATGATTCGACGACCAGCTGTTGTTTCAACTTCTGTGCCATCTCGAGATACTTTGACTTGTTTATTAGCATTCCAGCTGTTGCGCAGATGCTTTGTTTGTTGAAACAGCAACGGGTGACTAGTATTGTAAATGGAATGAAAAATATGAGTGAACAATGTTGGCGTGTTGGCGAAAAAAATATTATCGCCATCAGTGGATGTCATTGAAACCACAACCTCAACCTCAGCCAGTTCACCACATACTCACATGACAATCCACTTGATCTTGAAAGGATGTCCCCATTTCGGAGGAATGTACTCATCAAGACGAGAAGCATCATTTCCAGGTGGTGGTGGTACTTTGGCCCATTCAATGGTCGTAGGAGTATCACCATCTGTCATACCAGCTGCAGAAGAAGAAGGAGAAGATGATAATTCAAGATCATCAAATCCTTCAATTCCAGATTCCATACGAGCACATCCGTAGAATTCACCACTCTTGTTTGCAGAGAAAATCAAGTAGACATTACGAGTATTATGGAAGGCTCGATTCAAGATTGTTTCGTTTTTGGGTTGAGTTGCCCAATAGCCTCGGTCTTTTGCAATGTCCAAGTCTTCAATGCTCAAAGATTCTAAAGAAGATACGAAAGGTAGAGATAGGCAAAGAAAAACGAAGTAATCGACTGTGTAAGTTGAATCCGAAAAACAGCTATGATGGTATTATACGTCAATTCAAAGACCTGATCATCACTTACTCATTATAAAGTAGCGATCTTCGTATTGAAACGCTCCTTGTTGTTCAGCAGTAGCAATATCTCCTCCGGACAAATTTGGAGATGATCGAGATGGAGGTGTAGCAAACAGTCGAGCTGCGACATTGCTATGACGAGGTGGCGTAGTATCAGTACGACCAGGTGAATTAGCATTGTAGCGATGACCAGGCTATATGTGGAGTGAAACAAGTATCAGTAGCTGGATGGCAGTTGCAAGGATCATGATGGTTCTTTTGGCTTACCTTGGCCTTGATACGACGAACTTTGAGCTCATTGCCATTCAAGGCTGAGCAATCGTATTGCAAAGCTCGTTCAACATCAGAGAATGATATCAAGGATAAACAACACGAGAAGCTTTCCACGTGAAGTTCAATTTCCTATGAAGTATTTGGACGTTGGTAAAATGCAAAAAAGGAGTAATTGAACTTAGAGCACACCTTGATGTCAATGCCCACAAAATGTTCACGTAAGACACGTTCACCAGCTCCAATAGGTAGATTTCCAACCTAAAAGAAATTGAACTATTGATTATCCAACAGCATATCTCCAACCATGTCAACAAAAAAAGGATGAAAAGCAAATATCTGATACAGGAAAGCTTGAAATAATCACCCAAACAACCAACACCGTATCATCAAATCGAGTTGAAATCTCTGGCATGGGTGAATGAACAGGAGATCGAGCGGGAGACCCATCATCACGTGATCGTCGATACGTGTGATCACGCATAAAAGTACGTGATGCTCGACCATTGTTGTCACGACTCAATGAACTGTGATTTGATCTGTTTTGACTATTGTAGTCGCTGCTGTTGTTGTAATTGTTGCTTTGATATTGGGTTTGGTTGTTGTAGAGGTGACCACGTCGTTGTGAAGAACGTGGGGGTGTGGAATAGTGGTGAGGCGATTGAGGAGAAGGTGAAGACGGGTTGTAACTGCTGCTGCTATTTGTACTACCCTCGCAATATGGACTTCCCAAGGGTGATGGTGAGTTTGGTAGATATGATGAACTGATAAAAGGCAGAGCTGGAGTTCTGTAGTAGTTGTAAAAGCCTTCGTAAGAGTTTGGGACGTTGGGTGGAGTTGGAGGAGGCGGAATGAACGGTGATTGCATTCCAACAATTCCTGGTGCCATGGGAGATGTTGATGCATCCGAACTAATAAGAAATGGAATAGTGAAAATTTGATGGGTTCCACATAGCGATGGCAATGTTCAACAGATGACAACCAAAACACAAACCAAAAAATAGAACCCAACTATTCCCATCAACATAGACACTCACTATGGAGAGCTGTCATAATACAGAGGAAATTGAGTAAAGTTTCGAGCTGGCAAGACAATGGATGTCGGCCTTCCAGTAGTTGTCCTAGGAATCGGTTGGGGAGTAATCGTCTCAGGAACTAAATGAATAGAAGTGAATCAGTCATCAATGAGAAAAGATAATCATTCATATCAACAAGATCACGTTACCAACGACATTTGGTGATGGTTGTACAACCAGATCCTTCGTTTCATCATTCTGGGCGATGATGTTGCCAGCAGCATCATGCCGCCCAATATCCCGATCATGAATCGAGGCTCGTCTGATTGCTGGTATCAATATATCCAAACTGTCGAGAGTCGGGGCAGTGAATCGGCGACTGAGTGCAAATGTTGCTTGATTCGTGTCCAGAGCATCTTCCTCATCCTCATCTAGCCACGAAGACGATACACGCGAAGATGAAGATACAGGAGCTGCGGTTCTCAAATCAGGATTACTTTCACGTCGCAGCATGTTTGCATGTGCCAAGATGTGGGTCGAATGATCACTGGGAACTGATGGATCTATGTGGGATTTGAGCAGGTCAGCCTGAAAATCGTAGTTTATGATGAATGAAAATCGATTTTAGAGCAGAACGGTACATCAAAATGACTTACCAGATTTCGGTCAAATGTTGGGTTGATGTTGCCTTAATAGCGGTATTAAGCAGCCTAGTAAGGTGATACCTTACAATACAGATAAATGCTAATTATAATAGCATTCGATTATAAAAGTAGTCCCTCCTTCCTGCTCTCGCAAACACTGTTGTTGGGTATTGTTGATATAAAAGAGTTTTTCAAGACCCAATTTCGATCGTTCGAGCTAATCTGTGACGTGTCAGTACAAAGTGACGCTAATATCGAAGTTTGACATCATATTATCCCTACCTGATGAGTATCAACGCGTCAGACAAGTTCTAATTAATAAAAACACGTACCCAAAAACCCTTCATGTGTGTGAGTTGTGAAATTCGGCATATGCAGTTTATTGACGACCTTTTCATCCGTATTCATTACAAATTGGGTGCTTTGGTGATATGCCAAGACGGGTCTGCATTTGCCTCACTGCCTGTTCCAGAAGCAAACTGCCTGTCCCAGAAGTGCCAGTTGACTGCAACACAATCACTTTTCTGCGAGGTCCACCGACTCCCGGCGCCAAAAGTTGAATCATTATAAGCAGAGGGCCCCAGAATAGTTCCCAACGTTGAAGTTCTGAGTTCCATCTTCTGTCCGTTATTTCCCAGGACTCAAAAGGATAACTCATTGGTTGCAAACCAGACTTTCAACTTCACCTCAAAGCGAAGCTCATTAATGGAAGCATGGTGAAGTGCGTTATATCGTCAAAGTTAACTCAAGTCCTCACAAGGCGGCGAAGCTCATTAATGGAAGCATGGTGAAGTGCGTTATATCGTCAAAGTTAACTCAAGTCCTCACAAGGCGAAAAAAAGTAGGATAATGTGTCATCACGGGGTGATGAACCAATAAACCTGAACCACTCCAGTTCAGTTCAGATCTGACGACAGAAAAGGTACATTAACAACATAGAGACCTTTGACACTGCAACTAGTGACCACATCGGTTCAAGTCCGTGAAGCGCAAAAGCCTGACACACCGGTGGTCCAACCTTCCGATAGCCATGTAAGATTTCATATATGACCTGAACGTAGAGAAAGGTGTAAGGAGCTTGGAAGCAATCGTATGGGCGTTGTTATCGCTTTTCTTGGTGTTCTTGTCCGGCGTGTCAAATGTCGCGAGTTTGACGACAATGTACAGTCGTAGAGATCGAGAAAGTCCATCATTCATTGATAGCGTATCATTCCAATTGCGATCCAGCTTCCACGATCTCCCAATACTCGACCATCATCACTTCTCGACACATCACAAATTCAAAACATCACTTGAAGAGGCATATCCAATAATGGAACTCTACTGCTTCCCAGCAGACAAGGAATTCCATGTTCCAACAAGAGATCCATTCAGTCTCGTAGTCCAGGTAAACAAGCACTTTTCTCTTTTGCGTCCAATTTGCCAAGTTTTCAAATGAATAGCAATTTCCTGACATCTTCTGGTGATTATATAGGCATACTTGAGCATGACTGGTGCTCAATATACATTGGTTGAGACCACAGATACTAATATATCTAAAACTGGTATGCTTTATCTTTAATTGGTGTGCATCAGGATTTAACACAAAACATCTCATAGGAGAGCTGCCCATGCTCAAGGATGGAGCTGACTCGATTTGTGGTGCTGCAAACATTATTTCGTATCTGAAAACGAAGGCTAGTGAATGAACAACGTGGAATTGGAGCGAAAAATGGAAGCTTGAAGCTTATACTCTTCAGTTGTGTCAACAGGGGTTTGACTTGGACAGCCATTTGACTCCAATACAAAAGGCAGATTGTTTGGCGTGAGTTTCTGTAGATATGTGATTAATTTGGTCGGATTTAAGCTGAAATGCACTGTATAGGTATACGACACTGGTCGAGGAAATACTCTATGATGCTTGGGTATTGAATACATTCATCATTTCTTTTTTCCCCTCATCTCACACGCTCCTCATCAGCTATACACTCGCTGGGTTGAATCTGCCAAAGCAGAGAATGAACGTACTGACGAAAGCCTGCTTTACAGAACTCTGCCAGTGAAACCTGTTGTGAGCTACTTTACTCATTATGATCCTGCAGGAGTTAAAGCTCGATTATCACAGTATCGTAATTCAGATGAGGTAGGCTGATAGACCTGTATTTCAGGAATTACGAGTGTCAGCTACTTGTTTTTTGTTGTTGACCACTAACCGCTCTTCACTCTTGAATACCAGGTTTACAAAGCAGTTAATGAAGCGTACGAGTCGATATCAGCTAAATTGGACAGCAAGGATTACTTTTTCGGAAAGCTGTAAGTGTCTTGGCTGCTTGCATAAATCGACTTTGAATCTCTCATTTTTTTACCTTTTCCATCCAAACGCTAGTGCAACATCACTCGACGCACACCTATACGGACACCTAACATTCCACGCAATCCGAACACTCCCAGCACCCCATCTCTTTGCCGCTCTAGACTTTTCTCATCCATCTCTCCTCGCTTATACAGCTCGAGTCAAACTAATCGCCTCAAAACCACCAACGCATATCGCACCCAAGAAAACAACTCTTGAAACTATACAGACATACATCACATCACTACCAGACCGAATCAGAAACAATATACAGCGTCGATGGGTTAGTAGTAGTGGCAAACTGGATTCTGAGGAGGTGAAGAAGCAGATGGGGAATGTTGCAGCTGTGGTGGGAGCTGTTGGAGCCGTGTTGGTTTTCAATTGGTATTATGGGATTATTGAAGTGTCGTTTGGTGGTAAAGATGAGGAGGAAGAAGAAGAGACGTCGCCGAGACATATGTATGTGGAAGAGGAGGAGGAAGGAGTAGAATACGAGCACGAGGCAGATGGGGACGACGATGAAGATCAATACAATGGGGTACACGAATAGTGTTGAAATTGTAAATACTTAATACATTCAGTGATTCCTCATCAAACACGAGCAAACCAAGGCGGCGGTTCCATCAGCTCTTCCAGAACGAGGCTGTTTTTAGATCAGTGTTAAAGACAAGCTCCACAAGGACAAACGGTACCCACTATCAATTGCCAACGTTTTTTTTCGCTGCTCACTCTTACTTACGACCAAACAATACATTACAGGTTATGTGAATGTGTGGCTTGGCGATATGACGAGCTCTAACTCTCCATCGAGGTTGTTTCTATCGTAGGCGAGAAAGCCCCTCTCAGGACACGAGCCGATCTTGCCTGACAATGTTTCTCCCCCATAATCTACTCCCACCGTCTAAAATCGCAGCCAACGTGATGAACTTGCACAGCACCTCCCAATAACAGAAAGAAAAATTACATTACTAGCCCATTCTTACAGGACTCGACATGTATTCGAGATAGATCCTTGTGCTGTCACCGTGAATCATCAAGTAGATTGTCCAGTATGATGGGATGTATGAAATCACATCAACCACAGGTCAACGTAGGTGCGACCAATAGAGCCAAGAAAAGTGCCGAACTAGCTTTGGCACCTACACCCTCAATGTTTTGACCACAACGATGCGTTTTATGTCACTATTGAGTTGACATGATGAATTAGAAACACTAAAAGCCTTGTACCAGGACAGTTGTTGTCTTGGTTGAATATTTAGTACTCCTCACCTTACCCTTCATGAAAAGTCCTTATCAAAATAGGATGTGATGGTATATAAATGTATGTACATTAGGATGAGCGCAGATTGCTTATTCCTGGATCTCATCCTAAAGAGCGAACAGCGATTACGTCTTACTGCTAAGAGCTAATTTTTTTACTGGTGATGTGGCACACAAACAGTGTTTATGAACAGTTAGATGCTGCATCCGATAATTCATGTCCTGCAAAGAAGTTCCTTACATAAGGATGAGATACTCAAGAGTTTGAGCGTGAGAGAAATAGACCGTTGGTCTTTCAAGAGTCACACCTTGCTCTTGGTAAACATAAGCGACCCGTCAACTCCATGGACAGCGAAACGCTGTGAAGATTGCCCTTAGAAATATCTAGACCAGGTGAAAGACTTCGCCTCCGTTTGTCTTTAAAAGAAAGGGAATGCGATACGGGCAAAAACCAAACGAAACAGCTTGGCTAATGCTTAAACGTTTGCACTAGTCACGACCTCCGCATTCCGTATCAGATCTAATAATCTCTAATACTGGTGCTGGTCTTCCCGAGATCCTTCTAAAGTCTGACATAAGGTCTGAAATAAGATGTCACCTCTTATAATAATGTGCTCAATTCATACCGAAGGTACGACACCACTTTCACAAGACAGGTATTCGAAGCAGCAATCAAAGTACTCTTGTTGGATACAAACACAAAGCCCGCAGAGTTGATCTTGACGAATGATTGTATCCTTTATATTGAGGTCTTGGCACTTCCACGTAAGCATACAAAATCTTGTCAGATAACTGATTCTTCGTCAAAGAAGGAGTAAATCATAGCTGCTGTTTCGTCGTCTCCTTCTAGTGCTAGGGCGATTTCCTGTTCACTGGCAGAGGCCAAGTTTCCAAAGGATTTGAAGTTTTGCTGGAGTAGTTCCAGCTCTACCGCCAACGATAGGTTATTAATCTAATAGTAGTTTAGACTGGCTATCCAAACTCACGATAAAACGACATGCTCGACATCCCAACACTCTTCATCAATGCATCCCAGCATTCTTGGCCTTGCTGACGTGACGGATCCTGGAGACCAAAGCACACATGTTAGGTGTTTGTAACATCGCGAAAAAAAACGTCAGCTATGTATCATCCACTTGATCATGGCTTACCAATGGAACAGCACCCATCTTTTGGCTAACTCCGTCAATAATACCACAAACTACTTGATAAACTTGCATAGCACTCCCAACAGAAACAACCTGTACATTGTGAAGCCCTTTCTTGCATAACTCGACATGTATTCGAGATAGTAGGTGTTGCCCACCCTCGCCATGAATCATCATGTAGATTGCTGAGTACGATTCAGTGTATGAAGTAAGTCTACGGAAGGTGATGTCAGAGAAAGACTGAGTCTAAAAGTTTTCGAGGGCCGTTGTGCTGACCTGGCAAGAATACCGTCCCATTCACGTACAAGATGCTCCGCAAGGAGAAACAGTGCTGAAGTTTTTGCATCCAAACATATGAAGTCCTAGAGGATGTGAACCTTGGAAGTTATTAACCCTGTACTAGGAGGCGGTTCGTTTTTTGTACCGGCAGAGACTCATCATCAGAATCTAGAGGACACGTTCAAAAAATTAGCACCATTCTTCTCTCGAAGCATCAGATTGACATATCATCACTTACACGTAACCTTGAAACCAGCCTTGACGCCATCATCCAGCCTCGTGAAATCAAAAACAGCATGTCCAGCAAACCGAGATTTGAGAATCACTCCCACCAAGAAACGAGGTTTTCCCTGCTCCGAATTAATACCATTATCATGAATAATTGACTTATTGACTGATGATGTTGTCAACGTTGGTGAAATGTTTGCAAGCCATGTTGATGATGATGCATTCGAATAAAGGAAGGGAGAATCTGGAAAGAATGATGGCTGAGATTTCGCATGAAAATTGTTTGAGGATTCAGTACGTCCGCCTCTTAGTTGAGTGCCTTTAGGACTGTTTGACGATGTCTGTTGTTGATGTTGCAAAAAGGTAGAAATTTGCTGCTCTTTGGGAGCAGATGAGCTCAGTGAATCCGATTGTAAATTATTATGATTTAGTCGGCCAGCGGCTGGAGACCTGTTCAACCACGCTGAATTATACATTCTAGTTCGAGTGTCGTTCTTCATTGTTAATGTTTGGACGGACGCTTTCATTTGAAGAGCACTAAAGTACTGTAGACTTGAGGAAACTACATAGTCATCGGTATGCAGCTTATATGATGTCAACAGCGGCGTAGCTCACAGCGACCGCATAATGGAAACATTCACAATTCAGAAAACCAAATAAACGTAAGTGGAAAAGGCGTCGCCATACACATAACCGATGTCACCAATCACAAACACTTCTATGCAAGATTCCTCACTATACTCCGTACATTAAGAATCAGAAACTCTGAAAACTGCCTTCTTCCATTACCACCACCACTGTTCTCCTCATCAAGTATACAACTCAACCGATCCATCAGTGTCGTATTTGATCGGAAGAGTATGTGATTGTTGCTAAGCCAACAAAAGAAGTACGTCAAGTCGTATCATTACCGGAATAAGGCCTTTGTAAACGCAACTTACGGTATCTTAGACAACTTCTGCAATAAAACCGACACGTTCTCAGCAACAGGAGCCATCTTATCGCCATGCCCGTTGATAGAGTCAACACATTGTCCAAGTGCTGCTGCACAAGAGTTTACTACGACAGGTCTTGAGCATTGCGTCAAGAAGTCTGGTAGCCAATCTGAAATGTGTCTAAGCGAGTTACCAGCCGAAGTTGAAAAAAAAACCGGAAATGGGCAATTATGTCTTTAGAATGACATTTCGAGTGTCTCTTAACGACAAACCTCCCACAGTTGAAGTCAAATCACCATCTCACCTCCATCAGCACAAAGATTTAGGAGCACACCACTAGCCAGCAGCGGCACACTAGGCCCATCACTTCTCCGTAGCAATGGATGTACATATTCAACACCATCATTCTCCAGAAACACATGCTTGAACTAACATCATGCAACGTCAATACCACAACAACAAAAAGACCCATGAGAAAGATGCTATAACTCACATGGCCATCAACCAATCTCGACACGACATCATCCAGCACAACCTCAATAACATTATATTGTCCAACAGTAGATAGAAGAACCATTTGCATTAACGCGATGGTTGTGTCATCCGTATCGTATGTTATTTCATGTTTCGTATAGACTGTGAAGATTACGTCTGAAAGACTATGTTTCTAAGAACAATGCGATATCAGGAACTCTTTTTATTGTTTGTGTCACCAGAATTAACGTACCTGCTGCATAGTTAGATTCCCATGTCGAACAAACGACAGTATGAATTCCATGAGATATGATGAGAGACACCGTTCATTTTGTTTCACAATGGTCATGATACTTGACAGAATCTGTCCCGAAAGAATCAGTATGGTCTATGTCGTTAGCCAAAAAAACGTCGCGACATTAGCAATTGCGTTTATACAGTTGGAACTCACATCACGAGATTTCCTCCTCATAGCATCAATAACATCATCAGCAACAAAATTCCGAGCGGAAATAAACGATTCATCTTGATCCTGTGTCTGTTGAACATTGCTGCCAAAATCACGCAAGGAGCATCGATGTATCTCACACAAGTAGTCAATCAGAATGTCCTTGGACGTATTCTATCAAAAAGGTGTTTTGTTTAGCAAAGTCATATCGAGATTATATAGGCTCCGAACACTATTTTTTTGATCAAAAATTGCAACGACTCACCAACTCAACATCACCCTTCCGAACCTGCCCCCTCTCCTCACCACCAAACACACTCCCGCTCCCCATATTCTCCACCGTCTGCGTACACGCAGTATACGTGCTCCTCTTATGCCCAGCCAGCACAATCCTTTTCAACTCATCCAACTTGTCATTCTCTCTATTCCTCTCCTTAACCTCCACAACCAGCGGCTTGACCAAACTAGCAGATTGCAAACTTGCTTTTAACCGCTCATTGCGATCTCTAGCTTGCTTCAATTGAGATGTGAGATCTTGTATGACTGTGCTTTGAGATTCGGTGTCGAGTGTAGAGTCTTTCAGTTGGGCGCGGAGAGAGCGGTTTACGGTGACTAGTTCACGGACTGATGATGACATTCGTTTGCTTTCTTTGGCAAAATCTTGGAGTGCTTCGTCGTATTTTAGGATTATTGTTTCGGCGTCCTGGATTGAGGAATGTGTCAGCCATTCAGCAAAAAATCTCGTAATATCTATGTATTACGAGATCTTTGCTCCAAAAAAACTCCCCGTGCAATACCTTCTTCCATGCCTGCTCCCGCTTCTCAACCTCAACACCAACGCGTTTCACAACATCATCATTCATACGCTGACTAGCTTCCTTCAATTTGAGTTCTCTAGCATCTAGATCTCGAGCTCGTTGATGCAGCATGTCTGATTTCTCCTTCAGTTGAGCTGATAGATCTGATAGTTCAGCATGTAGATGTGACGCGGTTTCCACATTCAGGAACGATGACCTGCGGATCAAAGATCAATTAGCTATTCATCGATAGATTGTCGTGATACCTTTTTGGTCCATTTCACACACACCTTGTCGATGAACGTATCGACGCTCTGAATGACGGCTCATGTCTTGCGAATGAGTCCATTCCTCTTGTCTAAAATGCGATATTCACAAGTTAGAAAAGGCAAAAAAACCTCCCAAGAATAAAACCTATCATACCTTGCTCTTGGTAGACATCATTGAATCACCAAACCCGTTGGGCTGTGATGGAATTGACAAGTCATCCATCGTCATATCTGGATCTTGTGGCAAGACTTCTCCTCCACCCTAGATTGTGCAAGGATAAAAGGAAACAGATATTTGAGTGTGTGTGAGAACCAGCAAAAATCAGTACACCAGGCTTTCCGTATGCATACACTTTCTACACTAATAACAGGCTCCTCGTTCCGTATCCGATTCAAACGACCTAATAAATCATCTAGATCTTGTTGATCTTCTCGTGCATCCTCTAAAAGATTCATTGTGAGAGTCCATCGTTTCACTCCGGTGATCAATTCCTCAATTCACACATACCAGAAGTACCACGTTCAAGAGACATGCCTCTACTAGCACCAGCACCAGTACTCTGCATACTATTCCCAAGCCCTTCATTCGTCGAATCATCACCAAGCAAATCCCGTTTCCTGACAATCTCGAAATGACATTGATGGAAATTATAAATCTTTTTATCCTTTTCTTGTTCTTTTGGTGTATTCGATGGTGGATCTATAGGTGGAGATGGAAGAACTGTTGGTTTAGGAGGTGGTTGACTTTCGGCTTGTTGTGGTCGTGGTGGTAGTCTTGTGTTGGTTGCTATAATTAATACATGTTCAGTCAGAACGTTCACATAAGATATCATGATTCATGTATCAAGTAGTGATACCTGGTCTAGTATTTGACGCCGTATTCACGAACGATCTATTCGTCCTATTGTTGACGGAATCAGGCAAGATGGGACCAATGTCCGGCGGTAGAGTACTCCAATCTAGTTGTACACGTCCCTAATATTAACAAAACAATTAGTTCCTGTCCTGAAACAATCCCGGTTGACCGAAAAGTTGACCAACCCCTGTGATGCGTTCTGATCTCGAGAGTTGTTCTAGTAAGGATACTTCAGATGTCGTAGATCTGACGTCGTCATCGTCAAGTCCATTCATATTTTGTATGGAATAAATTCAGTTCCACTATCTGGTCTTGTCAACTTGTCACTTTGAAACTTGTGATATCAAACTAGCTCCAAGTTACCACGAAATTTTTTCTCTAATCCCTAATTCTCTAATCCGTATACAATGGCCTCTAATAAGAGGACGTATCTTCTAGTGTTTGGAGTAAGTTAATCCCACTGTCTGTCAATACCTTAGTTGCAAAACTGCTTCATCAAAATGATCAAACTTAATTCAACGTCTTATTCTAATGTAGATGCTCGCAACTGGTACCTTAAACACAATTTTGAACAAAGCAAGTCGCTCTCGCCTCTTTCTATGACTCTCTGTGGTCATTTTGAGCATATCTTCACCATCAAACATTAACACAATTCCTCGCATAGTTCCAAGATCTCCAATGTGTTGCGAACTGCGATGATCCTGCCAATGCAAAGACATTCGAGCAGCCCATATGGCAGGTTCGTGCAATTCTCCAACCTTCTGCTATCATCAAAACGCCACGTCAACTCAATTCATACCATAGACAGCAAACATGTTCCTAGGCGAGTCATTGTGTCTTATAGTGTACTACATACAAGTATGGAACGAGTCACGACGGAAGCAGCAGGCTGTGTATCAGCCCATTCTTGATGAAGGACCAGTAGCAAATGGTGGTGAACACGATGATGAGGAGCTGCCACAATCTGCATCTGATCCGTTGCTGGCTGTAGTACAGCAGAGGTTGCCGCTTACAGGACACAGGAATTTTTATATGTGGTTGCCTACTTTGTGTGACTTGTGTGCTACGACGCTGATGAATGCGGGGTTGATTTATGTAGCTGCGAGTGTGTATCAGATGCTGGTATAAATGAGAGTGTTCTGCTTATTATGTCCGAGTAAGATTTTTAACTTTCCATGTTCCTTAGAGAGGAAGTGTAGTGCTCTTTACAGGAACCCTATCATCAGTATACTTGCGTCGCCATCATCCCATCTATCGATGGTTTGCACTATGTGCAGTGTTTGCAGGTGTTGCTCTCGTCGGTTCGGCCTCTATAGTCCAAGGCCAGGCACCCACAGCGCCTTCACTTGGCGACGACAACAAAACCATGTACAACACCCTCTCCAATCATTACAATACATACCTCATCGCCAACCCAAACGCCCCCATCGGCGTAACAATGATTATAGTTGCCCAAGTATTCACAGCCGCACAATTCGTAATCGAAGAGCTGCTCATGTCTCGCTACGACCTACCTGCAATGAAGGCTGTGGGCTTAGAAGGTGTATTCGGATTACTGTCTCTGGTTATACTAGTACCCATAACGTATTTCGGGTATGGGAGGAACGATCCAGGTGGGTTTTTTGATGTGGTTGTGGGGTGGAATCAGATGGTGGGACATCCGAATGTGTTGGGAGCGGGGATTGCGATATGTTTTAGTATTGCTAGTTTCAATTGGTTTGGGTTGAGTGTTACGAGGAGTGTTAGTGCTACGGCTAGGAGTACTATTGATACGTGCAGGCAAGGTTTTGGTCATGTATGGTTGCGATTGAAGCAATTTTTAGCTTACCTCCCATCTTTGCTATATTGTAGGACACTATTTATATGGGTCATTTCGTTATCATTGGGCTGGGAGAACTTTAAGAGTTTACAAGTTGTTGGATTTGCCGTTCTCTTATACGGTATGTGTTGTGATCTATGCTTACCTTCCAAGTCTCTGAACGAGAACAAAAAAGCTGACAACCAACATGCTTCGAATTAGGCACACTCCTATTCAACGATGTCGTTCGCCCTCCTCCACTAGCCATGTGCCGAAAAGCCATACTCGATGAGCAAGAGGTCGTGGTAGCAGAACAAGATGACGAGAGAGCTATTGCATCTGCCACATAAACAAATACTGTTTCTGTGACAGTTTCATGTATGTTGAAGGTGTTGGAACTGTCGAATAATAACAGGATCGGACAGAGGACTTAGACAACCATGAAAGGATATAATATATGATACTATTACAACGTTATACCAAATGTCTTGTTACTACTCTAACTGAATCCCCTTCCTAGCCTCCGCAGTCCATCTGCCATCATACCCCTTATCATTTATAGTTGCTAGAAGCGTAGCAGCACTAGCCAACGTCTTGTTAACACTCTCCCTTGCTGCACTCTTATCCTGAAGCCCACCAATACCCTTATTAACCTCAACAACATACTCATCTAATGCAGCCAGAGCAGACTTTTGATCCTGCGTTATATTGGTCGTACCTCCAAACACTAATGAGCTTCCTCCACCACCTAAACCTGAGATTAGGCTGAGGAGGAGTCCACCGTATGCCCATATCTTGGAGTTTCGTTGGTCGAGAACGGACACCGTGAGTCTGTGGAGGGTGTTTAGGAGTTTGGTGGATGCTTTGTCTAGTTGGTCCATGATGGGGTATGGAGTGGGGAGAGAGAGTTTTTGTTGCGTAGCAGTGAGTGCTATATGTGCATCTGGTGGTTTTCTATGCTTATTGGAGTTGTAGCAGCAGTTGAGGCTGTGATTTGTCGTGCAACAACGCTATTGAGCCTCAGATTCAGATAAGTCCACCCGATAGGCAGCCTGTCAGAGGTGACGAAATAGTGACATTTTAAAGGGATATCCCGCCTTTACCTGTCTTGCATCTGATCGTGTTGATGGTCGTGATCTCTCTTATTTGGCAGTTACGTCGGTTTGAAAAGCACCTAAATATGATAAAGTAACGCGTGAAAGCGACACGTTTTAACCTCTTAGATCATATTTTGCATTTTGCATCGTGCATTCAATTTATGAATATATCCCAACTGGATCCCAAGTGCCAAGTCATCGTGCACGTCGTGCTTTTCAAAACAACTTGCAAGCAATTATGACAAGCATGATCATCGACCCTCCAAATGGTGCCAATACCAAACTAGGTGGATATGATTTCTACCGTGAGGTGCTCAAGAGCCCGAAATATGTCGTTGCTCCTATGGTAAGCTATTGTGTTTCGTTTTTGGTGCTGTCTTTGAAGGCTAGTACTGATTTAGTGTTATCACGAATAGGTTGATCAATCTGAATATGTAAGCTTGGAAGGATGAAGCTTTCTTACTTGTCGGTGTTGGTGTTGGATCAAGGAGTATCAGTTCGCAATCTGACCAAAAAAAATCTGAACAGTACTGTTTCAATGCCCATCGAACGGCTATCTGACTACAGCATATGACTTCAGACGCTAAATCCATATTCAAACAACGTGTCTAGGCATGGAGAATTCTCTCACGACGATATGGAGCTCAGCTATGCTACACTCCCATGCTCCACGCTCGTCTCTTTGCAGAACAGCACTCGTATGCCCCTGAATTCTTTACTACTGGTGAATTTGATAGGCCATTGATCGTCCAGGTAAAGTATATTGAAGCAGCAAGATGTTAAACGTGGGTGGAGTTGCCTTGAATGTGGACTTTTGTGCTCACCGAAACACACTCCTTCACCCACAACAGTTCTGTGCAAACGACCCCAAAATCCTCCTCAAAGCCGCCCTCGCCGTACAACCATACTGTGACGCAGTCGACATCAACCTCGGATGTCCGCAAGGCATCGCTCGAAAAGGCCATTACGGCGCATTCCTCATGGAAGACTGGAAACTAATCGCGTCCATGATTACAATCCTGCATGAAAACTTGAACATACCCGTCACGTGCAAGATACGTGTATATCCTGATGTGAACAAGAGCATCGAGTATGCCAAGATGGTACAGGATGCGGGATGTCAGTTGGTTACTGTGCATGGCAGGATGAGGGAGCAGAAGGGACAGTTTTCGGGGGTTGCAGATTGGGAGCAGATTAGGAGGATCAAGTATGTGCCATGTTGAAGTCATTTGAACTGCTCGTTTTTGCTTAGATGGTTCGTTTTGTAGACAAGAGTTGACTATACCTGTATTTGCCAATGGGAATATCCTCTACTATGAAGATGTGCAGGCTTGTTTGGATGCTACTGGTGCTGACGGGGTTATGAGCGCAGGTGAGAATATCACACGATGGGTCGACACGTCAATGCGAGGCCCACCCATACTTTCTTTCGTATGTAGAGGGAAACCTATACAACCCAGCGCTCTTCGCAAACAAGTATCCTGTCATATACGAAATCGCTCAAGAGGTAAGCTCTCGTTTGATGTTACCGTCAAGTTTAAATTCCTTATTGATTTTTTCTTGCTTGATAGTTCCTCGACATTTGCACGTCAACACCCAAATCATCAAACCTCGGATGCATAAAATCCCACCTCTTCAAAATCTTCCACCCAGTAATCATCGCATACCCCGACTTACGCGAACAACTCAACAATGTCGCAACCATGGCCGACTGCCAGATTCTCATCGACAGTTACAAGAAACGAATGCAGCCATTGGTCAAAGTCATCAAAACGTTCGGGACTGATGAAGGAGGATATATGGTTATTCCAGAGTACTTGTGTCAGCCTTATATCCGTGACCCAACGTTGGGAAGGAATGGGAAGGCCGTCAAGAATGGAGATGGTGTTGAAGATGGTGATGCTGGAGTTGATGTGAATGGGAAACGCAAGTTGGGAGATGGTGGTGATGGGCCTGACAAGAAAGGTGATTTAGGAGGTGCATTTGTGAAAGCATATTCAAACGCGCCAAGGAATTTTTCGGCTCTTTTTTCTAACAGCCTCTTTCTATTACCACAATAGTCAAAGTCAACGATCTCTGTCGATGTGGCGTCAACCTCGCCTCCAATCGCTGCACTCAAGGCCTGTGTCGTGCATGTTGTGGCAAACTTGGCACATCACTCAACAAACGACAATTACAACGTCAGAAATTGAAGGCTAGAGCTGGAAACGGTGGTATGGTCGTTGATGAAAATGAGATTGATTGGGTTTGTCAACCTCATATGACACGACGAAAGTAGAGAGAGAAAGGGAGGTGGATAAGGATTGGGTTGATGAGGGAGTGGAGAGGGTTTGTGTAAAGAACATCATTTGAAAGAGAGGATTCCCATGTGTAGAAAATTGAAGGCAATAGACATTATTTTATTTGAAGTGGATTTGGTGTGGTTTGTATGGTGGTTGATTGCTGAGAGGATCTTGATGACTCATGTCCACGCTGCAAAGGAACTTTCTTTTTATGCTTGCAAGCTGTTTGCTAGACAAGTGTAAGCGGTGTTGCTACGGATGCTGGTGGGACGTGTGAGCAGGTGAAACGAAAGTCACTCAATAAGTCAGATCATCACAACTCAACCCTTCTTTTTTCTAGATCAAGAAGGGCAATCTATAAGATTCAGCAATAATCGCTTACAAGCATCCCGTTAGATACACGAGCTGACCTGACCGTCAATCAGATGGGATTTCTATTTCTTAACTTTTACTTTTTAATTTTCAACGGTTTGCACTTCCATGATAAGTTCGAGACTGATGAGGCTCTTTAACCTGTCTCGATGTTTGTGGCAAATACGGTTGTCGGTAATACTCTTGAGAGTCCGACCTCAAGACGGTATGGAGCTCAACTATGCTATACTCCCATGCTCGTGCCTTGTTTCTTCGCAGAGCAGCCCTCGTACCCTTTTGAATGCTTTACTACAGGTGCAATTGATAGACCATTGATTGTCCAGGTATGTGTATGGAAGCGGCAAGGTGCCCAACGAGTGTTGATTTACAATTATTACTTTTGATTGTCTCCGTTTTTTGCTCTCCCAACCACACTATTTTACCCCACACAGCTCTGTGAAAACGACCCCGAAATCCTCCTAAACGTTTCCCTCGCCGTGCAACCATGTTGCGACGCAGTCGACATCAACTGCGGATGCCCGCAAGAAATCGCTTGAAAAGGCCATTACCGCACATTCCTTAAATAAATGTCAGAAGTGTTTAATGGTATTGCTTGAGGAGGCGCGAAATCGGAAATGCACTGCTTAGAAAGACGATTGAGTACTCTACATGAGACGCTCTATATTCAACAATGAAATACAAGGGAAATTGCTGTTACAAGAGCTATGATATGCTCAGTTGCCACGAATTCGGGGAAACGTATCTGACTAAAGAAGGAGGATTTGTCAAATAGCAGTCATTCGAACAGTTAAATCCCAGCAAACTTTGTTTTACTTACAGACGGTCTAAGGCCACCAAGTCTCGAGGTACTCATCTCAATCCGACCAGTAGTCAACATGTCGCCGCCGCGGCTGCCACCATCCCTAATCAAACCACTCGACTCGCCAGCTTCAAATCCACCGCCAATTACAGGACCACCAGGAGGTGTCCATCCACGACCGTTGTATGCCTCAATTTCTTTTCGCGTGAGCCAGCCAGAGGCATCACGTGTTTCTGGCGCTTCGACTTCGATCAGACGATATGGTGAGCTTCGAAGATGAGTGACTCGGTTACGGATAATGGATGCCATATCGTCGAGAGTTTCGTCATATGCACTGGCCATATAGTCGGATACTTTATATATGATCTGGAAGCTCCATTTGAGAGGATACAATCCGATCGTGGATACAGGCTGGAGCACAGCATATCCTGCAAGCTGGAGAGCTGGGAGTATTTTTCTTCCATGCATGTTTTGTTCAATAAAGCGTCGATCAACTGCTTTTAGGATTGCTAATTTTTCCTTTTATAGCAGACAGTGTGTCAGAGATTCGAGCTTTTGTAATGTTGGGGTGAAATGGTGGTGTGTTGCTTATCTTACCTCATCTGAACGACTTATCAACAATTTATTCAACCAAAAAGTTGCTTGTGCATCAGAGGTAACCTATATCAAGTACTGGTCAGTATATTGGCTGCTTCGTATAAATACTTGTCACCATCTTTCTTTCGAGCTGTCAAACTCACCAACAGTAACACGGACTCGATAGTACCAATCAGACATGACATATTGATTGCTTTGATCATTGTCTCGAGCATCGTGTAAAAGAATCGACTGATTGAAGCTATAGCACCAAAGACGACCAGAAGGAAATGAAAGTATACATATATCGGTGACAGGATGGCAATGACGAGTACATCAAACACCTTTATCAGCCCTTCCTTTACTGAGAATTGACGCCTTTGACGTGTTTCAGGCTGCTCTGTCCTCTTGATGAGAGCATGACGACCAACGTTGGCTAGTTGAGCAGATGATGTTTGGATGTCAATGTTTTGTTTGACGTCTAGACTGTTTGAAGGAGTCTTCCAATAGGAGCTAGGGATTTCTTTAGAGTGATTTATATTGAGGAGGGCTACTAGGAGCGTGATGAGTACTATGATGTTTCTCATCCTTGTTTACGAATGATGGATGTGTGAAGTTTGACGTTTGAAACAAGGGAGACGACATAGTTGAGAATTTGCCCGGTTGAAACGATGAAATGACAGACATGGGTGTCGCGTAAATGCCACGGGTCGTAAATCGAATCCGAAGATTGGCTTAACTGGCTTACCTGTAGTACACTCGAGCGAAAGATCAACAGTGTTTGATGTTAGTTGACGAGCTATGAAGTGCAAGAGGAGCATAAAGCTGCACACCGGCGGTATCTGCACATATTAGAAGGAAGGATTGAGGCATTGATTCGTTCTGAAAAATTTGTTCTCTTGTTTGAGGTATGTGTTGAAAACATGGTGTTTTGCATGTCGTTTGGATTAGAAAAGCTCGTGAGGAGTAAACGAATGATTAATATTTCATCTCTTGCGACTCTGTGTCTTGCCTTTGTTATGTAACTGTCTATCTATGATGGACATCAACATTGAACACAATTCACATTGTTAGAGCACATGAACTCTAACCATATTCCTTTTACACTTAGAACTTGAAGCTATGTTGATCATTCTGAAAAGACCTCAGAGTTGATTATAGAATTGCTTGAGGTAGCGATGAAGGCACGAAAGTGGAAAGGAAATACCTCGACAGATGTTTGTGAGTCTGTATGAGACTAATATAGTCGACAATGAAAAACATGGAAAATTGCTACTACATGATCTTTGATATGTATGATATGCTCAGTTGCCACCAATGCGAAGGAATGCATCTGACTAAAGAAAGAAGATTGGTCAAACAACATACACGTCGAATTTGAACAGGTCAATACCAGCACGAGTTGGTATACTTACACCCGATCCAATACCAGCATGTCCCGAGCTACTCATGTCAATACGACCAGTGTCAAACGTGTTGTCGTCGATCCCACCCCCCATAAAACGATTCGACTCCCCAGCCTCAAATCCAACACCAATTGACCCTGAAGTACCAACAGGTCCTGTAGGACTACCATCACGTGACAATCCAGGACCGTTACGTGCAGCAGTTTCACCTCGACAGAGCGAAGAAGTATCTGTTGTATCAGTCACCTCGACTACACGATATGGTGAGCTTCGAAGATGACCTGCACGATTACGGATGGTATTTTCAATGACAATAAGCGATTTTTCAAGGACCTTGGCCACCGAGTCGGATGCTTTATATGAGATATGGAAACCCCACTTCACGGGAACGAGTGCGACCGTAGCTACAGGAAGGAGCCCAGAACCTAGAAGTCCGACAATTGGAAGTACCATACTGCGGTGCATATTTTCATGAATGAAGCTTGAATCAACTGCTCGTAGCAGTGTCTGTCGTGTCTTTTAAGAAAGGGAGTTTTGTCAGTTGTCAGAGCTCTTGTCACGTTGGACTGAAATGGAGTTTCTTATCTCACCGCTTCTGGAAAAAATCTCAATACATTATTCACCAATTCAATTGCTTCTTCCTCAGAGGCAGACTATATAAATAGTAGTCAGTGTTTGACTGCTTCGCATACACACATGTCATCATATTACTTTCGAGCTATCAAACTTACCAACAATACCAATGACTCGACAACACCAACAAGGCCTGATCCTACGACTGCATTAATCACTGTCTCAAACATCTTGTAAATGGTTCGAGTGACTGCAGCTAGAGCACCAAAAACGACCAGAATCAAAGTAAAAGCTGCATATATCGGTACCAAGATGGCAATGACAAGTACATCAAACACCTTTGTCAGTGCTTCCTTTACTGAGAATTGACGCATTTGACGTGTTTGAGGTTGTTCATCCTCGATTATTGCTCTCTTGATGATGGTGACAGCATGACGACCAGTGCTGGCTAGCTGCGTAGATGATGTATGGATGGCAGAGTCTTGTTTGACGTCTAGACTGTTTGAGAGAGCCTGCCAAGGAGAGTGAGGGATGTCTTTAGCTTGATTTACAGTGACGAATGCTGCTAGGAGCGTGATGAGTACTATGATGGCTCGCATTGTGCTCATCCTTGTTTATAGTATTGTAAAGAACGAAAGGGTTGAAGGCGTCCGAAGTTTGACGTTTTGATGGTTGACCCGAGACAGATGAAACGTTTGCCATGAAAGGTTCTGCCACGGTGAAAGCGACTGGTTGAACTTGGCAATCGAAACATGAGGGCCATTCCGTCTACTATCTACTACAAACCACGCTTCAACATGTCTCGAAAATGTTGTGCTGGTCAAATCATAAATGCCATTTTTAGCGACTTTGCAATATGCGATCACCACCTTGGAGCAAGCTAGGAACGCGTAGAATAATAATTAGAGCCGCTATGGTTAGTCAATACCCCGTCGAAAATATCAGCCTTCATTTTCTGTTTCTGCATCGATTTCAAAAACCAAGAAGCGTATAAGTGAATAAACCACAAACGAATCTACAAATGACAAGCAGTGCTTTAGTGGGAGTCAAACGGCCAAAGTCATCAAGGAAGAATGTGAAAGCGATTCGAATTCTGTCAAATAGCTACTAATTTTGGTGATTTATATTCGTTTTGCTTCACGGCTTGTCGCGAATGTTTAAACTGGGACACCAACGAATCTTAAATGTAAATTGAGGACAAAAAACCTATCCCAACACGCGGACTACGCGCACATAATTCATTTATTCAATTCATTCATATCCAAAAAACAGACTAAACACACACTGTTTCACTTCTCACCACTCTTCACACCCTCTTGTGTACCTTGAATTCACAACCACCTCTAAGCGATAACGTGACGTGGTTTCCATATCTGCCTTTTCTCAAGGCTGGATTCTCATTCCATTCACCCTAAAGAACAAAAAAAAACGATTAATGAAGAATACGAAGAGTACCAATTGGAGGACCACGTATACCCAGTGCTTTGGATCGTCTTCATTCGTAAGTTCTAAATGATAAGATCTCAAGATACTTGAGAGGAAGCAGACAGCTTCTTGGATTGCTAGCGACATTCGTGGATATCACAAAAGGGAAGGGTTAGATTTGTGAGGTTAATGGAGGATGGAGTTCAATACTTATCTAGACCTAGACACAGAGAGTTAGATTGTTGCGTCTTTTAAATATGCGAAGAGCTCAAAGACGTACATATTCGAGGTCCCAAGTTGAAGGAAGGATGTTTGGCAGGCGATGGTTTGTAAATGGATCCATCTGGTAGAATCCACCTCTCGGGCTAAAAAGAATCGACGAGAACTTATTACAGCCAACGCTTTACAAAGGCCTAGGTTGGAACACCTACTTTAAACTCTAAACAATCATCGCCCCATATCTCTGGCAAGCGAGCACGAACCCAAGAACTCCAAGCGACCACCTCTCCTCTGCGGACCTTGGTATTCGTACCAGGAAGCACATCATCTTGAGTGGCGAATTTGCCAGATTCAGGCACGTTTGGGTATAACCTATTCAGACAGTCGTAAGACAAAAAAAAAAAAAAGATGAGACGACTCTTTCACACTGGCACGAATCCAACAAAAGATGCCTTGTAGTCTCCATGAAGACGGCCGTAACATATTTCATATCACGACATGCTTCGTGGGTAGCTCGCCCATTAGGTCCCAAGACACGTTTTATTTCTTCAATCATTTTGGCTTCAATGTCGGGCCTCTGAGCAATTTCACGTAATGCCCATGTAGTAGTTTGAGCTGTGGTATCGCGACCTGCGATAACAAAGTTCAAGCAAATATCTCGCAGTTGTCTGTTTGATAGTTCTGAGCCGTCTTCGTTGCCATGTGTCATAAACAGATCCAGTAAATCTGTGTTGTTGATATTGAAGGGTTGACCATTGTTTTGCTGATTACAGTAACGAGACCTGATGCTCTTACCATTTCCCTTGTTCGTAGCCTCCGCAACTTGCTTCTTCTTGCCCTTGATGATATTTTCTGCAAAGGTGTCGATGACCTTGGTATACAGCTTCACCTTGTAACCAGCTTCAGAGCCAAAGAACTCTGTGTATTGATACCAAGGCAGACGTCGTGTCAAAACCTCGTTCAGGCCGTCGAAGGCTAACAAAAACAGTCAGTAAAGAATGTATTTCGCAACAATTGCCTCACACCACACCACATACCAGTCATGAATTCGCTTGGCTCGAATGTATAAACACCATTCTTTCCCGACGCCTTCATTTTGAGAGCACCGACGTTTTGACCCATAGCCAAAAGACAGAATGCGTCTATGCAGAACCATCAGTTCAAGTCGCGAAAAAAACTGCCAAGACAGTGCTGGATACCTAAAGTAGATCTAAGCAACAAGTCCTGAATCTCGATCACCAAACCAGCACCCTCGGCATTATGCAAATGGTCCAAGATATGATCCACCTCATCCAAAAAGATATTTGCGAAATTATCTTTAAAGTTCTTGGCCGTGAAGAGGTTTGCTGCGATCTTTCGTTGAACCTACAGATACAAGTTCAGCGTGAGCGTGAGGCTCCCGACCAACAACCACACAACATTACCTTCCATGCGTTTCCATCAACATTGAAAATCCCTTCTCCCAACAAGGGATGAAACTGATCAGCATCAGCAGGCTTCAAAGCTTTCGTATACTTGTACGGATCAGCGTAAACATGTTGAAGATCCTCGACATTGGTGGACACAATCACTGACAGAGCTGGGACTGTGATTTGATACACGGGTCCATATTTCTTTGCATCTTCCAAAGCCTGCTCCATTCGGTAGTTGACTTGTTTGAGACCGTTCAGAGCATGCCTATGTTTGAAGCAGGAGGGTCGGATATTAGATTTGATCGTTCGAATGAAAGCAACAGAAATCAGATGTATCGCAGATATATTACCCAAAGATTGGATCGTAGTTTGGGAGGTATTTCAGATCTTCACGGCGTGTTGTAAAAATGCCACGGTCATTATAGTATAAACGTAGCCCGAGATATACTGCGACAGCGGATCCAGTTATTCCAAGCAGTACTTTTCCAGCTGTTACAGCCAGATTCTGGTTGTTCTGTTTGCTCATTTTCTAATGCTGAAACCATAGAAACAAGTTTGGACGAAATGTCAGTTTGCTGCATTCAAATCGATTAAAACAGGAAAGGAAATCATGCGATCGCGTACTTGGCGGCTAGAATCAGACAATGCGGCCCTGTCAAGATGTAGATCTAACGGTTGCTACTGATTAGTACGACGACCGTTTTGTGGTACTGTGAAAAAACGTGAATGGCCAAAAAGAAACTCCACTACTAGATGCGTTTGACCAATGAGCGAATTGTGGCCTGGATTCAGGCAGATCTTGATGGTTTTGAGCAAGCAAAATGCAAAGTCTGAAGTTCGCGTTTGACACGTTCTTGCACCGTTGGCATGGTGCACCATCAAGCTAGCGAAAAAAAAGCCAGTACACGAATAAGAATTATATTCAAATATATTTACTAAACGTCTCCTTCATAATATTTAGAGAGTTCTGAACTCCATCTTCAGTTCTCATCTTCTTGCTCATCTGCGCAACCTTCTCCCTCATCTGATCTCCTTCTTTCGACAGTGCGATATTGATCCGACTCACTAGCGCAGCACTCGTAATTGATTTAGCAGCTAGTGGAGCAGGACCTAGTCCCAGTTTGTAGATTAGGTCGCCCCAGAATCTAAAGAGTTCAGTTGCGTTATTGTGTAAGTGTTTGATAATAGATAAGCCTCGGATTTTTTTGTATATACTTACGGCTGATCTGAAGACGGCGCACACGGACAAACCAGTATAACAGGGCCCTTCGGATCAGAATCATCGGTAGTAGCATAAGCTATAGAGGCCTGAGTTGATCCAGCACCTCCATGATGTATGATTACAGCACATTCAGGAAAGATTTCGTTATGAGGCAAGAATTCATCAGACTGCATAATCTTGTCTGAATACTGTGATGGCACTGTCGGTAATGTAGCACCATGCGGAAGACCGTTCGTGTTTAGAATAGCAGATATGCTACGAGTCTTGGCCACATCAACAAGAGCTTCCATTATATTTTGAAGCATCTTGGTCGCTTCTGACGGTGTAAAGACAGCGTCCAGCATAGATCCAAATCCGATGTAGATCACTGGCGACGATTCTCTTTTGCATCGTTTCAAGAAGCCTGTCAGTATCGGTGATAGTTTGGCTGCTTTGATTTGCTTTTGTGGGATGGCTCTTGTTCTGAAATCAAGTGGTCTATAAAGGAGTTGACTTCAAGAATTTGATGCTGAGTTGTAAGTTTTTTTGCTCTCCCGTACCCTACAACATGACACCATTCTGGCCAATCTGCAGGTTTCGGTAGCAGAAACGACGAGTATATGTAAAGTATTGGAATCTTTCTCGCTTCCTGTTCAGCAACGGGCGTAGCGTATTTGCTAAATCTGTCAATGGGTTTACCGTCCTCTTGAGCAATCTCCGTCAGGATAGAAGTCCATCTATGATTACCAAAGTAAGCGGATTGAAACAAAGACGATCTGCGAAGTAGACAGGCTACAACCACTTACAATGGCCAGATCATCCTGGAAGCAGAAAGAAATGTGAGTAGATCAATTTCATGAGACAAATGGACCTCTTACATATCACCCAGCTTCCATATAGAGCTATGGAGATAACTCATCGGCCATCCAAACTTGACACCTGCTCCAGTGGTCGGTGGGAGGAACTCCGATGTTGGGTTTGCTGGAACGGTATGAATCACCATTGTATCCAGATCATCAAATAGGTGGAGGCAAGTAAATGATGGGAATGTAGCAAGTATTACTATGTCCGGTTTGAATTTGTCCTTGGCTTGCTGCATTCCCGTTTGCCACAATTTGCACAGTGGTTTAAAGAATGCTCTTGCGACGGTCATTATGTTGAAGAGTCTATCAAAAGAATACAACGCTAATGAGTTTAGTTTCTCAATGAAGAATACATTTTGATCCGTTTTGTGCACATTCTAATGATAACCTGAACACTTACCCAACATTCCTCATAGCATTCCCCTCCGGAGTCTCGTGCAACGCTTTAGGAATAGAACCACCGACCGGTGAGAACTCAAATCCATGAGTGTTTACAATCAGATCTTGAAACTCTTCTGGACCTGCAATACAGACTCTCATGCCGAATTGTGCCTTCATTCCAGCACCAAGGGCCAAGAATGGTAGAATATCACCCATGGATCCAAGTAGACACATTAAAGCGGTGACCATTTTGATGGATTTTCACCAGTAGGCAGTTTGATCTAGTGTGATCTGCGTCACGTTTACAAACGTTACAAATGTTGATGAGTGTAGGTGATGCAAAAGGTGTTTTAGGCGTGCGAGAGGTTAGGATCTAATTGAAACGATGTAAATTAAGTGATTATGGTTTGCTTAAATACGATCACCTATTCATGTTCAAAAAACCTCGATTCATCAAAAATCCAATTTCCTCGCTGCGTTTAACAGCTTCTTTGCAGCTTAATCCCGAGTCGAAATATCGATTGCCAGGCACGCATTCATACTACTTACGGCTTCAGAATCACTAGAGTTGGGGATGGCTCCTACAGCAATCGATTCAGAGACAACATCGTCAAAAGCGTTGATTGCCATTGGACTGGGCAAGTTTTATGAATATGGTATTTACGTGCATCTAGATCACTTACTTCTCTTCCTTCTTTAGAGGGATCTGCCAACAAGCTTGGAGTCGGCATCATCAAAAGACAGAATGGCGAGACAACAGTATTGTCAAATGTCAGAAGAACGTATATAACACCACCAGGACAAGGATTCCTACCGAAAGATACTGCAAAACATCATCGTGAACATGCTATCGAGGTTGTTAAAGAGGCGTTGAAAGTAGCTGGAGTCAGTGGAAAAGATGTGGATTGTATTTGCTTTACTAAGGGTGAGCGAAAAATGCTCTACAAGTATCATTCAATTGCCTGTGCTGATGATCTTCTGTTCTTCAGGTCCTGGAATGGCACCACCACTTGTATCTGTCGCACTCGTAGCCCGAACATTGTCCCTCCTATGGAACAAACCCCTCGTCGCAGTAAACCACTGTATAGGCCACATCGAAATGGGCCGTATGATTACCGGCGCCAAGAACCCAGTCGTGCTCTACGTATCAGGGGGCAACACGCAAGTTATCGCATACTCTGAAAACCGATACAGGATATTTGGCGAAACCATAGACATTGCAGTTGGCAACTGTCTCGATCGATTCGCTCGAGTCATAAACATATCAAATGATCCTGCTCCCGGATACAATATCGAGCAGCTCGCTAAACAGGGTGAAAAGTATATCGAGTTACCGTATTCTGTGAAAGGGATGGACGTGTCGTTTTCTGGAATACTGGCTCATTTAGAAGGCTTTGCGAATACCATGTTGGCTAAGGAGGAGTGTACAAAAGCAGATTTGTGCTTTTCGTTACAAGAGACTGTGTTTTCAATGTTGGTGGAAACTACGGAACGGGCTATGGCTCATATTGGATCTACCGAGGTTTTGATTGTTGGTGGTGTTGGATGTAAGTGTTGACCACGAACCAAAAACAACAACTGCTCACAACTCCTCCATAGCAAATGAACGATTGCAAGATATGATGACCAACATGGTTTCCCAACGTGGTGGACTTGTCTACGCCACTGATGAACGGTATGAAATTCTGCATTCTCTTTACTCACTGGTTGATCTCACTCTTCACCTTCTAGGTTTTGCATTGACAATGGGTTGATGATTGCTGTTGCTGGATCATTGGCTTTCATGACTGGATACACAACGCCCATGGAAGACACGTGGTGTACACAAAGGTATAGAGTGCCCTGTCAAGGTTGATGAACCATCTAGCTCATGATGCACGGTTTTCCAAACCTAGGTTTCGCACTGATGACGTGTACGTCGCGTGGAGGAGGGATTGAAGTATTGAAGTAGTTAGTAGTAATTCAATTTTTAAATATACAGATCTTTGCATTTCAAGTAAGCTTGTTCATCATCCGAGTTTCTCATAACGCTTACGGCACAAAGCGCACAGAGGTCCGGTCCAAGATGGACGCCACATCACTCGCTGCATCGCTAGAGCCACTAGCGGCCAGAGATAGAGATAAGATAACTCACTGGCTCTCTCGAATCCAATCCACTCTGCAAAACCAACATCGCCCACCAACATTGAACAACACATCAGCAGCGTCATCCGAATCCTTCGAATCTAATGATAGGACAGGCCGTCATAGATCATCATCCAAAACGTTTAGGAGGAGAACTGCCATGACATTCTGTTTTCTCTTTCTGGCATTGGTATACATTACCGTCATTGTTCATCGAGCTGAAGTGAGTTTATGCAGTAATCGTATCGTTGAAAGTGAGATTTCAAAGGCATTTCAGATGTATTGACCAGTTTACTTTAGCAGGATATGGGGACACTGGCTCCTATTATAGCAGCAAATGATATTGTGGTCATACCATCGTCAGCTACAGACTCGGGTCCAGTGCCAATACCTGCACCTGTATCAACGATACCAGAGTCATCAGGCATAGCAGATGATAAGAATACAACCACGCCGATTAAGAAACCACCACAGCCGTATCTGCCGGATCCAGAAGACAAACACTCGCTCGTAATCGTCTTGGAGGCCAGTGTGACTATTCAAGCCGCATGGAGTGTAATACGAACACGATCTCGAATAGAGGACCGTATACGATGGTTTCATGGCGGAGTGCTGGAAAAAGCAGCTATAAATCACCCAGACAATAGCGCCGTGGTATCATTCCTGGTGCAACAGGCTTCCACGTGTCATGCAGTCGATATAGTGAAATCTCTGGGCCTTGAAGTGTTAGCTGAGAACTGTATAGACTTTGATTTGGCACTAGAGATATCCAGGACAAAGGAACGGCTAAAGGCTTTGAATGAGAGTATACATGCCTTTGAAGTTGAGGCTGCTAAGGCTTCGGATCCGTTATTCTTGAATCGTAGACTAGCTTCTAAGCGGGAGGAACGAGCACAGGTTATGATACGGTTGCAAGCTTTACAAACTGGTGCCGTTTATGGACGCGTTACGACTAGTATAAAACAAGGAGGTGATACGTCGTTAACCAATATCATATACTCGACGTCGCTGGTGGTGATGGATGTCGTGTTTTTTATACTGTCACCGTTGATACTACCATTTATCGTGGCACCGCCATTAGTGGGATTTGCGCTTTGGACTGAACGTAGAAAGCGCAGGGCTGGACGATGGCTGTTTTGTTGTGGTGTCGGAGCTAAGAATGTCGATCCAAGTAGTGAATGGACTGTAGTGAGAGGACACGTAGTACCGTCTGCGATGGTTGAATTTCGGGAGACGGACTGAAGCATTATAGTTTATTTATTGAGTTTTAGGCTGGGCCAAGGGAGATCAGGTTGTTGGTTGAGTGTATAGGTATATTAGCGTGTCAATTATCATAATTATAGCATGTCCTCATAATTGTAATGAACCAACAAGTGATTCATAATAGTCACGTCGCCAAAAACGTGATAATATGTCAAAGGCGAACGTGTTTTGAGCTTGATATCGGTTATCAGTTACATGCACTTGAGCGACGAAGATCTACTATATACGCTTCTACAGTATACCGGTGCAGTGATCTGGCAAACTCGTCATCACGTTCCAACTTGTCACAAACCGCAGCGCCAAAGTAATCTGTATGATTGTGTTAGGATATTGGGCTTTTGCAAGCAGATACTTGGTGTAGAACGTTACATACTTCGTTATCAGGCAGGAATGAGCTACTCTTACTATTCCAATCCCTCACCACCAAATTCTGGGTTTGCTGCAGATATAAATAGCACTTACAAAGGATATCAGCAATACGGAAACAATCATACCAGCGTAGATACTCCCTACGCCTCTGGCAGTCAGCCTCTAAAGTACCAGAACAGTAACAGAACAGCCCAAAGGACATCAACATCAAACTCATCGACTTGGAGCGCACTCGATCATTCTCAGCAATTGCAAGTTACAGTCCCGAGCTGGCCACCAATCCACGTACTGGCTTCTGTGCCTGTCGTAGTCATGAACAATGTACCTAGAGGAATCAAGAGGAGGTGGGAACGAGATGATTCGCCAATGGCTGATGTATCGGCTACTAGCAGTAATAGCAGCAGTAATGGAGGCATGATTGGAGATGCTGAGAGTGGCCATTCATCAGGGTAATTAGTTACCTCACTCTTGTTGTCTGTGTATGTTTGGGGTGGTGATTGACCAGAATCTTAAACCAAACTTTCCCATCTTAATTAGGTGGGAAGCAGATGAAGAGATGTCTGATACCACGCAAATGGACTCTATGATGGTGGATCGCGATGCCAATGACGCCTCAATGCAAACTCATCCATCACCATACCCACTTACAACATCAGTAACACACTATCAGTCCGTAACACGACCACAAGATCCATTTGATACCATGCTCGAAACTGTGGAATACTCTGTGAAAAGAATTCGTGTTACGAGTCCACATATAGGAGATCGTGGTCAGCAAAGTGCACCACGGACCTGGAGTGCGGAAACTGCATTTAGACAACAGCAACAACATCAACGTACTACTAGTGGTGGTAATAGTAGCACACTACAGCTGAATCAACAACAGCAACAATATGGTGTCTACCACCGATCACCTATGTCACAAGGACCATCATCACCAGAAGCCTTCCATCCAGCACTACGACCGATTAAGATATCAACACGATCGTCACATCACCAAAGTCAGTATAATAATAGCAGTTATAGTAGCAGTAATAGTACAAACCCATTAGCATCATCTCGACCACCATTACCTCATGTAAACACATCACCAACATCCCCCAAGAATGACAAACCATCAGGTACAGGAACCCCTCATCCATCATACGCCCCATTACAGTCCCATCATGTATTAGAAGAAGAATACGACGACACGATATCAAACTCACCATACTCGTCCATGAATGCACGATTACGAGACTCGTTCTTGGATGCGGCTTCAAAACGTAGTAAAGTATTAGCATCGTCGTTATCTTCATCTTCTGATGGATGGCTACCACAGCCATTGAGACATGAAGGATCAGCAGCGGGACTAGGGATCGTGTCGCATCATATTGTGGGAACACTCCCACCAGCACCAAGTGATGCTTATGCGTCTGTGAATTCGATTTTGGGGCAGACTGAAATTGTTAGGAGAGCCAAGAGGCCTGAGGGGCATATATCTGTGCCAGAATTGCATGGACAGCCATGGCCGTGAGGATTTGGTGGGTCGAAAAAGAAGGAGGATTGCTAGCATTGTTACATATATTGAAGAATACATTTTTATAGTCACGCAAATGGAAAATCGCAGTTTTGGAAGTCAAATCGTATGGCGAGAAACGTTAATAGATTCTCACCAACAGCCGTGTTTTTCAGACAGTCACTATGGAAGGTACCGAGCCTTGTAACTGTAAATCCTTACGTTGGCAGTAGAGGAAGGAATCAGGAACCAACGTTCGCACTCAAGTCCAGACCTAGATCATAAATCAAAATATGAGTAGCAATCAACTTCAATCGGCGCCACAAATCAAGACAAGTGGCTTAACGACGTGTATACACAGGTACTATGGCCAGTTTTAGCGGGACTGTGGTGGTTTGCTCCGGGAATAACACTTATCAGCTTGCACCTACAACTCTGCGTCACCTCAATTCTTTACAACAGAATTAGGCAGTTTCTAACAAGGAGAGTGATTCAAAAACTAGTATCCTCCCTCAAAATGCTCAAAATGAATTGCTCACAAGAGCAAGATATCTTGGAACTTGCTTTCTTAGTGGGAAACAGAAAGATTTACAAGTTCATGGGATTACATCCAAGGATGACGGTACTTTGAACTTGAAAGCATAATGTACTAGTCATTTTCAACTCATACATACGATTCATAATTTCTTTAGCTCTATCGTGCCACTCATCAGTCCGGCAACATCTTCATCGGCAGAATGAGTTGCTCAACTCGCGAGATGGCATCTCACAGGATGAAACATTCGTAACGGACAGGTGCATCACCTGATGTTTTCCACATGTATTCAACAAACCAATGCTAAACCAGCTCATCAACACTCCAGGTCCGCTCAACACGCGAACTCTTCACCACCAACTTCCACACCATCCAATTCGAAGAAACCGTGTCCGACCACCTCGCAGACGACTTATTCATCACTATTCAGCACTGTTTGGCTTCTCCCTTCGCCAAAGTCCGTGGCTCATTCATCGCCGTCGCAGGATCCAAAATTAACGAAATCCCACACTCGTTGCTGTTTCAGCACTTGGTGCTGCTGTGCAAGATACTGGGTGTAAAGATACTGGTGTGGTCAAATTTTCGGGGGTTTTGGATACGTTTACGTCTAAGCTGTTTAGTGAGAATACAAAGGGGTTTTTGGAGGAGGTGTTTGAGAAGGAGGGTGTTGAAGGAGGAGCTTGCTGAGGCGCTGTATCTGGCTATGAAGTATGGGATTTTGAATATTTGCTGGGCGTGTCATAGGAAGGCATACTCCGCATCACATCTCACAGTCCTCTCGCATCACATCTCACATACATTCTTCGATCAAGGGACATGCTGCGACGCAGTGTAGTACGGTGAGCAAAAAAAGGAGAGGAGGGAGTAGCAGACTTGTTAGAGATCTAATAATTTGATATTCATAGTGTCCGTCATGCTATCAGCGCACTGAGGTAACCACTTGGGGTATATGTGCACCTTGCTGTGGTGTTTTTAGGCCTTGACTTTAAATACCTGTGTGAGCTGAGTGCTGGAAACTTTACCTAAGTGAAGCCGTAAAGAGTGTGTACTCAACGAACATTATTAACTCTAAGCAACAAGACTTTATAACTCAGTGTACTCCTCATGCCCTTACAGTGCAAAATATGTACTGTTACGATGTAATATATGTATGCATACAAGCGACGACATTATACTAATGATATTCCCAACCTACGATCTGGCATGATAGACCCTCCCACTATCATTCGGAAACACTCCCCGCCCCACCACATCAACCATCTGTTCAAGTGACTCAAACCCACGTCCAGCATCCTGCAATATCGCAACAGCAGATTCAATAACCCCACTAAATCGTTCATACTCGCGACTGCGCACCAATTCACTGACACTAGCTATAAGTCTACTTTTCGTATCGTCCGACGAGGGCTGCTGCATCATGATACTGGATGACATGGATGCTGTGTTGGTCATCATTGCAGCACTACCAAGACCTAGCATTCCACGTGTAGCAATAAACACGGCACAGCATCGTGCAAAGAGTCGTAGCTCCACAGACAGTTTGGATTTCGCTCCCATTCCTAGCGTGCCCCATAGTCCATTCGTGGCTCGATCCTCACCCCATCGTGCAAGAGCATCGGCTACGGGGACGAGGGACGCTACAAGTCTAGAATGGTGGGATTGGACATTACTGGATACAGACTCTGATTCCAGAGCCAAGAGATCCGAGAAGAGATATAGTAAGACATAGATCTTCCCCTCTCGTCCTTCACGAATGGCGTCGACACGGAATGACGAGATCCAAGATGCCATTAATTCACCAGTAGCGACTGCATGTTTCAATACAGATACACCATCAGCTGTTTTACTACTTCTTGTAGGAGATGCAAACGACATTGGAGTATGTTGGATTAGTCGTTGTACAGCTTGAGCATGTAGTGTCAATGCTAGACCACCGACGATACAAGTCCGAGTAAATGATTCAGCGTCCAATTCAGGAATGACTAGAGTCGATGCTATTTGGTACCAAGCGACATCTCCTGATTCTGCAAGACTAGATTGGAGATAGCGTTCTATGCATATTTCTACCATATGAGCCATATGCTCGACAGATGCTAGCGTGGCACATGTGATACTGAGTAGCAATAATGGTGATCTGCATGTCTGTCCGATGTGCTGAATACCATTCCACAGCGAGTCAAATACACCTGTTGTTCGATCCGAAGAATTCAGCAGAGCAAATATACGTTGATAGGCTTGTCGTAATACATGTCCTTGTGCCTCACATGCTGGCGTTGATTCCGTAAAGTCGACGAGTTGTGATATGATGGTATTCAGCTGTGAGGGCACAAACGTTTTACGAATGGTACTAGACTTCATGGCTTCAGCTACAAGATCAAGGACATATTCGATATACAGTCCAAGTTTAGAATACCTATTATCGAGATCTGCTGCTCCGATATTCGATTCTACCATTTCGAGACCAGTCATGGTACGTAGCGTCTTTAGAGCAAATAATATCGGATGATGGCGTGTTTCCTCAGTCATTGTAGTGGTATCTACTGCTCCACCAGACCACACACTCGGAAGGCAATTAACCAACTCTTGATACTGTACTGGAGCAAGATTCGACCATGATACCTGGTTATCAATAACCGTCTCCAATGACTTGTAGAGCGTGACTCGATTCGATTGAGCAGGATGTGCTTCGTAACTGGTTTCTAGTATTATGAGGAATAGGCGTACAGCTGCCATGACCGTATCTGGAAACTTGCTTCGGTTTGGACTAGCAATACCATTCATACGAGTTATACTCAGACATGGCCATTCTGCTCTGTCATTGATGATATGAGCCAGAAAGCGTTGAGGTTCTAGCGTGAATAGACCATCGACCTGCCACAACAACACTTGATCTACAATCATATTTGTGATTTGGAATTGAGACCACGAGACTGTCTTCAATTCTCGATACAAGACATCCATGACTGGACAGCCAGCAGAGACACCAATAGCCTGTATAGTCCACAAGAATACCAAAAGACGCTCAGAGGCAGCTGCATTTCTAAATACTTTGGTAGCGAGCGACACCATTGAAGACTGCATCCTCTTGGCGTCTTCAGTATGAGTCGCCGGCCATCCTCCACGAGTAGCATAGTCTGCTTCCTTGACAATATACAGGAAAGGAAGCCAAACTTGACGTATAACATCAGCAATCTCATCTAGATGTATATCCGACATTATGGAATACAGTCGATCAGCAGAGAAGATGGCAATCAAAAACTCTGTCAAGACTTCCAAATATGGTGCCATTGTAGCATACAAGTCACTCGACTTCTTCATTGTAGACTTAGGTGACGACCTGAAGAAGGAATTCTCCATCTCACATCCCATAATACTTGCCAATCCTAGCAAATCAGATCTCGTCAATCGACTAGGGATTGTTGCCACCGTATTGAGCACATCTCTATCTACTGGTTGACGACACATTGCACTAGTCACGGTTGTTATTATCGAAGGAGGCAATTTTCCAGTCATGCACTGCTGCAGCATGAGTTTTGCAGCTTCTATGACGAGCGATACATCAACAGTCAGCAGATTACTGAGAGCGGTACGATGGGCCTGGGATCGTTCAGCAGCTGGCGAATTACACAACATGACAAAGAGTCGACGTAGCATAAACAAGTGATCTTCCCTACTACATTTCGATGCCCATAGCAAGATATCAAAGCGAGCTAGCACAGACGCTGCGACAGAGTCTGGTAGATTTCGATGTGATGCCACTTCTTCAAACATTTCAACAAAGCGAGTACCCTTGATGGTCGATGCTGGATTAAACACATCCAAAAGCTCGTTACATCGGTCGGGATTTACGAGCATACTAAAGACACGTTCCGTTTCTAGCAGACTCGATACAACAAATCGACCACCCAAAGACTTTATGATACGATCCAGTATAAACAGAGCAGGTGGAAATCCTTTAGCTCCTGTCTCTGAAGCCTGCACTGTTCGATAAAACAAATCCACAGCCAGATCGTGATCGTCATAGTCTAGCAGCCATTCGACTATACGTGCCAGTCGTAAAGATGACACGACGACTTTTGGTTCGACACCATCAATAGACATTAGAGCTTCGACCCGACTACGATTATCTCGGACTAGTGCTCGGGCCTCACTAGATACTCGTACATCACTATATCGGTACTCGAAAATGGCTGGACTGAGACATTTCGAGGTACATGACTTTTCAGCGCGACCTCGCTTGGTCTCTGGAATATATAGACGTTGCAAATGCGAGGCGTATTCGATATCTCCATCAGCAGCACTAGTCACCAGAGTACGGAATGCTGAAGCTTTATCAAGTATTACAGCAACATCCGAGTCAAACTGTGTTTGAACAGTATTCGCGTTTAGTGATGATAATGGCTGTACTACTGGTGGCCTTAGCGTCAACAATGGTGGCGGATGTGGTGCAGAGTGCCATTCCACAGGATTTACAACTCTTTTACTCGACAGTATTGGCGTTGAAGGTGGTGATGCCGATGGTACGGTTAAAGTCACTATGAGAGACTTCAATCGAGTCTGTAAGGCATCCACCTGTATATAATCCGTCCATAGTTCACTGCCTTCTTCTAATACAGCACCGCCAACGACATCAGAAAGTCTCCCTACAAGATGCCGTTCACCAAACTGAGCCAAATCTATATGCGTAGTGCTAACGAGTACCTGTTCTCGAAGCCATAGAGCCATAGCATTATATAGCGTGACGAGACGTTCTGGAAGTGATCGACCTGGGCCATCTTCAGCACGCCTGACATTCCCCTTTTCATTCCAATACGCACTACAAGCACTCAGCCTCTTTTCCAGCACCTCAACCATATTGGGTTGATCAGCAAAGAATCGAGGACCCAAAGCGGGAGTATTCAAGTGTCCATCGAATGCTTTCTCAAAATACAGCGACATAAAGACCTGCCACATTATAGGAGTAGCTGGATGTTCTATCGGTGTTTCAAGCACCTGCCGAGCCCATTTATAAATCGACAAGGCAGACAATGGTTTCTCATTGCCCGTATCTCGGCACTGTAGTAATGCAACACCAATCTTTCGACGAACAGCAAATTCACACCGAGTTTCTACCAAGAGACCCATAACTGCAAACCAAATATGTTTGCGCTCAGAGCTGGTTCGTCCTAGAATACCATCGACCATGGATCCAGAGCCAGAACCAACCACCAGAGATGGATATCCGTGATATGCGGCTTCGGCAGCTTCTGCTAGAGCCTTGGCTGATTCCACGGGGTGCCATGCAGAGACTCGAGAAGTAGCACCGGCCATAGTCGAGTAACTGCTACACAAACGTCCGTATTCCTCTGCAAAGACACCTCGTACATATTGGTCGTGGCTGAATGCAAATGCGGATTCACAGAGAATGTCTAGCAGACGTAGAGATGACCTATTATACACCCAATCCCTATCGGCAAAGATAGCCCTCATCCAAAATCGAGTAAGCGATAATCGATCAGTAGCACCACCAGATGCTATTTGCCAGTATGGAAGAGACTTGTTTGGGCCAATCGTTCTTATAAAGTGCTCTAATAATTGGCGAGCATCTGCATCACCGACTTCACCCTTCATTTTGTAACTAAGAACAAAAAACGGTCGTAAAAGGAAAGTCTTGTGATGTTTGAACCAAACGATGACCTGCTTACTTTTTGAAAAAGTTGCCGAAGAATTTAGACGACTCGGCATCTTCCAAAACAGTTTCACCGCGACTTGCCATAAACGTCACAAACAAGTCACTTGCAACTTTAAGCACAGGCTCTGTTCTACCACTAGAAGCCAAAGTGTTCAACAGATTCCAACCATTGTTGGAAAACACTTCCCATCGGTGCCCGACTTCTGACACGGCAAGCACTATATAAGCAGCAAGCGCTGATGATTTCATGGCACCACGATGCGTAGCCAGATATGGTGAATCGAGTGGTTCAAAAGGTCTAAACCCAGCTCGAATGGATGCATTAGCGGTATTTATAGACATGTCGAGAGCATATACGTCTGGCGATGAAGACGATGGTCGTTGGTAGAGCTGTAAGCCTACCAACAGCTTCCACGTCCATTCAGCAAAGTCTGCGTCATGATCTGCGGCATATGATGCTATAGATGAAGGTACTGGCGCTACACTAGCAACACCTCGGAGTGTTGCACTGGCAGCTGTAGATGCGGCAGCTACTACTGATGGGCGAGCATCACGTACAGATTGTCGGTCGAGATAAATATTTGATATAGCTAGTGCGATGAATCTGTGTAATGTACGTGGTATTGCTAGCTCTCCAGCAGGATCTGAAGGGTCTTCTGTACCCCAATTCAGAGCACCTAGTACATGTTTGGCAAAAAAGAACTTTTTGCTTCCTACTGGGTCTTTGAGCATATTTTCTACGCAAAAAAAAACCATTCATCAATGCACTGAATTAGAAGGGCCAACAGCATTTTACAACAAACTTACGAAGGATGTCCAGATCTTCCACATTTGGCCTCCACGACTTTAGAGGCAAAGTTTTGAAGAGATTCAATGCCATGACACCCAGATCTCCAAAATTATCTCTTACAAGTATAAGTAATGGCGACATTAACTCCGGACTAGATGTGCACATTGTACCAAGCAAATCCCGCCCAGTCCGACTCAGCACATCCCTATGCTCAAGATCCAGATAACATGTGTTGAAGATGGCTGTCTCGACTTTTATCGATAACTGAGCCGTCTGAGGAGTAGGTGCAGACGCTACTCGACGTCTAGCCAATCCATCACCATTAGCACAGGCCAACATACACAAGAATGTCAGCAGATGCACTGATTCATTCGGATTTTCAATAAGCGACGACGATAATATGCGTTCAGATTGATTTTCTCCTATTAGAGCCAACAATTGGTGTTGGACTTCAGTAGGTCGTGATGAGGCTGCAGTCGTTCTATATCGTGCCCAGCCTTCTTTAAGCAGCCCGTCTATTATTACGGCTCGTGCTGATGTTGAGCAGTAGTCTACTGGTAGAGACGACAGGAATTGGTAGACTCCTACACCTCCCACACCTAGTAATTTCTTGGCTGTACGAACTACAAACGAGTCCATTTCAGCTTGGATGCTCGTCATATATCCAGAAACTACCATTATATCATCCAAAGACCTTGAATTACTATACATTTCGTCATAAGCCATTTGATCTAGTAGAGCTACCAGTGCCTCGCCCGTTTGACGAGCAGCTCCAACAAGTGTTTGGCCGATTCGTTTTATTACATGAGGATACTGAATGGGTGGGAAGGTTGTAAATGCTCGCATGGCCATACCGAGAAACTGGTGAATTGTGGCAAACATTTGTAGGATGGGAGGTATGTTATAATTATTGGTTGATGGTGCTGGATTTTGAGACGTCTGTGATACTTCACGAGACTCTTTATACAAGCTGACATAATGCTGTAGCATGAGCTGATATATCGCAGATATGTTGAATTGATCCAGAATTACAAGATAGTCTTCTTCAGTCAGTGCTATAGGTCCCATTACTCTACTCGGAAAGTCTGGATGAGCTTCTGATTCATCAACGACGACCCAATCACTATCTTCAAGCTTTCGCAAGCTTTCACGAATTTGCAAATCATCGTTTTCACGAGATTTGAGTTCTTCCTCCAACTCTTCGACTGGACCTAACAATACACTTAATGCTACGAGATAATGGTTTTGGTAGCTATCGGTATACGGTATAGGTAATGGCCACTGTATAAACGATGCACCCCACGATCCAATGCCTTCACATCGCATGACATGGAGTAAGATGAATCGATGTTCTAGTGGTCCGGCGACAGTCAACAGGGCTGATACTAGATGGGCAATCCAGCCTCGAATATCCCGTACTAGTATCGAATGACTCATATCCTGATGCGGTTCTTTATTCGAATCGGATGGTTCAGGTGAGTCTGGACGAGCAGGAACCACACCATTATTCCTTCGCTCAAAGTAGAATAATACATCCAAATAGTGTTTGAGTCGACTAAAGTCACCAGCAGGATCTGCATGTGCACCTTCCGTGAATATTCGTATCAGATTTACATTAGAATGTAGTGTATCGGAAGACACGAGGGATGATTCAGACAAGAACTCATCTAAAGTGTTTTGAATCCATAGTTTTGCTACTTTGGCCTGAAATGCCCAATCTGTCAGACGTCCATATTGCTCCTCTCGAGCTTCGGTGAGAGCATCAGCCAATTCAAGAGCTACGGATTCATTATATACAGCGACTTCTGAGGCATATGTATGAGATACTCTTATACCATCACTGCATGTGCCTTCCAAAGTATGAGTATCTTTCTTTAACGTCCACATTCGTGCAGCAGCACTCTTTGTCTTTGCTTTGAGTGCTTGAAGATTTAGTTTGGTTCGTTGAGTCTGTACAAAAGCTTGCTCGTATTCTCTGACACGCGAGGCGAATTCACTCGTCAAGTTGCTGCTTTGCCCTCGAAATTCGTCCACGACCTGATTGAATGATAAATTGTGAGTGCTTTCCTCTCAGCAGCACCGACAAAAACACGGTCACTCAACCTGAGAATGAAGATCAAGCTGCGGATTGATGTAAATGGTTTCAAGCAGCTTTTCTGGAAGTGACCTTATCTGAGACTTTACATTGGGTGAAGCTACAGCAACTCGAGGAGCTTCAGTAAACAGCGGTGGTGCAGTTGGTGTTGCGATGATTGATTCAGCAACAGTAGGAGCTGTTGGATATAATGCATCTGATACAGTCACGTCACGGCGCAAGTCTGTCCAAGTAACAACATTACTTGACTAGAAAATGTTCAAAAATTGTCAATAATTGCGTCCAAGCGCCGTTCCCTTAATTCGACACATACAGTAGCTTGTACGAGCACACTATCCTCTAGATCTTCCTCCAGATCAGGGTAAGCTTGCTTCGGCTCGACTTGTTCAGGACGTAGTGCCTCCAAGTCATGCACCACCTGATTAAAATGGGTTGCTGATACGTGTGAATAGCAATATGAGATGATCAAAGAGGATAGTTTTGTCACCTGAATAGTATCATCTTTATATTCAATCTGAATGGTAAAAAGTTGTTACTTTCTCGAATGATGGCCGCCTTGCTTTGCGAGGTTCCAAACTTACGTCTGCAGTTACAGTCTCTTCCTCAACGGGGTCAACGACGTCTTGAACGGTGCTCTTTATCTTGGTCTTGCGCTTCGCCGAAGGCTTCTTCCTCCGGACAAGTTCTTGCTCCATCGTGACGAAACTTGATGATTGTTATTGTTGGAACTGAGGGGTGCTGAACTGAAGCAACACTTGCGTTCACGTTCGATGAAAGACATGGAGTACTATACGTTTCGCGCGATTTAAGATGATGGCAATGACTGAAAAAGCATTTATATTTCTCTACTAGTTCTACGATGAGGTTGAATGTTCAAAAAAATTAGTACTACAATAGATGCAGTTTAGACTTTGCTGATGAAGTCGCAGACTGATACAGTGGTGGCTGGCAAGTCCAAGTATTCGGCCATCTTTGGACCGGCAGCTATAGATGTGTAAACAATCAGCTTACGTGTCTTCTGCAATTCGTAACGGGCGAATGAGAACATGAGTGGAGCATTACCCTTCATGTGTGGAGTCTGCATATGTGCGGCAACTTGAGCCTGGGAAGCCCAGCTATTGAAAGAAAATATGATCAGAAGCCGAGGAGAAGGCAATTCAGTTCGAATAACACCAAAGATCAGTTCCGTAACGAAACGTAATAGATTTCCATCGCGTAAATGGCGAAGATCATCCAAAAATCAAGTTGCTTAACGGAACGAAATAGATCCACCGACTGCATCGATATATATCTTGTAGCTTGCACGATCAGATGGTGACTTACGTTTCAACCAACCAGTAAGTGACATCGTCTCCTTGGAGCTTGTGAAGAGAGTATTCTTCACAACCTGTTAGCAAAGGGCGGTGGATTTGGTCAGCAAAATATGGGGTGAATGTTTGTGACGAACTACATCATAGCTCGCTCGGAGCGAACGCTCGACGATCTTATTGGCTCAAATCACTCAATACAAAGGAGCATAAACGCTTCAACATACCATCTTCAAGTAAGACACTCTTGGTTCTCAATTCCTCAAAGAATTCAGCGAACTTGGGGCCATCTTCTTTGGATTTGGCAACGAACTTGACTACGATTCTGAGCTTTCCGGACATATTGATTGTTTATGAGCTTTGGAAGTTGGTTATATGCTTTTGGTTAGTCTTGTTTCGTTTTTGCGAATGGTCGAATTGAAAAAGGATGAATCGTTGTTCCATGTCTGTGCTGCTGACTGATTCAAGGTCCGCTTGTTTTGCCTTTGAAAATTGAGAGTTTAGTCAGTTCCAAGGCAGAGGGCCTTCCTAGATCACCATCGTTCGTTTATGATCTGATTCGCTGTTGTTTGATCCATCCTTGATTGACTTGAAAATCTCTACTTCACGTACAATCCCGCTCATAAGGGCAGCCCGACCTGATCTCTGTGCCTTTCCTGCTGCAGGGGTGCTGTGAAGCCTATTTTCAACTTGAGATTGAGAATATCTTGGCCAACAGGTATTAACGCCAAACAAGAACTAACGTGTGGATCGAAAGGAACTTCTTTGAAGGCGTTCTTGTTATGAGAGACAGGCTTACAGCTATTATCGAGGAACAATCGCTTTCAAAGGATCTAAATCTGCAGGAAACGTGAGCGACCGCGCAGTTCAATCACCTTCTTTCCACAATACAAGCTAAAAACCACCATCATGCTTTCCACCATTGAATTCAAAGCAAGTTCTTTCCAGTTAATCGTGCATGCTCTCATTGACTTCTCATATAGGAAATTGGCCTCTTTTCGGTAGTCAATATTATCAGTATTCAACTAGTGGGGGTACTTGTTGATTTGATACACCCATGTAAAGGACCACCAGGTTTCCAAATAATGGAAGATGCACCAGCGTCGGTTCCAAAATTAGGATATGAGCCTCCTTCGGATCGTCAGTACCACGAAAGTTCATCTAGTTAGTTTTTTTTTGTCTTGTCAGTTTGTTCATTCAAGTTCGAAATCAAAAGGAGACGTTCGTGATTGATCTTGATGTTTGGAATTGTATGGCGGATGGCGAGAGTACCGGTTCAAAGTACATCGTTCGGCGATCGTTCTTGAGCTGCTTAGCGACAATCGAGCGATCGTTGCGTCAACTTGCAAGACTCGGAGTCAGGGAGAGCAGCGCATCCGACGCAAACTTTTGATGAGCAGCCTGGCATGACGCAGCATTTATCCAAGTAGCCAGTCAAGCAATTGCTTAATCCATCAGATAAGAATGGCATCGGTTTCTTTCAAATTCAAACTCAGCAGATTGGGTGGGTCCTTCCATAAAACGGCATGCCGCCTGGCTTTCCAACAAAACTTAAAAGCAAACCATTATGTTAATGGCCAGCACCATGGAACGAAAGCCATCGCTAAAGATACTACGGGACATGTTCATGTCTGGTATCTTCGATGACTCTAGATCCCGTAAACCGTCTTCATCGCTCCAGGATCTTGCTGCAGAGACGCCACCAAGGCCGATATCTAAAGTCAGTGTTTGGAGCTTGATTTATGCAGTTTACTAGCGATTGGAACGACATTGGATCGTATACTCACTATATAATACACTCATATTTAATATAGAATGACGACTATCGTCCTCCAATCCCACCAAAACCTTACAAAGGTTCCTCAGCATCTCTACCTCGACTGTTTGGCTCTCGGCTCAACCATGACCATACTATAAACAACGATAAATCAACTCAGCTAGTATCATCCTCACTACCACGAGCTGCATCTGAATCCAGTCTGCAATCGCAAATCATGAATGCAATTGCAACAAACAATGTACATGACGTAGCGACTCTGTTACAAAACCCGTATGTGAACTATACGGTTTCAAAGTATCCGCCGCCGGGAACTGTAGGCTGTGGACGTCGACATACGTTATTGTCGTTTGCGGCTATGAGGGCATCGAGTACTGATATTGTAAAGTTGATTTTGGATGCTGCGCCGTTACATCCTGATCGTCAATCAAACAAGGATGGATTGTATGTTCCATGTGTTATGATATTCCTGCCGTATGATATCTAACACTCTCCTGTAGATCCCCACTATATCTGGCTTGCTGCTGGGGCCACCTAGACGCCTTGATACTCCTAAAACAGGCTGGCTCTGAAATAGACACATGTGTCTCATCATCCACAGGCAATGGCAATGGCTTCACCCCGCTCATGGCAGCCGCCAACTTTGGGCACGCACATATCGTACGCCAGCTTCTCGACTGGGGTGTCCGAGTATCCTTCAACACGAACGTATCAAGTGCACTCGCACTAGCCGTAAACCAAAACCATCAAAACGTAATCGATGTGCTTGTGAGCAGTAATATGGTGGACTGGAAGCTGGAAATCATGTCAGCGTTGAAACATCGGGCGTCAGAGTTTGCCAGGAGGTTTTATATATTGTCGAAGAGGATGCGGAATAATAATGGTGGAAGTAGTGGTAATAGTGAAGGTAGTGGACTAGGAATACTCGATGGTGTTAATGACGACATACCACCAACATCCCATGACATACAACTCGAACTCACACATCTCCAATCTGTATCCTTCATAACCGAATGTCCTATATGTTTCGAACACGTCGGAACAACAACAGACAGCCACAACAACATACATGGGAAGGGTGCCTGGAATGTAATAGGAAACGTCGTGATACATGCATGTGGCAGGTTGTTTTGTGAAGACTGCTTGAGTAAGGTCGTGGGTGGTAACTGTCCTATTTGTAGACAGGCAGTCAAGAGTCTGAGTGTTGGCGGAACTGCAGGCGCTTGTAATTCGAGCTGTTTGAGGTTGAGTGCTTCGAATAGGCCTAGTTTGAAAGGGTATCTTATGTAGTTGTGATGTAGATGTGATGGGGGGTGTTTTTGTGGTGTTGGGTGTTTAGCGATGAGGATTCGTGTGGTTATACCTTGTGTGTGAGAGTGTCTCATATGTGAATTTCTATATATTGTTTGAGTTTGTTTTATATACCAAAAGGAAAGGCAAATCGTGCTGGTCACTACCTGCTACTTCAATATCTTGTCCCTTTTTTGAACTGCATCAGAAAAATAAAATTATACCTTGACCAAAACAAGTTAACGACAGGAAGGGAACGCCAAGTATGGTTTAACCAAATTCATGAATTCTCTTTCTTCTTACACTTTGCCATTACAATGTCATTATTGTCTCGGTTGATCTTCATATCATAGTATTATCGTCCTGACCAGAGCATCGTCATTGGCATCCAATCAGGCCCAACGGATCTAACTTGTCTCGAGTATCCATCTAATTCAAGTTATGGTTTACTTGTTGCTGATGGCACGAATCTAAATCAAAAGACCAAACAAGATGTCGAGCAAAAAAGCTCTATTCTCGGTGATTAATGTGCTTCTTGCACGGACTACAATCAGCACTTAGACCAACAAGCTCCTCACCACCAGCTCAATATACAAAACCCTTCCTCAACGTAATAGTCTGGTCCACAGGTATCACTCTGGTGATTGTGATAGGCCAGAGTGAGTAACGAATCGGGGAGAACGACAACTTGGCAGAGTGAAAAAAGATCACAATCAAGAACCGATTGTTCTGAGACACACTGTCGTCAAACACCTTCGATAATGCTACAACTGGCTCTTGACGTCCATTCGTTCGTTCCGCGAGACATCCTTGTCGATATTAGCACAACAGTTCCAAAGTAGACGAAATGAAATAGCTGAATAGCAAAGTCATCCTATCGTTTCCAAGGTGTGTCCCAACTTACATGATTTAGTGAGTTAGTCTGTATACTTTGAGTAAAAAGAGGGGTGTATCAGTGAATGTGTGGTTGATACAAAGTGAGCAATCCGAAAAAACAAACCAGATCTATTTCATAATCATAACTGGCCAGTACAGCTCTTCAACCATTTCCATCAAGTAAACAACTTTCTAATTGTATCCGGCCAGCTCAATATGCTAGAAAATGATTTGGATTCTGGGGCAGCTCGCTACCAGACAAGAGGCTTCGTTCCAATCAAGACAGTTCAAACACAAAAAAAACCTTTGCATTTCGTGAAAACGATTCAACGAGGTTTCCGTGTTCTGTCTCCCCCTCTCTTCTGCACTATGTGTACATGCCTTCACGAAGCTTTCACACCAGGTCCTTGATACATTGTTGAACATCAGCAAGCGGTTTGAATCGCTGTCGAAGATACACTTGTTCTTTCTTGACGAGCCTATTTTAGAGAAGCAAAAACGCAGCCTGCATACTCAAGAAGTAAGGTTTTGATGTTCAACCACCACCAACTCGAGCATAGTTGCTGTTGCTTGCCATTTCACCGTCAACCACCTCCCATCACTCACACTCAACACCTTACCAAACCAACAAAAAACACATACAAATCCAGTGAGACATACGATTCAACGAGGTTTATATATTCTCCATTTCTTCTACTCTGCAAAATAAACACAATAAAATCCATTGATAAAAACCACAAGGGGGGCGATAGCATATACACCAACACAAAACTCTCTTCTTTCCTTGATCATTGGTAGTCCATGGTAAGACTACAAGCTATACAGTTTGTTTCTTGAAGGGTGGAGTCCATGTGCTTGCTGAGTGGGACTCGGACGTTGAAGAGCTAACAAGAGAGAAGGGGTTGTATCCAAGTATCGCAAGCGAATACCAAAAAAAAAAGCTGATCAGAAATCGATGAACAGATGCTATGAGATCTTTCCTCTCATCTGCACCTCATCAACGACGTACCTCAAATGGCCGATCTCCACCAGGCACAGATGCCTTGACAAACTCGAATATATAGCGCACCAAATCCGTCTTGACGAATTTGCGAACGACTGGCCTTCCATCTAGGTTGCAGAAAGGAAGTCAGTCCGATGGGCGACAAAAAGCGACGAATGAAGTCTAAGGGTTGCCCAAACCATAACCCCAGCAGATGTTCCATTCTTTCTAGTACCTGGCCCTCGAATCTGTATCCTCGTAATGTCACCAGTGGTAGGTTCTTCTCGTACTCGTGGTTTTATGCTGTTATCTATGTATCCCAAAGCCGGAAACACACGTCAGACATCAATCCAAGTAACAGAAAAAACGGCAGTATCACGAAAGATTGCTTACAAAGAGATGCACCCCCATCATCACTCGTTCCCTCACTCTTGACTTTAGCAGGCCCTTCAGCCTTGACATCTTCCTTCTTGACTGCCGTTGTTAAAACTGATGTCTCCTTTCCATTCGTTGGTTGTGGTGGTGATGATGCGTCTGATCCCTCTTCATCGGCATCTTCTGATTCGTCCATGGCTGATTGACCCATTGAAGCTCGTATGGCTGCTTCGAGTTGTTCTTCTTCGGACAGTTCGCTGATTTCCTGTTGGAGAGAAAAGGAGGTAGATCAGTCTACAATGGCGGTGATGTGAGCCAATTGCATAAGGAGTTCGAAATACCTTCTTCTTCTTTTTTGGCTTGGTAGCAACAACAGGACCACTGTCCAGAAAGTCCATAACTATAAAGAATTGATGATGGCAATCAGCATCAATCGCTCTCCAAATGATAAACAAACTATTGCTACTGTAGCACATACTATCCATAATAAATTCTTCTGGTGTCAGTTTCTTGCTCCATTGCTTGACTCGTTCACCTGTTTCATGTTAATTCATTAGTAGTTCAAGAGGACTGGGAGAATATTCATCCTTATAGCACATCATTATGGCAGTTTTTTTTACCTGTTAGTGGATCAATAATCGCAATATACGGATACTTGTCGAATGGATAGTACGATTTGTGTTCTTGCCCAGGTTGAGTGTTTGCCATATGCTACAAAAACAACGTTTCAGTATATGCCATACCAACATTAGTACTGTTGGCATACCAGTATGAAAATAAAGTTTGATTTGACAATCTCCTTGACGGCTAAAAAGAGGCTTTCAGTGATTCGTATATGTCAAATACATCTAACTATACATACATTCATCCTTCCATAAATCCTTATTCTGAACAACAGACAAGAATTCACCACCATCTTGCACTGTAATCATAATCCATTTCTTTTCATTTGTTGCTTTTTCTCGTGCCTATTCCAAAAACACGGTATAATCAACAACAAAAAAGCTGGAAAAGGTGATCAATGGGTCCAACGTACACTCTTGAGTCCCGATCTGTACATCATATCGTGCGGTGGACTGTATAGACATTGTGTGAATTAGCACCAAGACAAAAAAATGCAGATACACAAGCTGAGGTGTACATACGCATACAAATCAGACAATCTCGGAGCTCCATCATTCGCTGATCCTACATATTCAAAACATGCGTCAGCCAAGAAAAACCGCGAGTCAGAAATGAACGATGTATGTAGCCTACCACCACCCCTTCCAAGCACCCCCTCCCTCTCAAAATCACGAAAGGGTTCCACAAACTGATGCGACGATCCACCTGGCAGTGCTCCTGGTAGTACGGTCCGGAGTTGCTGGCGTGCTCTGTGTCTCATTGCTATCCCAAAAGAAACGGGAGACGAAACGTGTCAACCAAAACGAATCAAGGGAAAGGAGTCAAAATTGAACAGATAGATCAATGTTTTCATGGTGGTGAAATGCTTGCATTTGGCATGTCAATCACAACACGCTATCAAAGCATTGGCCTTATCCAATTCCACAATCAGCTAACACGCCCACAACTCTGACCAACACACACCCGATCACACCTATTAGAACATACCTTCAAACTCTTCATCATACTCAACCTCATTAAGCACCTGTCTCGTCGGTGCAATCGGTGCCCGATACCCGTCACCACCTTGTTGCGACAAATGCTGCCGAAACTCGTCACCAATCTCCTGGTTCCTCTGTACCGGCACATCACGCGGGATCGGTATACTGGTTCCAGATACACCGAGTGCTGGAGTAGGAGTCGATGTAGAAGCAGTTGGATTTCCAGGTGATAGGTCACCCCCAGTTTCAAAGAAAAGGGATACGGCTGTTTCGATGTTGTTGTCTGCATACTATAACATAATAAAATCATTGTATGTTTAGTAATTTATTCAGGTCTGTTTATAGAAGGGAAACGAGACGGAAGCTTTTTACCATCAAGTAATTTCGTGCTTGTTCGGGGGAAGCGTCAGTGGCAGACATGAATGTCATCATGGCGTCATCGTTTGTGGATGCCATGGCGTGATCTTCTTCTTCTAGGTGTTCGCTGGCGTCGTGGAAGTTCATGTCCTCGTCGTCGGCCATGTTTTTTTCAATGTTTGGAATGAATGACGCGTCGCTGTGTGAGAGCTATGAGATAACGATAGAAGCTTATATTGCTATGAATATTATGGCTAATATTCTCATATCGTCTTGAACGTCTTTTATCGAATACTCGTTAACGGAAACGACAAGCTTTGGCACCAACTCTCTCAACCAAACACATCAATCTCATAATACTTCATAATAGATATAATATTTTATAAAATCCCTCTTCTTCAACAATCATAGAAATAATAATGACTTAAAAAACTCTCTCTTCTCTTTCGGGGGGTATAACATTCTCAACTTCCATTTCATTTCTTCTCCCTTCCACCATCCACACACCAACATTTCCGTCTCCTGATTCCACCCTTTACAATGAACTGTTTTACAAATAATCACTTTCCCAAAAACAACACCCACGTCCATTTCCACATGCATCATACAAAGCACCCCTCCCACAAACAACATTCCCAATATGAACTTTCGTTAGCTTTTTATAGATTATAGATGAGGGTTTTCTTGATCCATTTTCCTTGACTTTGTTGGAGAGCACAGAGAAATGGGTAGGCTTGTGTGTTGTTCTTCCCAAATAAAAGAGGCCCTTGATACATAACTACCCCCACCATCCCTCTCACATCCCCAAACAATCGATACACAAAATACTAAAAACTTTCCACTATTTCTCATTACTTTACGCTTCACCACCACCACTCCCTTCTACGAGATTAGTTGAAAAACACGCAACCGTGTCCTCTCCTCCAACCCATCATCTCCCTCCCCACCATTTCCACCACTCTCCTCATTATTTATATCAATAACCTCAGGTTCATCACCCCCATACTCTTCATTCGCCTCACTGTAACTCTCAGTTCTGCGTCTCTCACTCGTACGGCGTGGGGGCGATACCAACAGATCATGCTGTTTCAACGGCGCGGTTCGACTGCGTATCCGTCGGTTGTCATATACAGGTACATCTGCCTCTCGAGCTTCTTCAGCGAGGAGCGATGACGATGATGGCGATGACGATGCTGATGATGATACACTGTTATGCTGTTGTTGTTGTTGGGATTGCTGCATATTGTTGAGGACTCGTGATGGGGATGGTGATGGGGTTGGTAGCGGGACGCCGTTACTGTTGCCGGTACCACTAGTGCTGTATGCTGATGTGGTTGATGAGGGCGATGAGATTGCTGATGATGATAGGCCTGATGTTTGGGATTGGGGTGATATGCCCAGGTTGGCGAGGTTTGATTCTAGTTCGTCGACGAGGTATTCGTGGGGTGGAGACGATGCGTCTACATATCCATCGTTATAGTTGTTGGTGTTGTTGCTATTGTTACTGTATGCAAATGTATCTTGATGGTCTTTTGAGTTATGATTGTAGGTCATGTCTCCAGACTTGTATGCATCCATGCTGTTATAATTGTTGTTGGTATTGTTGTTGTTACTATTATATGCATCCTTGTATTCTTTGATTCCGCCCATAGAGCTGGCATACATGGCTTCCTTATACGCAGCAGCAGCTGCCTCTTTATTATATACTCGATAATTGTTGTCTAGATGCCGATCAATACCACGAGTCGAGTCTCGTTGTAATGGTTGATATGATGGTGGCGAGCCATTGTTACCACTGCTACCGTTACTACTACTACTGATTAACGAATTGCCAGATTGATATTCGGCATCCGTAAACCCTCTTAATGATAGACTAGACTGTCGTCGCGCTGGAATCAATCCAACATTTGGATCCGACATTCTCCGAAGAGCTTCGACATCTACCGTTGTTAAAGCATCATGGCCTGTAGATCTAGCTCGTACTAGGTTACTGGCGTTGCTGCTATTGTGGTTGTTACTGCTATGAGACACATCATGTTGTGATGCTGATCGTTGCGGTGATGATGCTGGTATTTTACTGGTGGAGAGACTACGCCCAGGTGGGCCCATGACTGGCGTCACGAGTTGAACTGGTGGTGGTGTTACTGGAGACATCATTTGTGGAGATTGTGGTCTGGCATCACGCATTGTTAGCAAAAGCCGTCTTTCCAATGGTGTTAATTTATGCTCTTGGCCTCTCTCTGTGTGAATAAAGCAGCACCTAATTATGTGATTTGAACGATTAGAGTTTGTGTCTGTATTTCCTTCCACCTCCAGCGTTTAGGATCTACATCGAATATGCAATTATACCTCTTGCCATATGGACAGGATCCCTTTTCCCAAAAGGTTCGACACATTTCAGTCTTGTATCGCGGATGACGGTCAACCTGCAAAAAATTACCAACGTGAGTCAAACACGTGACAATACCATCCAACACAGATACATACAGGCCTGAGTTCATCCATCCCATGAGCAAACTAGTAAGGAGTGATGAGAACGTCACAAGTCAGTTAAATGATTTTTGTTGGACATTTTGTATCACATTGATAAGTGTGGGGTTTGGATGGTTCAAGGGTGGACTACCCAGAAGGGGTGGCCTTGCTCAAATGCTTGTTTCAATGCGTGAAAGGATGACGTGGCGAACTGCATCACACATCAAACAACATCTCAAACAATGTCCACAACATACTGTGCACTTTTCTTTCGAAAGGCGACAACCATCCCAATGGTGCCAACATCAATGTAACAGGCACAATGAGCACGTCATCTCATACATCAGAATAGCAGCAATGTAATAACACACAAGATCTACCGCATCCACCAATAAACAATTACACTGCGAGCATCCAAAACCACATTATTTTTTTCTTTTTCAGTCCCAACTCTAACGGGTTCATACCTGACACTTGTCGCTATACTTGCAATGGCCGCCCGTTTCTTCCCATGAGCGACACAATTCGGTCTTGTAGAGTGTAGCTCTTCTTGTATCTCTTGGCTGCTGCTGCTGTTGCATCTGAGACTGATTCAACAATGCCATTGCATTTACATGTTGCTGGTTTAGAGCGAGCGAGGAGGAGCGAGGCAGCATTGCGTGAATCATATAGTCGGGCAGCTGGGACTGGGCTTGCTGGGATTGATACATCATTTGTTGGTAGGCTGCTATTCCATGCTGGGGGGACTCCAGTGATTGGTGGTGTGTATAGTATGGCGAGCGAGGAGGTGTTGTTGGGAGCGCATATGGGTCTGGTGGGTACCCATATGGGTATGAATTCATCATGGTTGCCGTCTGCGTAGGATGAAGTGTGGATTTATACGCTTTTTCTCATTGTTATTTACGGTTGAAGAAGGAAGACAATATGAGCCAATTGTCCGACTCGATCAAACAAACTTACGAGATGATGCAGGATTATGGATGTAGTAATTGCGTCGATTGAGGGTGTTTATTAGCTATATATAATAACAGGAAACGCCACGTACAAGTCATACTTTAATCTTGCACGTTTATTTCATACCACCTTCTCCAGCGGTGAAGTCCTAACGATCACGTGTCAATACGAGCTAAATACACTTTGAAAACTTTTCTTCTCGTGTTTCTCTCTTCCGTTGCGGTGCTGGATGCCCGACAGGCTCCTCGAGTGTTTTTCTCACAATTTTTCGAGTATTGAATGTAGAACAGGCATCACTTGTCTAATACGAAAGCTATTACCAAGTCCTCATTTCTAGCTGCACAATGGACGTGTTGGAACGGAAAGTTCGTCCTATCTATGGTACGTTCGATGAAAAACTTGACCTACATCCAAACTTCAGAAAACGTAGCATCTAACATTTGAGCTTGTTGTAATAGAGGCACTAGATGCTGGTAATCCAAAACAGGCATTGGCTCTATGTAATAAAAACATTAAGAAATCCGATACGGCTCCCATATTCAAGGTATTCAACACACATGTTGATGAAGTTAAAGCTTCTTGCGTTCTTGCGACGCTAACATGAACGTCACTGTTTCAACAGGCACTTAAAGCGCTATCTCTGGAACGTCTCGACAAGCCGGATGAAGCCTTCCAGCTCTGTAATGAAGTGCGAGCCACTGGATCTATGGATGAAGGTGTTTTGCAGGCTGTTGCGCTGGTTTATCGTGCTAGAGCTAGACGTGAGTTTCTCGTAATATCATGTTTGGAACGCAAATCCACCCCTCATCCGTTGAAAGCCCGATGATCTGACACTTACCGCGATAGATATGGACTTGGTCTCAATGTACGAGGCAGCGTATACGAAACGACCTTCTGATGAGGAGCTAGCGAATCATTGGTTTATGTCGCTTGTGAGATCGGGGATTAATGCGAAGGAACTTCAGCAGGTTTGTGTGTCATTCAAAACTTGATGTTTGTGCAAAAAAACGCTTACAATTGATACATTGTAATAGAGCGCCATCAAACTCAACAAGCATTTCACACGAACAGACAGATACATGTTCTGGATCATCATGACGATATACCTACAAGGACTCCCACCAACCTCGAAACAATCTTCCGCATCCACACCAGCACAGGCACCTCACACGTCATCCATGCCAGCCAACATGTTCTATTCACTAGCTGAACGCATGATTGGAAAAGCTATAAGTGATTCCAAAATGAAGGATCAAGAACAGCTGTTACTGTATTTAATGATTTTGGAATCGCAAGCTAAATATCAGGAAGCGCTGGATGTGCTGAAGAGTGATTTGGGGAAATTGTGTGCTGTACCGTCGGAATGGAGTAGGTTGGTGTCGGGGCTGAATAGGCGGTTGGAGAGGTGGGATGAGTTGAGGGATGTGGGGGTTGAGTGCTTGGGTAGAAAGTAAGAGTAATGGAATTGAAATGATGTATAGTCATGACGTCGTACTGACGAGGGGTTTTTTGCTAGTTCGGATGATTGGGATAGCTATGTAAACTATCTGGATGCTACATTTCAGAAAAAGTGAGCTCTGAAGTGGAGACTACGGCACATTAACTGCTTCTTCAACTATTTTTTGCCTTGACGTAGAAAAATTCCAATCGATGAAGCCAAAGCCCTCATACAGCAATATCAGCAAGCAACAATAACGGAATCACCTCGGAAACCACAAAGAGGTCCTTTCTTGGCTGAACTTGAGTTGCTGATTAGGTTGATTGCTAAGAGCAAGGGTGAGTGCTTGTTAACGTATATGTGAAACGAAAAGAAATTCGTTGCTAAATAACAAGATATCCTTACTAGAACCTTCATCATCTCTCGTTGCACCCGCGTTAAACTATTTCGAACGATTTGGAGTGACGTATAGTTGCTTTGATGATCTCAGACCGGCTTTGAATAATCTGAGTACCGCAGATGCCAGCAAGTTGATTGAGTCATTGTGTGAGAAATATGATAGTGGGACTTTTGCTTCTGTTTCAGAGGTAATTCACTCTCTTGTGTGGTGTCTTTTTTTCCATGTCACTCACATCACACCTTTCCTTCTGTGTACAGAAAATCGACCAATGTAAACGCCAAGTAAACATCCGTAAAATCGAACGTCTAGCTATTCCAATACCAGTCACATCTCCGCTCGAAGTTTTCCAACAAGTGGATTTGATGATGAGCAGATACGACGATGCTCTTAAATTAGGTACCGACCTGACTGAAAAAGAACGGCAGTATGGTGATGATTATCTGTCGCTCGCGTGTCATTATTTGATTGACTTGTATGAGGGTGGTGGTGGTGAGTATAGTTGTGTATCACAGCATCCATCCATTCTTTTGATCATGTTTTGCTCTGTAATAAACCTAACGTCCTTACATTCCTAGATATCGCCAGACTATTCGAATCAGCATCCCTCCTCGAAATTGGTCTCAAAAAATCGAAATACAACTTTCAATTCAAAATAATGCTGATTTGTATATATCGGGAATTGGGAGTGTATGTCAGGGCGCTGGATGTTGCGTCGACGCTGGAGGTCAAGCAGATTATGTATGATACGTTGAGGTGAGATACTGTTTGTCGCAATACTGATCCAGAAACATTCACTGTGGCAGAATGGATTGGAACTCATCTTCCACTTTTTCTTACGTAGTTACATATACAATGATGATATTGAATCATTTGGAATTTTGAAAGAAGGAACGAGTAATGTTGCGTTGAGGAGTCTTTTGAGGTCGTTGACAATATATAGTAATAATGAACGAGAGGTATGAAGCTCGACTGTTTGATATTTAAGGCCCAGACCTACGAGGATATGTGGTATGCTGACAGCTCATCGTGTATTCTAGACACCTGAAATGATTGTCCAGGCTTTTAAATTCGGAACCTTCTCAAAGGTTTGTTAGTCTAGCACACCATTCGCTCAAATTGAAGTGGGTATTTGTTATCGCTCACGGATCTCTTTTCATTCATCGCACCAGATCCCAGAATTCATAAATTTCAGAGACCGTCTCCGAAACTCAATCCAACGCGCCATATGCCATCGCCAAATAGTCAGAATTGAAGTCCTGCGACGATGGAATGTCGACAAGGCTAGTCTGGCCAACTATTTTGCTACTGTTGATGCTGAGTGGATGACTGATGATGGTAGGTAAATGACAGATCAGGGTCTTTCGATGTTTTAATCATCTCCTTGTTTTTCATCAGCTGTCGCAACATCATACTCAGACAACCGAGACATAACGATCATGGCTGATTGGAATGCGAATGGTAAAACTGCTAGTATTGCGAGTAGGATACGGAGGGGACGGGAGGCGCGTAGAAGCGGGGTAACGTCAATTCTTGCGTTGGTTCCAACTTTTTTTAGCTCATGCATTTTATGATCTAGCACACATGGCTGAAACTCTACACTCTCATACCACGCATTCTGAAATCAATAAGTGCAGGATCTGTCTCTGATCCTGCGTTTGTTGCATCGCGGGATGCGTTGGAGATGGTTGTTGAGGAGGCTGGGAAGAGTCAGGATCCTGATGTAAGAACTGTTTGCTCCTGTTGTCAAGTATTCGGGCTGACTTTTTTCGCTTTCAGATTTTGTGTGAATACAAAGTAGCTAGGGTTGTGCTGTCGGTGGCAAGGTTACAGGAGCCGATTAAAGAAGGGAATGGGACAGATGGTATGATGCTCCCGAATGCTTCTGCCTTATTTTGCTTTATTTTGCTCCACTAACTTTCATATTGATGTAGATACGAATGCTATTGTATCAGAGATTATGGGTCAAGTTAAAGGTTCGTCCGCCATTCATTCTATATCACTTGCGTCTTTTTTCGCTTTCATTTTGATTTTGTTCATTAGACTTGCTGAATGCTTGCTCACACTATAAGGAAGAGCCTGTGATTGTATTGTCTCAGGACTGGTTGAGGGATTGTACATTGCTGCTAGAGGTATTGCTTGTATTTAGCGGAGTTTTTGGGCATATGCTTACACTCTTTTGCTAAAGATCATCACATACATTCTGGTTTCTCTACAATCACAATCGACTAAAAAGACGAAATCAAAGGCTATGGTGAGTTTCTTGTCTCCTTTTATTTTTCATAAGTTAATATCGTCGTCTGTCACTAGACTTTCTCAGGACCATTCGCACAACTATCAGACCCTCTGAAATCAATCACCATCGAATTCGAATCTATCTTATCTGGTCTACTCGACAAGCTCAAGAAGCAAACTAAAGTGGCAATGATGAAGGCTCTGTATCATGGTGAAAGTACACCTCCGAGATTACGCGAAGAGGTGTGATTTAGGCGGTTCATGTCTTTTTGCGCGTCTCACTGATTTTGAACTTACGATAGGGCGCTAAGCAATATAAAGAAGAAGTCATATCGCATGTTTGTGATAGCTGGATTGCATCTGTAGAGAGTTTGGTGGGGGAGGTTAGAAGGAGGGTTTTGTTTTGGAGTTAGAGTTGTGGACTTGTTTGGTTAATAGAGATTGTTGACACTCACGGATCTGACGCAACTGGTGTATTTGGTATTTGGAGTTTTTGAAGGCGTTGAGATTTTTTGGTGTGGTCACTGACGGAAGAGACTTTGTTGCGTAGGGAGTTAAGGGTTTATTTGCTGCTGTGAACGCTTCAGACGTAGAAGGAGTCGGATCTGACGCTGAAGGTAAAGTATTCGGCATTTGGGAGAGCCTGATGTCAAATGTCGACGCGTTCGACTATGTTATAGCGTTTTCCACCTTTTTTTTGATGAGGCTCTCCGTAGATATGGACTGGTTCCCATTTACGACGCTGCCTTCAACAAACTACTCCTCCACAAAGAGCTAGTTAATAACTGGTGGTCGTCACTTGTTATATTGGGATTACTGCGAACGAGTTTCACCTACTTTTTAGTGTGGTTTGACTTAAAAGTATGCAGCAAAACCAATAAATCTCTAATGTGCAGAAGCAATAAATCTCTCAATATAGCGTCCTCAACCCAATCAATCTCAACATCATTTTGAGATCTTTGTCATCAATCCAGCTCCAGCTGGAATCACCACCTGCACCGTCACCTCAAACTTCCATGCCTTCAAACATGTTCTACACATTAGCTGACCGAATACATGGCCAAAACAATAACCGACTCCAACATGAACCATCGAGACGAAGAGTTGGTCTGTCTAATTACTTTACTCTGAACAAAGGAGTGCATCTGAAAGGACATGATTTGATTTTTTGCAAATAGACTATTTTTGAATCTTGGAGACATCGCGGAGTGAGCCGATCGTTCAAAACCTGTTGTGCGAGGCACATCCTCTGCACTTTGCGACGCCTTTGAAAAGCGAGCCGTTAGCACGCAGTTTTTATGAAGTTGGCAAGAAGTCCAATAGTGAAATATTCTCGCACACGTACATCTTGTAAAGCTACACTTTGTATTAATCGATCAATGTCTAGTACTATTGTCCCAGAGAGTGGTGACTTTGGCATCAACAACATTCCATTTGGAATCATCAGTACAGCATCAAATGTATGTCATAAGTGATGAATCGCTTTAGAGGTAATACACTCACTGATATTCACATATTACCCGCATAGCCTACACCACGCCCAGCTACCATCTTGGGACATCACGTTGTTGACATCAAAGCTCTTGCAGACGCCAACTGTTTCAATGGACCATTACTATCCTCGATGGCTAGCAATGTATTCAGCAAGCCAACACTCAATGAATTTATGGGATTGACGCGTCCGCATTGGATTGAAGCCAGAACGACAATTCAGAATCTGTTGACTGGTGTTGACGACAGATTGAAGCGTAATCCAGCTCTAGTACGTGTTATAACAATATAGATTTCAAATTCAAATTTAATTATAAATTCGATATACTGAACTTCATACCTTGTTATAGATGTCAAAAGCGGTGATTCCTGTTGCACAAACCCAATCACATCTTCCCTCTGCTATTGGCGATTATACGGACTTTTATGCTTCGAAAGAACATGCATTCAATGCTGGATCTATCTTCCGTGGGCCGGAACAGGCTATTCAACCTAACTGGTATCGCATGGAAGCAAAAATCTTGAATACAAACTACTCACGTTCCTTTTAACAATAGGTTTCACATTCCAATCGGTTATCACGGCCGAGCATCATCCATCGTCGTTTCGGGAACTCCCATTCGCCGCCCGAATGGTTTGATTGGAGCTATGACTGCTACTCCAACATACTCAGCATGCAAAAAGCTGGATATTGAGCTTGAATTGGCCTTCTTTATTGGTGGCCCTGCAAATGCTTTAGGTGATCCGATTCCTATCGCCAAAGCTGAAGATCGATTGTTTGGGTTTGTGTTGTTGAATGATTGGAGTGCCAGAGATATTCAAGCGTTTGAGTATGTGCCTCTTGGTAAGGTCCGTGCATCATTTTGGTGGTTTTCATTTTTTCTGATGGACGTTTCTATTTTTTCTCTACAAGGTCCATTCTTGGGCAAAAACTTTGGATCCTCGATATCACCGTGGATTGTCACTTTAGAAGCTCTTGAAGCTTACAAAAGACCACAGCCAACGCAAACGCCTCAACCATCTGCATACTTGCAAGATCCAGATTCGGATCGTGCTTGTTATGATATTGAGCTGGAAGTTCATATGCAACGTGAGCTGGGAGAGGTTGGTGTTGGCATTGGAGCCATTTTGAATGACTGAGGCCGTTTTTTCTCTTTACTGTTTGGTCTAGCATCGGGATCGACGAAATCTACTAAAGTGCTTACTTCGAATTACAAGTATCTCTACTGGAGTCCTCGTCAAATGATTGCGCATCATAGTGTTGGTGTAAGATACATCCATAAACCTTGCAAAAGGATTTTTTGCGTCACTTCTGATATTTTGTATCGGCATCTTTTAGGGCTGCAATCTGCAACCTGGTGATATGTGTGGAACTGGAACCATCAGTGGACCTGTAAGTATAAGAAGTTTGTGTGGTCACTATGTTTCGACCATAGCTGCGTTGACTTTGACTGTGTGTTTGTCTTCGCTCAGAACAAGGGCGAAATGGGATCCTTCTTGGAACGCTCGTGGAATGGACGTGATGCTTTTGAAGTTCATGATGGGATCAAGAGGTAAGCAAAAACGACCACAATTTATGTGAGCACAAAAAAATCTCTCTCAGCGACCGGATTACTCACAAGCAGTATACACGAAATCTAGGACCTTCTTGGAAGACGGTGACGAAGTTACCTTTACAGCTCATGTTGCACCCGGTGTTGGGTTTGGGGAATGCAGTGGAGTGATACTACCTGCTCATCCTTTGTCTGTAACCAAGCTTTGATGAAACATGATGCCCTGCAAAATTCGGTTTTCGTTGATTGTACGACAATGTTGCTCAGTCCAAATCTTATTTGAAGTGAATTTGCCACCAGGCCTCGAATTGCACCAAGCTCATGTGCTTCAACGCAACGAATTGGCTCACGAGCCTCCCTTCCTATTGTGACGCTTGAACAAAATCTGGTCTAGAATCAATGTCGTTTTCTGAAGATTTTAGTTGCGCCACACGAAGGAGCAACAGCAAGCAGCACATTTGAAAGGGCAAGGAGCAACGCTTTGCGTGATCAAGAGGATTCGCTTATATCTTGACCCGTGGCTTATCTTCGTCCGTCATGACTCCAACTTGGAGTTGGTGAACCAGACAATGAGAGATCCCATAATGACAATAGGCAACGCTCCGTGGTAATATAGGTCAGATGAGATCTTCACAACGGCAGATTTGATATACATTCAAGGTACATATTCTTGAGATAGGCCAAAAAAGGAGTTGAAAATCACTCCAACCCAACTCAACAGGTCGAATTCGACTCCAAAACAGAAATTTCAACTAGATCAGCCTGTTCCATGTCTCAATGATGTGAAAAGTTGCGAAATGAAATCCAACAAATTTTCACTACGACAGTGGTTCTGATGCAGATGATGAGCTTTCAAATGCTTTCTCAAGTATCTGAAGATGAATCATGCATAATCTGAAGGCCTGTCGGCGCCGTTTGAGATTTCACCCTATTTCTCTTGAAACTGTTTTGCAGAGGTATCGGCTTGCAAGTGACTTTCAAGGTGAGACATAGAAGGCATGTGTACGTACCTAAACATCTCATCAGCCAGTTTTCAGTCTTGCGAAGCTCTCCTGTTTACGTACTCTTCAAAAAAACTAGAAGGTAGTTTCAAAACAAGAAAGCACGGCGCTTTGCGGATACACTTCAAATGGATAGAAGGACATTTAAAATTCTAATCAACTTGTCTGAGAAGACGTTTGATTATCTAGACGTAACCTTCTTGCCTCTCGCAAGTGCGGTGTCCTTGGGAAGCAAAATGACGCAAAATGAAATCAAACAACCATGGACGATTATGGTCGTTTTCCTGCTACGGAACATCGTTTACATGCTTGTTTAATACCTATTTGTGATGTGCTGTTGATGCTTTACCGCTTTGGAGTTGTTTCTTCGAATTTGGTATATACGACGTGAGGACGGATACGTGTTTGAATACATTGTTTGGAATACAAGCTTATTTCCTCGAGGCATGTTGTTAAATGCTATTTTCCATACGGTGGCAACCCAGAACCCAATACACAAAGCACAATCCTACATAAACCTTCCAACCCTCTCAGTCACTATTTGCAAACTATTCCAGTATCGTGCCTACTTTGTTTCGATCTAGACGTGAATGCATGATCAGCAATGGGCAGCTTTACATGGGTGCAAGCACAACTCACCTCAACTAGGAAGGTGTACTTTGAAATCCCAATATTCTCCGATTTCCAGTCTGCCTTTTGAGGCGACAGCCACGCGTTGACGTAGTGCATTATTCTGGATTTCTCCATCGCCTCGGAGACCCTGAACTATTTTTCCAACAAATCGCATTTTCCCTCTTCCACCAAATGTCAAGTTTGGATATGAAGGCGGTCGTAACCTCACAGCGGCCATGATTGCATTGTAAGATATCCCATATTCACCATCTTCATGATTCATATTATACTCAAACTTTTTCAGACATGCTTGCAGAGCAATAGTCATAGTTACGACTTCTTCGGTCAACTCAGTGTCGTCTGAGGCATAGAATACAAAACATTCGAGATTGGGGAGAATAATGGGCAAACGGTCATAGTCGGTTTCTATACCCTGATTCCCGTATAAGGTCAGCGACGTGACTTTTTCCAAAGGACTTGCTCTGGCGAGCAACTGGCCGGCTTGCAAATCACCATCCCCGATCGTCAATTCTCTCAAAAGGGGAAAGTCTAGGAGAAATACCGGCGAGACTATATCCTCTGGTAAGTATAGCGTAAGCTTCTTCAAAGTCCTCGAGCACTTTTGCAATATAGGTTCAAGATCTAGTTCGGTTTTTGGTGAGTAAGTATTGTCAAATTGAATGTTAAACAAACGACATTCACCTTGCGGTTCAACCCCTTCGACCATACTAAGGCAAAGCGACTCAAGTTGGCAGCCGGCCAGAGGCTTCAGGAAATCATTTGGCACTCTACCATTAACGACATTCACGTGTTTTATATTTGGGAAAGCTCCTGGTGCTGTACAAGAGACGGCGGTGTGTGGCTGTGAGCTCCGGTTGACGATATCGATAGTTCGTAGCGACTCTTTACTGCCCTTCAGCAGGCCTGCCCATGTGGCATTATCTATTTTATGGCACGTGCCGAATTTCACCAGTTTCCAGTCACATATGGCGGCCTTTACTCTATCTGGAATAGTATGGCAATCCAAATGAAGTGTGCCGACGAGAGGGTGACGATTTACAAAATACAACCAATCATCGTCTGAGAGGTTCCAACCGCATTTTGTGGCACCCAAATACGATTGATCAATGCGCAACTCAATGAGATTAGGAGATACGTCGTGGAGAAGGCCAAGGTCACTACATCCAATGCGAAGTATTTGTAGGTTGGGACATACCGATAGCAGCTTACTTTTGAAGAGATGGCGGGAATGGTCTAAATCTTCATGGCCAAATCTAAAACCTAATACTTTTGTGCTATCTAATGCATGTTGATAGAACATGAGTTTTCGGGAAGTGATTCCTCGGAGAATCCACCTGAAAGATTCAGAGAACCTTTTATCATTGGACGACACCTCTCGATATAGATGTCTGACAGCTGCGTCGTTCCAGTCTTTACATACGAGAGCAGCCTGATGCAAAGTTTTCTTGTCATTTGCCTCGTTGAAAATCACATCCAGTACGAGGAATGGGAGCGAAGGCATGGTTGGATATGATGATCATTCGAATTATATAGGATTTACCAGCCGTATCGATGACTTGGAACTATCATATCTATTCGGGGTTGATCGGGGTCAGTGACAACGCAAGTCTTTACTGTTTTTGATGTCGAGTTCAAACCAAACGAATACATGTAAAGCAATGTCTCGATTGGAAACATCACATGACTAGCACCCTTTAACTCATATTTGAGCCTCTTTCAATCCTCCGCAGTAACAAGCAAGTGCAATTTTCAGTTGTCCAAACACCTACATCGACAAAGAATGCAAAGTACAGAGTGATCTCCACTTGAGTGTTAATATCTATAATATATATGCAGGTGGCTCTCTATGTCCCTGCTTCACTATCTTATTTGAAATTCAACTATTCGAGGACAAGTCAACCAGTTCCAACATTTCCCCATTCCAACAACGCGTCAAGTCGACTATTTAGTATTCTCAGGTAGTATTCAACAAGTAGATTTTAGAATATAAGCTTGGTTCCGAACTGCACGTTTATAGTTAAGAAGTCTAATTAGAACAGATCGTATACACACACGTTCACAACTACAAGTAATCCTACGGCCAATACACAGAATACTAGTTGCAGCAACAGGTTGTACCCCCTCTGTGTTTCTCAATCAGGCTTGGGACAGACTATGGCCACATTGGGTCCACCCTTCGTCCCGTGAGGGTATAGAAGTAGCATTTCCACCCTTCGTCCAGTGAGGGCATAGAGTCCATATCCACCCTTCATTCAGTGAGGGTAGAGAAACCTATAAAAAAGAAAAACCCCACCTTTCGTCCCGCGAGGGTATAGCAAAAGCGACTCCACCCTTCGTCCAGTGAGGGTATAGCAGTAGAAGCATCCGCCCTTCGTCCAGTGACGGCATAGAGTACCTACATAAGAAAGAATCTACCCTTCGTCCAGTGAGGGTATAGAGAGATCCACCCTTCGGGGTATAGAGAAATCCAGATCCACCCTTCGTCCGGTGACGGCATAGAGTACTTACATAAGAAAGAATCTACCCTTCGTCCAGTGAGGGTATAGAGAGATCCACCCTTCGGGGTATAGAGAAATCCAGATCCACCCTTCGTCCGGTGAGGGTATAGAGAGATCCGATACGTTGCTTGATGGCTATCATAGGATTGGATGAGCAAGGTACACATCAGTCTTCGTGGTCTATGGGAGATCCTGGGTGGATGATGGATGTTAGATCTAGTAAGTCGTAGAGCCTCTTGATTGTACGTGATTCAATGTTTTCATAATAATCGCTGTATGTTGGGTGCCATTGTCATTTTACTGACTCGACTACCAGGATAGCCTTATATGTACTGCTTTTTCAGGGAAAACAGCGTTTTCATCGCCTCCCTACCATCTTGTGCATCTTGTGATGCCATGTTTTTGACATCAAATCATCAGATTTGGTTGACGTGGAAGACTACTATTCTCGACAGAAAGTCTGCATTCAGCAGCAGGTATCTTGAAAGCAGCTTTCAAGATTCCTAAGATATCCATGGAGCTGGCTCTCGTCTGCACTGAATTTGAAGCCTGTGGCTAAAGCTCCGCCTCGCTTGATTGGAGTATCGTTGATCCGCTTGCTCGTTAGTGATTGAACGAATCAGATATAATTCTTGAGAGCGAGCATTTAATGCTGGATCTACATTTACTCTTCTGGATCTGGCTATTCAACCTGAGTGGTATGTATTGGAATCAAACAAGACCAACTACACCATCGACATCGCTCACACCACATTTTGTGCCACCAGGTTTTTAACCCGACTGGATCTCATTACATGCATCATATCTCGTCGTTCCAGAGAGTCTCATTCGCCGCACGAGCGGTTTCATTGGAAGCAAACGTTCAACTCCACTAATACACATTGTTGGACTTTCAGCTTGCAATCGTTTCCTTCACTGGAAGACCTGAAAATGCACTAGGTGATCATAGAGCTTCTGCCAGAGCTGAAGACCGATTGTTGATTTGGTATTTCGAATGATTCGAGTGCTTGAGTTGACTTTTCAAATCAATAATTCTTGGATCTGTCTCTGATCCTATGATTGCTGCTGGTCAAGATGAGTGACGAGGCTGGGAAGAGTTAAGACGCTGATGTAAGAGTTTACATCCATATTCAGGTGCAGAGATGCTGAATGTTTTTCACCTTCTTCCAAGTCGTGTTTGACGGTACGGGATAGCTTTTACTGTAATTGCCTCTGTCGATGGGACCAGAACCGTCTGAAGAGAGTTGTGTAACAGCTGGTAGGGCAAATACTTGCATTAAAGAACAGGGGAATCCAGGACACTGCTATCTAGGTTTCTTTTTAGTCAATATATTGACTCTTCCAAATGTGGTGTTTAGACTCCCAAAATGCCTGCTCAGACTTTAAAGGTCAGCTGTGATCATATTGTCTCGAGACGTGGTTGTGAGATGGCACTTTGCATCATGAAGTATAAAGACTTTTCATTCTGCCTTTTTTATGCCCTCTGCTTGCCCTCTGTGCAGCAGACACTCACTTGCATTCTGGTTTCTCTACAAACGCAATCACAAGAAAACGACAACAAAGGTGGTGTTATGATGTCCACCTTCAATCACCTCATCACTACTCAAACCACCTATTTCGACATTCTAGACATTTTGAGTCCCATTTATCCCATTATCCGATGGCCTAATATCGTATGAAACTGTGGAATTTGAGACCACCTTGTCTGTGTGGGAAACTCAAAAGCAAATTAGCAATGTTGAAGAGTCTGTGGTGGTGTCCGTACACCTACTAGTAGTTTGAGTGGAAGAGTCTTCCATCGTTGTAGTGCACCTCTTCTACCGCCGTATGCAACTACTTTCAAGATACCAAAGATACCAACTACATCATATGTTGGTGCGCCGACTTTTTTTGCCAAGTCTAAGTGACGAAGTCGCTAGTATCCAAGAACTAAACCAAATCACATTGTAACGTCATGAAGGATATTTGATTCCAAAATATATTATAACTTGAGAAACCATGCGAGAATACAACTAAATTGTTTACAGAGCTGCTATGTACAAAACTAACAGAGAAAAAAAGTCAAACAACTGAACGATAATTTGAATTGACTTCCCAATCACCAGCCTTACCATTATTGCCTCTTATGAAGCAATCGCCATACTTGTTCTTCAGTTTTCCATCGACCCATTCTTCAGTTTGTTCCAGTGCAATGTTCTATGGCATGACGATATGTATGAGAGAGAAGAAGCGACAAAAATATGGATTCAAAACCAGTATATGTTCACGTACCATGTATCCATCCAGACACGACAATATTCCTAGAGCACCGAGTCAACAACCAATCGACACCACACTTAACTACCTATTGCATACCTCTGTAATCGACGCCGGAAGACAGCTTTACCATGACGGGACTTCCAATAGAGCCGACAATGAAGTCCGATGGGGTTCTCTTTTTCAAGGCATCTGTTGTTGATGTTGGTGCAGGTGGGGCTGCTGATGCGCTCATGATCTAAATACAGATAAGGATATGCATATGATTAATAAATAGGTGTAAATTCACGTAATTGGCTACAAATCACATAGTTCTCTACCGCACCAAACATTCAAAAACATATAAATCAAGATGAGCTCAACTAGCAAGCTTACAGATCGAATAGAAAAGATAGCTACTCACTCGAATACAGTCAGTGACTCGGTCGATGACGATACGGAATTCTCGGACGAGTAAGCTTGTTGCTGTTGATTGTTTTCTTCTGTTTGATCAAACGATGATGAGAGCTGGACACGTTATATACAATAATAGTGTATTGGACGAGGACTACGACTATGATCATGACCAAGAAGAGGAAGAAATCGTCGAAATCGATGAGGAGGAAATGATGCATATGCTTGATGAACAATCACCGCCATTGCTGGTATGATATCAAGCTATCCACCATTGTGTCGAAAGATCTAATCCATTATTTATGCACATGAACAGCTATGTAGAAGGCTGTTTCATACAAATCCGGCGGAAGCAAACGAACTTCAGGTGCTCACAAAGGACGAAGCTCAACAGTTATACGAACGGGGGTTTGTTATGTTGGAGACTGGAAGGCTGGCTACTAACGAGCAAGTTTGGAATGGAAGATGTGCGGCGCTAGAGCTGGATGGTAGTGGTGGGATGACTGATGCTGCTCATTTTCGTGAAGGTGAAGGTGTGTATAGCCAAAAAAAAGCAGTGTACACGTCTCAAGGAAGACACATGTCCTACATGCTGCCGTCTTCCCTTTCCTCAACCAACCTCCACTTTCGCAGGTGACGATCCATACAGAGACAGAACAGCACGCACAGACCGCATCGCCTGGCTCCACCACGACAAACCACCAGGCAACCATCCAGCATTCTCATCCCTCCTCTCTCGCATGGACGCACTCAGATCCGACATATCATCCCTCCTCCATCTCTCACCCCCAACAAACCCAAACGCAACCGAAATACAACTCGCCCTCTACTCGGGCCAGCAGCAGGGTGGATATACCAAACACAGAGACGCGTTCCCGGTAGACGACATTAATGATGTGGAACAAAGACGTGTTACGGCTATATTGTATTTGAATGATTTTGCATTGAATTCGGAGGTTAGCGGCGGGTGTTTAAGGATTACGACGCCGAGTTTAGATGGTGGTGGTGGAGAGTATGTGGATGTTGCGCCTGTTGGTGGGAGAGTGGTGGTGTTTATGAGTGGGGCTGTGGATCATGAGGTGCTGAATAGTAAGGTGACGAGGGTTGCGTTGACCTGTTGGTGGAAGTAGGAAGAGCGGGAACGTATTGCGAACTTGTGGATTTTTTTCCGCAATAGAGAATATCACTGGATGAAGAATGAAGTATGGTCATGTTTGTTACATTTGGACGATTTTATGAGTTTTGCAAGTTGGTATGCAAGAGGGGCGCTTTGCTGAATAGTGGACCAAAACTTGGCATTGGAGTACGATTTGGAGGATTTGATCCAATGGGAATATGCAAGCATGAACTTCGAACTGCTGATCCATCTGGGTTGATGCTTTTTTTTCGCGAATGTATTGCTTCTGGTCAATTTCCTTACGAGGCAGCCAGAACGTGTCATTGGAACGTTTAGCCAGACCAGGACAACCACTTCAGCCTTGTGCTAAAGTAGGAGCTGTCTGATAGTGGATGAACATTGAAAAGTGAAAAGTGGATTGAGTGGATTGAGCCAGAGCGTAATGTGAGTCTTGTGTTGTTTGATCACTGAATATATTGAATAGTGTTGGTGACATTGTGCACCTTTTTGTCCTTTTTTAGATATGGGCTTGGTTCCAATGTATAAAACTGGCACCAATCGACATTCCAATGAAGGAGAACGATTTTGTCATTTGCCAGATTTGGAATTACGAATTGGGTGTTTGGTTGGAATGCAGATTGTCGAATATCCTAATAAAACTTAACAAGCATGCCACGCAAAAGGGTTCAAATACACTCAACACGCAATTCACGTTGCGAAATCCACGATGTGATCATCATGACGTCCTATTACAAGGTCTCCCAACAAATTTTACTCATCAATCAATCAGACCTGAGACTTCTTATAATCAAACCGTTTGCTACTCATTCACTGATCGTGAGGGTACTATGTGGGCTCTTAAAGGACGGAAGGATCACGCTTAAGAAAAGCAACTTCGCAGTTGATATGCCCTCTACCGCAAAGTAGTTTTTTTTCACGTTCTGAACTGGCTTTCCTTTAGATACCAATGCTGCTATATCAGCGCTTGTGGATGAAGTGAATGGCCAGTCACAACTTCGCGACAGTTGTTTTTTGCCACATCCATTGACGGTTACAATTAAACTTGTTTGAGTGCTTTCTCTTGCTATCAAGAAGAATATGTCCTTTGCGCTATCTCGAGACTGGTGATGAGAATGCTTATTACTTTTTAACCATTTTGTCTTGACATGTACATTTTTTTGCAAAGTATTACTAATTTTTGTCACGTACTATTACAGCAATTGATATAACCGATCAGCGCAAAGCAACGTTGTCTTGCTTCGTTGTTGACACGTGCAGCCGTGGTTCAGCCGAAAGTGACAGGCGTTCAAACTTCACTCAAACATCAACATACTCTGTAAACATGGAAAGGCTTCCTTCAAGTGCGTTATTAGCAGCTACAGCCGCATCAGGTGTCTTTGTCGGGCAAGCATTGTGCATCAGCATGGTTGATATCAAGGCTATGAACGAAACCATCCCAACTGTGAATGGACGTGTACTCTTCTGGCGTGTAAGTGCCAATACAATATGATATAATATAGAAATTGTTTACTAAGTTGATTCGATGTGCTTTGATACCCGGTTGATCGAGTATTCGTCGACATCAACAATCAAAATTTTGATATCTGAAACAAGCATGACATTAAAACGGCACCCAGAGACTAACAACCGCCTCTCATGTCCACTACTAGCAACTGTACAAACGAGCCGGTGTCGTCCAATTGCCACTCGCACTCTGTGTCATCTCTACAGGAAGTATCGCCACATACTTTTTGCACAGCTCTGACGCCATCAAGGAACTGGTTGCTGCATCTGCCGTCGCAACAAGTGCATTTGGATGTATTTTATTGTATACCGCTGTTGGAATCATGCCTGTAAACAAGAGGTTGTTCACAATCAATGCGGAGAAGAGTGAGGGTGAAGCTGTGGGATTGTTGTCGAAATGGGAACAGATGCATCTGGTCCGAACGGTTACGTCCAGTATTGGGTTTGGATTGTTTTTGTATACGTTGGCTGAGAAGGCTATATAAAGGATAAAGGTGGACGTGGTTGGGAATGGTTGCTGTTGTATGTGTGAAACCCGCGTGGGTCGAAGTTTCTTCTTTGTCAATAACCATATAAATGATATAAAATAGCAATTTTCTGCGTTCTGTTGTGTGCTTTGTCGCGTTCATCGTGCTGTTAGCTTCAAGCTTCAAAACTCCCACAATTGATCAAACACGATGCAGTTCTTACGACAACGACTACCGTTCCTGCAACGATGGGGCAAGAGCAAAGATCCACCGGGCCTATCAAGAATGATCCGCCAACGGAAGCTCATGTTCTATTATGCTAAATTGGCGTCGAATTATGGGTAAATCAACAACATCAACTGTCATGCTTTCAACAGTTCAAATATATTTACAAACATATTACAAATAGATGGATCTTCTATATAATCGGCATAATATGGATTTCATTATTCCCATTTCCCTTCCATCAGAACGACTACTATGTCGATGAGAACGCATTGATGCCAGCTCAGACGAGACGGTATTTTGGATATGAGGAGGCGGCTGTTGCTAGAGGCTATCAACAAGCGATGAAGGATGTGTTTAGAGATGGGAATTCGAGTGTGTATGTGTCGTTGTGGTTTGCTTTGACTGTGTTGTGGGAGATGTTTGGACTTTCTGAATAGTTTTTTGGCTCGTAGACGTGCACTATACCTTCAAACCGAACTCGCTAAACTGGGATTGGATGCAACTCATCAGGAGTTTACGATTGATGCTTGGAGTCAGGTAAGCTCATGTTAAAATCGTGTTAAGCCAAGAAATCCACAGTGCAAATCTGTGATTTGACTTCAACAGGCTGTCTCTGGAGTCAACGCATATGGAATATTCAGAGCTCCACGAGGAGACGGAACTGAGAGTATCGTTATCTCTGCTCCTTGGACTCGCAGTGATGGATCACGTAAAACTTGGAATTCAGAAACAATGTGGCAATTTTCTGATGCGTTTTTTAATCCTTTAGTAAACTTGAATGGGATCAGCTACATGATGGCGTTTGCGTCGTTTGTCAGGAGTATGTCATGATGTTTGCTACACTTCGCAATTGTGAAGATATGAATGTCGGATGTCCTTGTCATTTGGTCCTCACACACAACCTCTTGCACATAGAATGGTCATTTTGGGCCAAAGATTTGATCTTTTTAGTCACAGATGAAGGAGCTATTGGAACTGAGGCATGGTTACGTGCTTATCATGGGTTGAAGCCTGAATCGTCGAGTAAGAGATTCAAAATTTGCATTAAGTTCGCAATCATACTCTGCGTTTGACGTTTCTTTCCTCACGTCTAGGCATGAAATACGAATCACTTGAATATCACGGTGGCGTCATCATGGAGGCGATTAATATAGAGTTTGATGGTGATGGTGATTATTCACATGTTGGGATTGTTGTTGGTACGTTCACCATCTGTGGAGATATTCATTCATTCGATCGATATGTTTGTCCCTCTCGAAAATCTCAACGCAAGCCACCCTCTATCAACAATGTAGAGGGCTTGAACGGCCAACTATCAAACGCAGACATCATATCCACCGTCGTTCGATGTGCTGAATATGAAAATGTTCCTGTCGCGTTGGGTACCGAAGCACCTGCTGGGAATAGTGATTACATACCTGCGTTGAAGGCTCTGATGAAGATGATTGAGAGGCAGGCTTTGGGGTTGCCTGTTGCTAGTCATTCGTTGTTTCCAAAGTGAGTCAACCAGTGAGTCAAATCGAACAATTGGTAGGACCCTGATGGCTGAATTCTTTCCATTCAGGTACAAGATCGAAGCTATTACGATAGTTGGGATTCGAGATTCTAGTGGGAATACCCCGTTGAATATGGTTACAATAGCGAGGTTAAAAACGGTCTTCAAGTCCTCTCGATGCCAACACAAGCTCACAGATTCATTGCATCAGGTTGCTGGAGAGCACATTACGTAGTTTCAACAACCTGTTGGAACATCTACATCACTCTTTCTGGTTTTACTTTATGGCCAGTCCTGATAAATTCATTCCCATCTCGCTGTATATTGGACCTATAATTGCTTTGATTTCGCCTCTTGTCTTTCAGGTATTCACGTCCGTAGACTTTTTTTGGTCAGTTACTCACACCTCCTCGGTTTTTTCGCCAGTCATTGGCATTATGGTGGAGAGCTGGTGACTGGACATTCGACAAGCAGATACCTGAAAGTCCTCAACCAGACAAAGAGACTGGATATTTAGTTCGACCTCAGCATGTCTCGAGTTTCACGATTCAGAAACGAGAGATGCTTGTGCCTGCTGGGGTGTTGGTGTCGTCGTTTCTGGGTGGTATTGTAATGATTTACTTGCCTTCTGTTGCTAAAGCGGTGGCTAGAGAGGTGCATGTTGATGTGAGTGTCATAACAGAGTGGGATGTCTGGAAATCAAAACACATCATTATTCATTTGGGCTGGTTCATTCTTTTCCCTTTCCATTTACAGGCCATGCTAGTATTCCTCGCACTGGCTCTCACAACAGACATTCTGATAACATTCATCATCACGCCGACACTCCAAAACATAACAAGTAAATCCTTCAACACAAAACCCTCATACGAAACCTTGAACAGTGCCATATGCTCCCTCATGGCTCTCACGCTTGGATCCCTCTCAACCACGAATCCATCACTGTCACTGCTGTTAGGTGTAATCGCAGTCCCCGTAATCATATCGCTATCCCCTCAACACAAGATTATAAAATTGATCCTGTTGAGATGCATCTCACCTGTTGGGATTGTTGGTATTTTAGCTGGTGTCTGTGGTTGGGATGTTGTGCAAATGGGTCTGATTAGTGTTTTGGATGGATGGAGTGTGCATGGTGCAGTGCTGTTTCCGTTTGTGTGTTTGTTTTATGGGCCGCTAGTTTGTGCGGGGCATTGTGTAGTTATGTGAATATTATATAGATAATTTTATTTAAGGAAGAGTTGAAGTCATGTTTCTCTGCTATTGTGTGCTTTTCTTTGGGGGTTAAGAGAATGGCTTTGGTTGAATTACTGTGATAACACCTTTACTGGTCATACTGTGGTGAACTGAATTGGGTTTCTTTGAAACGATTAGATTGCCATACCCATCCGATTTCGAGGATGATGATCACACTAGGACTGGCCACATTTTGTTAAACACTTCGACATTTACACACACTTGTTGTAGAACGCGTCCGAGATGCCGGTTGGTCCAGATGATTGGACCCGTATGGATTTCATTATTTCCTCTTCCCTTGCACCAAAATGGCTGCTATGTTGATGAGAATGCCTCAAGGCATTCTCAAGCTAGACCGTGCTTTGGATATGAGTAGGCGGCTGTAGCTAGAGTGTTTCAACAAAGGAATCAAGAGATGGCAATTTGATGGTGAATTCAAGGTAAACGCAAATACCAAATTTTACAAAAATAACTCAAAAAACGCACTTATGATGATGTTGTCCTGACGATTCCAAACGGAGTATTGTTGAGGGTACAAATCACCACTAATTGTTCTAATCTCATGAAATAACAAGCTTGATTTGTTAGTCCATTTTCCAAACACTTCACACAGTCAAGCAAAACACAGAGGCAAACTTTAAAACATGTTCAACAACCAGTATGACGATGCAGAATACTCTATATATTTAAGCAACCACCATACCACCAAAACTTCCAAACAATCTAACAAACTATTTATCCCACCAATTAGCATTTGCCGTCGACGGAGCAGGCAATGCACCTGCATCACTCGTCACTGCCTTTTCCGTAGCAGCAGGACCACGATTAGGCAACCTGGGTGGCGGCGGTTGCGGTGGAGTCTTGACTGTAGCAGCAGTCACATTCGTCCTCAAATCCTCCCGCGCAAAACTCGACTGCACTGGCGGATACGATATCGTTGTTGCTGCACTCGTTGTACTAGCCAAACTAGCATTACTACCAACATTACTAGCAACTGGTTTAGCTTCAGTTGGTTTACGACCTAAATCCTCTCTAGCATACGTTGCCGGCACAGTAGGATAGTCATTGGCTTTACGTGATGGTGGCGGTATCGGTGGCGTTTTGAGGACTACGCCGCCATTCGAGGTCGGGAACATGTTTGGATTACTGCTATTGCTAGGGAGTTTGTTGTCTCTTCTTGGTGGGAGAGCAGGTGCAGGTTTACTATCTTTGATAGAGATGTTCTTGCTGGTGCCAGCGCGAGCCTTGTAGAGGTCAGACCGTATCTTTTCTCGTTTCGGGCGGTCGATTACAAGACATTCTACTTCAAAGGCACCACGGACTGGTCGGTGGTCTGATGAGTATAGTTCTGCTCGATCATACTCTAGCAGGTTGATCTACGTGAAAAGAGCATAGGCGTGAGACTGAGGAGTCATTCATCGGCAAAAAAGGATCCGCGACAGAGTCTTCATGACAGGGAGCAGGCCCATTTTCTTGACAACGAATGATGAAGTTTCAGAATAGTACTTACACCACGCCCCCTCCACAACACACGATCCGTCCAAGCAGGGGCTCTGGCCTTCTCGCCAGAATCATACGTATCGGTGCCATTATCGTACTTGTACGTGGGTTTAAACCTTATAGGACCTTCGTGGAATCCTTCAAAAGCAGCTCCATCTTTACGCATCTCATGTAACTAAAGTGAGAATTGTCAATTGAGCGAAACGGTTTTTTTTTTGCGAATTTGAATGCAAGCAAGTCATACCTGGTCATACAAGTATAAATGATCCAACTGATTCCGATTCACGTAATCTCGTACTTCCTCGTTCGTTAGATTGATTCGGTAGTTGAAGTCGCCCAGCCAGAATACCAAACTATGAAAATAATATGGTGGTCAGGAAACGCACAAAAAAATGAGACATATCGTAGCAGGATGGCTTACTCATGATCCTTAACCAGCTTCCCTCTAAAATCAAGGCCATCAGTAATAGTCCTATAATCTCGATTCCTCTCATCTACGTTTTTCTCGCCTAAAAAATGACAGACAAAACATAGTCAGAACAAATTACGCAAAAAATCCAACAAGTAGACCGCAAAATTGCTTACCAGCAGCCAAATGCGCCGACACAAAGCACATGCTCGTATCATTAAAATTCAACGACACACTAACTCCACCTTTATTACCAGCCATACCACCCATCCCCGTCCTCTTCATCGACACTTCCACGTTGCGTATCCGTTCAGCATGTTCAGGCCTAACAAATATGAATATGCCTAACGCCACGAGATGCAGCGATCTCAGCAAGACATACGGGACACGTGATGTCTTGTTGATGGCGTCTAGGAGCGTAGCGTCCCATCGTTGGCGGAGCGCTGCTGTGTCGGCGGTAATCATTTGGTTTGCTGTGAGTTCAATCATTTCTTGGATTCCAAGGACGTACATGTCAGGTGATTTTGCTAATTGGGGTGGAAAGAAATAGGTATATCACGATGAGCCACAAGACGATCTGGAGAAGTTGTCAAAGGATTGGATATCCACAACCACTAACACATACCACGCTCGGACACCAGCCACCGTTCCAACCGATCACCTTCACCACCCTTGCCATTCACATTGAATGTGCCAACCACAACATTAATCTTATTCTTTGACGAATACTCGTTCGACCGCTTCTCCATCTCGGCAGCGACTTCTTCGTATAGTGGATTTCGTAGAAGTATCGGGTCAGATTGGAGTGTTGTTTTGCCGAGCAGAAGATCAATTGCTTCTTGTCTAAAATGCAAAGAGCAATTAGATCCTGGAATGACAAAAAATATTCACCGGAAGAAGGCGAATATGAGGAAACCTCAGTAGTACACACCTGCCCTTATCCTGAAAATTATTAATGTAAAACCGATTTACAGACTTGGCTGCGTCAGTGACGAATCCCATCAAGGTCTGTTTGCCCTTCCGAGTATATGCTGATTTGATGGCACCTGTTCCGGTATATATCTTACTCAGCATGTCTGCATTCTAAAGTAGAAATCAGAAGATGGATGTCAGCGATACAATTCCGAATAGAATACATCCTTGTTTTGCGTTTGATACGTCAACACATACATCAGCCCATAGATTATTATACAAATCCACAAACGTGACATCTTCAGATGGATTAAACCCAGATGTATCAGTGGATGCGACGTGCTTTTCGATAATGTAGCGTGCGAGGAGACTATTGAAGAAACCAGTTAGCAACCAGCAAAAAAGACACTCTATGGATATCAGGTCATTACCATTCAATAACATTAGTCCGATCCAAACAATCCAAACAATTAATCCTCATAACTCCATTTTGTTGTGCGACTGGATTCCCACTTTGCGTGTCAGCAAGAAAGTAGGAGAAGTCATCTAGTGATGCTCGGATATCTGGTTTTTGGAGTAGGATGCTCAACTGAAGAAAAAAGGAGGAACGTGTGAGACTTACAAAAAGCCGTACTCGGACAAGCATTTAATGCTACTTGTTTCAGGTACCAACTCACTCGATCATAATCACCCTGCTTAACAACCGCATGGAAATCAAATGGCGTATACGGTATATACATCTTTTGGTCCGTGAGCGCTCGTATATGATACCGGTATGCTTCTCCTAATCCGATTTCAGCCGATGATGGATTCTGAGATAGCAGATCTATGATATGGACCTTATCGTATCGTTCTTGTAGTTCCTGTGATGAGAGGCAAAAGAAGTTACTGTCTCCGGTGCATCAGGATGCTCTCTTTTGGCCCTGGGTTTCTGAATTGGCTCTCAGAAACATGAATCACACTCACCAAGAAGTGCTTTCTCACTGCTGGAGCAGTAGATTCAGGACCTCTGGCGATATCGATTTTAGTTTGTAGCTAGTCAAGAGAATGAGATTAAGACATGTTCGACTGTAGAGCAGTGTTCCAACATCACTCACTTGAACTCCAATCTGCTCCCAAAATACGGGTACTAGCAAACAAAAATGAGCCACTATCAAGAATGATTGATTGCCTTCAAAACAATTGAGGCTTACCACTTCCACGGATTTGCAGAAACGACAGCACGTAATACTTGGTGTAAAACAAGAACTCGCTCTAATGGAAAGAACCGAAACGAGTTAACTCACTCGTAGGATTGAATGGATCGCCGAAGACCAAAAAATCCGAGCAGGATCATTTCAGCATCGCTGGCATACCTCAACGAAATTCGACACATGTCCATCATCATTCAAACCCCTCGCATTAAACCTCGTGCCCGCCTTCTTACAACTCAACCGACTAATAATAGCCATCCTAGCCATAAAACTTCCCTGTCTATAATCCACCATCCCCACAAACCCCTGCATGATCTGTACCAGACACCCGCCCTTGTCCACCTCCACCTTCTCATCCATACTCAGCTCCTGCTCCCTGACTGTCAACAGCGGACTCAGCATATGTCGATTCCACACGAAATGAGAATCAGCATTCTCGAATAAATTACTCCATGGCTTATCATCGAATGATATCGGGGACGCGAACGGGTCTTGTGAGTCCTTTTTCGTGCCGCTCGTGTAGCGTTTCTGGGCTGCACGGGTGAGGTCGTATGTGGGCGAAAAGTAGAATGAGCCGGTTGAGAGGAGTTTCATTAGGGCGGAACATGGGTGTGCGAATGCTGTTGGTGGCTCTTGTTGGTCAGGATTGTTGGAGGGGATTAGGACGAGTTGGTTGGAGGGGTGGTCGTCGTAGCGTGAGTTTAGGAGAGAGTAGAATGCGACCTTGTTGATTTTGAAGATTGGGGATCCTTCCAGGTCGCCCACCTGCATGGCATAGAAAGCGTTAGCAGTTCATATGTATAATCAGCAGTTTACATTTCATGTGAAAGTTGAGTGTCGATCTGCGGGCAAAAACCCTTCTAAGCCGGAAAGAACGTTGTGCTGCTGTCATCAACATGCCTTTGTAGCATCCGTAACAATTCCAACAAAGAAATCTATCATATAAAGACATCGTAAGACTCCAGATCTACCCTTGAACGCATTCCTCACCCACAAAACACGTCCCTCAACCACATCCACTGAACTCACCGTCCAATATCTGCAGCAACCCCAAACACCCAAACACTGGCTTATTCTGCAGCAGCGAATAAGTTTCATATTTCAACGTCTCACTTGGCTGGAATCTCGCTGTACACGTTGGTCCCTTGCGTCCCGACGAGTTTAGATCTTCCAAGACGAGAGCAAGTCTGCCGACATTTACAGCGGGTCGTATAACGATTGATCGTGTAGGGTAATCACAAGCGAATAGCATGGATTGTTGGTTCATTGTGTGAGATTCGGTGTGGCGATTTGCATTCAGGATTGATGGACCTGTGTTTTGATGTTTCGTAAGAATGGTGACGTATGAGACAGGGAGGGAGGCAAGTAAGAAGCAGGTTCCGAAATTACATGAATTGGTTTGCGTGTGTATGACTTATACGCACCATTGAAGTTTCTTACAGGGAAATCGACAAGAGCCATGTAAATTCCAGATTCGACAGGACGTTCAAGACACAATTACAAGGTCTTATATGACTCTGATACGGTGAAGCGATAGCGGATATGGTAATTACCAGCGAATTCCTGTCTGCGACTAGGCTCTTTCCGGTTCTAAATGAAATATGAAAGGTTGCAGTGCCGCTTCCTCTTTACATGACGGTCGTTCTATCAAAACCTCGGCTGTTACGCGCTTTACGCGTGCTATTGAATAGTATGATTGTTGAAATAGCGACACATGTCGTTAATTCCTAATCTTCAATACCATGAAAGTGTAGCTTTCCCACCTTCATTCTTCAATTGCCAAAAAACATAAAACATCGCATCAAGACATCCAAAGACAACGATGTCAAAGCGCATCATACGCATATTAACCTTCGGAGACTCATTAACTGAAGGCAAGTCCTAACCGTATCGCTATCTCTTGGAAGTTTTGATCATCAGCGTCACATTACATAGGATGGACGAACGGAATTAATTTCAACCCATACGCATACCAAATGAACTCTCGCTTCATGAATGATGTGAGGTTCAAGCCGTTTGATGTCAAGGTTGTTCAGAAGGGTTGGAGAGGGGATACTGTATTGGGGAGAGGAGCTATGTCTGATAGGTCAGACCGTCAGTTTTGAAGGTCGATAGTGAGGGTGTCGCTGACGTGATGCGGTTGTTAGGCTGTCTCAAGTCTTGGAGTTGGCTAAACTGAGGAATGAGGGATTTAGTTGGGTTGTTGTGTGGGGTATGGCAGTTCATTGTTTGAGCTTCGCTACAGAGCTACAAGCGTTAGTTTCACTACTGAGCAATTTTCTTGGCTCTCCCGACACTCGCTAGGTGGTGGTAACGATTTCGCAAATGGAACGCCTCCAGAAGATGTATTCGAGGGTCTCAAGACCTTATGGACAATGTGTATAGATCATGGAGCTCATGTGCTTGCTCTTCCGATGTTAGAGGTTTGTACAGCCAAAAGAGTACAGGTTCGTATTCTGCTCCTATCCTTATTCCCCCTCTTGACTAGAACGCGTACAGAGGAGACGGAGTGAGGCTGAAATACAACAAGCTGATATCGTAAGTTGTGATGTGGTCGTTAGTTGAGAATGCAAGTATTAATTACACTGATTGTGTCGTTTTTCTTGCTATAGAGAACATCAAGACCCCAAAGTTCATTACTATGATCTCGCAAAGGACTTTCCATATCATTCGCTATCAAAGGATGATAAGAAGGCTTTATTCGAGGATGGTGTTCATCCTACTGAAGCTGGTTATGGTACGTGTCCCCATCGACATTAGCTGGGCTTTACTCATCTTTTCTTCTTCCCCAGATAAAGTCGGTGATCTAATATACGAGCATTTGGCTCCCCTAATACTATCTGATGCATCAAGTTCTTCAACACTGTAACATGTGACGAACCTAATATATCCTTTTTTTTGCTATTGTTGGGCACCTCTAAAAAATCTAATATTTGTACTATTGTTTTATCTACAAACGGAGTTATTAAAATGTGATTGTTTTTGATTTGTTTGCTTGAGTGTGAAAAGTTAATCATCTCCTTCCTCTTCGTCTCTTGATGCCTTATCACGCAATGGGACCTACATGAGCAGCGTGTGAGAAGATGGCAAAAAATTAATTAGTTGATAGATTTACTGGTCTTAACAAGAACACTTTACCTCATCATGACCATCTCCACTCGCATCATCAAGGATTTTAGGCCACCTAATCTTTTTCTTTTTCCTGAGCATACGAAGCCTGAACAAGTCAATGCCGACGCCTAGTGATATGCCTACTACACTTCCGCCCAGATTGGCCTATGTACAGGACAAAGTGAGGCTTTGAGTGGTGATGAATGCAATGTGTTGGAGATACAGTTGCCAGGATCATATATGTAGTGATGATGCCTTGTTCTGCTGAAACGAATGAATGTGGCGGTTTGACAGGCACACTGCCACCACACGTACCAAAAAGTCGACAAAGTCTGGTTTCCTATCCTACGAATCACAAAGACGAGAGTAGTAAGCATGGTTGTAATTCCTTCACATCATCCCATTCAACATAATCCCAGCATCACACCCCACTCACCGGCGACAGAGCCTGTACAATCTCTCCAATCCCACTCGCCAGAAACATACACACAATCGCAAACCTCGTCGATTTAGCAACCCCGAGTTCCAGCACGGCATAAACCAGAGCAGACAATATAGCAAATCCCAGGAAATGTAGGAGCTTGTCATTGTGAAGCCATGCAGGGAGTATCTTGTTGGCTACTTCTGATGGCGACATGCCGATGAAGAGGAGACAAAACATCATCACGGTGGCGGCTATAAGCGGAATGAATCTCATGGTGACGGGGTTAGCATTTAAGGTATGCGATGTGGGATTTGATGGTGTCTGTTCTTGAATTATCAATTTGAGGCTTTTGATTCGGACGATTGTTCACGACCAGGACTGAAGCGTAGAGCACGTTCGGCTGGAATTCACACGGCGTCTTGGTCGACTATATTTTCTTTCTTTAGCTTGTCCCTGTATTATTATCTGATTTGCTTTTGGTCGTGAAAGTTTGATTTGGAGTCAAGTTTCAAGTACATTACATATCCAGGTACAGACAACTTAAAACCATCAAAATACGTGTTTTATAACGTACAAATGCTCTCTACCCTCCTCTTTTACTAACTATAGATCTCTCGCATCATAGACATTTCGACATCAACCCAGCATCTCCATTAACTAGACTGTCCCAACACTTTGACATTCCACCTCCATGAGCGCGACGGCATCAACCCCAAGAGGCGATAGATGGTCTCGCAGACTATCCTACCTCGATGCCTTCCCCAAAATCGAAAAGAACATCACAAACGCATCGGGATCTGGAGGAGTGGTCTCAATCATTGTCACAATCTTCTTAGCCTACCTCATACTGTCTGAACTGATAACTTGGATGACGTTGAAACAAGAATATGAGTATCTGGTGGATCAGACTCCTAGTTCGGGAGGTGCAGGGTTGTTGATTAATGTGGATTTGACTGTTGCGATGCCGTGTAATGGTATGTGGGATGTCTTGAATGTTGTAGACTACTTAAGTGGCTATTAGTAATCCATTTTTTGCTTTAGCGCTGAGAGCTGACGTATTGGATGTCTCTCAGTCATCTATTCATATTGAGGAATTCAAGTTGGTTGATGTAAGCAAACAGTGCCCACCTGTCAATCATACACGATTCTGATGGTTTGATCTCCATTTAGACTGTCTTTTCGTCGGCTGGTGCTCATCAATATACGTAAGCATGCCAAAAGAAATCGAACCATCAACATTCTACTACCTCCAACTTTGACCACCTCCTCACTCACACGTCAAACTCCCATAGAAACTCAAATCCAACGCCACCACCTCTCAATGTCCATGAACTGCTACGGAATGCTCAAAGAGGAGGCCATGCTCTGCATTTCAGGCTTCCCAGTATTGGTGGGGAAGGTGAGCCAAAAAGCCTGATGGTATTATGTCTTGTACTCACATATGATTTATCAGGTCGTCCCAAAGGTTGCAGGATATACGGACAAGCTCCAGTCAAGAAACTATCTGGAATGCTTCATATAACAGCACTAGGACATGGATATATGGGCCAACATGTTGATCATGAACGTGAGTGGTTGATGCCAAAAAGCCTTTATAGACGAACTATCGTAGTGATCTCCATTTCGTAGTCATGAACTTCACACACCGTATCGACAAGCTTTCATTTGGACACTTTTATCCTGGATTACACAATCCATTGGATTTGAGTATTGAATATGCCACTGGTCGTAAGTTACTTCATCCATTCTAACTTCTTGTCCTTTTTTTGTTGCCAACAAATCTCGTCCTCAATAGCATTTGACATGTTTCAATACTTCATATCGATAATACCGACGATATATGTTGAGCCTGGTCTCTTGGCAGATAATGCGATTTTGACGAATCAGTATGCTGTTACTGATTATCAGAGGAGTATTGACCATTCAAAGGGCGCTCATGGTACACCAGGTAACTTTGCTGACTTTGATAGAGCACTGGGTGGCTTTGTTTGTGACCAAGGAGTGTTCAGAGGAGATTGTCAAGTCTATCATAAACATGCAAAGATATTCTAGTACTTTCAATGCTCTTTTGTCGTTTTGCTGACGTACACATCCTTTCTCTCGAACATAGGAATCTTTATTCGATATGACCTGGAAGCCTTGTCAGTACGCATTACAGAGACAAGGCAAACGTTCTTGCATTTCTTGACTAGGCTGTGTGGGATTGTCGGAGGTAGGATCTGATGCAAAAAAGTCAAATGCGAGATTCTTACTTATCGTTGAACTGCTTCGCTAAACACTCACTCGCTCTTACCCAACCTACTAATCAACATTAGGTGTGTTTGTCACAGCTGGCATGATACTGAACTTTAGCTTGTGGATTGGCAGTCTTCCACAAGCAATCCTGAATGGTGACTTGGCGGGTGATTCAGATCAATGAGACATATGGGAGCAAATCAAACAAGGGTAATATAATTTGGAGGACTTGGGCATTGCCTAATTCCATTCACTTCACGAAAATATTGTATATGCACTATTATTACAGATGGCATCATTGAGGAAGAGGTTGAAGTAGGCGTTGAAGCATTTGTTAGTCCAGTATGTCAGCGTTTCATATTGTGAAATACATTCAAAAGCAAGCGATGATACTTTAAACTATTTAACAAGTAGCGATACTGTGCTTACGCAGCTACTTCAAGACTGTATACTAATTTCCGAGAGAAGGCGTCCGTGGTGTAACAAGAAACTTCTCACCATCGCAGAAAACCGAAAAGTAAGCGTTCTCCTCCATTTGAGGATCCATCAACTGTAGCTATACTGTAAGACGTTACGGACTCCTTGACGGACACCCTTCCCCCTTAGGATTCTTTACAACCCACAAACCCGCCTACACCTTGACAACCCAGCCATAAGGGCCATAATGTTCCCAACTGAAATCCTCGCCATAGTGTTCAAACATGCATACGATTATTCTGGAGTCATTGACTATGCTACATTGGCTGCTGCTGCTCTAGTGGAGACAGTGGAACGACGCGGTATGTCCCAACATCAAACGTCTCCAGTTTCGGTTGTTGGTGTCATGAAGAATAGTCTACGGAGGGCTGATGCTTCAACTGCATTCTCAGGCACTCAGATACTTGTATCAGGAACTACCTCCGGCCAAAGATTCTGGAAAAAGCTTTTGTACGCATGATCTCAATGTGTTGTTGCAAAACCGTAACGCATTTGGTCAGGACGCTTTGCATCACGTAAGAAAACTCTCTTTTTGTGGAATTGATGAGAATCATGGAGGTATTGCTAGCCATCGTTGGTGGTAGGTACCGTTTGCAAACATTTATTGGTTTATATTGGATACTCACAATCATTCAATTTGCCGTCTAGTATCAAACGAAAAGAGCTCCTGCTGAGCCGTGAAATAGTAAACGCGACCTTTGATCGCTCTCCAAAACTCGAAGAAATCAAGGTCTCTGGATACTTGGAAGCCACTTTGGAGCGCACTACAAGCCTGAAAAAGATAACTCTGCAGATTGGCATCTACTCATCTCATGAACGCAGATACTACAATAAAGAGATGGACTTGGATGTCGTTACTACATTTGCTGTAAATAATCCCATTTGTCAAGTGAGCATACACATCGATGGTGTATCGCCGGCCCCAGCTATGGTAACTGCTGTTGAAGAACTTCCAATTCATGAATTCAAGGTTATCGCTACTCGTGGCATTGAATTTGCTCCGCCTCTGGGCGCACTACGGGCTTCAAGTATCAACACCTTGAATTCCTTTCATGTTGAGGCCCGGTATGAGTTGCATCGTAATAATCGGGATTGGGACTTTCCGGGTGATTGCTGGGATTTATCACAATATACAAAATTGAAGGGTGTCGCTGTCTTTGCCAAATACCGGCATGTCGAAACACTAAAGGGATGCCAGGTCTTGAGGATTGGCCATGACGAAATCTAGTCTAGAAGTGCTTGAAGTTTGTGGTTTGGACACTGATGTCACTTTAAACGCACGTTTGCGTCGCTTTGAATGTTTGAATTGCACGAATCACGAACACCTGAAAATTTCGCTGTGCATAAGGTGTACTGCCTTCGTGTCTCTTGTCGTCTCCTCTTCTACATAATTTGAAAACAGCCAACAAGCTCGACTAAACAGTTTTGGCTTTCATGGATGTTTCGTGAACTGGATAACAAAATACACACCAAACTACAAATATGTGCAAATAAGCTAATACCAAAAATACAGCAATGTGAATGAGTAGCAATAAATTACAACTACAGTATATGCAAACGACGAAGCCCAAAAAAGCCAAAAGTGTAAATCGAGTGAAGCTTAAGCAAAAGCATGATTCACAACACCTCTGATCTTGGAATCCTAAAACGCAATTTTGATTGATGTGAGTCGTTTGCAATATTCGTACCAAGTAAAAATGAATCACTTCAGAGCTGTGAACAGACATTTCATCAAACAGAACGTCACACACATTAACACTAAACCTTCTCCTATGATGTATAAAGCAATGCTCGAAGACCTCCTGCAACCTAAACGCATTCCTATTCCCAATACACTCACACCGATACTCCAACCTCTCAACATCGTCCATCTGTAACGAATCCCGCAAGACACCTTTCATACGTCCAAACTCCTTCGCATATACATCCAGCCATACATCAGTCACACTATCTGGATTATCGGGGAGTGATTCGAGAATGTCATCTTCAATGTTTTCAAACAACGTTGGTGTTGATGGTAGGATGATATTTTGCTGATGACGAAGATGAGTGATCTTCTTACGAAACATGTCGTTTACGGTAGTGAGAAGTTGAGGCGTTATCTGTTCCTTGATTTTGTATGTGAGGGCATTGAAGGCTCTTGTGGTGCTGGGGAGTGGTTTCTTGATTGCGGCCTTCCAGGAAGGTGACGCAACTACAATGTCGATAATGGAGTCATCACACCAGTCTAATTTCATTACTCGGTTTCGTAAATCGTTATATAGTGATTCACGATCTCGTCTAGCAAGACTTCCAAAAAATTCCTCAGCCTTGACTTCCATACTTGCAGCGATTTTGACATCGTTTCCTGATTCTCGTTTATGTTTATCAAGGGTAACATTTACGAGCCAGGCAGAAACAGCGTCTTGTTTCAATGCTGCTTCATAGTCTGATAAGGCGGCGTTTACGTCTGCGACGAGATAGCGAGGACCTTTATCGTCTATACCACGAGCACGATTGAGCTTATGTGGAATTGATGGGAGATGTTGGTATGCGATTTGAGGGACTGCGTGGTCGTCTTTTAGAGCTGTTGTGCTGACTGTTATGTCTGATATGCAAGCGTGGCAGCGACGAGTCTTCCATTGCCAGTATATGTGTCTAATAGAGGAGAGTAAAAAAGTCAGTTATGAATTCTTGAAATGCTGCGGCAGCAGTCATCGCAACTTACACTCCAATACTCTTTTTACAAACTTGACAAGCATGATTCATCAACAGCAACGAAACCTGTCTCTTGGATATCCCAAATACAGATTGCACCCACGGTAGCTTTCGTTCAACAGCCTTCTTCCAAGTCTCGTCATCCTGCAACAGTTGAGACATTGCCTTACTAGTTGCAGCAACACGAGACAAGTCGACAGCCGATAGATGTCTGGAGCCTAGGAGTCTCCATGTTTCGAGTGGTAGTGTGTCAAGGCTGCGTTGTCGTTTATGGAGTTGTTGTTGTTCTTCTTCGTCGTCGTCGAGTATTAGCTCCTCTTCTTGTAGCTGCTCATCATCGGAATCAGAGTCTACAGAAGACAGGTCTGATTCATCTCCTATAACAGTGGATGATATTCCTGAAGAAGAGTGTCGTGATGGCGTATCGGTTGTTGTGGTAGTGGTATGATGTGGTTGATCACCACCACCATCATCCAAATCTTCAGGTTGAATCTTCTTGCGTTTACGACGTGGATGATTCGAGCTGTCGTCTTCAGAATCACTGCCTATAACTGGTTTCCGTTTACGATACAGTTGATTCAAGCCTTTGACTACTTTGGAGATGTCGTCTTCAGAATCACTGTGTATAACTCGTTTCGGCCTATTACGATGTAGCTGCTTCAAGTCCTGTCTATCTGCAGCTGCAGTGTTGACAGTTGATGTCTCGTCATCAGAGTCGCTATCAATGACTCGTTTTGAGCGTTTGCGAGTATAAGTCAACATGTTTGAGAGCCATAAATATAAATATGACGATCTAAGATATGATACACCGTGTATTAGCTTGAAAGTCAGAAGTTTCCCAAAAACACATGTTTTGACGTTCTGTAAAAAACACTTGGAAGCTTGGTACGTGCCTTATTTAATTGATGTGAGTCAAACCTTGCATGCCTTGATCAAGTATACTCATACAAGCTGTGCTTTCTCTATAGCTTCATATTGATCTTATATAGCTTGGATAGCTGTTTATTCAGGAAATGGTGAAGAAGAGGCTTCCACCATGCCCAACCTGTACATCACGTAAATACAAGAAGGATGATCTAGGTTTCTATGTCTGCGAGAATGGACATCAGTCTCTGGTATGCTGCACAACGTGTTGTATGCTGTGGCTGTTTGACATCAATAGGATGATCTCAACGATTCCATGTTCTGTTTTGCTTCTCTATCTTATCAGGCTTATCAAGAAGAGCAAGGAGACTATGAAAGTATTCAAACCACTGGTCGACGGTCTACTGTACGGAAAGGAGGACGTGGTGTAAAGGCTGCCAAAACGCCAGGTATATTCGTCGCTGATGTCGCCAAAGAACACACACACTATATCTAGCTTCAATGGCAAACGACCTTTTGTCCTTCTAGAAGAAAAGCTCGGCCACAGAACTGCAGACGCACAAGCAATCCTGGAAGCAATCCAATACCTGCTGAAAAAGCAAACCGAAGCTCTCATACGCATCGCTCATCTCCCACCCGAACTACGCGACATTATCCGAGATTTATGGTTTATGAGTGTATCAATGATCGATATTCCCGAGACTGATATCGCTACGGGTGTATCAGACGATGAGTCACGAAGTGGTAGCAGAGTGTCAACTCCTCAGACACGCGCTGATAGTGACGATGAGGATGGTACACAGCACGCAGCATCACATGGAGAGACCGATACTGAGATGATTGATGGTATGGAGACACGGTCTAGTGCCTCGTCAGCAAGTCATGTTAATAGACCGAGCAGTACTGCTGGACCTAGTAATCTTCCAGTGCTATCACGAGTATTAGAAAAGGATGATGCAGAGTCAACTGCTACTTCTGGTAAAAGGTCAATCAAATCACGGAAATTAACAGATCGATATACAATCACATCTCTTGGGTTTGATCATGCACATCGGTTGGCGATACTGTATTTGGGATGTTATTACATGCAGCTTGCTATTTTTCCTTCCGATATTCTCAGGTATAGTGATTGGAGAGCGCCTTTTTTTGTTTCGCCATGCGTACGGTCGATCACCAATCCATTGCCAATTATCATTTCCCCCAGGTGGTGCGGATCAGGCGCAATCCCATACTGGTCATCACACCTCATACTTCCAGAACACATCTGTGTCCGCCTATCCAACGAAGCATCGAACTTTCGACCACGACAGTTGCCGGACTTGATTGATTTCGAAAAACTCGTTGTACGAATAGCCAAGAATTTGGGAGATCATTATCATATTCAGTGGCCGGACATAAATAGACCTGTGTTGCTGATGAGGCTGTGTAGGGAGTTGGACTTGCCAGGTAATATGGATATCTTCTTGCAAAGTTGGGCTGTTTTTGCGCCACAATACATTTCACTCACAATTACTCTCCTTCGTCTTGACTCCACTTTCTCTTCTCAATCACAGTCGAAGTATACGTCCTAGCACATAGGATCATGCAACTAGGACATACATTAGAAAGGGCTCATGTAGGAGTATACAAGTATACACCTCTTTCATCGCCATTGCTTATGGCTATGCAGTTGTGTTATGCTAATGTAGACAAGGAGAAGAACAAGATAACAAGTAGGAAGAAGAGGAATGATGATGAGGAGGATGATGTGGCATCGACGATTCCCGATTTGGTGTCTACTGAGACCCTGGCTGAAAGATTGATGGATGGGTATCGGAAGCCTATGTGGCTGTGGGATGAAAGGTGTGTAGTGTGTGGTCCGTTTAAGAATTTGTCGGTAAACTCGAACGCTTTTGTTTGCTGTATTTAGTTTTTTCAGCCTCGCTCAATACTTTGCATCCGTCAACTACTAGTGATATCGATGGACCATACAATCATTTAAAAGAAGAGTATCTAGAGTGGGCTCGTCGTGAGAATTTTATTGTACCTCAAGTCTTGATTGATACATGTGAGATGGTTCATGTGGTCATACGATCTCATACGGCATCTGAACATTTCTTTTTTGGTGAATAGATTCACGAGAATTGAGCAAACACGTCCCAGCAGGACCCGTAACCCAACCACCATTAGAAGACTTCATGCCAGTCAGATCTCTCATTCTTGCTGGACCTGATGTGGACGCCACTCCAAATCGCTCATATAGCAGTGACAATGAAGATGACGAACCCAGCAACAACACTGACGAAGCACTGGCATACAGGATATACGACTCGAACGACCTCTTTGGGGCGCTTCCTGTATGGTTTGCGACTGCAATCAAGAGGCTTTGTGTGCTTGTTTGTGGAGATGAGCATACCATGTTGCGGGTGCTTGGACTCTATGAGAGGAGGGTTGAGAAGGATTTGGGGTGGTTGAAGAATGTTTTGTGAGCGAGTAAACAATGTATAAATATGTGTGCGTTGCTTCCTTTTTAACTGCTGTGGGATTTATGGGCCGGACGTGTATAAAGTGTGTAAAGCATTGTAGAAAGCGTGCACGTATATAGATATTAGATCTCGTATAATCTAAGCGAATCACGAAACACAAAACGCGTCGGTGTTGTAGCTTTGACTGGCGAAAAAAAATCACGAATACTCACATTGCATTACTGCCATCCTTCATTTTAGCTTACTCCTTTACCCCACAAACCAATCCCCCAACAATGAGTTTATCCACACTCAAGCTCGCCATTACCAAGAATAAAGGCCTCACTGCCCTCATCGCAGCATCAGCAATCTACCTAATCACCACTCCCCGTGTCGAAATCCCCAAACGAAAGAATGAACAGACTGGTGCAAACGAGACCGATGGGGAAGCGCAAAAGAGACTGGATAAGAGGTTTAGTGCTCAGATCATGTACGTGTATTATTGATTTGACTTGTAACATTTGGGGGTTTGCATTTTCGGGCATTTCAATGATGGGCTTTTTCACGTTGGTTGCCCTCAACACTGTAAGATCAATCGGATAAAAGCGCTGAATTATGTTGATCTCTTTAGGCGGTTGCTTCCAATCCTGATACCTGGTAAGTACATGCTCGTGTGAACGCTGATGACGTGGTAAACCAACGAGTGCTAACAATGTTTCGTTTATAGGCTTATTCTGTAAAGAGGTCGTGCTGATCGTATCGCTGGGAACTATATTGATCTTTAGAACATGGTCAGTGTGTTGTTGCTGTTTGACACGTCAACAGGGTGCGCATTTTCTAACCGTTTTTTATTCGTTGACACATATGCACTGTATTAGGCTCGACATATGGTTTTCAGGATTCAATGGACTTGTAGTCCGTGCCGTCGTATCACGAGATCGAGAGGCGTTTATAACGCTTGTTGTTATGGAGTTTGGGATGATGATGTAATATTCTTCATGTTTTGGATGTTTCTTTTGATGGTTGAGCTGACACGTTGTTTCGTGTGTTAGGTGGCCTATGAGTGTAAGAGAAAGCTTATATGTCCTTTGATATTCGCATTTTTTTTAGCACTCGAGGTTTCGAGGTCTGAAAGGGATTCACGTATTTAGGTGACGAATAATAGTCTGAAACTAAATATCAGTGCTTTGGCGCTGGCGTTTCGTGATCGGTTGACTAAGGTATACGGCTGTTTGCATGATTTGTCCTTTTTTGCCAGTCACTCACTAACATATCACTATCTTTTCTTGTCGAATCAAGTATGCACATGACAAGTACTTCAAGGTACATACAAGCTGTATTCCGCTCTCTTTTTGCTGAATGATTAAGACATGACGCCTGATCTGACTTCCCAACAAAAACCTTCCAGGGCATAACATTCTACAAAATATCAAACATTGACAACCGAATCCAGAATGCTGATCAGCTACTCACTCAAGTAATCGTTCACTTCTCCTCTTCTGTTTGTTCCTGTCGCATAACTCATCCCACACAACGAAACTAGGACATTGACAAATTCTGCGAAACACTCTCCCACATATACTCTGATACAGCCAAACCCGTCGTGGATATATTCTTGTTTTCGTACAAGCTGGGACAAGCGCTAGGACCTGAAGCGCCGTTTGTCATGATTGGGTACTTTATTGGGACTGCGGTGCTGTTGAGAGCGTTCTCACCTCCGTTTGGAAGATGTAAGTGAAATAGGAAGAGCTGGCTCTTTTGAGAAGTTGCGGCAAACAAGTACTGGACCAAAATCGATTAGGGGGTCGTTGACGTTTCTTTTTTGACATCCTACTTTTGTCGATAGTAACTGCTCAAGAGCAAAAGCTAGAAGGAGATTTCAGGTTTACACATTCACGGGTTATTACACATGTATGTGTGATGTTCATACAGAGGGATAATTTGAGCTAGACTGCATACGTCTTCATTAAGTCCTGATGCTCATTTTGCTCTCGCCTGTGTAGTCCGAAGAAATAGCATTCTATGGTGGAAACCAACGTGAAAAGGCAGTTGCGAATGCCTCATTTGATCATATTGTTAGACATCAGGATAGGAGTATGTATTTTGAGTAAACCGAAAACACAAAGCTAAATGAATTGAATGGTCATTGACTTCAATCATCTTCTTTAGTAAATTGGCTGCATTTCATCAATGGCATATTTGACTCGTATGTTTATCATGTTTGCGTACAAAAATGGATTACTGGTCAATCAAACACCACTAACAAAAAAACCGACTTGGCAACTCGGAATAGAATCCTGGTCAAGTATTGCGCAACAATGACAGCCTATTACCTCCTCGCACGACCCGTATTTGATCCAACATACACATCTGAGTTCATGGGCAAGATGACAGCAGATCCAACACAGATTATGGAAGACTATTCAAGGAATTCTGGCTATCTAGTGAATCTCTCACAAGCTATTGGACGAGTCATATTGGCTGGACGGGATTTGCAGAGGCTTGCTGGGTTGACTAGGTATGTTTGTGTTTATTGGAGCAAGCGAATAAAAGAAGCGATTTTGTATTGATGCTATACTAAATGTAATTCTTTTTAGTCGAGTATCACAACTCTTTGATGTGCTGGCTGATGTGAATGAAGGACGGTATACCAGAACTATGATTGCCAAGGATGGATCTGAGCTTGCTCAGACACAGTGTAAGAGAAGCTGGAACGCAAGTTGCAGAGAATCACGATTAGCATGGCTCATACGGGGTTTCGTTCTGTTAGCTATCAGCCCCTCTGATTTGAAGGGCAAGGTTATCATTCAGGATGGCATCATTAAGTTTGACAAGACGCCTATTATTACACCCAATGGTATTGCCCCCAAGTCATCTTAAACTTTTTTAGGCATCCTGAAGGTCTGACAATTGCTCTCTTCTTGCAACCAATCGATAGGTGACCTCCTCGTTAGACAACTCTCCATGCGAGTAGACCCAGGCATGAACGTCCTCGTAACAGGACCTAACGGATGCGGAAAATCATCCCTCTTCCGTATTCTCGGCGACTTATGGCCTCTATTTGACGGCACACTCACCAAACCAAGCATGGACAAGATGTTTTATGTGCCTCAGAAACCTTACCTCGCACTTGGAACACTACGAGATCAAGTTATTTATCCACATAGTGCCAAAGAAGCTGCGTCGAGAGGGTATGGAGATGAGAGGATTATGGAGCTGCTTGCTACGGTGCATCTAGAGTATCTGGTGTCGAGGGAAGGAGGGTGGGATGCTGTTGCGGATTGGGCGGACGTGCTGAGTGGGGGTGAGAAGCAACGAGGTATGTGTCGTGTACTCGAAGATTGTGGAATGGATTTTTTTGGCTGCTGAGCGATTTTAAGGTCAACACTTTTTCGTCTAGTCGCTATGGCTCGAATGTTCTACCACAAGCCAGAGTTTGCTATATTGGATGAGTGTACGAGTGCGGTTTCTGTTGATGTGGAAGGTATGAAAAAATTATACGAGCAGCTGTATCGTAAGATACTTTAAGGAAATTCGTCATATCTTAACAATCATATCGCCTGACATTATTAGGAATCATGTACACGGCAGCACGAGATTTAGGCATCTCATTATTCACAGTGTCGCATCGTCAGACACTCTTCAAGTATCACGATGTGAGTTGCATTTTTTTGGCGTAAAACCCTCATGATGTTTCTCCAGCGAATTCGTCTCTGTTTTGCTCTCTATCTATATTCTAACATGACCTCCTTGATTTAGTACCTGTTACGATTCGATGGACTGGGAGGATACACTTTTGACAAGATGGTCGATTTAGATCCATTTGCTTTCAAGGGTACGATTTCTTTACAAGTTGACCTTGCCTGCATGTTTTGCTCCTTTGTTTTTTGTTGCCGTGGAATCCCTAACATCACTTCCCATTCAATAGCCAAAGTCGCAGCCGACTACTCTGACTCTAACGGAAGCAACGGAAGTGAAGATTCATAGAGATTGGGATTTGGAGTGGAAGCTAGTGTGCTGTTTGTACTTATCTTTTGTGTGATGTTGCTTTATCGTTTGAGTGTGGAAGTAATACAGAGGATTTTGATACAAGTGATGATGTTTGGGTTGGTGTTGGACTCGTTGAATCTTCGAGAATGTTTTTGTTTCTGTGATTTAATATTTTAGTGATTGCGAATGAAGGTACTTTGTAATGCAAGCGACAAGGGGTATTCAGAAGTAAGAGAAAACAAGGTGAAGAAGCGAACTGCAAGGACAAGCAGTTTCAGTGCTGGGAATTTGATGGGCACCATTTGGTTTGAGAGTATCGGATATTTGCCCTCCTCGTCCAAAATCCTTCCACCTTGATGTCGCACAGCATCACGGCGCACACGAGCACCATACGTAGACAAGTGAATGAATAAGATGGACAAGCAGATAAAGGCACTTGCTTTAGCAGCAGGTATTGCGACTGGACTCTCGTACTCTCTATGGCTGGGATACTGGTTGTTTGTCTCGCCACTTCGCAAGATTCCTGGTCCAGTGATTTATGTCGCGCTGGGATCCATTGCACTGCAGTTGGAGAGGTTGCTTAGTGGTATGTCGTGGTGCTAGAGTGAATACATATTTGATCTGATGTTGACAGCTGTTGCTGGAGTTTTGTGTCTTGTGGGACGAGTTGGACATCAAGCTTGACATTCCCACACTTTGTTAGGCCAGCAACCCATGGTTGTGAGGAGACGCATGCATGAAAAGTATGTTGCTCATTAACCACGAGCTCTTGATATCTTTTATGCTCATCTCTTTGTTGAACTTGGTCAAAACAGATATGGAGCTGTTGTAAGAATTGGACCGAATGAACTATCTGTCGGCGATCCAGCTATTGCTCGCCATGTACTCGTAGTTGAAGACGTAAGCTACACTTGACTGTATTCCGTCTGTCTATTTTTTTGTTTTAGCATGGCCACCTACTAAACTCGACTTCCTCATAGTTTCCAAAATCTGCTAGTGCTGCTGGACTCTTTGGTATATATTGCGCAGATTGGAATAGGTTTCCTCATTTGACAAAGACGCTGACTGCGGAACTCTCTTTTGTAGGACCAATGCATCCTGGTGCGATCGTCTCGTTGAGGAACAAAGAGGAACATCGCAAAGTTAGGAGGTTCATGTCTCCTGCTTTCTCAATCAAAGGTGAAGTGCCTTACCCTTGTGTCTGCGATGGATATCGTACCCTTCAGCACTTGGCGTGTTTGTTCGTAGATTTTTTGCATCACTCTAACCATTCCTTTTTCACAAACAGGAATCGACAAACTAGAACCAATAATGCACCAAGCATCCGATGAGCTCGTCGCCAAATTCGAACGCCTTGTCAAAGAAGGCAACGGTGAAGCCGAAGTGGATATATGGCACGAATTACATTCAGTAGCTATTGAGAATATCGGACGATGTGCATTTGGAAGAAAGTTTGATGCTATTGAGCATTACTCGCCTTTTGCGACGTATGTGGAGCATATGATGAGGTGTGGTGTGGTATTGTGTAGACAAAAAAGGAAATGTGAGATTTAGCTAATGTGCGTCCACCATTCTTCTCAACTAGATACTTGAGTGTTACTGCCAACGTACAGTGGTTTAGAGCTCTTTCGTGGATGCCTATGAATCAATATTGTAAGCCAGGTTTACTGTCCTTTTGTCTGCCTTTATTGTTCCAACAACATGCATTGAATACACCTCTGCTTTCTTTCCTCGTTAGACCAAAAGATGCAACATTACTGTGAGAACTACATGCAAGAAGTAGTCAACGAACGACGGGCTGTCGGTGAAGGAACAACTGCGGATCTTTTGGAATTGCTTGTGCATGGAAAAGGTATAGCCAAAAACCCTGAAATCCGGCCAAGACATGATCATTAGATTACAATCCACGGTCCTGAATCACATTTTGGTATTGTCATAGATCCAGAAACTGGTGAAAAGTTGAATGATCGTCAAGTCATGACTCAGGTAACAGCCTATGTCCAATCTCCATGGTCGCTTTTTGTAAATGCTAAACCATCATCCTATCCCAACTAGATCATGAACTTCCTGACAGCAGGTGGAGACTCAACAGCTGGTGCAATGTCATTCACCGTGCTATGTCTCATAGATGATAAAGAAGCAATGAAGAAATATGTCGATGAAGTCATGTCGTGTCCTGTTGATCCAGAAACAGATAGACTTGTTACAAGTCATATCAAGAGCTGCAAGTACATTAACGCGGCTGTTAACGAGACGCTGAGGCTGTATACTGGGAGGGATTTTCAGGTGGGTGCAACAAAAAGCCAATTAATGAATGACCAACAAATACTCTGAACTCTGGCATGGCTGCATTTTGTTGCTTCAATGGGATTTGAGCTACCATTGGATGTGCTGTAGTTCTCACTTCATTACTTGTACTGGTGAATACTTTCGTTCGTCTTTGACATTCTTGTTTTTTGCTTCAATATAGAGAGCAGCACCTGAAGGCGCCGATAGTATCATCGGTGGCTACACAATCCCAGCAAACACAACCGTGAACGTATCCCGCTACGCCCTCCACCGCCACACCCCCACATGGGGCGACCCAGACAAGTTCAGACCTGAGCGATTCATTGACGAGGAGCGTGAAAGCCAAGACTTTTTCGCGTTCTCGCAAGGTATGTCCCGCACATCTTCCATCCCAGAACTAAACTAACGCACACTGCGTGTTATGTAGGCTCACGCAACTGCATCGGAAAACACTTTGCAATCCTACTGAATCGTATCATCGTGCCTGAACTGGTGCGTCGGTTTGAGTTTGAGGATGTGGCGGGGCAGTCGAGGGAGGTTGGGCTGTTTGTGAATATTATGATTAAGACGCATGCATATCGGGTGAGGATTCGGAGGCGTCAGACACCATAATAGTGATGGAGAGACACAAAGGTGGAATTTTTTGTCTGTAAAGCAAGTATTGTATAGAATTTGTTTTTTGAATTGATTGGTTTCAAAAAGGTATTTGAAGTGTTTTGGATGTCGAGTTTATTTGGAGAGGATGTTTAGTGGGACGAGTGGTGATTTAGTGGAATGGACATTCTATCATGTTGGCCAGGTCTGTCGTTTTTGATTATTGTGGGAGGTCAGCACTGTGAAACATTTCGTCAGTTTCTTAGACCAACAACCCATAATTGCGAGAAGGCGCACGAATGAAATGTATATCACTCATTCTGCACCGGGTCCTTCGTGTCTTTTTCGCTCCCCTCTTTGTCAAACTTGCTTCAAATCAGATATATGCCTGTTGTGAGGATTGAACCTAATTGATTCTCTTTTGAAGATTCAGTTCTAGCTCTTTACGTTCTCGTCGCCGACGATGTGAGCATCATGATCCAATTGGCTCTCCCTACTATTCAAGCATACCCACTTATTCTCTATTCTATACCAAATGGTGTTTACTCGTTTTCAAAATCAGCTAGTGCTGCTGGTTTTGTTGGTATGATTGTGCGTGATGTGCCTAAGTCGTCTACGAAGAGGAACACACCAACATTAGCTCACCATAAGATCAATGAAGCTTGTGCTATTGCCTCATTGAGAAACAAGGAGGAGCATCGCAAAGTTGGGAGGTTCGTGTCTTGTGTGTCTTGGCTTTCTCATCAAAGGTGAGCTACTACCTTTAATGTTCATTGAAAAACAGGAAGCACTTGCGAAGAGCTCAGCCGTATGGTTTTGTCCTCCTCTTCACCCAACAGTCTTTCAATTAACCCAGGCATCGACAAACTGGAATCAATAGTGCAGCAAGTAGCAAAGGAGAATCGTGCTGCTGAAGTGGACATACGGTATGAGTTAACGTTGCGTCGCGATCAAAGATATTGGAAGATGTGCTTGGAACGACATTTGAGGTTATTGAGCGTTGTTCGCCTTTTGCTATGTATGTTGAGCATATGGTGCGTTACATCGTGACTTTTAGAGCAAAAAAGCCATACGACGTGAGATGGACTGATGTACATTCGATCATATTTCTCAAACAGTTACTCGAGTATTCCTGTCAATGTAGAGCGGTTTGGATCTCTTTCGCGTTTTCGTAAGGTACATCCCCCTCCTTTCATCCCATCAACATGAAACTGATGCTCTTGTGTTAAGCTCACGCAACTGTTTTTGAAAACACTTTGCAATCCAGCTAATCGTATCATGATTCCTGAACTGGGGCGTCGTTTTGGGAGTTTGAGGATGTGGTGGGGCGATCGAGAGAGGTTGGGCTGTTTGTGAATAGTATGAAGAAGGCGCAGGCGTTTTGTCGGCGTTTGTCGGTAAACCAAAAGAGGCCACATTACTAAGGGAACTTACACCCAACAGTAGTCAATGAACGATGAGTCGCCGGTGACGGAGCAACTGGAGATATTTTGGAATTGCTTGTTCATGGAAAAGGGTATGGAGAAAGAAGAGGCTTCGTTGTATATTTTTCTTCGGTCAGACTCAATATTTCTAAATCACCCTTTAATAGGCTAATAGACCCAGAAGTCGGTGAGAAGCTGAATGATCGGCAAGCCATGACTGAGGTGTAGCAACGCAATAGACAGTTAAAACGTTCGCTTCTTTTTAAGCTCTTACGAACACGTCATCTCCCTTCTTCCCAAACCAAAATCATGAACGTCCTAACAGCAGTCGGCGACTCGTCAGTCGGTGCAATGTCATTTACAGTACTCTGCCTGATGGACCATACAGAAGCAATGAAGAAGGCATGATTTGTCCTGTTGATCCAACAACAGATAGACTCGTTACTAGTAGTATTAAGAGCTGCAAGTATATTAACGCGGCTGTAAACGAGACGCTGAAGTTGCATCCTGAGACGGGATTTCAGGTGGGTTCAACCAAAAAAAAAATAACCCGGAATGCGCTGAAACGCCATGACTCTTGTCAATGGTAATCTCTATTGTTTTATGAAGAAGCAGGATGTGCTAGTCCGAAATATGTGTCATTGAAGTGAAGTTGCTGTGTCCATTGTTTTCAAGACTGATGCGTTGTTGGCCTTGACACGTAGAGAGCTGCACCTGAAGGCACAGACAGAGGATGTGCCTGGACTGTCAGAAGACGCTGCTTTGCATGTGGATGTTTTTGATCCCAACGCTTGCGTATCGTGTCAAGATTCGTAGGCGTGAATCATGAGCACAATAGCAGTAGGTCTTCTTTATCTGTTAAGCAAGTTTGTATTGAAGTCCATATTCAGAATCAGTAGGTAATTGTCATAAAAATGTCTTAAATGGTATCCGAGTATCTAAAGTCCATGTTTGATCCGCCCTCGTAACCTTGCGTTTCGACGACTTTTGCTTTTTCTTGGGTCCGTCGCCCAACAACCACCACAACGGAGCAAGGATAAACGAAAGCCTCAAATTTAAATCTCCTTGCCAAGTACGAGGATACACCCGGATCTGTCGTTCCTTCGCTTAGGTTGTAAATTGGTGTTGAAACAAAACCACAGAGCTTAAATCCGAAGCTCATCGTAACAACCAACACTACAACAGTTCCAACCTACAAAATTGAGTCTTTACTTGCCTCGCATCATGGAAATCTATCTCGCTGTAAGTTCCGGTGTCTTTGATTGGGTTCCATTGAGTGGCTAAAGTGTGTTTTGCAATGAACGAATTAGTTACTTGTGTTGGCCGGTTTGGCTGCTGTATCCAAGGCAGATCCGATTTCGAGCTGTACTAGTTTGTAAGTTCGACGTATAGGACTAACGATTGTGACTTGATTTTCAACCTAACGTACTCTTGTACTAGTTATACCGTTCAATCGGGAGATTACTGCTATGCGTAAGGAAGCTCATTACTCATGACTGATGCAGGACTCGGCCCAATCGCTCTAATTTGTCCTTCCCTAATAGCATCGCAATGAACAACGGCGTATCAAGCTACCAAGTCCTGGAACAATTAAACTCTGCTGGTACACCAATGACTTGTGCAGGTGGTGCAGACCTCCTCCCTGGCCAAGTAATCTGTATCGCTGCATCCGGAGCATCCGCTCAAGAATGTGGGAGTGGAATTGGATCTTGTGCGACTGGATGTTGTTCGCAGGTACGTGTTTTGTTTGAAGAGGGGATTGTGGCCCAACACGTGTACCGATCGGTCTTAAAAAATCAATAGTATGGATTCTGTGGTACCTCATCTGCACATTGCGGTACTGGCTGTCAGTCGAATTTTGGCTCGTGTAGTACCATTTCAGGCTCTGTAAGTTTTTGATGGTTTGTTGAATAAAAAGTTGGCGAGCTCACATAGAAGCTTGTTATGCTAGTCGGATGGCCGATGTGGAGCAGATGTTGGAATTTCTTGTACTGGAGGCCAGTGCTGCTCACAATATGGGTACTGCGTAAGTATGGCCACCTCATTTCGAGGATTTGTCATGGTTTGAAGCGTCATGCAAAATGTAGGCTGACAATAACTAACCAGACGATCATGTATTATGCAGGGCTCATCTTCTGCGTAGGCTTCATCACCATCGTTTTCTTCAGCATCCAAAACGCTCAACTTCATGATACCCAAATACAATTAGATACTGTGATATTGGCTGCCAATCCGCATTTGGATCATGCACGAGCTCTTCCGGTGGCTCCGGCTCATGTACACCCAGCACAGTCACTACAACAGTAACAAGTGCCACTGTTACAGTCACCAAAACTACAACTGTCACTTTGTTCACTCCTGCCCCTGTAACTGTTTTCGTTACCGTATGTGATTTCAGAGAATGTTGTTTTCGTCAACAATCACAAACAGCGTGGGCTAACAGTGTTGTTTTCGTTGTCTTAGGGTTTTGGCGCACAAGCATATACTCCAGTAGCATCACCAACGACAGTAGATTGTACTCCGATCGCATCTCCCACAGCCACAGACGCTACTCCAATCGCATCTCCCACGGCAACGGACGCTACTCCCATAGCATCACCAACTGCAACAGACGCCACTCCGGACGCGACTCCGATGGCGTCGCCCACGGCAACAGACGCCACTCCAATCGCATCACCCACAGCCACAGACGCTACTCCCACAGCATCACCCACTGCTACAGATGCCACTCCCATGTCATCTCCCACCGCAACAGACGTTACCCCACTGGCATCACCAACAGACGCTGCAGGAGCAGCGTCACCAACAGACCCTGCTCCTGTACCATCACCAACGGACACTGCTCCTGTACCTTCACTTACTGTAACAGATTTTACCCCAGCCCCATCCTCAAATCCAACCGCACTCTAGAAACAAGATACCCGTCACTTTTGCATAAAGCACAAGCATAGTAGATAGGTATTTCTCTTCATTTGTTGGCATACACATCGTTAGTTTCAGCAATACAAAACGCTTGTTAGACGGTCAAACATATGTGCGTAGTATCCTCAGTGAAAAATTTGTTACTATGTCACGGAACAAAGGGACAAATGACACACCAGATGTCAGCGTATTTTCAAGTTTTTTAGTAGAAGGAGTCCGCTTGTCAGATGTGACAGTCAATCCTCGGTACAGTGACATGTCGATTTGCATTGGAAGGGTTGTTCATGGACACGATTTTTGTGAAACGACAATATAAGCTACAATATTCAAATAACGCGTAATTTGGGCCTAATTATTTCAGTCTCGGTCAGCTAGGCTTATTGTTCGGTCAGCTAGGCTTATTGTCCTTGACGAACTAGTGAGTTAGGAGTGTCAAGGGACGCAACAGTCGTAGCCAGTATTCTTCTAGATAAGGATAATCATAGGGAGCTTCGTAGGGAGCTTTGTATTCTTGTTAAGGTATGGTTTGAAAGTTGACATTGATGTTTTGATCATTTGTTGTTGCTAGAAGTGAAGTTATCTTTCAGTGAGCAGAATCATTCTTTATGTCTAACTTTATCGATGTCTCGCCTCTGCTTTGCTTGCAGCTCATGAAGCGTTGCTGGGAAGATCGACATCAAAACATCCAACGGTGGTCACTTTCAAGCTCACACTCTGACTTTACGTTCAATAGATTCACGTCGGAATCCGCTTAGAAATCCTATAATCAATCAGCAAAACTCGCCGGCACGCCTCCATTAACATCGCTCGTACTGGACAGAATATTCGAATACTCTTGGGACAACGAAAGTGAGGAATACAATAAATCGACTTTGCATTCAGCAGCCCTTGTATGCAAAGATCAGAATTTAGAAGCCATCGTAAAACTGTATCGTAAAGTCGCCCCTGTAAATCAAAGGTTCTTTGAATCTTTGAAATGGATGCTCAAAGTGAAGAGTTCAAAAAAAACCCATATATTATCAATACCCACTAGACAGGGTACTAGATATTGACTTGGCCGTTAACCAAGATGAATTACGGGAAGACAGCCACACCTTTAAGAGTACTCTACTATCAGACTGTAGCAACCTTCCAACCCTGCACATTTACAATGATAGACTTTAGCCTATCCATAATGTATCTCCCACCCTTGTCGAATTGAACGTACGGCAACTATATTCCGATGTTGTCACTGAAGGACTTTGGCACTTGGCACTTCACGATTGGTCGTACTTTGTCTCGAGACATCCATTTGTAAGGACACTTCATATGAGCATAGAAATTCCGAATGGTCTGAAGGAAGCCATAGGCGAGTAGAATCTCAATGAGTTTACTACTAGGAATACAGTAGATGAAGCTACATGGAAGGGTTTATTAAAGGGTAGTAAAGACTCGCAACTTCAAGCAGCAAACTATCATCCCTTGCAAGCCAATAGAGGCATTTGTAAAGAGGAGGTGCATGAGGGTCACGTTTGGTAGAATCCCAGCAGACTTCCTAGAGTCTCTCGCTGAATGCGAGTTTGAGTCTCTCGGCCTGGGTTCCTGCCAGGACCGCCTTCGCGTTCAAGTTAAATGTTATGTGCTGTCAGTCTGTATATCTCGCATATACCTCGCTAGGCTGCCACTCACTCAAACAGCTGTCATTCAGTTCTACCTCGCTAACCAATAACTCACTCACACAGCTGTCGAACATCGCCGACTCCAAAGCAAAGAGCTATCGAAACCCTTCTACTCAGAAGCTCTAGAACTTTAAGGGAACTCGTACGGTTCTCACCAGGCAACGCACTTGCTACAGCCGTAGTTCTCACTGATGCTGGATGCGGTACAATTGTTGATTGAACGACAACCTCAATTAAAAGAGTTTGTGTACTGTCTACGTGGAAACATCGATGGCAATGATGTTGCACTTTCCGGAGATGCAATAATGGCAGACGGAATGCTGTGTCCAGACTTGCTATCCGTAGGGTACGGAAGAACGTCGTTTGCTGGGATTATAACGGAAGGCTTACAAGGAGATGGAGGTGTTGAGGATGCTGCTGCATTACGGCAACGAGTGGCTGTCAGTACAGGAATTAAGCTTGAATTGGATTCCGGTTGGAGGTTGAAGGCGGAAATTTGAGGTTGTTTGCATTTTGTGAACAGCGTCAGACTCTGATAGCTGACTAGATCAATTCAGTCTTGAGATTTTGAAAATCTGTATTTACGAAGTAAGATGCATGTCAGAATAGGGTCGTGAGGTGTGGAATTGTGTTTTTGTAGTTAGGTCTGCGATTGTAACAAATGCATTCAAACACTTATACTTGTATTTGATTCAATTTCGTGTGGTTTAAAGAATGGGAATCGCGTCCATACAGTTCTCATCAACGCTCAGATCCTTTACTATCATTCTTCTAACAACAAACGAAATGTACTCAAAGCACGTTATTTGGTTGTGCTCCGATTTTGATTTGCCGAACTTGACTTGTCGCTGTCGAGTTAAGAAAGTAGGCGACTTCAGCTGTCGTGTGACCCGTTAAGGCTTAAGGTGACTGTCGACCGCCTCCAACCCTCTGACGTGGGTAGTTTCAGGAACAATCTCAACACCTCCACTGACGTTAAACCAGTCGTGTCGAGTACTGATTTGGCTAAAACACAGACTCCACAGCCGGTAGCAAACCTCGGCAAATTAATTTCGGCAGTGTCAGTTGCCTAAGAAACTATGAAAGTGGCACATAAAGGGAAGGATATGTCTTGAATTTATAAGGGAATCTCGAATCTCGACATAGATGAGACATAGGTCTATACTGTCCCGAATCACGAAAATTGTTGACTGCCAGCCAAACTGCCAGTTAGCCAAACTGCCAGTTGTCCAAACATTTTCGACAACCTATTGAAGCTTTTAATTGTTTTATCATCAACCCGTTCTGAATACGGATCCAGAATAGCTTCACATCTTCCCAAACCAGTTTGATCGTGTGTCCGACAAGCGCCGTGATTTTCTCGAGTCAACTAACGAACAGTTTTTTGAAGATTGCAAGAAAAGGAAAGCTTTTCAACCCTGAAACTGCCTTTCCAGCCAATTAAAAAGAGTTCTGTATGCTTTTCGCCCTTCATTGTGTATTCGAGAAGGGATGCGAATTCTGGTGTCAAATTATCGAGACCAGTCCTCGGTAATTTAGTTATTTGAAGATTATGTCGTCAGGCGAGCTGATAGCAGGCCTCTAGCCTCATCTATTACGCCGGAAGAGGCCGAAGTTGTCTACTTTTAGCAGTCCTGCTGGAGAGTTTTAAGTGATTTTCTCCATTTTTGGGTCTGCCACTTTTGTTTTTGAATAACATAGAACGAAGAGCGCTTCGGGCGAACTTTCAAAAATAATTTTGATCAAATTCATCCCAGCAATCAGTCTGTCCGATGCGAGATGTGGGTGTATTGACTCGTAAGATTGCAACGATTTAACCCTCTTGTTGAAATTCTGCAAGAGTAGCTGACGGCCCGATTCGCTCAAAATCAGACAAATCTAAAGCCATATTCGCTGCAAGCTCTACATCATCCTGTCCTTCTAAAACTTTCTCTTGTTGTTCAGCTACCCTGCTTTAGGTGCTGCCAACTAGTGATCGGATCATTGACGAAAGAGTGAGAATGTACAGCAAACTTGACAGCAACCACGCCAACGTTACCAATCCTTCTCCTAAATCAAAGCGCGTCAACCCCAACAACTCACGCACTTCCAACAAGAAACTCAAGTCATAAATGACCAAAGGATCTTCATATACTATTTCACAAAAGCAAATGGTTTAATAACATGAGAAAAAACAGGGGTTATAATACAGCAACTACAAATCTTGCCAACATTCTTGGTAGATTTTGAAACTATTCGGCGTCATCACCACCACCTGCAGCGCCACGAATGGGATCTGATAGGCGCACAATTTTGCATATGTTGGCTCTGCCAGGAGGTCTGTAGTACAAGTTTTGTAAGCATCAGTCAAGAGAGCGTTGAAAAACGACCACCCGTCTCATCATAGTACTTACACAGTAAACCCATCACTAGGCGAAATCAAAATCAACTGCATATTCTTGCCAGCAGATGTCAACAGACTAATACTTTGTTGTCGATTGACGCTGTCCTGTAAACACCAATTGAAAAATCGTTCATTAGCCCGAGAAATCAAGAGCTTTTTTGTGCACCATCCAGCAACAACGACTCAAACACAAGCAGATACCATAAAGACATCAAACTCATCCAACGCATAGAATGGAGCATTCATCAACTCCCATAAAGCCATCAGGAAACAGAGAGTAGTATACGACTTTTCACCACCACTGAGTTGATTCACTCCTCGTTTCGCTCCTCCACCTCCCTCTTGATCATTGCCTTTGCTCATCTACATACAGAAAATGAGATGGGTTAGTGTCGGAAAGCAGATATTGTGGAGAGAGGAGGTAGCGCTTTTTTGCAAGTATGGATACCTTGACATCCATAGTTTTACTATCCTCATGAAACTTGATCCTCCCAACGTATCCTCTTCGCTGAGCAAAGTTCTTGAACGTGTCCTTGAATTCTGATCTATAGTATCTGAAGAGACCTTCATATAGGTGTTTTCGAAGTTTCACGGCATGCCTGTATAGTGCTACTCGTCGATTGTTGGCTTTGACGGCAAGATTGGCCTTGGTGAAGTTAGATTCGGCTTCATAACATTTGCGGTACAGTTCTTGTGGATCCCCTAGTCTATGATTTGAGTATCGCGTTAATGACAGCAAAAATACGGCAAAGACTCAGATTCGTAAAATGTTCACAGATATTCAAGCTTACTGAGCTTCACGCAATTTCTTCTTGGCTTCAATATCATCAGACTCTTGTTGCAACTCTGCAAGACTAGCTGACGGCTCAATGCGTTCAGAATTACACAAATCTAGAGCCATATTCGCGGCGTTATCTACATCGTCCTGTTCTACTCGAAGTCTCTCTTGTTGGTCCGCTACTGCTGCTTTAGCTGCTATCAACTAGTGATCGGATTATAGAAGAAAGGGTGAGAAGAAAAAACTCAGAGGATATGAGCGCAATGTGACCAATTACCTTCTCTTTCGTACGAACTTCAGCAGCTTCCAAATTAACAATGTCTCTCATAGTGGCTTCCATAGGATTGCGAGCCTTCTCAATTTCGGCATCATTTCTACGTCGTTGCTCCTTGTCTTGTGCCAAGGCTGCTCGTAATTCTTGCAGCTCACCAAACAATTGTGCTATTTGTGTGTCCAATGGTTCGAGTTGGGCTTTGAGACCCTGGAGAGACTCTTCTTCGCTCTATAAACAGCTTTTGGAGTGAGCTACAATCGATGCTAAACCTATTTCCATCAAGTCATCGATTAAAGGGATATCTGACACTTACCAACTTCTCAGATTCATATCCAGAAACATCACCAACTGCATATTGAGTCAATCGTTCTCTCAAATCACGAATCTCGCGTCCAAGAGCAAACTTCCTGTTCGACAAGGTTCCGTTTGATTCCTTGTTCGTGAATTATCCCAGAATGTTAGAATCGGCGAAAGGAATGAAAAAATAGCAATGCCAAGTCATTGATGAGTATCTTACTTGCAAAGTTCGAACTCGACGTTTCAAAGCTGTCACTGTAGCATTCAAGCCTTGCATATCCCGATCCTTTTCAGCCATATCGTCTTCAATCCTCGCGAGTCGGTTTTGAGCCTGCCTGTATAAATGAGGGTAAGAGACAATGCTGTTGGAAGATTACGGAACGAAAGAACACCGGGAGGTACATACGCAATAGCAGCCTCAGTATCTTCAGAAAATCTCGGTGGCCTATGTTCATCCCATTGACGATGTTCAATACCAACACCTCCAAATTGTCGATTACCAACAGAAGCATTCATCGCGGTCAGGATCTTTCCACAATGGGGTGGCCAACGAGTTGCAACTTCTTTGCCAGAGTCATAATCGGGTACGAGAATGGTTTGCTCCATGTGTGCATTGACGACGAGAACTTTGAAGACGTCTTCTCGAGAGATCTGCAAAAGATGAGGAAAAAACAGTCAGTCAGACTGAATAATCCATATAGTATCTACCGATTATTTGCTAACTTGCCTGAATGCATCGTTCTACAGTAATAAACTGTTCAGGTGGTCTGTCTGGATTGAATGCGTGGGTTTCTCTAGTATTGATCAATATGACGGGTGCTGCTTGAACCCTATTCGTCCAAAAAAAAAACATTTAAACATCTAATACAAACTAACAACAACGGAGTATCTGCAGAACTCACATATTCAAACTTCTCAATACCTCTTTCATCAGGTCCATATCTCGAGGAGTTGAAACAAGGAAAGAACTCAATTGCTTTCCAAGCTCATTGTCAATGACTTTGGCATATTCCCATTGTTCTTGCCTCACTTTGACGTATTCGCCTATTTCAACAGGGCAGCCAAGTTCAGCGAGTGCTACCATAGGGAATCCCTTCTCTCTGTGTCACACGTACCAAGAGGACCAATAGGAGTCATTCCAGTCCATCGTCCACGACTAGCATAATCTTTGATTTTGGCAACAACTTCTGGCATTCTACGACCCCAAGCACTGATTCTGCTTTGTTGTTGTTGCTTGTATTGTTCGATATCGCGGCGGCAACTATTCCTATCATTTTCGAATCGTCTCCTTTCTTGAGCCAGATCTCTGATGCTTGCTTCGGTAGTCGTGATTTCGGCTTGAAGACGACCCATTACTTCGTTATTCTAAGAGAAATAACAAGTGGTGTTATTGAAGAAAAGTATTGTAAGTTCGTAACTATTGTTTTTTGCTCTCTCATTCATCAAATACACACCTCTGCAGTCTGAGCATCATTCGCAACAACATCAGCCTCTTTACGTACAACATCGTCTTCAATATTCTTGATGACAGATCTCTGCTCATCAGCCATACGAGCTCTAACCTGATCAATCTTTTCAGTCAACTCGGCAATATTACGTTCCTTGGCATCAACTTCAGTATTGAATTCTGTACGAGAAACTACCACCTGATTATATTCAGCATGTTTGGTTTTCTCGTCTGCTCGTCGTTGATTATAACTTGCACTGATGCCTTCGTTGATGGCTCGTAGTTCAGCAACACGTTGCTCGTGTTCATGTAGAGTTGCCTCGTGTATGGCCTTCTCTTCTACATGTGCATCTACTTCACGTTGATATCGAACCACTTTCCTTTCCAGTTGGGTGATTTGGTCTCGTAAGGTTTCTATATCTTTCTCCTTGTCTTCCACCACTGCCCAAGCAATTTCTAGCAACAGGGCTTGAGCTCTTTGTTCGTCAGCTTCATGTTGCTCGAACAGGGCCATTTTTTGTTTCAACTCTTCGAATCTTCTCTTGAGAGGTTCCAGTTCCTAAAACGAACGGTTTAGTATCCTGTGGTTGGGGGATGGTGCTTTCATTACGGGGCGTATGAGCGAGTAGCGACACGTGTATCAATAACTTACTCGTTCATGGTTTTTGGTAGTATTCTTGAGAGCTTCAATCTCTGACTCTGTATGCATCAAGTCAGCTTGTAGCTTTGTAATCAAAGTACCCTCGTGAAATAACTACATGTGCATATTCGTCAGATTTACCGTCTTTTCTGCTCTTCAATCAAAAACTCAAGACAGCACTTACGGCGTACTTGCTTTGAGGTGTACTCTTTTGCAAAAACTTCTTTGCAGCATCTTGATTCAAGATCATGATTGGAGAGTCAGGAAGTATACCGAATGAATCAAGCATAGCATCCAAGTCGCCCTTCTTCTCAGAGACGCAAGTATTTTTGGCAGCATTAAGTAGACGATATCGACTAGAACCACCAGAGAAGATTTTGCGTTCGACAATGATAGTGTCTCCGAATAGATCATGTTGCCATGCTTCATCTCCTTCATTGTAAATCGAGATGCGGATGGTTGCGGAGCTATGCAAGGTGATGATGTATCGGTTGCTGATTTGATACAATAGTACCTGAGGACAGCGACTTACTCTGCGCCATGTCTGATAAAGGAGGTTGTAGTATCAGCACGATTTGTATCTGAAGCTCGAGCACCGAAACCGACGACAATGGCAGTTAGAATACTACTCTTGCCAGCTAATCAATGAAACGAAATTGAGTCAAATGAGGCAAACGGAATCAACCAAGATCAGAGACATACATCCATTTTTGCCTAATATTATACATATGTACTGATTAAATATCACTCTTTGCTGACCAAACAACAAAATCAAATGCACAGCAACTGACCAGTAATGAAGTTGATGTTTGGTACCAGATCAATATGATGATGCTCATGAGTCAAAAAGTTGAACAGTTCAACAGACTTGATGACACCACGTAATCCACTATTAGATGAATCATTTGCACTACTACTACTCTTGACTCGTTTCCTTGGTCGTGGTTCATCCTCTTCCTCGTCTTCTTCTGCGGGTTCTTCAGACATTTGGGTATCCTCTTCTTGATCTTCTTGGGTAGGAGGGACTAGGACTTGAGATTCATCATCATCGTCTTCGTCTCGGCCTCGCTTCTTGGCTGCCTTGCGAGAAAACATTGTTTCTGTATGTTGTTTTGATTGTGTTGATGTTTGGAGTGGAGGCGTTGATAGAGTCAAGTTGAATACGTATTATATCATAAAATATATATGAATTTTGAATAATTACGCGTAACTCACTAAGAAATTCTCCTTGAAACTGCCATCTTATCAACACTTTCGCCAAACAGCCTAAACATCATTTTGACCCTTCCTTGAAAGCAACTCGAGCTGATAATGAGATTCACGCTACGGGCACTCAATTCACGAGTCTCTGAACTAGGGTTTCGTGATTTCGCTAGATCTCTGCAAGGAGGAGAGTCAGTCGCAAGAGCTCCCATACGGATGCATCGACCAAAGTTTGATTTGGAGCAAGATCTGCGGTCATCGGATATAGAGTCAATGAGCGATGCTTTTGATCGGGTATAGGACTCCCATTCATTCGTGATTTGTTTCAATACTGATTGCTTCATGACTAACATCAGTTTTTTGCTGTAGAATCAACAGCCCAAAATCCCATCCAGCCGAAAGAGGATCCCAACACCGCCATCCGCTGGTTCTGAAGCTGTATGGCCTGGTCGTGATATACCTTTGAATCTGAAGCAGAGTCGTCTGGTTGTTCAAATCAAGGCTGAACTGGAGTACTTTTTCAATTCGCACGAGTGTCCACAGCAGTTATCTACTCTTAATTGGAGTATGACTAAAGTACTTTACGAATGGTCTTGTTATGAATCCACCAAATGTCTAGCTTATATCCTTTTTTGGTTAGCTATTCCTATCTCCTACTGAACGAACTTGTTTTGTCGCTTGGACTCATTTGAGTCCTTCAGATACTCTGAGCTTGGTATACCGTCTCTCTCATATCATCATTGCCGCCCTTCGAATACTAAAATCCCCTCTAACGTAGATGGCAGTAACAACCATGCTCGAAGCATACCAAATCCCCCTCTCACGGTTGCTAAAGCATCGAATACGGCAAGGTCGCTACTTCCCACGTATAAGGTTCATTCGGGATAGTGTGGAAGATATATATACTCGCTCAGAGGCGGAAGCTAAAGCTGAAAAGTAATTGTGTAGTGGTGATGGCAAGATAAAATGTAAATAAAGTTCATTGCAAAGGATCGGATTAGGGAGTATGTGTATGTTTTATGGTTGCCAAAGACTCCGAGCTACTGACTAGAGTTTGAGGATGCCCAAAACAGTGTACTACAGTAGTAGATTGCAATAACTCAACCGCGCCGCGAAGGCTGCTGTAGATGTATGTTCAAGCTTAAGTTACGTATTCTTCACAGCATGATATCCTTTCAGACCTGATTTACGTGTCGAAGCAGTATATGGACCGCATCCATTGCCGATTCAGTCGTTCGCGTCATTTGTGATGGTAACTAGCTCACAACGAGCAGTTCACCAGACGGAAGCCTTAACCATCGTGGGATTTACATTCTACAATTTGATTTTCGGTTGGATTTGTTTACACCATAAACGGTTGGCTGGTAAAACACACATTTCTTCTGTAAATTTGAAAAAACGTGTTTGCTAGTATACGTTGGCTGTGAACTTCGGAGAAGAGAGAGACCACATACAAGGTGGGTATGGGCTCTCACATAGCTAGAGATTCGGTCCTATCGCCAGACCGCTAGGGGGAAAGGAAGAACTCTTGCAGAAGGACGTGACGATGTATCTGCTGAGGCTCATCTGCAACAGCGTCTTCGGGCGAGCACAGAAGACGGTAGCGCCTCGTCAGGAGACTGATCTGGGAATAGACGCGGAACGTCCCGCTGTCTGGTGTTGCCATCACCTCTCCTGACGGGATGGGATTAAACTGATGATTTCACTCACTGCCATTTGTGGCATGCCCCTCGTGGAAGCTGGGCTCGGTGAAATCTGTTCACCATAAGGCACTGCGGTGTCCTTCTAGAGTCTGACTATAGTGCGTGAATATGGGAGACGAATACTTTTGTTAACACCATTGCCCCCAGTTTTCGTAAGATGTGCAATGCTACCGCTACCACCAGCCATTCACGGCCTGCATCGCATCAACTGGTCCCGAGCTGTTTAGCCACTCCCCTTGTCTCCATGCCAGCAATCATCCATCTCTCGCAATCATCCAAGCAGCTGTACACCTCTATTATTCCATCGCAGCCTCTCATTCAAACAGACGGAGTTACTCTAATGCTCCCGCTTTGTATCTTCACTTTTCTGGTCTCAGATTGATAGTGTTTGAGGTAACAAACACATTTCACCTGTGTGATTCGCTTCCCACTGGTCGTTTTTTTGTCCTCTGTGCTTGGTGCTGATTATGAATTGAATCTCTTAGCTTGGTATACCTCATCTTACATATCGACATTGTCGTCCTTCCTTTTCTAACAGTCATTCTAACACAGATGAACCATTGCTCGAGCATGCCAAATTCCTCTCTCACTGTTATTGAAGCTTCGCACACGGCAAGGTCTTTACCTTCCATGTATAAGATTTTGCTCGAGATAACGTGGAGGATATGTACTCTCGGTTGGAGGGTCAAGCTAAAGCTGAAAAATGATTAATTTGTAGTGATGACAAGTTGCGATGTAAATAAACTTCGTTTGGAAGTATCAGATTATGCAGTATTTGTGGCCCTGTGCATATGTGGGTGCATTGCCGAAGAAGTCAAAGTTGACAAGCGTGTGCGGATACAAACAACACTGTGCAGGGAGTTAGTCACCTAGACGCAAGCGGTCAACGCAATGATAGCGCAACATATAGCAATACCGAGGTTCAGAACTATCATATCGATGATTAAAACGGCACATGTCCAATAAATCGCAGTACTAAATCACAGTGCGCCAACAGACGCAGGAAACCTCAAGTTCGTGGCAACTCAATAGTTGGAGAAGGAGAGAAGCATCTACATTGCATCAGATCTTTTATATTCCAGCTGTTCATTGACATCTCAAATTAACGGGGTAGAGAACCGCTCAATAATTGTCTGAGATGAAGGTAAGTTCAAAATGCTAAAACAAGGGTCGTTGATGTTAACGTTTTTCAACTGCAATATTAATACATTATTTATCTAGTCATCTGACGGCTCCAAGTATGTGCTTATTAGTTAGCTGTCACTTATTGCGTTGGTTGATAAGAAGACTTGACCGCGCTCATCAAACGCACATTTAGGGCACATATTGTCTTTACGAACTATGATACAGATGATGATGGATATTGGACTGAATCTAATTTTAAAGAGGTACAGAATATTTGACAGGGTGTCTTGTGGTGTGGTATTCCTTATTACGTTCACTCAAACGTTGAAACTCCCTGTCACCTAGTTTTTGGAGGATTTGGGAAAGGGACATATAGGAGCATCGAGAATTAGATCATCTTTCTTATTTCTATGTACCACGGCTGAATCCAAGAAGGCTATGAAGATTGATGCTACACAATTCTCACAGTAAGGAATTCACCGCGTCGGTGTTGACGTGTAGCTGACACCACGTCGTTATATAGAGGATTAGCAGGCCTATACGAACAAAACTTTGATCCCAAACTGCCATCGCCAACTGCTCCATCAAGACCACAATCAGTAGCATCATCAGTAGCATCAGTAGCTGCGAAACCTGAAAAATCACCTGCCATGTCACCAACCACATCACGTAAACAGAGTGCTGCTCCTCCATCAAAACCTGCTGGTGCGCCTTCTGGAAACGAGTCGCCACGCTTGTCACGAGTCCCACCACCTGTGCCAGCCGACAGTGAACCGAAACTGGAAAAGATATTGAATGGACGGTCGTTGGAGGATGTGTCTGGGGCTAGTAAGACTGTCAGGCTGAAGAAACAGAATGTCATTATCTCCCCAGAGGTATGTTTCAGGAAATGCGTGAAAGTGCAAAGAGAAACGATGCAATCAATATCAGAAGGGATCAGACTTAATTCTCCGTACACATAGGCTGCTGATCCATGGGAGTTATGGACGAGTATGGAGAAAGTAGGAGAGGGATCTTATGGCGAGATTTTCAAATGGTACGCGAAAAAAAGTGGCCTGTGCAAACTCATAATTAGAACCAACGCTAACGTTCCTCTACCACTCTGCCAAAACATACGAAACTAGCATCTCAAAAACATCCCCACAAATTGTCGCCCTAAAAGTTATAGATCTCGAAAAAACAAAAGACGATCTAGACGACCTGCTAGCCGAAGTTGATTTTCAAGCGAAGTGCAATTCTCCTCATCTAGCGAGATATTATGGGTCTTGGATGTGGGATAACAAGTTGACTATTGCTATGGAGTTTCTGGGTGGCGGGACTGCAGAGGACGTGGTAAGTTATTCGTCCACGGAGTGTGTCCTTTTTTTTCTCCCTGGGATTCAAATGGTTTTCCGCCGTTTAGCTCAAGCAAATCAAGTACTCTGAGGATCAATGTTCATATATTCTCAGAGAAGTTTTGAAGGGTCTGGAGTATATGCATACTAATTGCAAGATTCATCGTGATATCAAAGGTTTGTGGTGATTGAATCGTTTTTCGGTGCCTGCGCCAAATCGGTGCCTGCGCCAAAAAAGGCGATAGTTTCACTGACTCAATGGCTTCTTAGCTGCAAACATCTTGTTTGATAACAACGGTGGTGTCAAGGTATATTCAAAGTGAGCTTAGCGAGAACGGACAGAGCTAACAATTGTATAAAAATAGCTGGCCGATTTCGGAGTCGCAGCTGCTCTAACGCAGAAAGATCAGCTTCGAAACACATTTGTTGGGACTCCTGTGAGATAATATATGCCTCGCATGACATACCAAAAAACTTAGCTAACATAATCCCTATAGCTTTACATGGCACCAGAAATCGTCATGTCAATTGCCTACGACTACAAAGTCGACATTTGGTCTCTCGGAATCATGGCCATTGAATTGGCTGTTGGCAGACCGCCCAAACATGATCAACATCCTATGGATATTTTGTTTGCAATTCCTACCAGTCCACCACCTAAACTGGAAGGTGATTTCTCTGCAGAGTATAAGGATTTTGTTAGAAGCTGTTTGGCAAAAACTCCCGTTACGGTTCGTCCAATTACTCTACGTCTACTATGCGATTTTTTACGTGATTATTTAAATTTCGTTTTTGCAGAGACCGTCAGCGTCAAACTTGCTCAAGCATCCATTTGTAAATATGGATCGAGACAAGTCGATTATCAAAAAAGAGTTGGAAGTTTGTCGTATGAAGAGGAATGCAAATAAGAATGAGACCGTTGGTAACAGACCAAAGTAAGAGGGAGAAAAAGCGGAAATGCTACATAATGATTGTCATTACCCTACATAACATTTTATTGTAACTACTGTAGTACTGGTAACGACTGGTGGCAATCCTACAACCAGCAGACATCAGCACAAGGAGCCGGAGCCCAAAAGGGTGGAGCAAACAAGGGTCCATCCAAGAAAGCTCAAGCAACAGTTCGTGCTGATATGGCTGAAATCAATCCCTCTGTAACCTACGGCAAGAAACGCGGAGCAGCATCAAACCATAAAAATGGTGGCAAGAGCATACCCGTCATAATTCAACCTGAAGCTCTCGAACCAGTATCTGATGAACAAGAAGATGTACCGGCTCTACCGACCCCAAACCCAGATATACTTAGTGCAGCAGCATTCAAGCAAGGTAGAACCGAAGCATTAGCACGGAGATTATCCTCACATGGTCCCGGACCGTTTGGGGGTGGACCAGCACCATATGGTTTGCCGACTGGGGCTGTACCTATGCCTGGATTACGGAAATTGGAGCCAGGGCTGTCACCTGGTGGTACACCAGTAGCTAGTCAAAGGAATTCTAGTGTTTCGCCAATGTCGCCTAATTCTCCTGCTTTTGCTGTGACGCCATTAGCTCAAGCTGCGTCTCACGCAAATTCGTTTTTCGACTCATCGTCTAACGATGATGCACCACAGCAACAGTCTCGCCCTCAGTCTACACTATTTGCACCATCATCGAACGAGTCAAACAAGCAACGTAAGCGGGCAGCATCAACGGGCATATCTCAACAATTGGCTGCTGTAGTATCCAACATTCAACCGCCTTCTACACCACCTCCCACAGGTGCGCACTCACACTCGAGAGGCGACGATAGCACTGATGAAGGACGTCGGCAAAGTAAACCATCACCGTTATTAACAGCAAGTGGTAAAAAAATCCCTGCTGGAGCAATGCAAGTACTCGGTGGCACACCGCCTGTAGTTCCACCACGAATAGCCAAGACCGAGTCATTCAACAGTATATCGTCGATGGATACTGGTAAACCGCTGCACAGTGACCCAAGTATTTTGGTCTATTTCGATAAACCGGCTACGTTTAATCTCGTTGATGAGCTCATGTCATCCGAAACCAAGTATATTGCCAGTAGCCTACAGGGCGTCATGGATGTTTATGTGAGGCCGTTGATGAATGCTGGTGGCAAGGTTGTGAAAGAGGAGAGTGTCAAGGTCATGTTTGTGCACTTGGGACATTTGCATGCTTTTCATTTAGAGTTATATATGGCCATTAAGGATATTATTACGAGTGCGGGTACGAGGGAGATTGATGATCTGTTGGCAAAGCAGTTTATATTGAAGGTATGAGTAGTGCTTCATTCAATGTTGATCGACTCCTAAAGTCTCATAGGTTTTTATTTGCGAAGCCTCAGTCTTGTACTAATAACTCTAACTACATCTAGGTTGCCATGTTTGAAAAGAACTACGGAGCGTTCCGAGATTTCTTATGTGAATCGCTATGGGAGATACACAAAAATGTACGAGACAGTTCCAAGTTCAGAGAATTCTGTCTACATGCTCAAATGGCTAAAGAGTGTGGAGGCAAGAGTCTGTTGGAAGTTATGGTGTCGCCTGTTAGGAGGGTAGCGCAGTTCGTATCTCTTTATGAAGGTACATTCCGGCCAGCGCTCTATGCATTGTTTTGTTGTTATTGAAGAGAAAGATAAAGAATATTCAAAACTTTGTTGGATAGAATTCGCACGGATAACAAGACGGCCAGAAATGTCGAAAGCAGTTGACGCCTTAAGTGATTTGGCAGATGATCTGGTTCAAGCTATTGAGAATTGCAAGAACTTGTTTACTATACTTATTCAGGTTGCTGATATTCCACCTAATGTGAGTATCCTTGAAATATCAATGATCCTTTGTTGCTCTAGTAAACACTCTGACTCAAACAACCCAATCTCTTCTGATAGATAATCGTGAAAGCTCAACAACAAGTCATAATATCCGAACAAGTAGAGCGAGTCAAGATGTCTGGAAACAAGGCCAAGAAACAAGGACCAGCACACCTCATCCTATTGAACGATTCTCTTGTGGTGGCCAAGATGGTTCGAGATCCCGTGGAAGCCTTCCAATGGACTTCACTGTTTGAGTTACGAGAATTCAAGCCACCGAAACCACACCTCTCGCATGAAGAGTTACTTGTCAGGAGTTTCTTGGAGGTCACGGATGTTGATGATACCGCTGGTGAGTTGCATGACCAAAATCAATGTGATCGTGTTTCTGCTGTTGGTATAACATCGATCATCTAACACACGAACGGGTTTAGACGTCAAAAACATAATAATGTTTGTGCAAAAAGTCAAGAAGGGCAAGACATTCTACTTTTCAGTTGGGACAGTTGCTGCAAAGCAGAAATGGTTGACTAGTATGAATGAGTCTTAAATTTGAAACCCAAGAGCAAGAGTTTGTTTGTGCTTGATGAGACAATATAACCCGGACCATCCATTAATCATTATCCCGAACAACCAAAGCTCTGTGTTTATTTGAAGTGTGAAGCCATTTCGTGACTCATTGTTGTGCTTGTGTTGGCCGTTTTTGTTGACAATGTGAAGAGATTATGTTGAACGTCCTACTATCTTGAAACATCAAAGACAACTCAATCTAGGGGGAGCATTGGTCGCTGGCTGAGGAGTTATGCTACATTGTGATGATGGAAGGATTGTACTTAGCAGATTACGAGATGGCGAGGAGCATCAACAATGTTTGAGAAGATGTCTTTTTCGCACAAATTTCTAACCCAATCTGTCTTTAGAATTGTGTGATGTAGAAAAGATGAATGAATCAAGATTCTGTTCGTGTTTCTACGTACAGTGGCTGCTGAATCTTGATAATACGAGGATTGTAGCAACACAATTTTTAGAGTGCGTTTATTGTCCAAGATCGACCGTCGGCGTGTTTTGCTTGAGGTACAACTCACAATCTCGCCTTTTAGAAGAAGATTAGCAACCCCATACGATAACATCATTCACTCCAGACTACCAATATATGCATTAAGCCTGGAATCAGCAGCCTCAGGTAGCCAACACTGAAAGACCACCCTCCATGTCACAATCTAAAGTACGCCAACAAACAAATGTTTTCTTCCACATTAACGCTTCTAGTGCGTTTACTGGAGCGGAATTACCTCGCTTGTCACGAATACCACCTACAGTGTCAATCGACGCCGTGAGCCCAAACTGGAAATCATAGCGAATGCACGATCATTGGAGAATATGCCTGGCACTGGTGAGGCGCTAACGTCATCCGTGCTCGTCCGAAGGCGCAGCAACAAATGTGCAGCAGCAAGTACATCTTCACGTCCCTCTGCAAGAGTTCCTACTTTCTCAAGCAATCCGGCGACTACAACGAGTTGCTAGCTAGTGTGAGGGCCCATACTCACCTTATGAATGTGCCTCCTCGTCTCCATAGTGGCCATCCAGATTGTGTTTTTCTTGATTGTCGAGAAGAAAGGGCGGTCGGACAACATGGTGTAATCAAAAATGCTCAAGTGTAGAATGTGAATAGAGCGATTGTTATGGCTCCCATCTTGAGAACTGCGGTTGAATTGGATACCACATGCCACCATTGTCAGCTGAAGTGGCGCAGGATGTGGTCACTATTTCCAAGCGAGCCCATATAGAGTTTATCCTTCTGTTCGGTTGACAGGCTGCCATGCAATAATAGAGGCTTGCCCCTCGTCGTTGAGACCAGAGATTGATGAGTCCCCGGCGATTGCTGGAATGGAGACAAGGGGAGTGGCTTAACAGTTCGGGACCAGTTGATGCGATGCAGGCCGTGAATGGCTGGTGATAGCGGTGGAATTGCACATCCTACGAAAAACTGGGGGCAATGAAGTATTGGTTCCAACATTCACGCACTATAGTCCGACTCTAGAAGGACACCGCAGCGCCTTACGGTGAACGGATTCACCAAGCCCAGCTTCCACGAGGGGCAAGTCACAAATGGCAGTGAGGGAAACCATCGGTTTAAACCCATCCCGACAGGAGAGGTGATGGCAACACGACAGCAGACACTCGCATATATACCCAGACCAGTTGCCTGGTGAGGCGCTACCTTCATCAGTGCTCTCCCGAAGGCGCTGCAGCAGATGAGCAGCAGATACATCTGGGTATAGTTGCAGAGTGTCATGTCCTTCTGCAAGTGTTCCTCCTTTCTCCAGCAGTCCGGCGACAGCAGCGAGTCTCTAGCTAGTGTGAGGGCCGATACTCACCTTGGATGTGCTCCTCTTTGATCTCTGAAGCCCATAGCAAAGGTATATGGTAAAACAGGCTGGTTTTTTGTGATGGTAGAGAAGGATTGGGGTGTTTGCCAACTATATGGTGCAAACAAATACGACCAAACATCGAATTGTACAGTGTGAATCACGCGATGGTTATGTCTGCCATCTTGAGAACTGCCTGTTATGAGGTAGCTATAATCACAATGACACGATGGACGACTTTGCCTGAAGTGGCAATGGATGTGGTCCATATACTGCTTCAACGCGTAAAATGTAAAATAGGTCTGAAATAATATCAGGCTGTGTCTTCAACACGTAAATCTAGCCCCAACAAGCATCGACATCCTTCACGGTTAACATATTGCGAACTTGAAATAAACTCAGCACTCCGGCCATATACGCGGTTGCCATGGATGAAAAATATTTTTTAACGCGATCCCAAACCTGTGCAGTCATATTTAGACGGTTGATTGGTGTGTTCAAACTCGCCCTCTTCACAACATCACGAAAACTCACCACACAAAGCGAAACCCGTGAAGATACTTGCTAGAGTTAGAACGAACAAGAACTAATACTATCTATTACGTACAAGCAAGTCTTCCAGGACCAATGGTAAGTACCGTCTGGTTATAGTCTTCAAAAGAGGAAAGATCCATCAACATGTTCACTTACTGATTCAACTTGTTCCCATTCAATCTAGTGTGGAATTACGGCTTACATAAACTATCTCGAGCCTAAAGATCGCAAGACTATTCTTGAATATCTACTTACTGGTCTTCAACGATTGGAATATCGAGTAAAAACATTTGAACCAGTTTTTGATCACCGCGATGTTTGTAATCTAACTCCACTTTCTACTCTGCATTCTACTAGGGATATGATTCTGCAGGGTATGTGTATACGCTGCATTCACTCTGTTGATTAGACCGTACTTCTCACTCTCTTCTTGTTCCGCCACAATCCAGTTAGTGACATGTGTTTTTCAAATCCTGCCGTCATCGAACCACGATCTGTCTTTCATCTCTGCTTTGATCTATCACGGAGCTTCCCATATCAATCAGCGCTTACCTGTAGTCTTGTTTGATCACATAACTCAACAACTTCCAACTTTTAGGTCTTGCCATTGATGGTGATCATGATGGCGAGGTCCTCATTTTCCGTCAAGTTGGAAAGGTCGGAGCATTGAGAAAGTCAATTGCTGATAACAAGGCTCTCGACTTGACTGCTACCTTCAACTGCCATACCGGAATGGCTCACACTCGTTGGGTGAGCTGTCACTTTACACATTGAACAAAAAACCTTCGGACGACAGCCTACATTAGTTTCAACGATAGTAATCAATCATGCATCATGTTCATCGATAGGCAACACACGGTCAACCATCAGAACGAAACTCTCACCCTCACCGTTCCGACCCACGTGCGGAATTCACCGTAGTCCACAACGGTATCATCACAAACTACAAGGAATTGCGGACTGTATTAGAAAAGAAGGGATATGTATTTGAAAGTGATACTGATACTGAATGTATTGCCAAATTGGCCAAGTATGTCTATGACAGTCAAAAGGGAAACAAGGGCTTGTCATTCACTGCTTTGATCAAGGCTGTTGTTAAGGAATTGGTATGTTGCAATCCAAGCCAGTTATACTTGATCCATTTACTTTTTTTGGTGTTGAATGGAGTCAAACATGACGACCAAAAAGGCACATGGATGTTGGTGAATGTATTCCGACACGTCATTAATCGACTTCATCTATTTCCTAGGAAGGTGCCTTTGCCATGATATTAAAATCTACTCACTACCCTAATGAAATGATTGCTACACGTCGTGGATCTCCTCTCCTTGTTGGTGTCAAGACTGCGAAGAAGCTCAAGGTCGACTTTGTTGATGTTGAATTCGGTGGTGGTGATTCTCCTGACAAGAGTAAGGATCAAACAATATATTTGATGCTTTTTTGGCTCTCATTTGAATCACCAGTCGATGTCGTTCCTTTGTTAACTCGCCCATTTTGTCGAAAATGTAGTGGCTGAAGAGGAAGGTGGATTACTATCTCCTCAAGACCCAACTCATCCAAAGATTCGTCGCAACCAATCACGAACATTCTTGACCGAAGATGGTACTGCTCAGCCTATCGAGTACTTCTTGGCTTCTGACCCTTCAGCCATTGTTGAACACACCAAGCGAGTCTTGTACTTGGAAGATGATGATATTGCTCACATCAAAGACGGAGGTGATTATGAACTGTTAGTGCCTTTTCTGCGTTCTTCGCTCAACGTGCTTTTATTGGATTTCAGAACTCCACATTCACCGTCTTCGTCGTGACGATGGAATGTCCTCAATTCGATCCATTCAGACGCTTGAAATGGAAATTGCTGAAATCATGAAGGTAAAGAAGATTCAAGTGTTTTTAGGAAAATTAAAAAACAGAATTTGACATAATGTGATCTAATGCCTTCATCGTTTCCTCTCTGCAGGGCTCATTCGACCACTTCATGCAAAAGGAAATCTACGAACAACCCGAGTCCGTAGTCAACACTATGCGTGGTCGAGTAAGCAAAAGACGTCACGATGTCGGCTTCATGTCAAGCTAACTCTTGCTCAATGTGCTTAGGTCAACTTTGACACCAAAAAAGTGACTCTTGGTGGTCTCAAGTCCTACTTGGCTACTATTCGAAGATGCCGTCGTATCGTCTTTACAGCTTGTGGTACCTCATTCCACTCATGTTTGGCTGTAAGTTTACTCTTCTCGATAGCGCAAAAAAAATTTGTCAAGCTCTCTTTACCTGTTTTTGGTTTTCACTAACATCGCATTCACAATATTTGAATAGACTCGTGCCATCTTTGAAGAATTGACTGAAATTCCAGTCTCCATTGAATTGGCATCAGACTTCCTCGATCGTCGTACACCCATTTTCCGTGACGATGTGTGTGTCTTTGTCTCCCAATCTGGAGAAACCGCCGATACCATCTTGGCACTACGATACTGTCTTGAACGTGGTGCTCTCTGTGTCGGTGTAACAAACACTGTTGGGTCCAGTATTTCTCGTGAAACTCATTGCGGTGTAAGTGATTCTTTGACAACGATCTGTCATAGCTCAGTTTTGCTTCTCCTTTTTTTCGCACATTCTAACAATGGCTATGTCTTACTTTTCAGGTTCACATCAACGCTGGTCCTGAAATCGGTGTTGCATCAACCAAAGCCTACACATCTCAATTCATCGCCCTGATCATGATGGCTCTTCAACTATCTGAAGACCGTATCTCAATGACTTCTCGTCGTAACGAAATAATTGAAGATTTGGGCAACTTGCCACGATACATCAAGGAGACCTTGGCCTTTGACAAGGACTTACAAAAGATGGCCAAGGAAGTACTATTCAAGGAAAAGAGTCTTTTGATTATGGGTCGTGGATACCAACATGCTACTTGTTTGGAAGGTGCTTTGAAGATTAAGGAAGTGAGTATGGAGAACACTTTGGTGTTTGGTTTGGGGTATAATTCGGTTTCTTTTTTGCTGACGATTCTTGATTGTTCTGTAGGTCTCTTATATGCACTCTGAAGGTATCTTGGCAGGAGAATTGAAGCATGGACCACTTGCCCTGGTTGATGAGCACATGGTAGGTTTCGGTCGTGCTTTCGATGCATAAAAAAACGTACACTCCACGTAGCTACCTATGCTGATGATGATTCAATGGCTCATTGATTTTCATAAATATTACATAGCCCGTCATCCTCATCATGACCAAGGACTCTCTCTACCCCAAGGTTGGATCAGCTCTACAACAAGTCACAGCTCGTAAAGGAGAGCCCATCATTATCTGCAATACTGGAGACAACAATATTCCCACTCAATTCCGAACTATTCGAGTACCACAAGTTGTCGGTATGTAATGCCGTCTGAGTTGACTTTCACGTTGTTGAAAATGTATTTCTTTTACCTATCTCACTCCATTACTTCCCTCTTCCTAGATTGTTTGCAAGGAATTGTGACTGTTGTTCCATTGCAATTGTTGAGTTACCATCTCGCTGTCATGCACGGTGTTGATGTTGACTTCCCACGAAACTTGGTATGTGTTGGTCACCCTTGTGACATGGCGTGGTATTCATGACGGGGGCTTTTTTGGCTTTGACTAACATCCTGTTTCGCACAATAGGCCAAGTCCGTGACTGTCGAGTAAATCGAGCAAGATATGCTATTCCCTTAAAAAGAAAGGATCCACTTGTGAAAAAAATGTAATAAGGCCGGAAAAAAATTAATTGGGTGTGTGTGTGAATTGTCTCTCTCTCCTTCATTTTTCTATTTACAGTTGTTGTGGAAACCAAGATCAATACATTTGAAAAAACTTATCTTTAAGAAAGTCACGGTTGTGTGTGGATTGTGTGTTTGGTTTGAATCGACTGTTTTGTTTTGGCTGTAGGGATATGGGATGTGATGAAGGTTTGTTTGGAGGGTTGATGTGGTGAGGTGTGAGTGAGATGCATGAATTTAGTTAGACCATTTGCCTTTCGCTACATTGTTGTGGGATTGGAGGTATTTACCATGAGAAAAGGTGAGTTCATGCCTTTCACATTGCTCGAGAGCAAAAATAAACGCCACACTATTATAATAACGAACGTTAGAGACTTCATCATCTTAGCGCACACATTCTGAAATATGTCGACGATTTATGGTTGCGTCGAATCTCTCAGAGACCCCTTGAACACTTGGCCACGACAGATGTTACAGAGTTGATCAAAGAATTGAACTGTCGATTGAGCAAGGGGCATTCTCCTCTGATTCCGAACTCATTATCCATCTATAGCTCTGTCGTTTCTGCTTAGTTCGCGTCGACCTGCCATTTTTCACTAAGAGACTGCTCGGTGCAACAAGGGCCTTGGTATTGAGTTTCTTATTACTCCAATACCGGTTAACGTCGCTAATTGAAGGCACTCAAGCCGCACGGATTCTGATGGGTATCCGGATATGATGATACAACTGGAGCGTGATGATTTGGCTGCTAGGAGGGCTGCTAGTATGGATCTCATTGCTGGGTTTTGATGGCCTTGTTTGATCGCACCACGTCGTCGTGGTGAGTGTTTGTCAGTTGAGTATTCCATTCTTTGACCTTCGACTGACGGTTCCTTTTGTTGTGCTATTTGAAAACTAACGTCGTTCTTACCAAGTGTCTGGCTAAACGGTAGATTGATCAAAGCGAGGGAAAAAAGAGTGGTGTCCCAGTGGAGGTTCCTAGACAAGAACTCGTTGAAAAGGCTACCTGGTGTGTAGTTACTCATGGACGTCAGCCCATGTATCTGTGTACCGCTTCTTGTGGAACGCTTGTGCAGTAAGTATAAGCTAAATTTACAATGAACGGGTCTATAACTGTCTTTCCTTCTTTCCAGATTCTTCTCTTTGAACCAGTCTAAGTGCCTCAAATTTGTCAGTCCAGTTTTGAATCTGCTGTCGCCGAAGTCTCGAGTCAAGACTACTTTATAGACGATGAACTACTCTCGTGTTCTTCAGTCATTGGGAACTATGGTTGCTGATGATTTACGCCAGTACCTTCCTGTCTCATTAGTGAATGGGCTCTTAGAGAGTCAAACAGCTGAATCATTGCGACAACATGAGTTTTTCAGGGCACCTGTATAAACGTAAAAGCTTGTATATCATAGCACTACAACTTGAACTGTATATCTGAAGCTTTATAGAGAAAAAACAGCCTGTACAAGTAAAAACATGAGGCTTTACAATACAGGAAACTTGGTTCATATGGAAAACTATACGACATAACAACTAGGCTTAACAAAAAATGCCAACAACTGGTTTTCAACAATCAAGAGCATCATCAGGCTCAACGATAACAAACTCCTCCTCATCTACAGACCCAGCTGTTATAATATACGACTCTTCCAAGCTCTCATGAGACTTGACTCCCAAATCCGGTTGCTTCTCAACAACCACCACTTCTTCTTCCACTTCTCCTTTAACTTCTTCCTCCTTCTTCTCATGGTCCCCAACCTCATCATCACTATGATTATGCACAACCCCAGCCTCAGAAACAACCAATTCAGACTCTGATACCAATGATGAATCCATTTCGGACCTGTTGCTGTTGTTACTAGGGTATGAGCCAGGGAGTTTTGGCTCAATGTCTGACATGGAGTTATGTTTTGATGCGTGCATACGTGGAGATGCACATGATGAAGCTGATTTAATGGATAAGGGTGATGTGGGGCGTACTACCGCTACTAGGTCGGGTGAGCTGGCTGGAGATGTTGCTGTTCGTGTTGCTGTTGCCAATGATTCTGATGGAGTTGATTCGACGGATGGGATAAGACAATTCTTGCTCCAGAATGGATGAGCACTGATATTGCTATGTTCCTTGACAGTGACTTTACCATCCTGGTCTTTGGCTAAACTATATACAGATGTAATGTTGTTTTCAATCAGGTAGTCTCGCAGCTTATCGTAATGCATTGCGACATCGTTTGGACCGTGTGAGTCGTCTGATAGTGTGAATTTGATTTTGTTTGCAATCATTTTCTATTTTAACGAGACCTTCTGATGAGATATGAAGTTGAAGCGCGACTGGCAGTAACAAAAAAAGCATCCAAACCTACCTGCAAAATATCACGAAACGGATACGGCGACCCCAAATTCTTCTTCAACGCCCTAGAATTAATCTCCACCAGCCCACCATACTCCGCAATCCACTCAATATTACGTTCAATCAACCCCATTACAACATCACTCAACCCATGCTCAGGTCTAAACAACCTAACCAAATCAAAATGCCCCACAACCTCAGGTTTCAACTGCTTTAGCATCTCATACTGGGCATTGAAGTACACACGAAACACAGTCTCGGTTCCTCCAAGCAGTGATTCAATAGACGCATACATTTCTTCGTTATAGTCTAGCGGGATTTCGGCAACGTGGTGTACGGATCCGACAATGTAGTCAATGTTGTGGAGGGCGCGGAGAGTGCTTACGGCGTCTAGATCGGATATGCGGATGTATTCGGTTTCCATGCCGAGCAGGAGTGTTGTTGTTGGGGTTTGGCATTGGGATATGAGGCGACGGGCTTCGGTGATAAAGTCTTGATATGTGGTTGATAGGGATGAGGGAGACATTCCTAGCTGGACCTGTTGAACAGATGATGGGGTGAGACTGAGTCCAAGCGGTTGAGGACAAAAATCGATAGTTTCTTCCCGCACTATGTTCAAAGACCTCAAACAACTTCCAATCCACCGCACAATGTTCAACGACTCGACTTCAAACAACGTCCAATCCACCGCACGAATTACGAATACGAAATACTGCCAAATACTATGCACACTTGCATATTATTTAAATGTCCAAGCAAAAATTCAACAGCCACGTGGTTGCAGAATGTCCAACGACTTCCAACCCACTTCCAACTCCTCTCGCACTGCTAACAGACACACATAAGATATACCACCAAACGACTCACCTCTTCAGGATACAAGTCCCTATCGAGTGAGCGAGGCATATGTTCACTAAGTCCAAAACATGTGAATTCCATTGCAATGGCTTTTTGAATGACTTGTTCCAGTTGGCCATGAGCATGCTGGCAGTACTGTCCTGAATGAGAGTGCAGAGAGATGGGCATGTTGAATATAGCTGTATAGATAGTGCTTAATGGTATTTGTCAAATGTTGTTTAGCAAGAATTGCTTGTATTGTGGAGACTGAGGCTAATTCGATACAAGGAGGAGGAAAGAGTCAGAGATATTATATATCGAGCATTGACGAACGTCAAGCCATAATGACTAGCAATGCGTCCTTACCATACAAAGCGTAGGTGCAACAAAAATACAGTTAATTTAACTGTATTTTTGCAGCAGGACGCTTGATGTCTTTAAGCTTTGACGATTGACTTGTACTTGATTTTCGCTTTATCGCGTCTATATGACGTGTTAGCTAACTCTGCTATTGATTCAACATAGAGAACTGCACATTCCTTTCCCAACATCACGACAAGCACACATTGCTCGGACTGTCTTGCAAGTCGACAAGGATCCACGGCCATCTGAATCCAACAAGGAACTCGCTGTGCTAGACGGGAATGTATTGCATGTGTAAGTATATCGTATATTGATATGGATTGTAGGATGTGTATGGTTGAAGAAGACCTCATATGAATTGAGCTCGAGTTTTTGTCTCCATCTGGATCTCGCTTACTCACTCTCCCGCCACCTTAACCGTACACAGAATATACAGAGCAAACTCTCTGAAATTAGCTAGAGCTGCTGTCAATGGATTTATGGACCATGTCATACTTGTGATTCAGACGTTGGAGAGCTTTGATGATGAGGCTGCCATATGAGAGTTCTGCAATTGTCCCTTTTTTGCTCTTGTGGTAGACGGACGCGTCAATCGCCAAAACTTTTCCATACTCTACTCTGAGAAACTTTGGAAGAAACACATATTCGATGCATCCTTTGGTGCTTGAGATTAGATAATGTTGTACCCATTTTCTTTGTAACATGTAAACACAACAACAATCATCCATACTCAATTATTTGCCCTCTACTTTTATACAAGGTCTTCTTATATATATTCTGTTGAGGATCTATACAAGCTTTTACATTTATACAGGTGCCTTGAAAAACTCGTGTTGTAGCAATGACTCGGCTGTTTGACCCTCTAAGAGCCCATTCACTAATGAGGCAGGAAGGTACTGGCTTAAATCGTCAGCAACCATAGTTCCCAATGACTGAATATCGTGTTTTGGACAATATTTGCCCCTCTCGTCCTCTGTATTTCCAACAGCCTGATCCTTCCAATGATTCAAAGCAAATGGTGGTCTGGTGTACGCTCTACCACCATTTTCAAGGTCTATTATGACCCACGTCATCCAAACAGTTCGTATGACATTCTCCCACCTCACTCATACACAAAGATAGAGTCAATATGGAAGTGTCCGGTTTGCGGAAGATACTCATTCATTACTCACAATCTCTGTGCACGAAATCATTTAGGTGTAAACTGCTCAATCCTGTAAGGATACATCTCAAGCATTCTTTCGCCTCCAAAATAGTTGACGGACGAGAATGATATCCAAGCGGTTGTAAAACCACCCGATATGTGTCTTCAGTCACATATGGCCCAGCGCAGGTGTGTATAACGTAGGGAGTCTGAGCAGCCGCAGCATAGAGAGCTCTCAGGGTCTAGTGATACGACAATAAATATCCCACATGTACCTCAATGAAAGTGTTTATACCTCCAGATCCGAGTAAAAGTAACGTGCGAATCCCTCAATCTTCTTTTCAATTCGATCATCGTACAGAAGTAGCGAGCGAATCTAAACGCGGTAGAAGCAATCAAATAACTGGTAAGCGCGCCGCCTGTACTAAAATCGTAGCAACTCACGATTCCGTCGTCTCGAGATAATACTTTCACATCTGGCTTGAAGATACTTAGAGGTATTCTCGCGTCATGATCTTCACTGAATGCCTGAAGAACACGCGAGTAGTTCATCATGTATAAAGTAGTCTTGAGTCGAGACATCGGCGACAGCAGATTCAAAACCGGACTGACAAATTTTAGGCACTTAGACTGGTCCAAAGAGAAGAATCTGGAAAGAAGGAAAGACGTTTATAGACCCGTTCATTGTAAATTTAGCTTATACTTACTGCACAAGCGTTCCACACGAAGCGGTACACAGATACATGGGCTGACGTCCATTAGTCACTACATACCAGTTGGTTGCCTTTTCAAGGAGTTCTTGTCTCGGAACTTCCACTGGGACACCACTCTTCTTTTCCTCGCTTTTGTAAACCAATCTACCGTTTAGCCAGACACATACGTCTGGCCTTTTTTGGTGGATAGTGGCCGAAGAGGCCTCGGCTTTGTTTCGATTGTAATCCAATACCAAGCCCGACCATTCACAGAAACACAACAACGGCTGCAGCATAACTTCATCCCATAGGCGAATGTCTATGGACACGAAAGTCTATAATCCCAGCGCTCAGTAAAAAATACTAGGGAAATCGACTTACACATGTTCTCGTTGCCGTCGGTGGGTATGCTGTCCTGGCGTACAACTTTGGACCATAAGTGTAACCACGGCTCTGGAGCAGACCTACTGACTTTGACAAAGTCGAGTTGCTGTAAGTCGGTTGAATCACCAGTCCATTCTCTAATAGGAAGTGACTCGGAAGGGTACGTCTTCAGGAAGGAGATAATGCTTTCGGTGTCCATGTTCCCTGCATAGCGAGGAAGCAGAGACTTTATCAAATCTGGAAGGGTGACTAATTGCAGAAGTTAGCCAAACATGAGACATTCAAGCATCGACAGAACCAACAAATAAGGTTGTCACTACTAATCAGCATTCATATTCAGCATACCTCCTGCTGGACTACTTTGACTGGTTCCTTTAAGGATAGGAATGTAAGGTGATTACACTTGGAAGAACACTTTCAAGAGTAGTAGTGCAGCTATGGACATACCTTGTATTGGTCTGACAATCTGAAGTGGGTTTAGGTCTGATGTTCCAAACGTCGTCAGTGCTCGCCCTAGTCTCAGAGGAAGCATCCATTCACTGCCTATATACACATTCAATCGAGCAGCAGATACACCCATCAAGTCATCTTTAAAAGAGTCCTTGACTACATGTTGCAGCAAATCGTCAATGTCGCTGTTTTCTGGCAACTTCACTTTGAAAGCGTGCATATCTTCGACTTCAGAAGGTAGACTGGTAGCACTTCCTTCATAGAGCTGGATCCAAACTGTGACAGTCTCCATGTGTACAGAATATATACAAAAGCTCGTTGTTTCGATTCTTGTGGGAGTGTTTTTTGCAACGATAGAGATATCACATGTGACGATTCACGCAACCTTCAGGCCAACCAAGGGGCCATCACTAGCGATTCGCACGGAGCAGGACGTTCAATGAAAACCAGAGTGACAGTGAATGAATCCTTTACTTCACAGGAGTATGTATTAAAATATGACGCTTACAAGCTCCATTTCATGCACGGAATTGCGGACATTAGGATTATGATACATTTCTGACATTTCCGAATATCTACACGATCATGGACGCGTCAAGATGGGATGTTGGGGCTTATAATCAGTTTCGTGGTCGTGTTTGCAAAATTATAAAGATATGCAATTCCAAGCGTGCTATGATGGTAGACTGTGCGGTATTGATGATAGAGGTGGTGGAAAGTCTGGTGGTGGCGATTCACGAAGCTGGTGTGTAATAACGTGTGAGCAAAAAAAAAACGACTTGTATGAGGATCAAGGATGGTGTTCTCACCTTCCAAACACCAATAGACGGCCTATCTTCAAACTTTCTCCTCTCCTTCTCCTGATGCCGTTCTCCAATCAGCTTCTAGATATACCAAATAGCATCGTCAGCTACGTTCCAAGCACACATCTCAAACGTTCATGATGTACCTGCCCTTCGTCCGCAGTTTTACTCTTCATCTGTATACAAAACAGAAACTCTTTGCGTGGCGGCGCACAGTCCTTCCATGAGCCGTAGCGGTAGTAATGTCGTAGTTGTGGTAGTGGTGCTAATGCGGGATAGTGAGGTTGGCAAAGTGATGAGAGAGGGGGAAGCAAGGCTACTTACTGAAGCATAGTTGGAGAGCATCGAATGCAGCCCATGCTGAGCATGTGTATTCGGGGGTGCCGTCTGGGGTTGTTGTTAAGGATGTCATTGTTTTGGATTTCGTGTTTGGAGTTGGCGTCTGTTGGGCGAGTGCAGGGGGTTGTATGTGCGGTCTCTCTCCAGGTCGCTCTGAGAAAGTAGCGTTATGTAGATTGAATTATCATGTTCTGAATGAGACTCACGTATCGAATATGTTATATTTGACACCGACAAGCGGTCAATTACAAACAATTTTGTTGGCGTGTTGTTGCAAGGAAGAGTAGGAATTGAGGACGTGTATGCCGCTATATTATCGAACATACGCATATGCAATTCTATTACACGTCGCTATTCCACCACATTCGAACAATCGATTCTAGACACCCCCGTCTTCGCACATGAGCCTTTTGCCCAAACTTGGACTAGCAAGCAATCAGACAGGAACGATTCCTTTCAAGCTCCCGTGCGCATCGCATCCCCGGTCTCGTAATGCCTGTCATGGCTCCCACCCTCAAGCCTGCATCGCTGCATTCTCTCGTCTTCTTGTCCTTGCTGTTTGGCAGCAATGTGTGGGCTGCATCCATTACCTGCTCCAATCAGTTCTCAAATGAGCTTATACCTGGTGTATCGCCATCGTCGAGCTATTCTTTCGCATTGGATACATCGCATCTGCGGAGCCTGGATGATGAGGGGGGTACGGGTGTGATTGCGAGTTTGACGCAGAGGTTGAGCTTTGATGTCAAAGGTGCGAGTGCGCATTGGGATTTATAGTCAATAATTTGATTGCTTTGATGTAGAATTGACGTTGCATCTATAGTGGTCAACTCGGGAGCTCCATGTACCATCACGTTGCGAGTCTGTGACGTGTCGAATCCGTGGCAGCCGAATCAGCAGCGTGTTTTGCCTGGGAATGGAGTTGTGCTGTGGGCGAAGGGTATGGGGGTGTTGATCTGGTCATTCTGCGTTGTACTATGTGTCTGGAATAACAACTGGGTTTTTGCTGGTAGCTGAATCAGATGACGCCTCCGCATCAACGGCCTCGTACCACCTACTCGCAGAGAGCTTGGCTGATTTCAAGAACGACTACTTGGCACAAGTGTCTGGTGTATCGACTGGATCTAATACGCTTGTGCTGTCCGGATGTGGAAATGACAAGTGCTGGACAAGCTGGACGGTTCATGTTGGAGCGCTGGTTGAATACGATACGGGGATGGCTGCTCGGAGCAATAGTACGCCAAAGTTGGTGGTTCAGATGACTGGGGAGCAGGCGAGTGATTATTATTCGGATGTGGAGGAGGAGGACGATAATGATGATGAGAGTGTGGGAAAGTAAGTACGAGGGAGAGAAAAAAGACGATGAAGGTGTATATTTGGATTGTTGTGACACATTGTCGTCTCACATGTTGTATCTCTGTATATAGGCGCGCATCACTGGGAATGCTGGATGTGAAGATGTCGTTTGATACGTGTTTGGTAAGCAGCTTAAAAAGCACTATTTGTTACGCCACTATGATGTTATAGCATGCACCATATTCATCTCTCTTTTCTATAGACGGCAACACCATCAACAACAACTCCAACGCCATCACCAACGGAAACACCCTCTGAAACTCCTGCTCCTTCTGAAGCACCGTCCCCGACTATGATACCATCACCGACTGAAAGTGACGATCCGCAGAGTGGCCCAACGGATGGCGCGACGATTATAGGGCCGTTACCACCAACAAACTTCCAAACTGTCGATAATAGCGAGCCTACCACAGTGTTGGTATCGCCAGCTGCTTCGATGCCTATAGTAGTGGTAACATCTGCGAATGCTGGTGTATCTCCAACGAGTAAGTTTTGAGCAAAGGACATAAAACGATATAAAATTGCGGCTCAACGAGTTTCTCAATTACTCAACCTCGTCTTCGCCTCCAGCAATCATAGCTTCAGCAACTGAAAGCGGATCAGAACCAAGTGAAACTCCAGATCCGACAGAAGGCGGGACTATCATAATACCTGGACCACCAACCAACTTCCAAACCGTAGATAATAGTGCGCCGACCTCGCCTGCGGTTGCACCTCCAGTGAATCCATCGGTGGATGTGAGAGCGCTAGCTTCTGGAAATGCAGGTGTATTGCCAACAAGTGAGTGATTAGAGCAAAAAATACGCAATATGTCAAAATGCTAAACTGATTGCTCAACAATGTTTTCATAGAAGGAGTAATCGCAGCCGCATCTGCACCTAACGCAATTGTCGCTTCTCCACTCGCCGGTGCCGGTGCCGTAGAATCTCCAGCGGTTCAACAGCCTGGTGCATCACCTCTCGCATCTCCTGCATTTGTTCTAGCATCCACAACCGCATCCTCAGCATCTCCATCTCCTCAACCAGCCACACTCCCAACAACAACGCTAACGCCAACCATCGCAATCGTCACGTCTCCTCCACCGACAATAACACTTGCAGCACAATCCGGACCTCCTGCCACCGAACCGTTTATACCGCTATCAGCAGACGCTGGATCATTCTATACCGATCAGGTCGGGACCTTCAATGCAACCATAACGAGGATTGAGAAACGGGATGTTAGTCCGAATTTAGAGGAAATGGAAGGAGCGTTTGTGTCTGTGTATAATGCTAGTCAGGGCGGTGTGTTGAGTCAGCCACAAGTGCTGTCGAGTGGGATTAGGAAGTATTGTGAAGTGCAGGATGCGTGTTTTGATGTTTATGTGTTTTTGAATGCTTATGATGTGTTTGGGAAGCCTGTTGGGATGATGAATTTGAATCTTAATCTGCTGGTATGAGTTTGTCCGGTGTTTTGTTACGTGTATGGGGTTGCCTAACTTTGAATTCTGTTTCAACACTGCAGTTGTCTGAGGAAGGACTTGGGTATGCATCTGGCAGTCCGACAAACGGCAGTAAGTAGTCATTTAAGTATCCAAGAGCAGTTTCCACAATATTGTGGTGATATAAACTCATGAAAAAATCTTGTTTTTGCCAATCTACGTAGCCGTAGTATCCTTCCACATCCCCAAAACAACATGCTACAACCTCGCAAAGTCAAACACGACAATATGGTACGCCATATTCGTAGACTCTCCAACCTCAATAACCCTCTCCATAAACAACGACACCAAAGTCCTCGCATACGAGACAATTCTGCTCTTCAATCCAACAAACAACGTATCGCCACCGGGACTCAATCTCGTAAAACCACCATTCGGGTACATGAATGTTAGCACGGGGTCTGGATTAGAGGTCGCTGGATTGACGATTGTGGATGCTGTTGCGCTTTATGGTGGGGTTTGCAGTGGTGGGCCAGTTGTTTCTGCTAGTGCGGCTGGGATTGAGGCGACGGGAGGGCCAAATGTGATTGCGGTTGCGTTGGGTGTTATTGCGGTGCTGGCGGTGCTGATTGCTGGTGGTTACTTGGTAAGACAAGTTGCATTCGATATCAATAGGATGGTCTTTGGATCCTCACCTTAAACAAAATATAGGTGGCAAGAAGGAGGAAACAGCTACGCCGAAGCCGTGAGCGTGATGCAGTGGTACGCTCTGCTATGGTGCATCGCTTTGAAGCACTCTGAAATCATTGATGCAAAAATCTGTATATACTGGTATACCATAATACTTTATCTCTGACTCTCAAATGGACTGGCCGAGAGCATCTACATAATTGGGGACACGGCTGTGTTGGGACTCTTGATTGAGAATTGTTATTGGGAGTGTTGATAGTGTTAGTATAGTTTGTTGGGACGTAAAAATCTGTAATCGAGTAATATGTGCTGGGACAAAAAAGGAAGTAATTAATAGAACTGGGGCTTGTAATTAGTACACGTCAGATGCTGTGATGATGATTTTTCAAAATCGTCTGATTGGGTTTGATGTTTGGTATGGCACGAGGGACTTGGCCCACTCTAAAGGATGACAGTATTTAGGAATCAAACGGTATAAAATTATAAGGAGATCGCAATGCGTCATCGTGGAGCGACATTATTACAAGATGCACTGTGCTACATCACTTTGAATCTCTTCTGGGGTGACGCAAATGAAGCTATGCGAGTTAAAACAGCTCAGACGCCAGTATAAGCAAGCAGAAAAATTATCAAGTTTGACGGCAATTCGTTCTGACTAATAGACACTCGATTGAAAGGCCTCTCATGGCACAGTCGTACAAAAACCAATCGTCCAGCTTTTCAGATGGAGCTGCACGGGCCAATGCAACCTCTAATCCAAATGAAACTCATTGCAGCAATGTCATACCACAAAAGCCGTATGATAATAATGCTCCATGAAATTCCAAAATGATTGAGCTGCTTTCACCCAAACTCACCAAAAAAGTCGCGTATTTGATGATATCACCTCGCAGACCTGTGAGTCCAATGTTCTCCAAACTTATTGGAGGAAGTCTTTCCTTATCAAAAACTTGACTGACGCAAATTGCAATAACGTAAAGGCTGACCATTTATGGATAGCGTTAATGCCTCTGATTTATATAAATGTCATTTCGATACTTCTCATAGTACTTATCGTTGACGTGTCCCTGATCCAAACACTCTTGCAATCGTGTTTTGAAAGTTGGAGAGTTAGAATTACACAACGCCGTTCATCCCACGAAACAAACAGAGTTGCTGTGTAATTAGAAGAATTCGTATTTGATTACAGAATCATTCAGCAACTTATATCAAAACTGGTACCGTGCTAACATAGCAACTCCGCCGTCCCTAAGAAATCACTTATAAACCGTAAGCAAACCTATAGAGATATGACATCGAGAGAGGAGATAGATGATTTTGCATGGGTGTTAACGCAACAACTCATTGTCTTGCTTGACGAGAAACAACAGGAGAGAAAACCTTCAGCACGAATCAGTAGAAAAAAGCTAGCATTCAGAGCAAGTAAGGGACATCTATAACTAGCACGCAGCTCTAAGTGAACTTAAATGTACCTCTTATAGGACTCGAGAAAGAATTCGACCGTCAAGTTATATACGATGATCCTTCTCGCCAGGACATCGCAAGAAATTCAATCCCTGTCGAGCAGCTTCATCGTGAAGCTCGTTTACGAGAAGAAGCTGATCCTGAAAAGGTGAATACACTTCCAAATTCAACAGATGTCAAATTTCGCTACTCTCTTTATGGTTCTGCAGCCTGGAACTAGGGCTTTTTCACTACAGTCAAAAACTTTTTCGCAATCGAAAGCTGACGTCGTTGCCTGGTCATATAGGACTTTCAAGAAGAATTGATGAAAGCCATGTTGAAATGGTACAAGAATGACTTTTTCAAATGGGTGAATGCGCCAGAATGTGAATATTGTAATGTATGTGTCGCTTATGTCTGAGTTGCAATCTACATAGTTTCCTTTTCGCAATTGACTTGATCTCCGTTTCCTTTGTACTCATTTCTTCCAATCTAGTCTGCCACACAATCATTCGGTATGGCTTCCCCCACTCCCGAAGAAACCAAGTGGCAAGCAGACCGTGTTGAACTGTACGAATGTACAGTCTGTCTAAAGCTATCTCGATTCCCACGCTACAACAACCCAATTAAGCTACTTGAAACACGACGAGGGCGTTGTGGAGAGTGGGCAAATGTCTTCATGCTCTTGTGCAAGACGATGGGATTTGAAGTTCGATACGTCGCTGATTATACTGATCATGTTTGGGTGGAGTGGTGGAATGAACGACAGGTAAGCGATTTCGAAGATGCCAATAATATTTTAGTGATAAGAACTGAAGAAGCAAAAAAAAAAACATTTTTGACAGAACCGCTGGATGCATGCTGATTGTTGTGAAGGCGAGGGTGCTTTTGATACACCTTTGATGTATGAACAAGTGAGTACACTCTTATGGGTTTCTTCATCAGCGTCTGCGGACGAGTTTGTGGAGCACACAACTTGAAAGGACTGAGCCCTATTGTCTATATTTCAGGGATGGGGCAAGAAATTGAGCTACGCATTCGCATTTGGAACATATGAAGCCGTAGATGTCATTCGAAGATACACTGCAAACATGGTAAGAAAGCAAAAAAACACCTCCCCTGTTTTAGGATGATATCTCGTATGAAATATGTCTTACTACACATAGATTGACGTACAAACAAGGCGAACAGATGTCCCAGAATCATGGCTCGCAGAAGCTCTGCGCGACATGACCAACAAGAAGGCCCAACTATTACCAGAATCAGTCCGTATTGACTTACAACGACGACGTGAAGACGAACAGCTCGAATTAGCACAACCACATCTCCGCGCTTTGAGACCTGAAGAAATGCTTGGTCGACAATCGGGTTCCTTGTCATGGAGGAGTGAACGTGGAGAGACTGGTGTGAATGCGAATGCTGGTAGTGGTAGGGTAAAAGAAGCAGCTAAACCCTCCAGATCGAGTACCAGTCTCGCAGCACCACTTTACGTTGCTGGTGAAGCTAGTAGTAGTAGCAGCACTGGTGGTAGTAAAGATAAAGGCAGGGACAAGGATGATGATTTAAAGGGAAGGATTGTTGCTCGTGTGCCTACGAGAGCTATATCGGGATTATCGGTTGCCCTCGCAGGTGTGTTGAGATGTCTGTTACTCAACTTTATAATTCTTAAAGTTCATCCAGTTTTTTGCTCATCTTTTAATCGTTTCTGCTGGTCGTAGGCTCGGCAAGCATAGCCAAACTCTTCAAAAACAGCAACTCTTCATCATCCTCCACAACATCAACATCATCATCAAAAAGCGTCATTCAATTAACACCACCAACAAACGGCCTAGTAGGAAGCGCATTCCTACCATCTACAATCTCGATAGCACAAGGTCTCGTAATCTCCTTTTACTCATCAATGAGCAGCACAACAGCAGGTCCAGGAGGTCTCGCCGTATTATTCACAACTAAAAGCAGCTACGGTGGTCCCGGAACAGGATCATTCAACATTGACGGAACAGATTATGCAATGGCTGTGACATTGGGTACTGATCCTTGCCAACAGTGTGGAGCAACTTCAACTACACATGTTGCACTATACGCATCTAATAAGAAGGTTGCGTGCACGACTCTACCACATGATTTAGCTAATGGACGTGTGTATGCTATACGAGTTGTGCTGGGTATCAATGGGCAAGGGGTCAAAGTGTATGTGACAAGGGATCCAGTTGAGAATGATGATTCTCAGGCTGATTATGAGACAGTATTGGATGCTAACGATGTGACGATAAGTGTTGGGACGGCAACGGGAGGCAAGGTCGGATTTGTTGGGAATGCTGGTGAAGTTTCTAGACGTGTGCAGGTGTTTGATATCACGGCTGCACGTTTAGCATGAGGTCCCGATTATAGAATTGTTTTTTTTAACAGTTTTATTATAATTGTGGTAGTTTACCCTCGAATTGATGGTACTGAACATCGTAGTTTCTGTTTCTGTTTCCGCTTCGGTTTCGTTACGAAAGGCTGTCGATTGCGTTGAGCTTCTTCGACGCGTAATTGGATTGTCAAGGCACACGCAGCAAACTCTTCGTAGGCCTGCCAAACGCGCGTGTTCAACATCGAATTTAAAGATGCACTGGAAAGGAATAGAATGGAATTCGACTTGGAATTCACGTTTTTGAGTCGCCAATACGCCAATAATGCCAATATATGCTGGCATAAATGAGTCACGAAAAGTTCTTTCTCCTCATCGTCCTCATCATCCCAAATTTTGACCAAACTCATCTTTCAAGTCATAGACATCCGCAGCAAGCAAAGAACACCAAATGGCGGATTCCAGATCCGATAGAAGACCACCAGCACCACGTAGAGATGATTACGACCGACGTGGAGAACGTAAAAGATCGCACTCTCCCAACGACCGTGGCAGCTCATACAACAAACGACCATACGAAAGAAACTACTCATCATCATCAAATAGAGATTACGATCGTCGAAATGACCGTCCCAGCTATAACGAACCACCACCTCCTAGGCGCCGAGACGACATCATTCGACCACCGTCACCAACAGCGGAAATGCAGGTTGATCACATCCCACCTCCTCCATCTGATGATACAAATAATATTCCACCTCCACCATCAGTTCCTCCTCCTGATACTGATGCTCCAGCTCCTCCACCTGTTAAGCGTGTACCGTTGAGTGTGGAAGAGCTGCTCAAGAAGAAGGAAGCTGATTCGCAAAAGCAGGAGAAGCCAGTGTTTTTGTCGAAGGAAGAACGTGCTAAACTCGCTCTGGAACGTAGACAGGCTGAAGCAAATGCTATAAGACAAAAGCAGGAGGATGCGAGAGCATCTGCTAAAACCCTTGATGATCATCAGAATGGTGGCAGGATGGATTACTCTTATGATGATCGTCGTGATGATAGGAGACGAGGAGGAGGTGATCGATATGATGATCGCAATGGTCGTGGTGGTGACAGCAGATATGACTCTAGAGATCGTGATAGGGATGGTGAACGAGACCGTGATTCTGGTAGAGATCGCAATCGTGATACGAGAGATAATAGGGACCTTCGTGCTGCGAGTGCTGATAGTGAGAATGATGGAATACCATTCAATGAAAAGGAGCTAGTAGCAATCAGGGTACAATGCAACAGAAATCAAATTATTGAAAATGATCATTCGCTTACACTTTCTTTAATACAGGAAAAGTATATGGGAACACTAGACAAGAAAAGGCGACACATTCGCAAAATGAATGAAAAGAAATTCGTCTTTGATTGGAATGCTGAAGAAGATACATCAAAGGATATCAATCCGATATACATAAAACGACACGATGCTCAGCTATTTGGTCGCGGTCATATCGCTGGTATTGACATCAAGGAGCAAAAGAAGGAGCGCTCTGGATTCTACAACTCGTTAATAGAAGCTCGTCGTAATGTAGAAGAAGTCGAACGAGCCCGTGAAATGGAAGAGAATGATGCTAAACGAGCTCGTCAAGTCGCATTTGATGAACGTCATTGGTCTGATAAACCGCTAGAAGAAATGAAGGAACGTGATTGGCGTATCTTTCGTGAAGATTTCAATATATCTACTAAAGGAGGTATATTGCCAAACCCGATACGTACTTGGGATGAAGCTGAGATCCCTGATAGAATCAAAAAGGTCATCATATCTGTCGGATATACTGAACCTTCACCCATTCAACGTGTATCCATCCCTATTGGTTTACAGAATCGAGATTTGATTGGTATCGCTGAAACAGGTTCTGGTAAAACTGCATCGTTTGTTATACCCCTATTATCATTCATCATGGAATTGCCAGCTCTGAATGAAGACAATGCATCATTGGGTCCGTATGCCATTATATTGGCACCGACTCGTGAATTGGCACAACAGATTGAACAGGAAACCATCAAATTCGCTACCCCTCTAGGTTTTATTTGTGTCTCGATTGTCGGTGGTCATGCACTTGAAGAACAGTCCTTTAGTTTACGTAATGGTGCTCACATAGTCATTGCCACACCAGGTCGATTAAAGGATTGTCTCGATCGTCGTATCCTTGTACTAGCCCAATGCTCATACGTAGTCATGGATGAAGCAGATCGAATGATTGATATGGGGTTTGAAGCTGATGTGAACGCAATCCTTGATGCGCTGCCAGTATCAAACACGAAACCAGATACAGATGATGCTGAAAACTCGGAAGCTATGCAGGCTCGTGTTGGTGATATCAAGTATCGACAAACTAGTATGTTTTCAGCTACCATGCCGCCAGCTGTTGAACGACTCGCCAAGAAGTATTTACGCCGACCTGCTATTGTTACTATTGGTACTGCTGGACAAGCTGTAGATAAGATTGAACAGCGAGTCGAGTTTGTGTCTAATGAGGAACGTAAAAAGAATCGCTTGTTGGAGTTGTTGGAAGAGCATCACGATCCTCCTATCATTGTGTTTGTTAACACGCAGAAGGGATGTGATATCTTGTCCAAGGCGCTGGAAAAACTTAATGTGAGCATTATCTCTTGACTTTTGAGCTGTTCGTTTTTCTTCATTGTCTCCTTCCTTCAGCACTTGGATTATCAGCTTTCTTATTGATATTTTCCCTCCCTGTTTACAGTATAGCGTCGCAACACTCCATGGTGGTAAATCTCAAGAACAGCGTGAGCAAGGACTTGCAGATCTAAAGGCTCGCCAGAAGGATATTCTGGTTGCGACAGATGTAGCTGGTCGTGGTCTTGATGTCAAGAATGTATCCATGGTCGTGAATTATGATATGGCAAAGAACATTGAAGGTTGTTTATCGCTCCTATCCCGTCTTTGTCATTCGACTTTTTTACTTCTCTATACCATCTTGATGAACCATGCCCTAATCTTCCTCTTCTTTTATTCTCGTAGCATACACGCATCGCATAGGTCGAACCGGTCGAGCAGGCAAAAACGGATTGGCAATTACATTCCTGACACATGGAGATTCCGAAGTGTTTTATGATCTCAAGATGATGTTGTTGAAATCACCGAATAGTAAAGTGCCTCGTGAATTGTCTGAACATGAAGCTGCTCAGAATAAGGGTGTTGATCGTAGGCCGAAGAAGAAGGAATAGGAGTTGATTGGGTGCAGGATCGTCGTCGTAATAGCATAGTAGTTTTTTACACGTAGAAGGAAGTAGAGAATGTGAATACATTACGTGATTTTCTATTTGTGTCGTTGTAGTGTATCGAGCGATGACTTGCTTTGGTCATTTGGTGTTTCGTGATTTCGTTGCTCCACAAAACTTAAGCAGCAAACTTCACAATGGCAATTCTGGAAAGGCAAGACGAAGAGGTAGAGTAGCTCTCTTGCATGCTCGCATACGTCGTCGCACCATCTATCTTCTTAGATCTAAACCATCTTCTTTCAAACTAGAATTCTTCAGCAACCCAAACTCAACACCAGCCAACACCGACATCTCGCCCAACAGGCTACGAATCCCTCCACTCGACAATCCAAGACGTCTCAAACCGCGTATCTGCACTGGAGGTATCGCAACGATCACTAGAGACTCGCACAACCACGCTGGAATCTGAGGTTTTATGACACATTTGGACTTTGTGTCGTTGTAATCGGGCAGGAGCTAATAGTACGGTTTATGTTAGCTATCAGCAATGCACAACGCACTCGTACAAGTTATTACGGCGATTTCGAGAGCTGATTCTTGTAAGCCCATCTCGGAAACACCTTACAATACTAGTGCCTTACAGCATTTTTTTTAGCACTCGATCAAGATCCAGCGATTGAAGAGTATTTGAACCTTGTTACGGCAAAGCTTGGAACGCGTAAGGTTGTGGTGGCTAGTGCGAAGGTGGGGGTTGAGAATGTTGGGAGGTGAATAGTTCAATGTTAGGGGTTCGCGTTTTGCTAGTGCTGGGATTGTGTATAGTATTTAAGATGGAGATTGGTTTTTGCATTATATATGAATAGATTTGCATAATGGAAGTTGTACGCACTGGTGGGGTCTTTATGCTTGGAGGAGCTCAATGTTTGGAACTGGACTTGGATGTCACAGACAAGGAAGCTGGTTCAAGCGTTGGATGAGAACATACGCACGATAGCTCAGTGTTGATGCGGACTGTGGAGGTGTGATAGAGGCTGCTGATTGGAACTACTCCAATGTTCAAACCAACAACCGTAGCATTCTGGCATGACGATGCAGCCTTCACGTCAAGTATTGAGCTTCAAACATTGGCAAAGAAGATCAAAACTGTTCTGCAAGCTGCATAGGAAAAAAAGGTCTGTACTATGAAGCTATATACACGAGCAACACAATCATTATCATATCACGACGACTTGAACAGCACCTTCCCACGATGATGCATGGTTCTAAACGACGATAAATGATCCAGATGGTCCATTGGCCTGCAACAAAAACAGTTAGTGTCCTGTCCATACGACCAAATCAACTTCAAACATACTTTTTAGACAATTCAGCTTCCAATTGTATCGGCCGCAATGTGCCCGACACCATGACTGATGCGAGTATGCAGAGGCCGAGTGAGAGTATGCATTCTAATAAAATCTGTTTGCAATAATTGAGTTAACGGGTTTGATGTTGGGAACTGTGTTGAGGGAAGAGGAGAGTCAAGTACATCAATTGGGAGCCATGATTCTTGTTTGGATATTGATTTTAGGTATGCGAGATCTACGTTACATAGAGGTGTAAGCTTGTTGCGATGCACCAGAAAATATGTTTGGATTTTTCGTGTCGAAACCGCTTACGTTCGATAGCAGAGTATCCCGAGTGGAGGAGGAATATGAAGCCTGAGAGGAGGAGGAAACGGCCAAACCAGTTTGGTGGGTCTTCAACTGCCATGTTGCTGAGCTGTTTGGAGCGAAAATGGTTATGGTGAATCGAACTTTATTGTAGAGAACGCAAACTACACTACAAATATGCGACGTCCGCTAGAACGCGTCGCCAACTCTCATACGACCTGTAAGCTGTAGCGCCACCCCCTTCATAGTCGCGAATCCTATACGTCAAAATACAAAACATGGTGCCTAACTCGTTGCGATTTCTCCCATATACCGCCAAACAGCTTAACCGCATCAGGAGCCAACGACCCAAACGTGTCGAAAGCAAATGGTATAAAGGCCAGGCCAGCATCAGTACAAGACTGATCGTGTTTCACAAGTTTACGAGCAAATGGTTATGGAACAAAGTAGGGACGACGAAGGGCTAGCTTTAAAGGTAAAATTACGCGACAATGTCATTTTGAACGCGTTCTCTTGATTTCCCAAGCTCACAATTACGCCGCCGCTTGAGCTTCAACCTGTCTTGACCGATGCGATACGTGGCACTTGCAACAAACGACTAACTGTTGACGGTATCACAGGTCCAATCGTAACTCTATATGCTGCGCCGCTTGCCTAAATATCTAGCTACTGCGGCCGGCGTGTCGTTGATACCTTCTTACTTGGCCTATTCGACATTTACCACGAAAACGTTTGCGGAAACTTCAAGGAAAATGCCAACAGTTATCAAGTATGTATTGGGATTTCGTGACTGCCAATGGATGCTCTTTGATGACAATCCTGTTTCCCGTGTACTTAGGACTTCAGAGGATCGGCCAGCTGGAACCAAGACACATCATCAACCGGATGGGACATTCGTGAATCCATGGCCATCCTTCAAGTCCGGAGATGCGAGCTTCTTGAGGGTATCATTTAATGTTTTGACATGCATCTTTGAGCATATGTTTTGACATTCATTTCCTGAAAAGGTGCTTTGGAATTGGGAACGTGAACGATCTAAACCTCCTCCAGAATCTGAACGACTTGCCGTTCGGAAGCCAGACTTTGAGAAAATCCAGCAGTTCTATCATGGGAAGATTCAGGGCAATTTCTTGCTGACGTGGATTGGTCATGCTGCTATGTTGATTACCGTGCCTCGGATGCATATATTGTTTGATCCGTGTCTTTCTGATCGGTATGTTCCAAGCTTGCTGCGTGGCAAGATTCGTCCTCAGCAGTTTGGGCTTTTTTGTCGCACCGATTGGAAGCTCGCGGGTTTGCTCTAATTTCGATTTAGTTGTTCGCCGTCGCAGCTTGTTGGACCGAAGAGGATCACACCGCCTGCATGTCAGATTGAAGATCTGCCACCTGTAGACGTGGTTGTCATTTCGCATAAGTAAGTGATATAGGAACACCAAATCTGAAATCAATCACCAACCTCCACGTCACCTTCTCGACTATAGCCATTATGATCACTTGGACAAAAACACCATCCTAGCACTTGCGAAATCTCCACAAACATACTTTTTCGTACCTCTGGGCTGTAAAAAATGGTTTACAGATTTGGAGATTAAGAATGTTGTCGAGTGCGATTGGTGGGATGAGTACAAGTATACGGTTGAGAGAGATATTGAGACTAGTGTTTCTGTTGGTAAGCATTAACAAACTGTACATCCTTTCTTTCGCTCACGCAATCTGTCTATCTGTAAGCTGCAACACCATGCCAACATTTCTCTGGCAGGAGTCTGTGGGATAGGAATCATACTTTGTGGGCATCGTGGGTCCTAGTGTCTAAAAATGCCAAGTTCTTCTTTGGAGGGTAAGAAACGCAACTCGTGTTTCATTTCATAGCTCACTCACGAGTTCATTTCTTTGTTTGCGTTGGACAGAGACACTGGACTACGAACGGTACCGGAAAACTTCGAAGGCGATCTTGCAACACTACCAACGTGTCCTGCATTCAACGAAATCGGTGAAAAATACGGGCCATTCAACTTATCAGCCATACCGTAAGCAAGCGTTCGTAGAATGCACAAACTACCAAACAACCAAAAGGCTTACAAATCCGACCTAGAATTGGAGCTTACTCTCCCCGGTGGTTTATGAGTCGTGTCCACTGTGATCCATCTGATGCAGTTCTAGTTCACAAGATGGTCAAGAGCCAGAAATCAGTCGGAATGCACTTTGGGACATTTATACTGACTGATGAGCCTGTTAATGAGCCGCCCAAGAAGCTTAAAGAGGAAGCCAAAGCTGCTGGACTTGCTGAGGATGAGTTTATTACGATTGAGATTGGAGAGAGTATTGTTGTGTAAGGTGTAGAAGGGGTGGTAAATTATCATGTTACTGGACAGTAATAATACACTGTGTCGTGTGGATTAGATGTTCCGATGATACGGATTATACAGATATTAATTCCAGTCGCGATCTTCTCCGTGTTTCATGTTTCAATCACGTCGACTTTCAACTTTCAAACTTCGGAATTGTCATCGAGTTTGTTAGAGGACAGCGAGAACTACGACTTTAGAGCAAGGCAGCACCTCAAGCTAGTACTAGACCTCACAGAGCATTCAACCATGAACTACAAACAACTATTGTACGTCAAGATCAACCTCCGCAAATATCAAACCCATGATATCTAACACATCTCAATTTTGTAGAGGCCGGTCAGGAACACAACGCAAACTACGAAACGATACATTACACCAATATATCGTCAAGACTTTGACGGGTGGAAATCTTCGATTGTGTGTGCAGTTGCCACAGGGAACAAAGGAAGAAGAATGGCTTGCTGTTAATGTAAATGTGGATTTGTGAGGGTTGGATGTTGACGAATGTGTTGGATGTGTAACGGTTTGAATTTGTTTTGGCTAGATCATTGACTTTTATAATCAGATGTGTCTCTTGTACAGTGTCGTTGTTGACGTGTACTGTACGAGACAGTCGTGTCCTACGATGTGTGCTGGGAGAAAGTGAGATCTGTTTGCCATCTTTCTTTTCATATCGTATCATATCATGATAATGACGTCTTTCTGACTTCACACCATCACCATCATCAATTTTTTTACCCCAGATACGAATACCTATGGCAAGACGCCCTCGAATACCCACGCCCAACAAAATGCAGCGCACCCGACTACATCGAATTGCTGCTTCAATGGATTGATCGGATGCTAGATGACGAAGCGATATTTCCAGCCAATGACGAGTTTCCGTCAAATTTTAGAGACTGTATAGGGAAGATATTTAGTCGCATGTTTAGGCTGTATGCGCATATTTATACGATGCATTTGAGGGTGAGTTTGTGGGAGCTGCAATGTGAGCGTTTGGCTCTAGTTGGCAGATTCTAAGTCGACTTCTTTTCAGCAAATGGAGCAAATTGGGGAGGGTGCACATCTGAATACTAGTTTTAAGCATTTCATTTTGTTTGTAACGGGTACGTTGTCTTTGGTTTGTTGGAGTCAGGGATTTGACTGCAACTGACTGGCGCATCGATCGATTTTGGTTACTTACCTTCTTTTGCAGAGTTTCAATTGGTATCGTCCAAGGAACTAGCACCTCTGCTGCCTCTTGTTGAGCAAATTGTGGGCTGATCATTTACATATTGTGTCTGTCAGGATGCAATGGATGTGCGTGTTGGATCCAACAACTTGTGGTTGTGGGTTGTTTTACTAGTATGACTGTATTTTACATTATGTGATATAATAATTAAAGTTTTCTAACTAAATCTGAGGGCTTTTTCCATAAAAGTAATCTCCTTGAGATTCAAAGTGTCGGGTTTTTCTACAGTTGGTCTTTTGTCTATCATCAGTCCCCATCTACACATCATGGATCCCACAATTTCACGCCTTCTTTTGCGGTTGCTGTTCTCCAACGATACGTGGCCCTGCAACTCTCATATCACTTGGATGTCTCTTCTGTAATGTCGTTTGTGATGTTGTTGATGCAGATGGTTTGGAGGGGAATGCAGGCGCCGCGACCGTGTAGATAGCGAGACTGGCGACTCCAACTATAAGAGAGATTGTGACGACATTCTTTTGCTTGCTTGATAAGTTGAGTGGGTTGAAAACCATTCCATCTGTCTCCTTTTTGATATGTCAGAGGGTGGAACGGTTAGCAAAAGATACGTAAACAAGCCAGTAAACGCGTTAAATCACGTGGACGGTGGTGTACTTACATACCAACCAAAGGTGTTGTAAGATGTCTGATGAAACTCTTACCACACTTCACGACAGTACAACAGGAGGCGGTTCCGAATAGCTTTATATTATAGGGAAGAGAGATATAGGATGGCAGACACACAAGCCTCATTGCTTTTGAAGAGACAACTGAAAGGTATCAAAATAGACTGCCTGAATTCATTAACGTCATAATTGCAAGTTTTGTCACTAACAATGACCATTCTGGGACATAGAATTAACCAAGTCACCTGTAGAAGGATTCAGTGCTGGTCTCGATGATGATAATATCTTTGAATGGTGTGTTTGTCATGCAAACTGCGTGTGAATAAGAAGCAACATTCGCCACCTCCAGCATTCACGATGATGGGTTTTTGTGGACGGAATCACGTTGAAGTCAATGGATTCATGACGCTAACGCATATAATCGCATTGATCTATTAGGTCTGTGGTCATACTAGGTCCTGAAGGAACATTATAGTGAGTCTTGTGTGATTTGTATGGGGTACAATCAAGTCACAAAACTGATTGTGATTTTCTTACCTCGCTAGTGAGGGGGGCTTCTTCAAAGCTAAACTCAGTTTCCCAGAGGTAAAATCATACCGTTGTTGCTACTCGATCTTGGTCGAATGGATCCGAGACACGATCGACACTACCCCGTCGGACCGCCCACATCTCACAGTTTTTTTATGAATAGACCTATCCACTCTTGCCACCAAAGATGAAATTTATAAGCGAAATGTATCATCCAAATGTATTTCCGGATGGTGAAGTGTGTATAAGGTACACAATCCAAACATGCTAGAACGCAATTGCCATTCCACACCTTTCGCTTTGTTGGCCTGTACGCCTCCTATTAACACCCTCCATCTCCTCACACAGCATATTACATCCACCAGGCGACGACAAATACGGCTACGAAAACGCTAGCGAGAGGTGGCTGCCAGTTCATACAGTCGAAACCATTGTAGTGAGTGTCATTTCCATGCTATCAAGTCCAAATGATGAATCTCCTGCAAACATCGATGCTGCCAAGTTGTGGAGAGATGATTTTCCGGCGTTTAAGAAGAAGGTTAGGCTTACTGTTAGGTGAGTTTGGTAGTGTGGTTTGGTTTTTGTGATGAGATGATGGAACTCATTGCTTTTTTGGGTTTGGTAGGAAATCAACCGAGTTCGAATGACAAATCAGTAGATTAGTATCATATTATATATTTCGTCAGAATAAGATTTCATTGTTGCTTTTTTCACCTCAGATTTCGTGTAGATGTGGTGATTAACGGTTAATTAGGACGTTTATGATGATTATAGATATTGAAATCGCGTATCTGTCTAGTTGACCTTACAGCTTTTCGTTGTAACCACGCCGCGATCATCAATTCGCCAAAACCTTCACACTTTCTTTCAAAAATCGAAATAACCATGGCTCCAGCAACAATGGACATGCTCAAGCTGGCAGAGCACCTGACGCTTCTCAACAAGCATGCTACTGGCTTAATAGAGTCTCTCTGTTCAGCCAAAGTGGCTCTAGACTCTGACACTGCAGCAATAGCAGAAACATACCAATCTGAAATGACGGGACGGATATTCACGTATAACGAAACTCCTTTAAACGCCGATATTAAAGCGAGAATACCTATTTCCAGACCTCGTTTCCTGGTTGATTCCGGGTTGGCGGCTGTGGTTAAGACCATGACAAAGAAATTCCCAGAGAGTAGTGATGCTACAAAGGTATGAGGGAAATGGGTAGTTCGTGGGTAGGGATGTTAGATATTTTGTGGTCTGATGTTGATGGTGGTGGTGGTTGGTCGTGTTGGGCCTGTCTGTCGTCCTGTTGGTCCTGAGTTTCTTTGGAGGGGTTTTCGGTGATGACAACGTTGAAACAATTGAATTTATCTTTTATTTTTGATTGATTTGATGTGATATTGATTACTTCCACAAACTGATCTGTAACCAAACCTCCTTGTTGAATTAGGTCTCTGGATTCAACATCTTTCAAGCAACACACAAGGAAATCATGGACGAACTCAAAGTATTCTACGATCTGTTTCTATCTATCGTCGAATTCGTTGAACAGACACTGCCGTTATTGCTACAAGCTCAAGCTATGCAAGCGTTATCGGTAAGACATTGCGCAATGGAGTGTATTCAGTCACCCTTACCTTGTTTTTTTTTCTTCTTTCGCATCCAGTTCGAATCAGTACCAGACATTGCGAATGGCTATTTGACTTTACTTGTATCATACGTGTCGATTCTGCACTTGTGCGCAAGTCTTGGTCCTGATAGGAAGGCTGTTGTAACTGGATATGCAAAGGCATGGTCGCTCTCGCAGAGCTTGCAGGGTGTTGGAGAGCCTAATTTTTCAAGGTTTGCAAAAAATGCCATGTTTCGTTCGCATCATGCTTCTTAACCCAAATGATAACATGCACCATCGCACAGGATATCTAAATTCATCATCGCATACGAAAAACCAATGTCCGCCATCCAAGAATCACTGGTACCAGCAGCACCACGAATCGCGCAACTGCTAGTAGCGCTCAAGAATGATGTGGATATGAGACTGAGCGCTTCGGCAGATATGTTTAGAAAGACTGCGACGTTGAGTTTGACTCCGGAGTTGAGTGGTATTAAAGCTCCTGAGCCTGATCCTAAGGTACGTCGTGACTACATCAGTGTGTGTATCAACAAAATGCTGATGTTTCGCTTTTTTTAGCATCTCCTGGCCTTACAGAACATGAATCGAATATTTACGTTGCTGGTAATTGGATTCTTGTGCTGTCCTGGTGAATTGAACAAGAATTCGCAATATTTGGATTTGATTCGGTCGACCTTGACGTATGGGTATTTGGTTCCTCTTGGACGAAGCGAGGTATACTTCGGCATGTTTTCCTCTCTTGCCACGATAACCAAAGGAAGACACCCAATTAGATGATGTGCATAATAACAGAGTATGCTCAAACTGCTGCGGATTGGAAGATTCCAAAGTTGAAACAAGCTGCGTGGTAAGCTGATGACTGCGAACACAGGCTGATTCAGGCGAAAAAAAAATATAAACCACCCCTTTATAGTGATACTCTGGCAAACTTGTATGCCACCATCCCAGTCACTCACAGAGAGCGACGGGACTATTTGCGTCATCAAGTTCGTCAATTATTGGCGCTGTGTGAAGATGAAGAGATTCTGTATGCTAAACTTTATGTGAGTCATTGGCAAATATTATCTGGGCCTTTTCTTTGGTTGGTTACAGATTGTCATTCTTCGTAGATGATTTCTGCTGGAGTAGCATTCGCAAAGGAAGAAATCGCATGGTATTGGAGCCATCATGATCGAGACGTGACTGGCAAAAGACCAACCAAGAAGAAGGATTTGAAACATATGGATTTACATATTTTCGAATTGATGTGGCTGGTCAAGGCTTTGGCTAGGAAGCTTCGACTTCGGAAGCAACGTATGTGTTAAAAAAATTGATTTTAGATTTCCGCTAGCAAAAACAGTCCCCTTCTGAAATTATTGTATTAGATATCCAATTCTACTGTGCCGCCTTCTTGGAAACCAAGGTGGCCAGAGCACAAGAATCCCTACAATATTACATGAAAACGGGCAACAACGTCCCAGAATCCGCTCAAGCTCTCTTACGAGCTATTTCAACTACTTTGAGTACTATTACCGCTGCAAACTGGGAAGTGCTAGCACACTCTGGTGAATTAGAAGCCTTGCGCTTGAATTGGATGAGATTCCAAGCTTCCGTTGCTCATCCAGATGCTTCACCACCACCACCTAATCTTGCCGATTTGGTTGCGCATATTGCGGAGTTTTCGCAGAGGTCTATGTGAGTATGCGCAAAAAAACTATGGAATTACGGGATTGAATTCGCTCATTCATGCAATTCTTTACTAGGTGGTTGGACGAGTTTGATACAGTTTTGAATAATATTTCGGATTTGAGAACATGTTACTTTTACCAGAATGCCATTCATGATCACTTGAAGGAAGTGGTTGATCAAGTACCGGATCAGTTGAGATTTGCAGGTGTATTGGGTAGTCTCGGTGAAGATTTCTTGAGGAATGTGACTCCATATTGGCCGATGGAGGTAGAATGAGATCAATTTAACATTGCTGTTTTTGGCCAGCTGATCTTTCTCAACATCCTATAGTTCAACGCAATCACATCCAACTCGGTCCTCTTTGCCTCAGAACTATTCACATTACTGGGCGCTTACGGAGCACAAGTCGCCGATGAGATTGCAATGAGTCTTGTAGCTCATGAACGACAGTTGCTACCAACTGAAGCGATAAGTGCTCTCCCAAAGGATCACCAACAACAAAAACGCAGATCACCCAACCGTAAAGCTGCTGCTGTTAGTCAGAGTAGTAAACCTGGGTGGGAGTCTAATATGCAGGTGGTTGATGCTAGTGTGAAGAGGTGAGACTCATTGCTCAAGCACACGAGTTCTATCTTTTTGCCGAGCTGACCCAATGCATGATAGGCTGGAAGCATGTCGTATCACTTTACGAAACATCATCTTTGCAGTCAAAAATACCGGTGTCATCACTGTTCATGATACAGAGTTTTATCCAGTTGCATTCTTTTTGGATTCGTTGGCTGCCAAAGTCAAGAGGTAAATCACGTTGAATGTGTTCGACAAGCTCAATCCACGAGTCTAAACTTTTTTCCCTTCTTTTTTAGCCGTCTACAAGCAATCGTCTACGTCTCTGTCCCTGGCGCAGCATCATCAACAGCTACATTTTCTCATCCAGATCCTTCTGGCTCTCGAAATGTAGACGAAATGTTTTTCGAAGTCAAGAGACCATCTGTGTTTTTGGCTGAGATGAATGCGTATCTGCATGGATTGCATCTTGTTGATGAGCTCTGTATGTGTGAAATCTGTTTAGCCTTGACGGACAGAATTCTTTAGGAATAAACACTGTTTTTTATTTGCATTAGTGGGAGTGGAATGTACGAATGCTTTGAGAGAGGTTTTGATGGATCAAGTGGATCCTGAGAAGTAAGAGTCAAACCGCTGATGCTCTTGCTTTGGCTGCATTGAGCTTTTTTGCTCATCGACACATACAACTTTTTAGATGCAAATCTTTAATTGACGCTCAAACAGACCAGTACCTCGTAACAGTCACACCACGAGACCCCAAGGCTGCCAAGAAGGGTGCATTGAGATTCATGAATGTTACGCAGCCTATCTTGTTGACTTATGCCGTTTGGTAATTCGTGAAGCCTGCTACCTCTTTTTTGGTTCACTGAAGTACTAAGTGTGTCTTTGATAGGTTTTCTGACTTTTTCATCACGAAACTATCTGGCGGCGTTTGTTACTCATCATCTCGCAAGACTTTTGTCAGTAAGAGTGGAAGTTTGTTCCAAGCTGAGCTTTATTGTGACCAGAATGGTATGTGTCCAATGAGACCAAAACAAGGCGAAAGTCGCCAGGGAATTATAACGTTGTCGATCATAGAATTACGAGCACTATCTCAAATACTTGGACCTCGTGGTATTCGATTCATTGATGAGCGGCTGCTTAAGATGGTTACGCTGACTGCAACGTATATCAAGGTAAACATCGTGGATCTAAAAAATGAGCTATATGTTGAAACGTCTAACGACGGCTTTGACTCCACAGGAAACATTGATAGCCAACCATGAAGCGCTGGAACGATTCAAGCTTGGATGGAATGATGATTCCAGAGCTATTGATATGCTGAGGCGATTCAAATGTAGGTTTGCAGAAAAACAGCTAAAAAGGACTTTAAATTGGTACACTTACAATCACACATCCATAGTCATCAAAGAATTCCTGCCTCGATGTCTAGTCCTAGGTCCCGTCCTAGAAATGAGGACTTTGCTTGGAGCAGCATCTTCCAACGTGTTGAGTAGCTATGCTCCTCATCTGCATCATTTGATTCGAACGGTGCATAGTTTCTATCCTCAGAACTTGTACGAGTTGCCGAATTTCAAGGTTTGTTTCAGCAAAAAAAGCAAATCAAGCGGAAGAAGTATGGGTAGAGAGTTGATATATTGTTTTGCTCGTCTTTTAGACTGTCGACTCATTAGCAAATGATGTTGGAATGTTGGATCAAGTTGATATTGGCCTGAATGGTGTTCTTAAGGCCTTTTGTGGTCAGTATAATTTGATACGTCGTGCAAAAAAAGGTGTGTCTGCTTACACGATAATAACAACTTTAGGAAATCCTGCTCCTGACTTTGCTACTTGGTCACTACTTCCGTTCCTATTTGCTGCCACTTTCTGGCATTTGGCTTTTGATGAAGGCAGTGTTTATAATTTCGCTGTTGATGGTAAGGCATTAGCTCATTTCACTTGTGTGCTTTTTTGCATCACATTCTCACAACAATCTTAGGATTGGAAAACAATGGCCACACGTTATCTACCGTATTCAACAAGATGTGTGTTGCCACCATTGCTCTCACTGCTAGACAAGAACCATCCGCCATTACATCTGCTCACAAGGACTTTATGACTGTCACAACTACCCTGCTCGTTCGTTTAAGATTGTCTACGGAGAAGGATTTGTCGACAAAGTACCTTGATCCTGTGTTTTTGGTGCTGAAGAAGGTATGTGAAGGATATGTTCCTGTGTTCGTGGTCTCGTAATTCAAGTTGCGTAAGAATTCAATACTGTATCCTCAACCGTTTTTGTTCGCGCAGTTCATGGAAGAAACACGATACATATCAGCAGACATGGCAGAACAACTCTTGCCAAACACGTTACTGCAGTCTGTGATTGCTAGTATTCATCGCAAGAGAATAGAGACGTCACCTACTAGACGGGGATCTTTGCCTGCCAATCAGCTTACAAGCGGTGATCAAGATTTGGCTTAAGAAGGGGTTAGAAGAGTTTAGTGAGGATATTCGTTGAGGTGTAAATTTGGTGCTTTGGGGAGTGTTTATGTTATTTAGATATCATTTTTTGTACAAAGGAGATAATCACAGACAAGGCAGTTAAAACATAAGATACTTTACAGGCAGAAGAATGTCCCTCTCCAGGTGTCTCCTTGTTAGCGTTTCCTTGAGCTTTGCCTCATAATATTCAAGACGCTGAGTGGTTTCTTCATTGGCGCACAGCCTACAGACCGAGGAGTCGAGCAGTTCTCGCATGGCAATGCTAGATCTTTGAAGAGTTGATTTGATTGAAACTGTCCCAAGTTCTGGTTGTCATGTCTGTGTTGGACATTTGGTTGCCTGTGCTTTCGGTGATGACGTCTTTTAAACACGTTGTTTTATGATTTACTTTTGATTACTATGGATCAACTTGAAGTTGATACTATTTATGAGCTTGAACGCTAACATCAAATCAACATCTCGATTAGATCTCTAAAAATTGACATCTGTCAGACACAAACAAAGTAATCATGGACGGAAGGAAGACACTATACAATCTGCTTCCATCTATTCTGGGATTTCCTAGAGCCTTTACAACAGAGCCAACTATGCAATCACCATGGTGAGGGCAGAATCACCTGCATTGTTTCGTTCGTTGACGAGACTTTTTTTCTCCCTCATGGTACTCATTTTGACTCTACTAATCTATGAGAACAGTCTTTCAAATCTCCTGGAACCTGATGTATCGATATTGTCCCTGGGTGCAAGTCTTGGACCGCAAACAAAAAGCATCCTGTCTCTGGGCCTGCCGAAGCAGGATCGCTTTCCCAGAGATTGCAGGGTGCTGGAGAGCCTCGTATTTGAAGGTTGCAAAAAAACTTCAGATTTGGACTTCGTCATGTTCGTGAAAGGGAATGATAACATTCAACCGTCACACAGGATTTCCAAACTCAGCATCGTATCCATAAACCAATGTATGTCATCCCAGAATCATTGGTACCAGCAGCACGTATCGCTTTGAACTACTTGTAGCGCTCAAGAATGATGTCTCGAGTGTTTGGGCAGATATGTTTCGAAAGACTGCTCCTTCGAGTTTGACTGCGGAATGGAGTGGCCCCAAGGTATGTGTGGTGTTGTTGAGAACATGATTGAAAGTGTGATTTTGATTACGTGATTAAATGTAGTTGATTCATTGCCTTCTAGGTTCTTTTAAGCATGTCAGGGCCTTACAAAACACGGATCGAGTCTAGATTACTGCTAATAGGGTCTTATATGTCCTGGTGAATTTACCAGTCCTCGGTAATTTGTTTTTGGACGGCTTTGTCCGCGGAAGAGGTCTGGAGGTGCTGCAAAGATGGACGTGGCATCATATGTCACTTCCGGAGATAGTGCTGATGTTTTCTTCAAGGAAATTTCTCATGGCTTTATGCCAATGTATCCGCCGTTTTTACAGTTGTGATGTAGTGAGATGTTGAAACGAGTTTCGAAGAGAGCCATTACATACTCGCTCGAGGCAGAGTGGCATTACAAGGCTATTTTGTAGCTGCAGATGAACAATATCGAGTGTCCTGGCTTGAATTGAAAAACGAACACTTTAGTTTTTCCGAGAAATGGAGAGCAGGAAAGAATAACATGAGTTTTCAAAACAGCTTTATTGCATTTCGCATGCTTGAAAAGGTTTCTTCCTGTTTGAAATTAGATTTGCATTTGTCTAGACCCCATTAGCTCCGATTGCGTCCTATGGAGAAAAGTCAAAGTCAGGTAGCGCTGACGACTACGCTGACGTATTAGCCTTTCGCGTTGCACTTCCTAATACGCTCAGTAAAGCCACCGTTTGCTAGCTATGTATATCTATATGCTGTTCTTATTAGAGTCAGTTGATCAGTAAGAAATATGTATATTGTGTTGCTCAGGCGGAAACTTTACAAATTTGGTACAACTGAGAAGGGTCGGATAAATTTCTCATTCTTCAAGCATTCTTCGGCAAATCTACATTTTGAAAGAATATGCGTCGAGCTCTCTTATCCATAGTGGCGGTAGGCCTACGATGGAGATCACCGAATTTTCTCACAACGGGCTTTCTTTCTGGTGTGCTTTCATGCAAGGGACGCTCCATATCTTCTTGAATTGTTGGTTCTGCAGCTCTCAGTTCAGCAGCTGGAGCCACCATCATCATGGCAGTGGGGAGTTGTTGTGGAGCAGCTGGCGTCTTACTAATATAGTATGCGCCTTGAGCCTTCATGCACCATTCCATAGTGACAATCATATCGTTTCCCGAAATGTTGTTGCGACGTGCTTCCTGAGCTACGTCCCAGGCAGTCTTGCCAGCTGCGTTGGTCAAGAGTGCCGAAGCACCTTGGACCATGATGCGCATGACGGCGTCGCTCAAGCCGAGACATGAAGCGAGATGGAGCGCTGTATTGTTTTGAGAGCCAAAGCGGGTGTCATTCAAGAGGTTGGCTGATGGCAGCTTCTAAAGACGCGTGCGGATGATGTATCAGTGTATGCTGATATTTACATTTGTTTTCATATCCCAAAGAGTGAAAATAGCATTTGCTTATGATTAAGCGCCTTTTCGTATAGTTGCTACATCATACCTTGAGCAATACAGCAATGAATTCACTGTATTTCTTCTTCTCATTCTCATCCTCACTCATAGCATACAACGACATAGCAGCCGAGAGCCCATTCATTCGACTTCTATCGTCACCAATAATAGCAGCAATATGATGGGGAATCTCGAAATATTCTTCACTTTGGACAAGAGCCAGCTCAGGATACTTGTCCAAACATCGAGATACCATGGCAGAGTTGCCAGCTCTGACAGCATTGAAGAATGATTTGATGATTGCATCCGACACTGTGCCTTCTAATTATGAAAGTGATTGGATGATGGGGTTAGCAAATGTTGGCAAAATGTGGTTTTTGATGTTAATGAATCAGAGTATGTGAAGGGTATTCCAACATATAAGGAGACTGGATCAGTGAGTTTCAAACAGATTCTAGCGAAGTGAACCTCCTCCAGTCCACCAATCGTGCTGGAACTAGGAGCTTTCGACCTCGACACAAAACATACAAAACAAAGTTGTTACCTGATGGCATTATAAGTGTAAGATGCAGCTATAGCTACCTGCTATGTAGTCGACTTCAAGAGGGTATATGAGGATGGCGCTGCGGCGTTTCTTTCAATTGAATGCCAATAGAGATCACCTGTTAAAGTCGTTTTCTCGAGACAGGGTGGGCAGATTATATTTTCAGAGTACATTTGAATTCTAAGCAATACAGTAAATCTAGTGTTTTCTAGTATTATCTACGTTTCCATGACTTCTGATTTTATTCCTAATTGAGCATCACGACAAGTAGATTACGGTACATTCTGTCGCGGTGATTTATAAGCTGTAATGAGATCTTCAGCGATAGTAACAGAGTACGTGAGGACCTTCACCATTCTGCAGGACGTAATATCAACATTGTGGAATACCGTACAGATTTTGTGGGTTTGTCAATGATTTCAGATTGTTGCGTTATTATCAGAGATGGACCATGGCTGTGCGTAATACTTCACAGTTTCTTCGTTGCTGCTTACAACTTCTTGCCGCCTACATTGTTCTCCATGCTAGCAAACAAAGACTTAGGAGCCTTAGAGATCAATATAGCTCTGTAGCCATGCAACAACAGGCAATATCAGGATCACGTTAAACCACAAAAGGGCAATTCAACACTCAATCTCTCCCGTTCGTTCCCTTGAGCTTACAAAATCTGCTCTTGGAACAGGATCAGGACATGACTAGTCTCGTCGACATTAGACCTGCCTTTGTATGACGCGACAGACACATTCAGCAGAGTGCGATTGGTGCTCCGAGAAACTTGGTAAAGCAGGAAATTGGTGGATATTGGTGGCTGTGTTGCAACTTGGTGTTTGTTGGAGCAAGATGAAATATAAAATCCATTCATTTGTACAAGGTGTGTGCATAATAACACAATCAGACAGCTAAACCATACTAAGCCTCATATACACGACCAATATATTACTGATCAGGTATCTCCTTCCCCCTTCGGGACGCCATCCAATACAGCACGAAAAAGACAAACACCATTCCAGCGACCATCCAGCAAAAGTTTCTGTTATGAGGTTTCTTCATCATGATGGTGACTCGGTTGAATGTTGATTTGAGTCTTGATTGTACATTGTCCATTGAGCCTGTTAGGCCGTCGAGTAGTCTAATGTATGGAATGTTTCAGATATGTGTTGATCAGATGTTGGAATAGGGAAGGGTTACGTGTTTTGGGATCTGACGTCGTCGTGTATGGACATTGAGACGCCTTTTATGGCTCGGACCTTGTTGAACAGGGAGTCAACGTTTGCTAGTTTCAACATTGTGAGCTTTTAAAGTTTAAACACAAGTAATTGAACGCAGGTGTATACTTCGTACCATCATTTTGAGACTCTAAAAGGGAGGCAGAAGCTTCTTCGTTGCGATCTCGTGGCCCCATTCGTTGTCTAGCTTTGTTTGAAAATGTGCACGAAATCACGAAATCAGCTCTTTATCTGATGGGACTAGTGCAGTAATATAAACGCTTCAAAGTCGCATAGAATAATCCAATATACGTGTTTTCAGTATACTTTATCTCATAAACACTCCCAATTTGACCTTTCCCAAATGGTAAAACCATACTCGATTTACCAGCATCCAATGAACATCGTCGTGAGGTCCATTACAACAAGCTACACACTAAACAAGGCCACCACAATACTGCCACTTAGGAGCCTCGTAAACCGTGCTGTTCGCCTCAATCGCTGCTCATCACGCAACCCAAACCCGCTGCAACTTGTCGCTTTAGCTGCAGCTCAACGACGACAAATCAGCTTCCAGAGCATCACTGGTGGATTGTTTGATATGTCGGCTGACAGGCGCAGGCCAACTTGGTCGCCTTTTGAGGTAAAATGCCAACATGCGGTGGAGTATTATTTGCTACATTTGCTTGCATGCTTTTTTGGAGATTCGAGTTACAATGTTTAAAGGCATAATTACTTGCCTCTTGGATTACAACTATATTTTATCGAAAGCCTGATAGTTCTTATTGCTTTATAGACTGTAAAGATGAATACCTTGCGCTCTATTCTGCAAAATCAAGTAAACAATATCGATCGGGCCCAACTGTTGGTTAACAATGTCGTCAGTGAGTAGTGTGCATCTTCTCGCCAGACAAAGTCCTGCTTATTTGTGCAGTATTTGCACGGGTTGTTGAATATATTGCATCGTTCCTGGCTGGACTCTTGCATCACTCCAAGTCCACTTCTGACTTGCATCACTCCAACTCCAATTCTTACGCTCCCTCTCTTATCTAGTGCCAATACCGCCTGGCAAAGCTTTCATCCAGCACTTGAAAATATCTCGCAAGGAAGACCTAGTGCTGGAAGGCATGACTGCCGACCAATGTAAAGGAACCTTCCGTGCAGAATGGGTCCAAGATCAACGCATGAAACTACCAAAAGAAGCACCAGCTGAACGTATCATCCTCTACGTGCATGGTGGCGCATACATAGTAGGCAGTCCAGGTAGATCAACAGCGTCTTCCCTCCGCGCTGACTCACGCGGTTTGTTAACTCTTTTATATTTTGAAAATAGGCACACATCGCTTCCTAACATGGCGAGTCTCCAAACACAGTCAAGCCCGTGTCCTAGCTGTCGACTATCGCCTCGCTCCAAAGCATATCTTCCCATTAGCCCTACAAGATGTACTAAGTGCCTACTCGTTTTTAATCAATCCGCCATTGTCGACGCAGCACAAGTATCGGCCTGATCAGATTGTGTTCATGGGTGATTCCGCGGGTGGTGGACTTGTGTGGTCGGCAATGCTGTATATACGCGATCATCCTGATGAGTTTCCTATGCCGGCTGGTGTGGCGGGTATTGCGCCGTGGTTGGATTTGACGCATTCTATGCCGTCGTTTTTGGATAATGGGAAGTGGGATTATCTGCCAAGTGAGACGAAAGGTATACAATCAGTACTTGTTAGTTCTTTTTTGCGGTCTTCAGCCTGACATTTTTTTCTCTCCTAGATCCTAAACACGTCAATAAAGATCGTAAATTCCCATATGTAAAGAGTAACGCTGATCTGCCAAACCCATATGTATCGCCTCTATACGCAAAAGAGGAACCAACAAAGCCAATATGTCCCATGCTGATACAAATTGGAGAAGTAGAACGATTACGTGATGAGAACTTGTACTGGGCTATGGAACGATTCAAGAATTCACCTGTGCGATTAGAAGTTTATGAAGACATGGTAAGGCGAAAATCAATTTCGGAATCCATCTGCATGTCTGACTTTGATCTCACACCATCTCATAGGTTCACGTCTACCACCTCTTTGTAACATCCAAATCCATCGCAGGCCGCTCATACCAACATCTTGGAAACTTTGTCCGCGAAGTCACATCAGGCAAACCATTCGAAATAGGAACTCGAAGTATCATGATTAGGAATCAACGACCTGCGTACCCCGTTGAGAAACTAGAGGATCCGTTGAAATACGTGAGGGACGGGCTGGAGAAGAAGGGACAGACTTTGGAGGACGTTGCGAAGTGGTTGGATGAGGCTGATTCGACGAGGAAGAAGGGGGAGTCGCCTGTTGTTGGCGGGTGACAGATGCAGAAGGGTGGTTGGGTTTCTGTTTGTTTAATAAGTTTGCAGTATATATAGTCAATGAAAACAGTAGATTACATATTCAAGATAGCTTTCTAACTGGGATGGTATGACCCTGCAGTATAGGCTGAATGCGGAAATTGCTCTAGCCTGCGGGCATTGTAATTTTGTTACGGGTACAACTTGCGTGGAGTTTCGGCAACCGACGCACTTTCCATTTCAACGTGAAAGTGCAAGCAGGAAGCAAGGTCAGGATATAAAATCAAGCCAGCAGCCTCAAGAACTATCTATATCAAGCCAGGACACTACATTTGACCTGCTCTCCGTAAAGCTTTGAAGGCGGCTTTTCATCAACATTTCGAAACGTGTTTGCCATTGGGAGCTCCTACGAACGTTTACACGTAGTTTATCTGTGTTTAAGTCATGTCGGATGGTCTGGGAAGCTCGAAACGACCTACCTGGTCTCCTCTTTATGTAAGTGTGATTGTGGTGATTGTGGTCATTTGTGAACGTAATTGTCTGTCACATGGAGTTTTTGGTAGTGATGAAAGAGTAAAGCTGGTCAAATGCGTTAATTTGCTTGAATTTGATATAATGTATCGAATAATCGACTCAACAAATATGTCTCTCGCTCGCTAGGAAATGAAGGTCAAAACATTCCGAAACGCCATGAAGCTCGGAGTCGATAGGCTCGATCTCTTACAGCCTGTGAATGAGAAATTCATTAGTAAGAATCCATACCGTCGCATTGAATTCCTCATTGTTAAAAACATCATCCTCACTCACTAACACATCACACCAACAGACCCCCTCCCACCCGGCAGAGCATGGGTCGAACACACAACAATCCCGCGCCTCTCCCACCTCATCCTCGACGGCATGACCCCCGACCAAGCAACAGGCACCATCCGCGCCGAATGGGTACAAGACGCCCGTCTCAAGCAATCCAAACACCAGCCTGCTGAACGTGTGATTCTCTACATCCATGGTGGCGCATACGTAGTCGGATCGCCTGCAAGTCATCGCCCGATTACGTGGCGAATGAGCAAACATGCCCAGGCGAGGATATTCGCGCCACGATATCGCCTGGCGCCCAAACATGTGTTTCCGCTCGCGCTGCAGGATGTGCTGTGTGCGTATCTGTATCTGGTGGATCCGCCGTCGCCTGTCAATTATAGATATGCGCCGGAGCAGATTGTGTTTATGGGTGGTGAGTTTTTGGGTGTTGTTTAGATTCACACATTACCCATGAGGCACGCAGCTGATTCGTTTTTTTTGGTGATAAGATTCGGCTGGTGGTGGACTTGCGTGGGCAGCCATGCTGTATATCCGTGATCACGCAGGAAAGTTCCCGATGCCGGCTGGGATATGTGGGATTGCGCCGTGGTTGGATTTGACGCATTTGATGCCGTCGTTTTTGGATAATGGGAAGTGGGACTACCTGCCTACAAGGACCAAAGGTGTGATTATCGTGTTTGCTACTTTACATTCTCTGACGTGTCTGTAGCCTTGTGGTAATGGTGAGCTGAAAACTTTCTCAAACCATGTCTAGACCCCAAGCATACCAACAAGGACCGCCTTTTCCCATACGTAAAGCATAATGATGATATGCCAAACCCATACGTGTCTCCCTTATATGCCAAGGAGGATCCAAACGTCCCCATCTGTCCCGTCCTCATTCAAATCGGTGAGGCCGAACGACTACGTGATGAGAGCATCTATTGGGCTTTCGAGCGATTCAAGAACTCGCCGGTGCGCTTGGAGATGATGGAGGATCAGGTAACAAAATCCAAAAAAAAAACGAACGATATACATATTCGAATACCTAACGAGTCATACTCACACTTGCAGGTCCACGTATACCACCTCTTCGAATCCTCGAAATCAATCGCCGGTAAATCATACCAGCGATTCGGTGAATTTATTCGTGAAGTCACGTCTTTGAAAGGCAGACCGTTCGTGGTTGGTGATCGCGCTGTGCTGATCCGTAACCAGCGTCCTGCGTACCCCATTGAGTCATTAAAGGACCCGTTGCGCTTTGTGCGTGAGGGGTTGGAGAGGCGCGGACAGAGGTTGGAGGATGTGGGGCGTTGGCTGGACGCGAGGGCGAGGTTGGATTGTTTGCAGGGGGAGTGCGAGTATGAGTATTGAGCGCGTGGGGTCACTGCTGGTGGTTGTGTGATGGGTTTTGTTGAGGTTACTTTGTGGTTGTCTCTCTATGTGGTTTTTAGTCGGGTTCCAGGCTTTGTGGTTTTCTGTGTGGTTTAGTCGTACTCAAGTCTCTCAATGAATAGAGTAAATTATTTCAAGATGCTTGTTTGCCTTGTCAAGACCTTGTCCAAGAAGCTGCGATCTTGTCTATGTTTGGCTTCCGTTTGCTGGTTTCCGTTTTGGAAACGAGGACCTCGGTAGATCAACATCTGCACAGGAACGAATGAATGACTCGGCTCCTCACTCTGTGGATTTGTAGAGTTTGTCTTCAGCAGGGGAAAGGAATGGTGTTAAAAGAAGGTCGGAGATTCGGATGGTACTGGTGTTATGTAGTCCAAGTGTTGTTTCCTGTTTTTTGACCGGAGTACGTCCTGCTGTAAATCATATCAACCTCTTCAGCGGACTCGTTGTAAGCATTTTAGGTATTGTTTAACTGATTAGACCTCGAGGTATTAATGCTTCAAATCTGATTCGGAAGTTTTTTCCTCCCATCAATCAACACCAAAAATGTCTTCAAAGAAAAAGGGCAAGAGTAAGACTAAAGAGACAGCAGAGTCCAAAGTTTCAGCTAATGAACCATCAACTACCATTGTCTTGACTGGTTTAACGCGTTTGTTGGGTAAAGCATCTGAATCAGTCGAACTCAAGATTGAAGATTTGGATGAGAAACTGTTGAAAAGCAGGTGAATATCTCGCGAACGTAGGCTCAACAAGGGACAAAACTAATATTTGATATATAGATTAGATGCTTTAGATAAAGAGTTGGCGAGGTATCGCTCTGAATGTGAATACTAGTAGGTTTGCGGCATTGTGGAAAAGAAATGAAACTCGTTCACTCACAGACATTTCTTCATACTAGCAAGAAAGAAAACGACTGGTATCGTAATGAAATAGATACGACAGAGCGAGATGCGGTATGTAGGAGATTAATCCGAGTGGTGTGTAGAACCAACAATCCACTAAAATCTTTGACCACTTTTTGTGCAGGCTGACTATGTCCGATATCTGGAATCCAAGAAGGCAGCCAGACAGGATGCTATAAATCAGCTAGCGGACGCTGAGAAACGTGATCTTGATGCATACAAGGCAGCTCGTGCGATCAAGGAGCGTGAAAATCTTGCTAGAATTGAAGGTGCATTCAGGCTGGTCTTTTTAATCTTTGAAGACTTTGGTGGCTCAACGATTCCTTTAAATAGATTTAAAGCAAGTCGCGGCTGATTTGGAGAGTAAAATCGAAGCAAAACATACAGAAATCGCAGAGTTGGGTGATATTGTGGTATGTTGATCAATTGATAAGCCTGTAAATATTCAGCATCAAGGATATGACATGCTTTCGAGTGGAAACGCCAACAAGATGATTGATCCTTTTCGTTGTTAATCTAGGCTCGACGAGACCAACATCAAACAGAAATCGCTCAAATTCACAGGGACATGAAGCAAGCTGCTGAATCGCACGAAACAAAGATTCTACAGCTAGAGCAACAGATGATGAACGAGCGATTAGAACTGCAACAAGTAGCTGATCAACGCGTCAAGGTGATGGAGGCTGCTGCTCATGAGGTAAGACCCACGCAAGAAAAGGCACTATTCTAGCAACGATACTGATCACCATCAACCTCTTCTAGAAAGCAATACTGTACCTCCACCAGCACTACCAAGAACTTGAAGAGCAGAACATCAAAATGGAATCAGAACTACGTCGCATGGCGATTAGTGCTCAAGATTTGCTTACTAGCAAGCTGAAACTGGAGGAGCGTAATCAGGAGCTGGCTAGAGAGCATCGCGTGTTTTTGGATGTTTCGAGGTTGCGACGTGAACGAGCTGCTAAAGATCAAGCTCGAAGGGCGATCAAGAAACAGCAGCTTGACAGGGAAGGGATTGTGGTTGTTAGTGAGAGTAATTAAAGTTAGAGTCGTCATGAATAGAACGAATGGCGGGAAAATCAAGCAAGTTGAGGCTCACATTTCCTGAGTGGTGTGTGAGTGAAAGTTGACACGACCATTTCTTGTCACCAGCAACGTCGAATACGAACTATAGCGCAAGATCTAGGTTAAATCACGTATCATATGATCAAATGTTCATATCTTCAAAAAGAACCGCCTTCTATAGATGTTTGAGACCTCCGCTTATATTGATCTCCGCTGACAGCGACAATCAGAAACAATGACTGACAAACCAGTACCACTGTTCTTTTACGGAACTTTACAATCTCCCCTGGTCTACTCTCGCGTAGTAGGTCGCGAACTTGATTATTATGATTGATTTAGTTGGCATCAAGGATGTCTCACATTGAAGGAAGCACAGTTCTAATTTTCTCAACCGGGTTTCTAGATATCGAGGCACTTTGGATCTGCTTTTACGCAACCGAAAATGGTGCCGGCCGTGCTCAAGGTACTGTTCTTGACAGCATTGACTAGAGAACATTTGAATCAACATTTGCAAGATTGCAAAGTCGAACGTTTGCCAGAACTTTGACGGTAGTTTTCACGCCGTAAATGATTTTTAAATTTTAAATGCCGAAACGCTCCAGAGTTGCCATTTTCCACAGTCTTACCACCAGTATCAACGTAGGGCTACTATCGGAGACGAGTGAAAGACGCAGTCTATCCAGCCATTACCGCTTCACCCGATCATCAAGTAGAAGGACACCTTGCCTATGTGCAGACACAAAAGGAGGTTGATATACTAGATGTGTTTGAAGGAGAGGACTATCAGCGCACTCCAGTTAAAGTCACGCTGTCCAACAATGATATCGTCGACGCTCATGTGTACGTTTGGATAGCGGAGAAGGACTACCTGGAAGATCTGGAATGGCATCTAGATCAGTTTGAGCAACAAGGAGCACCAAAGTGGGTGACTGATATTGATGAGTTTGAGAATGTTGACGCCATGAGGGCTGCGACAAAGTAAATCGAATTTGGTGGTGCTGGTGGCAGTCCAAGTATTTTTCTTTGTTTCCGCTTTATGTACTAATCTATTATAATTGGCCTGAAAAATGTACGGGTCTTCCGCTGAGCTAGTTTTTGGCTTTTGAGTATCAGGTGATAAGGAGATCTGCGCGTAATTTCGCGACGCTAATCTTATAAACATCACTGATCTTGCGTCTGCTGGCTCTTGTTAACTTCGTTATGCACGAAACAGCACACGTCAACTGCTTGACTCTAAAAAGCACACAGCTCAAGATGAATGACATATCAATTCCAACTCCCCGACGAAGAGAGTCATCTCCGAATCCAAGAACAGTAGTCCTCTTCCCTGCCTTTGATAGTGATCCTGTCGGCAGAGAGCTTATCGAAACCGCACGATCTTTAAATCTGTCGCCCGACTCGCCAGTCCCTCGAAACACAGTGCCAAGGTCAGATACGCCTTCGAGCTTGGATAGGAAAATATCTAGAGGTACGCGTCTGCGGTCCTGTTTGCCAGGGGGTTGACATCTCGTACATTTAAATTTGATGTTTTGGTTGGTTTGATTATCGGGGGGATTCAGCTTATGTATTGGAGATCAAGTACATCTAATTCATTGACTATGTATGCATATAGATATTCTGGAGCAACGAAATGAACTGGGCCCAAAGTTAATCATTTTCATGGTAGGTGTTTGGTGTGAATTACAGTTGATAACAGGTCGACACACATTCTGACCTGTATATTTCTACAGGTTGGACTACCAGCTCGCGGAAAATCATGTAAATCCTAGATTGATCTATCTTGATCTTGCAACCAGTACTCAAAGACCGGATCTGACACTTTCTTGCTTCCGTGCCAAATTAGATATTTGCAAAAAGCTAGCTCGATATCTGACATGGTGTGGCTTCACCGCTAGAATATTCAATGTCGGTAACAGGAGGAGAGTCCATGCAGCTTCCAACTCTCCCGAAATCCCAGCTGAAACTCTACCACCACCAAGAGTCCCACACTTTGCACTATCTCCTACTGATCCAGCACTAGAATATCCAAAACCGCCTCCGTCTCAAACTGACCCAACACTAAAACCACCGCCTCTAATCTTAAAATCACATATCTCACATCTGCAAAAAGGGACATCTCATCCAGGCCCAGCTTCTCCCGTAATCCTTCCACAACAGTCAGGTGCAGGTGGCACGCAACACGACGCCACCTTCTTTGATCCACAAAACGAATCTGCACGTGATTTACGTGATAGACTTGCAATGGATACGCTGGAAGAAGTCTTTATATGGTTGAGGAATGGACAGGGACGTGTCGCTATACACGATGCAACGAACTCTACTGTCGAGCGACGAAAGAGTGTGCTGGATCGAGCTGCGAAAGAGAAACATGTACATGCGCTGTTCGTTGAGAGCATTTGTGACGATGCTGCCGTGCTAGAGCAGAATATACAGATGAAGTTGAGAGGGCCTGATTATATCCATATGCCTCCGGATGAAGCTATAAGGGATTTCAAGGCTCGGATAAAGGCTTATGAGGGTGCATATCAGACTATTGGAGAGGAAGAGGAGAAGCAGGGGTTGTCGTAAGTTGTTGTGGGATTAGAAACAAATTGCTCGTTTTGATGAACATCGGCTTTTTTGTATCTGCTAGGTATATCAAGATTGTCAATGTCGGAAAGAAGGTTATAGCACATAACATTCATGGATATCTGCCCTCTCAATGTGTATTCTACCTGATGCAGATACATATCAAAGAGAGGACAATTTATCTGACAAGGCATGGACAATCAGGTGTGTTTAGAAGTCTGCCAATTGTACGATCGACAAAGTCTTTTCTCTTTGCTTTGCACACATTTGAAACTCACGTTACTGCAATATTAGTGTATAATCTATATGATCGAATCGGTGGTGATCCACCCCTCACAGCTGCTGGTGATCGATACTCGCTAGCCCTTACCAAATTCATTGAAAAGTTACATCCGCTACCAAAAGTAGAAGACGAATTAGAGCGGAATGAAGATGGAGATTTAATACCTATAGAAGATGATGTCGATGATGGTAACTTCGGAACAGAGGCTCATCATCATTCGTTGTCTATATGGACGAGCACGCTAAGAAGGACTATAGATACTGCCGCTTATTTTGATGATGTATGTGCCGTAGTGCTTGGCTTAAGAGCTTCGTTCTTGCGATAATTCCTGCTAACATTTTTTGGTTAGCGTTACGATATCAAGAATGTCAAGGCACTGAATGAAATATATTCTGGACTATGTGAGAATATGACATATGTAAGCGTTTTATCACTTCATGACTAGTAGCTCTTTTCGTTGTTGATACTATTCTGTCTTAGGATGAGATTGAAAAGAATTACCCTGGTGAAGCATCAGCCCGTAAAGCAAACAAGTTGATGTATCGATACCCAGGTCCAGGTGGTGAATCGTACTTGGTATGTGTCAATATTGTGACACTGTTTCAGCTCTTTGTTGTCCTGTCAGCGTATCTCAAATTTTGATATTTTTAGGATGTCATCGAACGTCTAAGGAGCATTATAGTGGAGCTAGAACGAATGGAAACTGATGTACTGATAGTTTCTCACAATGTGGTGAGTGTCCACTAGGAGATTCTTCAGGTTTTGTTTGTACTATGACAACAAAAAAAGATTCAAAGCATCTCAACGCTTCGTAACTAAACAAACATGCAACAACTCTTAGGTCATGAGAACTATCTTGGCTTATTTCTGGGGTGTGCCGTTAGAAGAGATGCCCAATCTGGACGTCCCGCTGCACACGCTGTATTGTCTCAAGCCGAAGCCGTATGGGGCTGATCTAGTCAAGTACCAGTATGATGAAGAAACGGACGAATTCCGCATTGCTGGTACCACTCTGTAGCCACATTCATCGTTTTACTCTTATCGCGAACATTTTTTTGTTCTTCTATTATGGGGGCTGTATCTAAACATTGTGTGACCTCTTACATGAGATGGTAGTTATATAGACGGAGTGTGGTGTGGCAGGTGGTTTTTTTTGGGTTTGTCCTGTGTGTCTACTTCACGGACAATAATTTCTTAACGACGCTTGGTATTGCCTATCACACCAAGACTGAGAAGGGAGCTGTTGTTGGCGACGAAAATGGAATGTGCCGATATTAATCTACCGAGATTTGCTCGTAACTGTCGAGTCACTATTTAAGTCGAATCAGTAGCGTGACAGTAGGTTGCAGGCGCGAGGCGCACAGACGACAGCGAATAGTAAATTTCGGCAAAACAAGTTCGGAGCGCATCGGGTTTTCAGAAATGTTGTTTTTATAGGGAAATATAGCAGACATATATGATTTCGGGAGCTCTCTGCATCTGATATTCTTCGACAAACAAATGTGACAATTGCTGTAAGATCGTGTATTTGACGACACTTGTACGTAAAGGCGACACCAGGATCGTCTCTGTGCACATGCGGAGACGCCTCGTTTCGCTTCTGAAGGTCTGGAAAGCTCTTCTGACGCCGTAATCTTCAAAAAACCCATTTATCCTGCTTGATGCCAAAGCATTTTTGGAGGTATCGGTCAACAAAAGACCTTCAAGACAAGACATACAGCGCTTGCACACACGCTTAAATATCGTGTATGCTGGATTTGAGATCTTCAGAACCTCTGCTGCTCACGTATTCTTTAAGAAACCAATTACCGAGGACTGGACTCGGTAATTTGACACAGGAAATCATTCGATTTTTGGATACATGATAAAGCTGGGAGAGAAGCCTGTATAATGATATTTTATGTGTTCACTGATGGCTGCTGGTTATTGGATAGTAAGTTTTATAGTGTCTCCTTGGCCACAAGGCTTCAAACTGCTTAAAGGCGTTAGGTGAAGCGCAGGGTCCAATCCAGTGCTTAAGGACCTAGCTACAGCGGCGTAACTGATGATTGAGAGTAAAACAACATCGAGTCTTGCCGTCAAAAGTAGTGTCAGTGGGCTTTTGGCTTTTCAGTGTGTTTCTGCTGGAATGTGTTTGCAGACGTTTTAGCTAACAGATGAGCGTCAAGCTGAAAGCGATAACAAGTGATTAGTTGATTTTTATTGTGTTCGCCACAGCTGCTTCCTGACCGCAACTTCAACTGCTCGAATACATATACAGGTTGATGAAACGCCTCGATGAAGAAATGGACGATATGGCCACGTTCAATCCTTTTCCTCTATTATGAGAGCTGTATCTAACATTGTAGGGACGTTTACATAACAAAGTAGTTATAAAGATGAATTATAGTATGCAGATGATGGTGGTGGTTTTGCAGTCTTCTTTTGTGGTATAAAAAACTCACATCCTTCTAATTCCGGCGATGCCACAAGCTGGCAAGACAGCCTGCTGGTATCAGACAACCCCATGGCATACTCTAGCATGTCCTCTTCTGCAATACTCGGTGCTGGCAGTTTATCATAGTATGATTTTGGTAGGACGACGTGACACGTCGCACACTCTAAATTACCCCCACATTCGCCCTCGTTGAGTTCATGCTCAACGCCGACTTCCATGATCTTTTTACCTATTGGCACCTTCAGCTGATGTATTGAATCGTCTCTGAGGCGGTATGATATGTTGATTGTGTTGGCGTTTGGTTGGTATGATGTATGTAGTGCTCGTTGCTGCTCTTGCGTCAGGCCCATCCTAGATAAAGACATATTAATGCTTGGTTGGGAGGTAAGGAATGATTTGGACGTACCGATTTAGACGTACCTTCCCCTCCAATTCTTCCACAACACTTTACGATCTAGCATGACTGTCTTCCAAAAGTCCTTGGCGTTTTCAGATGTGATTAGGCCGTACCAGTCGCCAGGTGGGTATACTAGGTGGGTTGGTGGTGAAGAGTGAGTTGAGGGCCAGGAGAAAGTGCGATGTTGGATGAATGGTTGCGATTAATTTGAAGGTTGTCCGGACACTGTAAGATCTATGCAGCTCACCTATTACGTTTCCCGCATACTTGTGACCACCAAAATGCGATGACTTATGAAGAGCTATATAGGTAATACGATGTCAATGGACTTCAACAAAAAAGCGATATATTTGCGAGAACCAAGGTTGGAGAATCAACGCGCATCGTCCACCACAGCTATAAATCCATCAATCAACACGTAAACCAGCACTAACATATGTTTTCCGAAGCCATCGACTTGAACATTTCGTAAATCTCATTTCCGTGTTTCCCACATCGGGCATCTTTCGACTGATGCGTGCATACCACGACATGTGGAGTACTTGGATTCACTTGTCCATCTAGCACTGTAATGCTTCCATCAGGAGAATCCGAGAAATTGAATCGTGTCGACTTTTCAGGAAACTTTGATTTGATGTCGTTGCTAACTTCGAGATCAGCAGGCCAATCGGACGTTCCTGGAGGAGGAGTAGTTAGAGGACACTTAGATATGGATCGATGTATTGGTGATCTTGGCTTACCTTTGCCGACAAGCACTTGTCCATTGTAGAATTTCACACTTCCAACAAACTTGTCGTCCCATTCTGTCTTGCAGCTGCAGTAGTGACGGAGTAGCGATGCAGCTGATCTTAATCGCCTGGCAGCAATCATTTTCCTTCTGGTGCTTGGTTGGAGCTGAAATGTTGTGGATCCAACAACATCAACACTTTCAAATTTTACAAACGTACAAGATGCAGAACAAGAGCCTACAAGGATATGACGGTAAATGGGTACGTGGAGTCTATGAGTGGTTTGCATTGTGTCCTATTGTCTTGACGCTGATGCGTCACAATTATTAGGTCGAAAACTGTCAAGCTTCAACACCATACGTTGATGTACTTACAGCAATGGGAATGTCGTGGCCGGCTCGTAAAGTGAGCGCTTTTTATGTGGGCTTGAACTTGAATCGTTGTCTGATGACTTCTCTTCTCGTTTCTAGTATGTCGCTCTGTACACACCAACTCTGGAAATCACACATGACAGCGTCGAGCCTAAAAGTAGGTGTAATGCTCCCTTGGAATGCTTTACAAGATTACTAAGAGTCGACGGCTCTATAGTCTATGACTGTGCGAGCGGGTTGATTCAAACGCTTCAACACGCCAGCTCTGGACTCAGTCGCGGCTCTAACAATTTTTTAGTTTACCAAGTTGACAATTTCGGATACAAGGAAAGCTACAACTTTGACAAGCTCTCTACTGGTCATGGCTCAGCACATCCGTGGTGGGGGGACATCGTAGTCAAAGCAGAAACCACCATGGACCGCTTGACTTATGAAGTCCTGGTTCAAGTCACCAAGTCGTCTTCCAAGTACAATTGGAACTGGACTGAGACTTGGCAGATTCAAGAAGAAGGGCTGACTATGATTCGAAATGTCTCTTTCATGGGGAATGATTTCTCAAAGACGCTTCGTCTTGTCTATCACAAGAACATTGAGGAGAAACTTGGTGCGTAAGGGATGTAGATAGTTGCTGATTCGTGGATTGTTCCTATTTTGTGGTCTAGTTTTCTGTGTTGTTGGAATTCAAAAGCATTGGTTGTGGTTGGGAAGTAACTAGTCAAATCATCTCAGATAAAAAACGCCTCTCATAAAAGATTGCAATGGTTCACGGTTGGCAATGCTTAAGCTCAAGCTTAAGATGGTGCACTAGCTCACGTAACGCGAATCCGACTAGCCGTCATACATCGATGTACCTCAACGTGATAATATTGGGTTTCCTGCAATGCAAAGCGACTCCGTTACACCTTCAACTCTCCTCTACGCTATTTCTCAGAAAACTGGAAATGCCGAAATTAATTTACCGATTTTTGTTAGTTGCTGTCGAGTCACTCTTCCAGTCAAATCAGTAGCGCGACAGTCGGTTGTAGGCGCTAGGCGCACGCAAGTATAACTGGACAACTAAAAGTAAAAGACCGAAAACAATTTCGGAACGATTTGGGTTTTCAGAAATGTTGTCTTGAAGAGAGCAATGCAGAAGGCATATGTGAATTTGTAAGCTCTCTCCATCTAAGTAAGACCCATGAAAAGTGAACGTGATCATTCCCATAAAATCGGATATGTGATGACATTTGTGCGTGAAGGCGACACCAGCAACGACCTCGCATATATGATACAATGTCATGATCCGCTTTTGAACCCCTGTGAGGTTCTCCTGACGCCGTAATCTTCAAAAACCCGATTTAGCTTGCTTGAACTCGAAACGTTTTTGGAGGTATCGGCCATCAACCGACTATCGAGATAAGACACATAACACGTGGATGCATCCTATAGCACTTTGTATGCCAGCTGCTAGCTCTTCAAAAGCTCGCTTGCTCACGTATTATTCCAAAAACCAAGTAGCGAGGACTGGCCTCTGTAATTTGACACAGCAGGAAATCAGACCGGGTTTCCAATACGCCATAAGGATGTCCTGGAGGCATCCAAAACTATAGTTTATATATGTATGAAGTGTTCCTGCCTTAAATTTGAGGATCTGGTTTCTCTTACTGGCCTTGTCAAAACACCCCGTCAGTTTCTTCAACAGAAGCTGCAACGCTCCAGTGATTAATACGTGAATGGACCTATTTATAAGATATGACTGTGAGAGGCGACTATAAACTTCTAAACTCTTCACTACTTCAAGTCGTAGGTCAAAAGCGTTCACAATGTCAAAATGTCAAGAACAGATGAGAGCAACTCTAGAGCTCTCTAGAGCAACAGCTGCACAAGAATCCCTTGCTGATACTATTTACTGTCGTTTTTTATTTGTGATTCTCATTCGTTGATTATGTTTACGTGTTTTCATATACACATAATAGTAATAGTGCGTCCAAATTACACCTTCTTGATGATAATAATAAGTATGGCCCAACTAAGCCTCATCATATACGTAGCGATCCTACTATGATCTCCTTATAATACTTGAAATCTTCAACTCGACCACTAGTCCTAGTAATCTTGATTCCATAAAGCTTCATGAGCCAGACACGACACACTTCAATCTCGAACTCTACTATAGCATCTTCAGGACTCAACGATGGATCTTTACATCTGCGAGCAACACAATTCAAGGTATAGCTTTGTGGGGAGGGTCGAGTGAATAGTACTTCAACATTCGAGCCTTGCGATCCACGGAGAATGAGTAGAGCACGATGGACCTCCTTGAATAAGGCAGCGGGTTCGAAGGATGATGTGGTTGAAGCAGTGAATGGGAATCGTACAGTGCGGATATCAGATGCAGGCAGATGCAATAAATGGAAGGCTTGGATTTCGTCACAGGATGGTTCAAGAGATGTGAGCTTAGATGGTGATCGTCCGAGAGTTGATGCCAGTGTTGAGGCAGAGTACATGGATCCGACAGATACAAAGTCTGGTTTGCCATTCCGTTTGAGTGACTCGGAACCTAGTCGACCCATAGTAGTGTTTGAGGATGCGAGTTCATGGACTTTACGTTTCATGGAATCCATGTTTACGGATTGGTTTGATGATACATTTGACGATGCCGATACGGTTCTTGAGCCTGCTACTCTCATCATTACTGGTGTTTGTGGTGCGGTTGTTCGAAGGGTTTGGTAGCTTGGAGCGGATGATAGACTTGTCTTGGAAGCATCAGTATTAAATCGACTGTTCATGGTTCCAGTATCAACGGCTTTGTATGACATGTCCAGAATCAATGGTTCCATGGTTATTGGATCAAATTTCATCACCTGCGTCATGCGATCAAACCATTCAACTTCGGACGTCGGAGGTGCTTGCTTCAAGTTTTTGGATGATGTTGCGTTGACAGCCGTGTTGTAATCTGACATCATGGCAGGAATGACTACTCGAAACGATTCCACTTCCTTGGCACTACTTGGACTATCGGGAGCATCTCCAGACCGTCTCCGCCCATTGCCAGGAGCATCACTAGACCGTCTACGCGATCCTAAAAGGCCATTGGTGACAACGGCGACCGAGTTTCTTTTTCGACTAGTGACAGATGATGTGCCACTACTAAATTGTCCAAACGAAAGTGGCAGGGAATTCCGTCGTCCATCACTAGTATTGGCTCTTCTTCTATTGATTGGAGGTTGTTTTGATGTGGTCGACTGAGTAGTGGAACCATTAGTGGTTCGGGATGTGCGATTAAACAGGCTATTTCGGCGGGTTGACGACGTCACAGAGCCACGTCGGGATCCACTATCAGGCATGATGCTTGGCGAATTTGGCGATCCATATGGTGAAGTCGCGTCACTTTGATACGACATTGGTCCGGCAGGTCTGGCTTGTGATTGTTCATAGTGGGTAGCCTCATGTTCACGAATTGTATAAATTACCACACCATTATCATGTCGTACAGAAGCTACTGAGGTGTCTACTGTATTTTCTTGACCTGGTTGTTGTGGCTTGGCAGCGGCTTGCGGTTTGACACGCGCAGGTGGTTCGTGGTTGTCTCTATTCGTCCAAGGATGCCATCTCAGACCTTCCATATCAATTCTATGCTTTGGGCGTCTAGTGAATATCCGCCGAAACAGGTCCCGTAACTCTATTTAAGTGAAAATGTAAGGAATTGTGGTTTTGATTGGTGGGCAATGACCCTTCCGAGATACCCAAACTTTGTTTTGATGAGGTTTCGCAGACTAAATTTCCTCATAAAACGTACCAGGTGAGAATTCTGGAGGTACCTCATATGACAAGGAATTAATTTTGCCATATACTTCAGCAATGGTACTGCCATGAAATGGCTATCAGAAGAGAAGTTCAATGTTTTGTTTTTCGGGCCAAGAGAACACTTGATTCTTACCAATTTGCCAGTAACCAAAACATATAGTATAACTCCTAAAGCCCATATGTCTGTCTTGTCTCCCAAATACTGTGCGTGAGCAACAGGGTTTAGGCGTTAGTTTTTCCTCGTGATTGGGACCACTTTTGTACCTACCGGCTTCCCATTTATCAATTCAATAGCAGCGTAGGCTGGTGTTCCACAGAATGTCTATACAGCCATGATTGTCTTTAGTGTGTATTTTTTTCGTCGTTGCAAGTCAGTTCCATCCACCGTGCAGCTCACCTGCAGGTAATCGTCAATGTTGGAAGTCATTCGACCTAGTCCGAAATCAGTCAACATGACATTTTCATTCGATGCGTCCATTAGAATGTTTTCCATCTTCAGGTCCCTATGTATGACACCCGCTAAATGGCAGTGATCAAGCGCCGATACCAGCTAACGATTGAATAGCATGTCAGGAAGCTAGAGCTTTGAGTAAAATCCATTTGAATTCACCTGACGAAACAGAAGTCGGGCTTCACACTCATTGAGATGTCCTTTTGCTTTCACATGCGCCATAAGGTCTCGCCCTTCAGCATATTCCATAACAAGAAACATCTCCTCTGGCGTATCATACACGCTATACAGCTGCGTAATGCTGGGATGATCCAATTTCATCATGAGTTTTACTTCGGGAAGTAGATTGGTATCCAAGTTTGGAACGGGACTTCGTGGAGCCGTCCTCATATCTTCAGTAATATGAAGCGGCCTGACTTCAGCACGTTTCCTGTCAACTTTGATTGCTTCTTCAGCCATGCGTTTGAATTGCTCCTTGTTTATTATTTTTACAGCGACCTAGTAGTGTGTTATTTGGTCAGACCAAGTCTAAGAGTGTGGAAAGAAGGTTCAAACCTTGGAGCCGGTATTAGCATGAATCCCCAGCTTCACTTTCGAAAAGGCACCTGTGCCTAGTGTTTTTGATATCGAATATGGTCCAAGTTGCTGCTGCGAGGAATTTCGTCGTTGTCGCTTGGTGGTGGTATATGAAGTTGGCACAGCTAATAGCGTATTCGACGGTGGTTCCGACATATCGTCATATATTCCAATGTCCTAAAGCAGGTGTTTTAAAGACATGAGTCACGAAACAAAGGGGCGGAAGTGACCAACGCCAGATAGCGGTCGCTGCAGAAAGTGAAAACGAAATTATATATTCGTACCTTGGCTGTTCAAATTTCTATATATTTCTCGTTCCAACCTTTGTTTCAATTGCGACATCAGGTACACAGTCACACTTTGGGCACTTGGTCAAGTGTTTTAAGTGTGCATTTAAAATCTGTCGATCTCCACCCCAACTTCCGATTAAGATCAAATCGATCTCTGATCCAGAAGGCGAACTTCCATCATGAAAGCCGATGAGTCAAAGAACTTGGGATGCGAAGTGAACGCCTGCAAAAACCCCCAATTCTGGATGCATCAAGACCCAAGCGCCCAACTTTCAATCAGGCGGCAGTTAGTGAACCGGACAACGCGTTCCGTCATGACGCGTCATGGCAAAATATAAGTATTCGTCATGGTTTTGTATCGCGCCGCGGCAAATATTGGGTTCTCAAATAAACAGTCACCAAACTTCAACGGTATCAGTCCAATACGGTTTCAAGTATACGCAATCTGCATTTTCAGTTCCATTTGTCCTTCAAATTTATCGAGATTGTTGCATGAGCAATTAATCACATGCATGTTTCAAAGCAAGTCTTGTATTGAAGAACTACGCGAATTCGTGGTGGGATTGGTGATTCGGGTGTTGCTTGTACGCAGAGTGGCAGTAATAGGAGTGAAAAGTCTAGTCAAGGGAGTGTCATTGCCACCTTTCATTACACGTTTGGAACATCACACTGATAAAGTGGTCTACCTGACATTTTCCAGAATTTCCGGAACCATTCACGTTTTCTTTCGAAAATAAATGCTTTCGTCCACTCGTGGTCATAGGGTAACCACAAAAAGTTGTCTTTTACTCCATATATACCAGCCACATTATAAAATAGTTCTCCCTTCGTTATAACAAATTAGTATAGGCAGCGAGACCATCACTGTCTTTCCAAACCTTCATTCTCGTAAAGAATGCTTATGAGTTTAGGGAGTGGGTAATGGCGTTCCTTAGCAGCGGTTCGCTGGCCCATTTCCAAAAGTCATCGCTCATCAGATCATTAATAATTGGAATGGCGTGATATTGAACATACGGCCCACAGCCTTGTTAACAATGTCGTTATGTCGGTCTCTTAAATCGTGGTATTCCTGTTATGTAAGAACTATAAGATGTAGTAATTTAAGTTGAGGTATCCTAAATGACTGCGTGGGTCCCAGCTTTCATGGATTGAGCTCGGAGATACTGCCAGCATCCTCTCTGACGACCCAAACAGCTTTGGCTTTAGTTGATATTTCGTTGGTGTTGAGAGGCCTAGCTCTCACTCCAACTCCCATTTTGTCTGTATCTCATCTGTTCCCCCGATCATTCTTCTAGCTATTGCTGAAACTTTCGGGTGTGGTCACTAATTGTTTTGAGGGTGTTTGGGGTTTGGAGAGTGACTGTGATGGACATGCCAAGAACCAAACGCGAGGAGTTATGCCAGGAATCATGCTTTCATGCCACTATAGCAATTTATGTTAGCACAATTAAGTGAAGTGCGAGCAAGTGCTAGCACATTCCGAGCATAGCCATCCTCCCAAGCAGTCACCTCGGAATCTAGATTCGCACTCGACATTGCTGATGGCATTAATCAAGAACACTCTCAAGTCACACACAATGTGGTTTCAAATGTACACAATCATCTGTATTGGCTTACTTAATCCTTCTTTAGATCATATGTTTGCTTTACAACACCATCAGCCTTGATGATGTAGATATCCAAAAAGTCACCAGTATGGATATCACGCTCAGTAGCTGAAGTAAAGGCATCCTTGACCAACTTGAGTGCAGCTTCAAGGGGTAGGAATCCTTGTATATGAGTAGGTTGATGTTTGAATCCAACCTTTGGTGTGAAGAGTATTAAAAGGGTATGAGTATATCAGGCATGGATACCACGAATAAACGCAAATACACGTAAACACGTACCTGATTGTCAAGGAATGGTTGTATTAGGTTACCAGCAGAACCACTAGCATCCCATCCTACTCGTTCCATGTTTCCGACAGGATCATAAGTGAAGATGCAACCTTTTCCCTCGAGATCGACACCAGCTACAGCATTAAAGGTATAGTATGGGAAGAATCGTTTGCCGTACAAGATGGTGGATAGCATTTGAGCGAGTGCAGGTGGGCTCATTGGTTTTTCGTGTTGGTGTTTATACCACTACGAGGATTATAAGTATCAGCAATTTGAATAGACGATATGAATGCGGTATAGGTATGGTCTTCGAATGCTATACCTCAAGTCGTTGTTCCAATACTTTGACGAGTGTTCTTGCATCAGCAGCCATCCCAGTTGAGGCCAATACGGTTCCATTTGATCTGATTATTGATGAATGTAAGGTTGAATAATAATGCTTTAGATACTGATCTGCCAACAACAGACATACAGTTGGAATGTTTTGGGAACGTATCGAGCATTGATGGAATAGCCTTCACTCTGTCTTGTGTCTCCTGCAGCAATGCAATAATCTTCTCCAGCAATACATACAGTCGTTCTATGAGTAGAAATTATCAGAATTAGTAGGATATTGTCTCCTCATTGTGCTGTTCTTGAGACTCTGACAATATTTCAGATTTAAGCAATGACATGAATTCGGCTTACCCTCCATTGTCGGTGTAAGGAGAGAATGCAGCCTCAATTGGCAATGAGACAGGTCCTGCGCTTCTAGCTGCCAACATTATTGTAAGTTTGCTCCTTGTCGAATGGTCAAATGAATGGTTTGAATTATTGAAGATGACGCGTCAAGACAAGTGTTGCACTTGGTGGAAAAGGGAGTCGGTCATCGAATCCTGATATATTATAACCGCAAAATTTCGGAGTACGTGGTCTTGCCGAGCTCTGGCCGTGAAGAAAACGCGTGTGATGCGTCATTTAAGCATTTGGGTGTGTTATCAGACGTGTCAATTCTAAGTGAATGCTTGATGGGAGCGTTCACGATGTAATTCTAAATCTATTTATTATCATAATACAGCTAGCTTCTATCAGCAATTCTCTCTTTTCGCACTGCTCTCGTGAACGCGTCACCAACAGACACCAAACAAAACATCCCATCAACAAGCTATATACCATACACAGCAATATGGCATTTAAATTGAATCTGAGCTTCCTGGACAATCCTCGCCAGAGCATCCTCCAAGAATCAGGCAGTGCAGACAACTTCCAATTTGATGCTGCAAAACACTTTGAAATACCTCAATTCTCAATCCCTCCGGTCGCAAACGTACGTGTGGTAGATTTATAGTATGAGTCGATTATTTAGCTGTATATATCATGGAGTTATGCTGTTTCATTTGCTTCATCCTTGCCCACATTCACCAACATTCCCAAACACATCATCACTTTATTACAGCCTGTCGATTTCCTAAAATCTTATACAGATGAAGGAGCTGAACACCGCATCAACATGGTCCACGGTACTACTACGCTGGCTTTCAAATTCGCCGGTGGTGTCCTCGTAGCTGTCGATTCACGAGCTACTGGTGGTTCATACGTTGGTACGTATGTGTTATAGACGTTGGACCTTTGGTTGTCATTGCAGTCTGCTATCGTCATGCTTTTTTGGTCGTCAGCGCTGTTGCAACAAATTCATCAACCATTACAAACATCTCAACAAATCATCTCGCATAGCTTCTCAAACTGTACGAAAGATCATTGAAATCAATCCATACTTGTTGGGTACTATGGCTGGTGGTGCTGCTGATTGTTCTTTCTGGGAACGTGAATTGGGTAGACGGTGCCGGTACGTGTGCTGACATTCATCACCATATGCGTATAGTCGACTTTTGCCTTTTTTGGCGCTCCCATCCGCTCAGTCATACTCAAATCCAACAGATTATATGAACTGCGAAACAAGGAACGAATCTCTGTCGCTGCAGCTTCAAAGCTATTGAACAATATGGTCTACTCATACAAGGGCATGGGTCTCTCCATGGTATGTTGTTCAAGCAGAAAGAGATAGCCACAAACCATCTATGTCTTCATGAACCAATCTCACATCACGTTCCTCATTAGGGTACAATGGTCACTGGTTGGGACAAACAAGGTCCAGGCCTCTTCTACGTAGACTCTGATGGTCAACGAATGAAGGGTGACTTGTTTTCAGTCGGATCTGGTTCCACACATGCTTACGGTGTCCTAGACACTGTCTATGACTTCGACATGTCGACCGCTGAAGCTATTGACTTGGGCAAACGAGCCATTTATCATGCTACGTTCAGGGATGCTTATTCTGGTGGTATGGTCATGGGTGAGTAGTTAAGGAGAGACTGTTTGAAGTCTTGCTTGTCAGCCTCAAGTGGTGTTTTTTGTGCTGACAGCGATTTCTCCTCTTCTCTTTAGTGTATCATGTCAAGAGGGACGGATGGGAATACATTAGTCGAACAGATGTCACCGAGCTTCACTACGAGTACCAAGATGCACCTAAACCTAAACTCGTGTAGATTGATGTCTTTGAGAATTTAAGTTTTAAAGCAAATACACGCACCCCTTGTACACAGTATGCATGAAGTTTGGTCAAATGAGGCGGGTAGTGACAAGTCGGATGCATTTTGGAAAGGTCGTCGCCAAAGAAAAACCAGTCGCAAGGGTTGTGCATCAGTTTACTAGTCTATTTGCAACCACCAACGACAAGAATATCAAGATAATTCAACACTTGATATTTCTTGCATGACCTCTGGAGGAAATTAGTGTAATCTCTACGAGACCACGGAAGTTGAAACAAGTCGCTGAGGTCATTGCAAGTCTCTGTTCACAAACCAATGTCTTACTGGTTACTGGAATGGACTAGGTCTCTTCTACAAGTCTGGAGTCATGAAAGTAGCCTTGACGAAGCTACCCAAGGTGTTTCTTTTTACGTAAAAGGAGAGATTGAAGGGTGAAATGAGTTACAATGCCTGGAACAAATCTGCGTGCAACCAAACGCAAACCAAATGAGCATATCAATCCATTCCATCAGCCAGCTGCAACGCTTCGTTGGCACAGGTGCAGCAACCATATCAGTGTCACGAGGAGCATGTACCAATCGAGTAACAACTGATCCACATTTACCTATATTTGCAACACATTGATCCTATGGCCTCGTAAAGATGTTCCTAGCACCATTTTGAGGTTTGAACTGAAGCAGTACGAAAATACCACTGGCAAAAGTTCCATTAAAAGCTTTTCTAACTGAATCTATTGCACTGTGTAGCTAAAGACAAAAGTACCAAATCTCGTCCATATAGCTAGGCTTGATCTATCCAAAACCCAATATAATCAGATCAAAACTGTCCTCACAAATCCAAACTCAGGCCCGCACCATCAATGACACCTGCAGGTCCCAGCCTGAATAACATTTTGCTTTGCATTCGTGAAATTAAAGTTACAATTGGTTTGCGTGCCTGATGGCTTCCCAAGAATCGCAGATGAATCGCACGAAGTGGATCCACCGACATTGGTCAATGTGCAGAGGCAGCTGGCTGTGAGCAAGGTACAGTGGATTGTGTTAGTGGACACGGGACCGAATGTGACTGAGCAGGATTTGAGGCCTCCGAAAGCTGCGATATCAGTGTCTCCGTCTTGTGGAAAGCCTATTTGCGACAATACGGTCAGACATTCGTGAAGAAGAAGGGCGAACAATGTGGTGAGATTTTAAAAGGCGTGGCGTACCTGAAGCGAGAGCAGCCATGAGCAAGAGGACTAGAATGCTTTTGATGAATGCAGATTTCATGATTGATTTGAGGATGTGAGTGAAGTGTGTTTTTGTATGGATGGAATGAAGGGAGCAATGTCTGGATAAAGCATGGGGTTTTAAGGCTTGAGGAATGTCAAATTGTCTCGATGTTTCCACCCACGTGCTAGCGCGCGATGGCATTGACTTGTAACATGCATGTGTTCATCCTCAGATCTCCTTCAATCGTCACATACAAGGTTTTGGCAGCACCAATCAAATCATTGACACTTGGTATATAAGCAGTATCGAAACAAAGATGGCATCATGTAGCTACTTATTCGCATACTTGACGTGCGTCTTGATGTCCAATGGGCTGAATGTCAGAGACAAAGATTCTGGAAGGTGTAAAAGGGGTCATCAATTATTGATATAGCGTAGCGAAATTCTGAGCGAAATTCTGGAGAAAGAGAAAACAGACTGAAAGATTGCTACATCAATTTACTACTGTATTTGCAAAACACCACCACAAAACATCAAGTATTTGTTTACAACACTTAATATTTCTTTGATGATTTCTGGAGGAAATCAGTATATTCTCTACAGGACGGTGATAAAGGAGGTTGTTAGAATCAAGGTACCATCTGACATAACTAGGACCGGAAATTCTTACTGGAATGGACTCTTGGTGAAGAAGGTTTCACCCCACAAGTCTGGAGTCAAGAAGGAGTACGTGTTGGAGATGGCCATGAAGGTAGCCTTGACGAAGTTACCCAAGGTGTTGGTTTTACCTATACAATAATGAGATGTGCATGAGCAAATGCGTGAAATTCCTAGAAACTGTATCGTCTTCTTTTTGCGCGAATTCCAAACACAAAGCGAAAGACACGACTCGCAAATACTGCAAACTCACCCTTAGCTTGGGTATAACAATCCGTAACACCAGCCAACTGCAACAGCTTCTTTGGCACAGGTGCAGCGACAATACCAGTACCACGAGGAGCAGGCACCAATCGAGTAACGACTGATCCACATTTACCAGTAACTTTGGCAGGGACTGTATGTGGGTCACCTAGAATGGTACCCCAGTAACCACGACGGACTGGAATGACGGATAGTTTGGCCAAGATGATTGAACCACGGATGGCATTTGCGACTTCCTTGGAACATTTTACACCGAGACCGACGTGTCCTGCTCCGTCACCGATGACTACGAATGCCTGTTACGAAAAGAGGTTAGGGAGAGTTTTGCCTGAAGCGAAAAAAAAAACTCTGGATGGATGCAATCGCGATGATGTACACACCTTGAATCGAGTTCTTTGACCAGCACGGGTTTGCTTTTGTACAGGCATAACCTTCATAACTTCTTCCTTGAGTTTAGGCAAGAAGAAGTCGACAATTTGGTATTCCTTGATGGGTAGAGAGAAGAGGTAGAGTTCTTCAATCTTTTTGATTTTACCATCAGCCACCAATCGACCTAGTTTGGTGACTGGAGTCCATTTCTTGTCGTCTTCATCCTAATGCGATTGTAATGGGAGTTGTGAGAAACTTATTGATTGAAGCCACAAAAAAGGATGTGAAACTAGCAGGACTCTGTACGAAACAGACCGACAGCTTACTTTACGTCCACGACCTCGGCCACGGTCTCCACGACGGCCTCGATCACCTCGTCGACCACCGCGATCACCGCCACGGTCACCGCCTCGTCCTCGTCCGAAACCTCCACGACCTCGCTCGGCTGATGCAACGTCGGCCATTTGAGATATTGGTCTAGTAGAAAAGAAGATAAACTGTGAGCAGAGAGATGGGAATGCAATGTAGAAGTTGGTGAGCTTGAACTGAATTCTGGTGTGTGAATGTTTCCTGTCTTCCTTTCTTGCCGACAATGCGTGATTCCAAACAGAAACAGGTTCAGGTACAATCTTCACTGATGAAATGATCATAGCAGCGAATTCAACGTTCCGTCCTGTTTCGTGAAATGTCTTTGATCCTGACTGTTTGATCAACAGCAAATGTCTTCCAAAACTTCCCCAAAGAAGCTCGAATGAATTATTTCGAATCTGAAAGTTCACTGTAAAATGAATTCTCCTCCTTCCTCCTCTGCCTCATTGACCTTGACGTTCAAATACAGCTAACATCTATGTTTAGGCCAGAAATCATCGTATCCATCCATCACTGGACGGATTTAAACGGGGGAAACGACGTAGGGCATGTCATTGATGCAAGTCGATTCATCCTAATATGGTCTCATTTGGTTATGAGTCGAACTCACCTTTTATATGTGCTTGATGTTGAATCCTTTAGTGAAGGAGCTTTGATTTCGTAAGGGCTTACCTAATCGTGTGACTTGTTAAGAACTCAACTCCAGCCTCTTCGAACGCAGTTGTCCTATAAGAGACCAGGTCTATACAGTCTTGCCACTACCATTTTCTTGCTCAGTACGTATCGATTAACGCGTGTTTGCAGCTTGAACGCACATTCCATCACACCTTATCATACTGTAGCTTTTATCTCCTTTCAACTAACCAAACCACTACGTTCACCATACTTCAGCCCACTCACAATGCAAGCAATCCTCAAAACTCTCATCCAAACCCCATCCTCATTCACGCCATCTCTCGCTCACGATGCCACCAACTTGATTATGACGGGTCAAGCTACAGCTTCCCAAATAGGTGCCTTCCTAATCGCAATCAAGCTTACGAATCTAGAAACAAATCCAGCCATTGTGGCGGCTATTGCCAATGCTATGCGAGATGCTGCTCTGCGTATTGCGCAGGATGACAACTGGAATGTGTGTGATGTCGTCGGGACCGGTGGTGATGGCCAGGATACGTTCAATGTATCGACGGCGACGGGGATAGTGTGTGCTGGGGCGGGGTGTCGTGTTGCAAAGGTAGGTGTTTAACAGGGAGCAAAAAGCAGCTTGAACAACTCTACGGAAGACATGCTAACTCGTCTCGTTTGCTTCCATAGCATGGAAATCGAGCTGCTTCATCTAAATGCGGTTCAGCAGATGTACTGGAAGAAATGGGTGCTTCGCTACTATCCATAACGCCAGAATCTGTACCATCGCTCGTGAAAGAGGACGGAGGCTTTTGCTTTTTATTCGCACAAGCATTTCATCCTGCTATGAAGCATGTCGCTGCTGCTCGTAAGGAAATCGGTGTGAGGACTATCTTCAACTTGTAAGTTGGTTGTGGTGTGTACAAAGTGACCATTGTGGTACGATACCTGTTTTTTTGTCGTTAGACTTGGACCATTATCGAATCCCGCACGACCTAAACGGGTCGTAGTCGGAGTTGCGTCACAGGATTTTGGGAAGGCTATGGCTGAAGCGTTGGCATTAACGGGTGTGGAACGTGCGTGGGTTGTTAATGGAAGTGTAGATGGCACGAATACTGGTGGTCTTGATGAGGTAAAATGATGTTCTTAAACATCCCGTGAGTCAGTCATTCTATGCTGATTTTTTTCTCCTCCTAGTTGAGCCCAGCAGGTCCAACCCATGTATGGTCCCTCGAAAACAACAAAATTACCGAGTTCACCGTAACACCACTCGATTTCGGACTCGAAATCCACCCCTTATCATCAGTCGTTGGTGGCGACCGTGTACATAACGGGTCCATCATGAAAGACTTGCTGGCAGGTCGATTACCAGAAGGAAACCCCGTGCTTGATTTTGTATTGCTCAATTCAGCTGCCTTGTTGTTTGTTGATGGGAAGGCTGGGAGTTATAAAGAGGGTGTTGAGATGGCTAGGAGGTCGATACTTGAAGGGAAGGCTAAGAAGGCTTTGGATGCGTTTGTCTCTGCTACTGAGAAGCTGAAGGAGGACGCGTTGGCTGAGGCTGTGTCGAATTGAGATATGGAGAGGAGCTTAGAGTAGTAACTTAAAACATGGGTTCGCATAATATGGAACGTTGAACATTATCTTCGATCGCTTGTCTCTTTTTGTTCAAGGCACTTCGCTCGAAGAATACGAGTATAGGCAGAATTCAATTTCATAAATTAATTCACAATGTTTCATAATGTACAAGCTACTAGACCAAGGGCAACCCCTTCTTCTTTGTCATTCGAATATGTATAGCTGACGTGAATCTCTTTTTCGTTTCAGGTTCTTCGTCCTAGAATCAGAGATATCAGGGTGGTCAGATGAATTGACGATTCAATAAAAAGATAGTAGCATTATCCTAACACCTCATCGTCAGGCTCAATATCATCAAAACACGATACAGAGGAGATAGTGACATCTCTCTCATATACACCAGGAGTTTCTTCGTCTATTCGTAGAGCAATAGAAGCAGCTTTGGCAATCATAGCTCCCAGTCCGTGTATGTTTATGAAACCAATCCTAGAGCAGCAAAAAAGAGCAGACAATCCTGTGAGATGGATTAATACGATGGTAGATCGAATAAGCATCGTGCTCATCACGATCAATCATACTTTGGATTGTCTAGTACTTTACGAGCTCTCTTCAGCGCAGCAACAAAGTAGGTCTTTTTCGACACGTAAATGTCGGTTTCCAATGTTGCAGCTCGTTGCGGAGGTCGCCTTCTAACGTGACCAGGAGGTATATAGTCTATAAATAACGCGTCAGAAACAGCCTTTTGTTACCATTTCAATTGCTCTAGCTTACTGCTATTTGGTTTTGGTTTCTTGATTCTTGTTTCGCCATTTGCAAGCAATAAGCCATCATTATCATCAACCTTATTGTCTGACGGAGCTGTATCTGTCTTCTTACGCTTCATTACTTTGCGTTGACTGCTAGGAAATCAAATTCAAGGTGGCTATATTGGCATTCCAAGCTCCTTGTGACGAAAATGAGCTTTACGGTGACGGAAGTGAAGACGACTCCGTACGTGATCATAAACAGGCTTTATATACGGTAGCACATATACTCACGACATATTTCATTAGATTTGAGGGACAAAAGCCAGGAACATCGTAAGCTTCAAATATTCTAAACATTTGACAATCAGGCTCACTTTGACGACACCCATGGCAAACACTCATCGATTTTCTCTATAGTGGACTACGAAAGCGCGTCAAGGTCTTCCAGCAGCCTCACTATACTGAAAACTTTGTATGTTTTTGTACTTTGCGGACGTTGGCCTGCACGTGGAGCACAACCTTTCATCATGTGGAGATGGCGGATGTAGTGTGTTATGCGATTTCATTGCATGATCTGATCAATTACTCTCTGTGATAGATCCAAGCTATACTAGACGCCATCCCTGGCGGTGCTGAAGGCTCAACCCTCGTCGTTGGAGGTGATGGACGCTATTTCGGTCAAGAAGCTGTGCAAATCATCATCAAGTTGTCTGCTGCAAATAAGGTAAGAGTCGGTACAAACTTTGTGCTGTGAACTATTCTCTCTTTCGTCTCCTTTTTTTGCTCAACATCACGAGTCGACACGTAGGTTTGCAAACTGATTATCGGCCAAAGCGGAATCCTTTCAACTCCTGCTGCATCGAATTTGATCATCAAGAGGAAGGCTACTGGTGGTATATTGCTTACTGCATCGCATAATCCTGGTGGGCCTGAGAATGATTTTGGGATTAAGGTAAGAGCTGTCGTTGGTTGCTGTCATACGAAAGTAATTAATTCTTGGGTGTTTCATTCATAGTACAACATGTCCAATGGAGGTAGGATCATTTGTTGATATGGCCTGGCCTTGCGTCTTGTTTTGTTGGGTTTAGTCAAACACGGCATTCGCTTGATATTACTTCGAAACAACTAGGTCCTGCACCAGAAGGTGTCACAGACAAGATCTATGAATATACTGTCAAACTGGCTTCGTACAAGTCAGCAGATATACCTGAGGTGTGTTAGTCAACTACTGTCGCTCGCTCCTATTTTGCTCTCAACCCACTCATTCTTTCATCAATCCCACCAGGTCGACCTCTCAAAACTAGGCATCACAACCTTTCCTCCATCATTCGAAATCGAAATCGTCGACTCCGTCCATGACTACGTCATCCTCATGAAAGAAATCTTCGATTTCTCTCTCTTGAAATCATTCTTTTCGTCAAATCCAAAATTTAAGGTGCTTTTTGATTCCATGCATGGTGTTACTGGACCATACAATCGACGTATCTTGGTTGAGGAGTTGGGATTGCCTGAATCGTCGTCGATTAATACGGTGCCGTTGTTGGATTTTGGTGGAGGGCATCCGGATCCGAATTTGACTGTGAGTTATGTAAATGTAGTTTGTTGTGTTTTTTTTTGCCACGAAATCGTTGAATCATTGTTGCGTATTTATTGACCCTGTTCCTTTGCCTTTGTTAATAGTATGCTCATGAGTTGGTTGAACATGTTGAAGCAGGCAAAATTGATTTCGGAGCTGCTTCTGGTATGCATGATGCGCTGGCTCTGGAACCCTTTTTTGTTTCTCACTTGAAAGAATCTCTCGATGAGAGCTGTCTCCTCACATTCGTACCAAACTAATTTTCAATTCTAGATGGTGACGGTGATCGAAACATGATTATTGGATACAAGGTGAATTACTTGGAAGAACCAAAACTGCAACTTCAGTTCTACATTATGACTGACAAGCAACACCCAATTAGGCATTTGTGAATCCTTCCGACTCGGTGGCTGTTATTGCTGCTCGAGCACACGTCATTCCATACTTTGTGAAATCTGGTGTAAAGGGTCTAGCGAGATCCATGCCTACTTCTGCTGCTATCGATAGGTACTATTACACTAGTCAACGGCTTGTTTTTGCAGCTGCAGGAGATTTGTCTCTAATCCATTTACCTCCGTCATCATACAGAGTTGGCAAGAAGATGGGCGTGACTGTTTATGAGGTTCCAACTGGATGGAAGTTCTGTAAGCTCTTGCGGTTATGGTCATGGATATCGTCATCGAGGTGTGTTTAATCATCTTCTTTTGCTATTGTTAGTCGGTAACCTCATGGATGCTGGCAAATTGAGCATATGTGGTGAAGAGAGTTTTGGAACTGGTTCGGATCATATCAGAGGTACTGAGCTTGGAAGGTTGAATGTCATTGCAAATTCTTGATCTGACAGTTTGGTTTTGTTTTATTTAGAAAAGGATGGAGTGTGGGCTATTCTAGGTAAGTTTGCATCTTCAATGTCAAAAACACACAGCCACTTCTTACTTACAAGGTGTCACATGTAGCATGGTTATCAATCGTCGCAGACGCAAACTCCAAAAAGCCAGGATCTACACTAAATGACATCCTCAACGAACACTACTCAGAATACGGCCGGAACTATTTTTCACGTTACGATTACGAAGAAGTATCCAGTGAAGGTGCCAATACCCTCATGGGCTTGTTACGCAAGATGGCCTCATCAAAGTCTTTGGTTGGCCAGACATATCGTGGATACACAGTCGCTGATTGTGATGATTTCGCATATACGGATCCTGTTGATGGAAGTGTATCTACCAAGCAGGTATGTTACTGGTTTGATCTTTTTTGCCGCTATCATTTCTAACGTGAAACCTACTAGGGTATACGAGTCATTTTCTCCGATGATTCCCGAATTATCTACCGATTATCAGGAACTGGATCAAGTGGTGCTACTATTCGCATATACTTTGAGCGATACTCGAGTACGGAAACTGGGCTCGAGACTTCTGTTGCTGTGGGAGAGTTGGTTAAGGTTGCTTTGGAGATATCAAAGTTGGAGGAATTTACGGGAAGGACTACTCCAACTGTACGTGTAGATTATGGTTTGAGATGATCGCTCGTTGATTTTCTGTATTTAGGCTGACTTTTTTTGTGCTAGGTCATCACATAAGCGAGATCTGTATCAACAACAAAATGTAGAATTGGCATGTTTGAGAAATAACATCCAATAAATACGCACATCATCTACCCTGAAACCGTTGGATGTTATCAAGTTTGCGGATATGGACTGAAACGTGTACCGGAACCTTTGTCTTCTGTAGGGATACATGTCAGTTCAAAAAAAAGCGAGGCCAATCAATTGTTGCATTCAAGCTATACTACTTGCCATTCCTGGTTTCGCTGAAGATTGAAACTTGGTAGGTGGAGACGATGGATGCTATTACTTCAAGACGCTATTCAAATCACAATCAAATCGTCTGCCGCAGTCTATTACGGTTTACATTTACAGGATCTGGAGAATACGACGTGCAGCAGCAGTCAAACAAGTCAAAGACATCAGCTGCCACCCTTCAACAGCTGCAATCATTCAAGGTCAGCGTGGTGGTCCGAATGGCTTCACAGAATAACCGTGTTGGCTCCCCTGAGAATACCCATGATATACACATTTATCGTTCACGAAACGAATCATAACACAGACCGTCCTTGTATCATTAGGCTGTCTACTGAGTCCAAACCATAACGGTTGTAATGAGGCTACATGTTCTGTACTATGCATGGATATATCCAAGTCAATTGACGGATTCAAAAACGCCAGTTCTGCCAGGGTGAATGGCTCGTCACTTCCATGGATGATGAGACTAGATAGGTTTGGTATGTCTGGTAAGGCATTTACGACTCGTTTATTGCCTTCGTGGACACAGTCGAGTAGTTCGAGCTTTTTGATGTTTGTGAAGTGGACAAAGTCGTGAGCGTCGACGAATGCCTAAACACACAAAGTGAGGAACAGAAGTAGCCTGTGAGATTTTTGGCTGAAAATAGTGTCTTACGTGCTGGAGCTGTAAGGATGAGAGATAACACGAAAAGTACTGCAGCCATAGTGTCGTGTCATTCACGAATGTGAGCCACACTTGTAACCAGTCTAGCATAAATACCGTCCTGTGCAAGAGCAAGAGTCAATATAACAATTCAGAGTTCAGCTCCGAAAGAGTCGAGTTACTTCATATAGGATGGCAGAGTCGGTATCAAGCAGGTGCAATCCACCAAACCATTCTTCACCAGCAACGGAAGCATCCCAGCTTCAATACTCATAGTAGATCGTATAGATATCAATGCTGTTCGTACGCCTGTAACTGGTTGACCAGGAATGTGCTTTCTGATAACCAGCGATTCAGTTAACTCTAGACCACTGGTTTTCTGCAACGTGAGCAGGAGCACACTTCCTTCATCACGAATGCCGTTCTCGGTTCTAACAAAACCAGTATTCAATGGATTGGAACATTCAATAAAGATCTAAAGACGATTTCGTGACATGCTCACCGCCAGAAACGCGGTGAACTTCTGACATGCAGATTCACTCCACAGTAGACGGGCAAAGAGTCCGCTATATCGCGTAATAGCTTGGATGTACGACGAATTGTAATGTGACGTGTGGAAGGGGGAAGACCAGAAATGATGACACGTAAAAGCTCGACTGGCAAGTCCAGTAGCTCAGAGGGGGAAGTGTCTTGCTCCATATACGCGTTATCAGACGTTAGAGATTGCCTTTGCTTCGACTATATAGTGGACTTCGTTGTCGCGTCGTTGTTGAGCGACGATTCCGTATCTGATAGTATGCAATTGTTTAAGGTTCTAAGTCAGTAGAGGTAAGAAATATGTAGCAAGGCTGTTGACATCAACCTCAAATCTCGATAACACTTACCTTGACTGATCGTCAAGTCGTCACATGTAAGCATGTAAAGTCTGTACTTGAAGAGTTCAGTGTCGATAGCACACGAGAACGAGAGTATACATATGCACATCGAGTTACCAGTAGTTTAAATTTCCGTCTGATCATATTCTCATCGAACGGTAAGTTGCTTGATTGCAATTGACTGTGCTTTCCGAAACAGTCCATGTTGGAGGTGTTTTAGGCTGTTTTGAGTTGAAAGACGGCCAAATATTCAGCTGTCGCTGATGTATATGTTATATTGGTCCTTGTACTTGTTACTTTGAAACCACGCAATATCGATCGAACAACATCAAGTTTCAATTTTGTAAACAGTAGACAGTCACATTTTCTCTCTCAAACAGTCAAGTTAACTAGTTCTTTTCATTTAACTAGGAACAATGACCAATATTGGAGAATTGCCGCCGCTGGTATTGGAGGGTATCTTTCAAAGTACTACACGAAATACTCTACTCAACGTATCACTGTTTTGCAAGCACTGCAGTAACGCTGCCGCAACAACGCTCTACCAGAAGCTAACCCCAGCTGATGACTTTTTCGATTTACCGCCTTCGATTGCCATGTCTCGTCGTGTCCGTAATCGAGCCTATAAACAGAATCCTCTCTTGTCTGTGAAACGCCTCGATCTCGCTCATTCAGCATCATCGTAAGCTGGCAATCCTAGTCCTGGACCGTCTAGTAGCCGACTATATCATTCGCATCGAATATCGAATAAATCTGCACGATGTCAACCAGCCCGACTTTGACGTAAAAGGAATAACCACCATCTTCCCGAAACTCGACCACCTGAATCTCGGCACTGGCGCACCGTTTGATCTCACGGATGCTAAAGTGGCGGCCATTATAACTAGGCTCATGTCTCTGGACCTTTTGGAATTCTTTGACTTGAGTCGTAACGACGGTGTTGACCCTTTTATCGCGGACGACATCGGCTAAGAACTATCTGGGAATGCTACGATTAGCTCTATGGCTCTATGGCCTGCTCAGACGCCGGTACTAACTGTCGAAGGCCATGTTGGATTTAGCTTCACAGGTAGGATTGCTAGAGGTGTCAATGGGCATACGGAGCGGCTTGTTGAAAGAGTGGCTGTTGCTACACGTAATAGACTGGTGTTTGGAGAGGAGTGTGGATTGCTTGCCAGCCCGTAGGCTTTAAAACGTCAATTCGCAACTTTGAGACTCTTCGTTTAAACAGTTAAGATTCAAAATCTTTACAATGAAGCGTCTTATATCTCTTGAATCTGAGCTTTTGGAACTTGTCAGGTGTTTGCAGACTTTGCAGAGTTCAAAGCGTATTTATCAGCCATCGACAGCACAACGGAAGGAACTTGTAAATAGGTACAGCTACAGGTAGTTTGTATACATTTGGGCTTGCCACCCTTGCAGCAAGATACGTTTTGTCAATGGTCAAAGCAGGTGTTTTGTGTTAAGGCAGGCTCTCTTGAGCTGAACTACAGTTGCTTGAACACGTTGAAGTATTTTAGACTAAGTACCGCCGAAGCCGGCCTGGATAGACCGATTTTTTCCACTATAATCTTCCAACATCTCCACACTCTATCAACAACAAATTTTTACGCCGCTGCCTGTGGACTATTTAATAGCAAGACCCCGAGAGCAACAGTCACCGCTCTATATCTACCGGCTGATGCCGCAAATGTGGCTCAAGTATTCCCTAGACTGACTGACTTAAATGTTGGTATAGGTGAATCGTTTGAATTGACTGCTGTCAAGGTCGCTGTTTGAGTTGTATGACTGGAATGGCCACGAAACCGAGTTGCTTCTTGTTGAGAACGACGAGCTGGAAATCTCTGGGAACTCCATTATAAATGCTGTAATGCTGCGACCTCTCAGGGCACCGGTCTTGACCGTGGCTATATAGTCGTATTACTCGTAGGAAAGCTTGCAAAAGGTCTTTATGGTGACCGTGAGCTGCGAGACGTAGTGGCTAGTTCTTCAAAGGGTAGATTATTTCTTGTGGGAGAATGCATTCTTAATGCCACTGTCATCTTCGTAAACTGAACAAAATGACTCACAATTCCTGAATAAATCCAAGCATCCGCGACACATGTGCTTGATAACACTGTACAGCAAAGCGATTCGTATGAATTTAACTTGAGTTTTTCATTTTATCAGACTTGAGTAAAAACAATCGACAACCAGACGGATATCTTTCAGGAACAACTACTACTTGACTTCACACTCTCTTGCACAACAACAAACAGCACTAACACACCACATCTACTTCTTGAGGTAAGTTTGTACACCCTTGTAAGCAAGGAACGCAACAGCAGTCACTCCAAGATAGTACAAAGCACCATTGATAAACTTTTGAGTATCACTGGTAGGCTTGGCGCTCAACATGAATGCCATGAAATTCTTCTTGGCATCACTGTATTCGAAAAGAGTATTAGAAAACGTAGGACGCTTTCAGCATGTAAATGGAAAGCTTACGTGTAAGGTGGGTATCGTATTTGGTTGACGAATTCCATGTTCTGTGCCTTGATCATGGATCCCTTCCTGTGAGTGAAGGTATAGTAGGAGTACTTTCCAGTGTCTATGGAACGAAGAAGTTAGATAAAAGTCATGAAGTTTGCGAATACGCGATGCTTACAGTTGCCCATTCCTGAGGGTCCGATTCCTCCAAACGGAACTTCTTGTGGGCTGATGTGCATAATTACGTCGTTTGCCAAGAAGCCACCAGAGTAGGTAGCACCTGTGACCGAAGAAAAAAGTTCAAACGAGATGACTAAAAGATGTACGACTGAACGGCCACTCACGCTTGACTCGGTCAATGACCTTTTCACTCTTAGTGAAGACATAAAGCGCCAAAGGACGATCGCGAGCGTTGACGAACTTGATTGCTTCGTCTACGTTGGCGCAGTCTACAATTGGCAAGATGGGTCCAAATATTTCACCCTCCATGAGAGGATCTTCAGGCTTTACACCAACAACGACAGTTGGTTCGAAGAAACGAGTAGCTTCGTTTGATTTACCACCAACAGCGACTTTGGATGAGGCGACTTGGGATTGGCGGGTCAACAATTTGCTCAAACGGGCTAGCAAAGAAAGTCTGCTGTCAAAATCAGCACGCACTAACGTGGGAAGATGAGTGACGTACCAAAGTGATGCTTGTTCACAATCTTGGTAAGATCGGGAGAAGCAGCATGGTCTTGACCCAAGAATTCGTCTACAGCTTTAGCACATTCAGCGGCGAACTTGTCGCGCAGGTTGGCTGGGCAGAGGACGTAGTCGGGTGCAATGCATGTCTGGCCTGCATTGAGACTGGATTGACGAATGAGTTGAGAGTCCCGTTGGCGTAGCAGCTATCGAATGAATATCACTTACGTCTTGCCCCACATGATACGACGAGCAGCAATAGTCAAGTCAGAGTCTTCACACAAGATGACTGGTGATTTACCCCCTAGTTCAAGAACTACTGGGGTCAAGTGCTTGGCAGCTGCAGCCATAACAATCTGTTGGAATATTTCGACTTAGTCGTCAGGAATCAAGCATTTGGTAAAGAACGAACCTTTCCGACAGCACCGTTCCCAGTGTACAAAATCAAGTCAGATTTCTCAGCCAACAAGGCAGTTGTCTCAGGCACAGCTCCTTGTACAAAGTATACGATACGAGGGTCGAGATATTTGGGAAGAATACGTCCCAAGACAGCTGCGGTGTGGGGAGTGACCTCGGAAGGCTTGATAACAGTAACGTTTCCTGCAGCAATACTTCCAACCAGAGGGTTCAACACCAGATTGACAGGGTAATTCCAGGGCCCGATGACGGTAACCACACCGAATGGTCTGTTCAAAACAAACGAAAATCAATAATCGCATCAACTTCACCAAATTTAGACGACTGCCTTACTGGTTGGTGATGTGCACACGATCGCTAGCATTTATGAATTCCGTAGGCACATATTCATCTTTAGCAAGAGCATCTAGACGATCGTGCATAGCAGCAGCTTCCTTTTGGACACCGCCAACCTCAGCGAGCTGAACCTCATTTGGGTGCTTTCCAAAATCTTTGTACAATGCCTGTAAAAAGCGAGTCATCGTGTCAGTAAAGGTGTGAAGCACGACAAACTGGCAATCCACACTGCTTCATCATTTGTCATGCAAACTCCTTGTTTCTCCATCCACAAATAAGCTCATTCATATTTCCGGCAATCGCTCCAATAACGGTGCCAACAAGAATGAATCCAATGCAAGAATACATACCTTTGCGATTGCATCGGCATTGTCCTCCATGCACTTGTGCAATGCTCTCAATTGTTCCTTACGGAAACGAATTGGCAATGTGATTCCAGACTCGAAAACCTCCCTGGCTTTAGCCATAATCTATAGTGGAACAACTAGTCAGCATGTCTGAATGTTAAATTATATGCTTCTTTTCTTCTTGAGCTTTAGGTTGGTGCTTGTTTTTTTGGTCTAGTTATTTTCGTAATCGGGCAATTTAAAAAAAGAGTTGTAAGCTTGCCTTGGGAATCTCAGAGAGAGGCGTATAGCTCAAAGGAACTTCAGTGCCGGCCATGTCTTATATTATCGTTGGTAACTGGTAAGTTTCGTTTGTAAGTTTGTTCTAGTTGGAGGAATGTTGTGACGCAAAATCAGGACGAGAAAAGAAACTGTTGCGATAGAAATGATACAAGAGCAATTGATTCTTGTGCTCTTGAAATCACGATATATTTCGCCAATCCTCTTTGTTGGTTCGTCTTCGACGTGAAACACGTGAAATGCTCCATGTTCGCCAGCTTCTGGGTAGGCTCCGCACTATTGCAACTGATCCATGCACGCTGACTGGATTTTATCATGATAAATTGAAGCTTGATGACGTCAAGGGTATTTCCTGCTAGCGATCGTTACGAATTCAGTCTCATAAATCCAATATTTCTTCAATTTTTAAGTGTCAAATAACAGACATTTGATTAGAGTTTACTAGCATTCAATGAGGCATATCTACGGAAAACGATATACGTGAAGAAATGCTTCTCACAGTAACAAAACTTTCTGACTTACATGGCCTTTTCAAACGCATCGTATACTGAGTTCGTTGGCAAATCGCCAAACGGATCAATTTGAGTCGCGAAAACGAATCCGATTCCAGTTGTGTGGTCAATACAAAAGTGTGTATTGAAGGCACCAGACCACGATAGTGATCCCTTCCTTCTCATGCCGGGAACGTCGACAAGAGGTTGTGAGAAGCCTAGACCCCATGTAATTGGAACATTCCAGGCCTCCTCAAACATGACCAAGTAGTCAGGAGCAGCTATGAGGACTTGAGGTCAACTCTCAGGAAATAGCTAAGCTCAACACTGTAGAACTTACGACTTGGATCCCACTTTTGCAAAATGTTGCCAATCTGAGGCTTGAATGCAGTTTCCAACGTCTCTGTCTTTAGGATTCGTACATTGCCGTCCGTTCCCTGGATGACAAAAAATGAATTAGTCCCATCACTCATTGTAGCTCATTTACAAGCACCCATAGTTCCAACCTTGTGTAGCAACATATTGACGAACTTGATATAGTCATCAACAGTTGAAAACATTCCACCTCCGCCCGCATCAAATTCATTGATTTGCCTTGGGGCTAACAGACCCATACCAGGTTGTGAAGGAATCAATTTGCCAGATTTGCGATGTCTGTGATACATTGTTGCTGTGGGGTGCTTAGTTACGTCCAGTCGGAAGGTGGTGTTGTTCATCTTTAACGGTTTGCAGATGTTGACCTGGATGTATTCCTCTGTTGTTTTTGATTAGATTGGTTTAAGGAAAGACGGTGGTGACTGATGAACAACTCACCGAGAGATACTTCAGAAATCATTTCGACGATTTGGCCGAGAACGTCGATGCTTTCACTGTATTGCCATTTGGTACCAGGATCTAGTGAAAAGGTATCAGACCTTACGTATCTTGACAAAGAATACACATTAAGACGTACCAGTGAGTAAGACCTGATTCAAGAACGCCGACTTTTTTCCAGAGAACAAAGAGTCCAGCTTCATGACTTTCAAGTACTTTATATAGCTCGGGTGTAAGAAGGCAGCCCCAATACCACTCGTATGAGTCAACAGTTGGCGTATAGTAGGAATCGACTTGGGCTTTCTTAGAATGGGCTTGTCACCATTGAAGCCCTCGAGGACTTTAATGTTGGCAAAGTACGGCAAGTAGATATCAGCTGTATCGTCTAGTCCGAGTCTTCCATTCTCGTATAGATGCAAAATGGCGATCGAGACGATAGCTTTCGTCATACTAGCAATTCGTAGTCTGGAGTCTGGAGCGATTTCGCCTGATCCACCCCGGAAGACTATGCCAGCATTCTTGTCGACTACGATTCCAGCGACGCCCTTTCTAAAAGACACGTTTGATCGTTAGTAGAACGTTTGGATAAAGAGGTTTCCACGAAAGTAGATGTCACGACAGATACACTTCCAAAGCACAGGCAAACGAACGAACGAAATCTAATGCATTCTTGGTAGACTTACAGCTTTCCAGATTGAGTAGCTTCATTCAAAACATCCTGAACCCGAGAAAACTTCTGTGTTTGCAACATTGTTGTCAAATTGTATGTTTTGCCGGTGCCAACTGGTGAAAAAGAGCTACTAGATCTGAGTTTCCCGTACTAGTTTATAATGAATTCTTTTAGTTTCAGTCAGCGATCGATACGAACTGTGTGTTGGAATTCCAGCAAGTGTTTGAACCACTGTATAAAGCTAACAACGTTTCACAAAACAAGTCGATCGAGTCGAGTTGCTTGCATTATCTTTGGCTAGTTATTTTATTAGATTTGCATCCATTTGCATTGAATTTTATTCATTTGTATTGAATTATATCCAAAATCAAACTAAACTAGATTTATCACTCCATTTTTTTCAACGTTTACATGCTGTTTACGAATCAGACTGCCCTATAGGTTACTCTTTGAAGCCAAAGATGCGTATACCGCCTTCTCAAACGCATCCACCGTAGCATTGGTGTTGATATCCCCGAATGGATCCACCTGTGTTGTAAACACAGCAGCTATACCGCTAGAATGATCAATCCAGAAATGTGTGTTGAATGCACCATTCCAAGATATAGTTCCTGCCTTCCTACGTAGAGGAACATCCTTCTTTGGTTTCATAAATCCAAGCCCCCATGTAATGTCGACGTCGCCCCATACAGTGTTTTCGAGCTTTTCGGAATAGCCAACGTTTTCAGCTAGGTTGAGATATGTAAGCTTTGAATGGATAGTCGGAGAGGTGCTGTAAACTTACGATCCATTTCGAATTGTTGCAAAAGATCACCCATGTGATCTTGAGCAGCCAAATCGACTGTTTCTGCTTGCAAGACCCGTCCACCGGGACAAGCACCCTTTGTAAAATAATGTCAGATTTAAAATTCGTTCAAACGCTGTTTGATTTGAAGAGCTGTACCTTGTGAAGCCACATGGAAACAAACTTGGCGTAGTCATCAGCAGTTGAAAACAATCCAGCGCCACCCATATCGAATTCACGTGCAGGCATGGCCATTATGTCTTTTGATGGAATCAGTTTGCGAGTCTTTTTATATCTGTGGTATAGTTGAGCAATTGGAGTCTTGGTGGTGTCCAATCTGAATGTCGTGTCTTTCATTTTCAGTGGGCCGAGTAGGTGTTCTTGCATGTAATCCTCTGAGTAGTAAAGGCGAATACAGTATCAGTCTTATCCTCCCGAAGGCTTTCAAATTCCAAATATAATACAGAAAAGTAATAATCCAGAGCTGACCCCAACAACTGATTTCGACACGGAAAGGATAAGATACATACCAAGAGACTGGCCCGAAACCGCTTCCACGACTTGGCCCAATACATCCGTGCTCTCGCTGTAGCGATAGCGTGCTCCTGGATCATTCCTCAAAACCAAGGTATGGAAGGCAGACTTTTTACCACTCATCAAAGGATCAAAACCATTAAGCTTTAGATACTTTGCGTAGTCAGCGTCCATGAATGCATAAGACAATCCACTAGTGTGTGTCAATAACTGGCGTATATTGGGAATGGATTTGGGCTGTCGGAGAATAGGCTTGTCACCGTTGAATCCCTCGAGTACTTGGATCTTTGCAAAGTATGGTAGGTAGCGGTCTACAGTATCATCTAGTCCGAGCTTGCCCTTCTCCAGAAGTTGCAGAATGCAAGTAGACGTGACAGCCTTGCTCATCGACGCAATGCGTACTTTTGTGTCCGGCATGATCTCACCAGCACCACCACGGAAGACCACTCCATTCTTGTCAACTACCACTGCAGCTGCACCATTACTATGAAGTAGACGTTGATTAGCACATTGCTTCGACAGAAACGTTGCTCAGCGAAAAGAGTGTAACAAATCCATGAAATGCAAATGTTGGATATCAACCTTCCCAAACACGTTCAAACTGGAATTTCAGGACAGGTTCACGAACTTACATCTTGCCAGATTGAGTGGCCTCTGTCAGAATGTTCTGAATCTGCGAAAATTGTTGAGCTTGCATCTTTGTCTGGTTTTGGGAGTTGTTTTAGAAGGGTTACTTCCGACGGTCGGTATAGTTTACTGGCACTGTAATGCAATTAGACGCGCCAGATAGATCTTGGATACGAGCTTTGACGCGTTCCTTTCGTGTTTGTCTTGTGCTCCTTCGATTTTCAAAATCAAACTTGGGATACATACGAACAGACGCAACAGCTTATTAGAGCTTAATTTATATAGCGTGTCTGCGGGATCTCGATGACATCTGAACTGGAATTTGTCAGTATAGCATGCAATAGAGTCTCTAATGCAGCTGATTGGTGTCTGGATGGAACTGTAGCTTATGCTGCTGGAAACTTTGTAGCAATATATCATCCCGAGGTACGTTATCTTGGATCAACAGATCAGCCTGTTGTTGCAGATTATGCAGTTGTGAATCTATCGGTGTCATCGTGTGAGAATTCATAGACTTTTTTTTGCAAAAGGATTCAACGAAAGCTGGAGTTAAACATACATTACGAGGACATGCGGGACGAGTCAATTGCGTTCGTTTTTTACGTAAAGGTACTTGGATCTGATCTCAAATTTGTCCGTTCTGGGGAATTCAAAGAGTTTTGGACAAAACACAGGTTCTGGAAGTGCTCAGCACGACGATGCCATTGTATCTGGATCTGCTGATGGAACATGTCGCATATGGAAGAAGACTCAAGTTGGAAAGGTGTGTATTAGATCGTGATTTTTAGCTTTTTCAAAATCTTGAAGCTGATCTGTCGACTTCATACTCTTAGTACAAGACTGTTGCCGAATTAAGAGGACATACTTCAGGTGTCAATTGTCTTGCTGTGTCAAGAGGCAGGGATCTACCAGATGGTCCAAGTCTGGTTGTAGCTGGTTCACTAGATGGTTGGATTCGAGTATGGGACGTCGAGGATCTTGATGTTGAAAATGGTATCTTTTGTTGGATGTAGCTTCTTTTTGGCTGAGCGTGACTGACGGATCATCACCATTTAGGCAAACCTGTAGTACTAGAACCAGTACAATCACTCAACGTATCTCCAAAATACCCACTGTGTTTAGCATTGGCTTGTTTGCCAAACGTGTCAAGTACGATATTTGCTTCAGCCATACCGGTAGCAAAAAACAGCTAATCTCAACGTGCTTTAGCGCAAATACTGGTCACAGGCAACACAGACAACAAACTCACCGTATACGCCCACCAAAACCACAAATTTGTCCCATTATTGACTTTACATGGTCACAAGGACTGGATTCGTGCAATAGATCTCGCCACGTATACTAAATCACCATCATCAACCGACTCATCTCAAACACCACATTTCAATGATGGTGATTTGATACTTGCATCAGCTTCACAAGATAAATATATTCGGTTATGGAGGATAGCACCATCGCAAGATATGCAAGAGGAAAGCGTTATGGATGTTGAACTTCCGCAGGATCGATTGGATGAGTTGGTGGAATTGGGTGATTCGTGAGTCATCGTTTTCAGTACGTGCAATTTGCACGTTAACTGTCCTAAGCGCTTCTTTTTTGGTTTTAGAGCTCTAGCTGGTATGAAGCTGGCTACAAAAGCGTATATAATTGATGTTGATGTGGATACGAGAGACAACACGAGGTCTGTAACAGTATCTCGGTATAATACGCTCTTTTTGGTCTTTTCCTGGGCTTACGAACGCTTTGCAATGTTTTAGCACCAAAGCCAAGTACTCCATTATGTTTGATGCCATGCTGGTTGGCCATGAAGATTGGGTGCATAGTGTCTTTTGGCACCTTCCCATCATTAAAGGTATTGAATCATCCACACGAGCCAAAAAAAAAGTACCAAGTCTAACATGGAAAATCTCCTAGACGGAACATACCATCAACCAATGCGCCTAATATCCTCATCAACTGATCGATCTATATATTTATGGTCGCCAGATGCAGACACAACAATGTGGATCAATGAAGTACGTTGCAGTAATTAAGCGTTCATAAAGATTGCCCTTTTCGCTCACATTTTCGCTGAAACAGGTCCGAGTGGGTGATGTCAGTGGACTAAATCTAGGATTTTATGGAGCCATTCTGAGTCCTGATGGTAGAACTTTGCTAGCTCATGCTTACAATGGTGCTATTAGTTTATGGGAGCAGGGCAAAGAAGGTGTGATGAAAGATTCGGCTTGGGCTTCAAGAATTAGAGAATATGATCTAATGTTTTTGCGTAGATCAAACGGTATGGATGCCACGTGTTGGTGTTAGTGGTCATTCAGATCCTGTAACTGGTCTCGAATGGGATCCGCGGAGTCGGTACTTGATAACCGTCAGGTATCAGCTCATTTGTTGTTATCGTTTTTTGCTCTAGACCAACCACTGTTTCTCGTCACGATAGTGGTGATCAAACGACCCGATTATGGAGTAAATGGATCCGTGATGGCATATACACTTGGCATGAAATGTCTCGTCCTCAAATCCATGGATATGATTTACAATGTGTGGCATTTATCAACAAGTATTGCTTTGTTAGTGGTGCTGATGAGAAGGTCTCTGATTTGTTTTCCACAAAATGGAGCAGCATTGTCATAACTTTTTTTTGCATAGGTGGTGCGAGTTTTTGAAGCTCCAAGAACATTTGTCGAATCGTTAGAGAATTGGACTGGAATCAAGGATGAAGGAGCTGCGGCTGTACGCATATACCCTGGGTGTTTTTGCTCAATTGGTAGAATCTAAAAGACATCCCTTTTCCATAAATAGGCAAATCTTCCTCTGGGAGCAAGTTTACCAGCTCTTGGACTGAGTAACAAGGCAGTCTATTATGGTAAAGGACAATGATCTTTCCTTTCCGATTTTTTTTGCCAACAGACCACAAATCCTAATGCGAACTGCATATTCACGCAGGTGATGGATTAAGCTCTGGTCCAGAAAGCAGTCGACCGACATTTGATGCACCACTACCAACCTTCACTGCGACCACTGGAGCATTCATGCAACCACCATTTGAGCATCACTTGTCTACTACCACATTATGGCCTGAAATCAACAAGTTGTATGGTCATGGATTTGAACTGTTTGCATTGGGAGCATCGCATGATGGTTGTGTGCTTGCGTCATCTTGCAAGGTAACCTCAAGTTATCGCACGCTTTTGCTTTGGTTTGCTACATCAAATCCGAAGTGTCACTTTTGACACTATCTTTGCATGTAGGCAGCGAAACCAGAACATGCCGGCATACGTATATGGTCGACGTCAACATGGAGGGAGATATGTAGTCCTCTCATGTCACATTCTCTAACTGTTACTGGAATCAAATTTTCGTATGATGATCGATATATCCTTACTGTTGGAAGAGATCGGATGTGGTCTCTATTCGTCAAATCAACAGAAGGTATGTATGTTATTGGAAGATTCGTTGTTTCTGAAACCAACAAAAAACTCTACACTTGCTACGTCAATCACAGGTGATGTGCCATACAAGCTCCTGTGTAGTGACGCTAAAGCTCATTCACGTATAATATGGGATGCGTCATGGACACATGATACGCAATATTTCGCAACTGGATCCCGAGACAAGTCGGTATGTTCGATGATTTTCGGTGTTTGGTGCACCTGCCCGCCAAAAAACTAATGTCTAAGACGACTTGATTCTCTACTAGATCAAAATTTGGAAGGCATCTGGTGAAACTATGTGGGAAGCATGTTTAACCATCAAGACTGAAGAAAGTGTTACTAGTGTGTCATTCATGCCAGTTCTGTATTCGGAAGGGTACGTTCCCTGCTTTCTTGAAGATGATTTTGACATTTGCAAGAGCAAAAAACAATGGTTGCTGCCACTAAATGCGGTGCGACTTTTCTAGATATTGCCTCGCCGCTGGATTGGAGGACGGACGCATCATCCTGTACTTGTTAATCGGTGAAGAGCTGCGTGTTTATGGCATCATACATTTGGACATTGAGTGAGAATTGACAATTCTTGAAAAGTTCAACCCAAACACAACGCGATCTCTCTTAATCCGTCTTCTGAATCAACCTTTATAGAATATGCCATGTTGCGTCTGTAACAGCGCTCCGATGGGCCCCGACCTCTCCACCTTCACAATCAATGTACCTAGCATCATGTAGTGATGATACCTCAGTTCGCATCTTTTCCGTCAACCTGTATCAATAGACATTCTCGCATTCACGTGGCATCAGCAAATCAAAGATTGCTTCCAGTTGTTGTTGCTTTTGGTGTTGTTTCTGAGGGGTTTGCAAAAACAACATGTTCTCATGTAGCCTTTTGTTGAAGAAAGAGACCGAAAGCAGAGAGTAGGCGGCGCGATTCAGCTTGCTTCCCAACTACAGTCGAAAACTCTATTCGCCGTCCAGCCAGACCACAGATGAGGGATGTGTTTCTGGTAGGGCGAATAGAGAATAGAGTATATATGTAGAGTAGAATAGATTTCAAACGGTTTGCCCCGGCCTAGACGACAAGTCAGTCCTCTCGGAAGCCGTCCATCCTGACACTTGACTTTTACAACCGGCTTTGTGCATATATATTTATGGGTAGTCATAGAGACTATACCGATCTGGGTGAAGCTATATGAAAAAGGCCCCGATAATGTCTTTGAAGCCGTACCAGGAAGTCGTGCCGATAGAGTGAACCTGCCAGCAGATACTGACATTCGGTGTGTTGCAGCAACTGGCCCAGACTTCGCAGAGCTTGAGCAACCAATGCTGAGCACTCAAACTAAACTTCTCAAGTTTCCTATCGGTTTTCTCCCTCTGAATAAGTTCAGCATGGTTTACACGCATTTCAAATATAAACAACTGCATCACCGTTATTTTGCAAGTCTTGCCACTTGTGCGTTGGATTGCCGCTAGTTGCAGATCTAGTACTTTGTTGATTCATGCTGGTGATTTTCCTTTCATATGCACGACCTACATCATCCATGTATCTAGCGTCATGTAGCGTCGATGCGTCTGCATTTTTCCATCGACCTATACGAATCAAAAACTGTGCATTTCACTTGACCATAATGAGCAATGTTCTGAGGCTATTTGAGTTGCGTTTTTGGTATGATTTGATGTTTAATTCTTCCAAAGTATTTGGAATGTCAAACTCTCGACATGACAAATATTTCTTCTACACTGTTTTCAATATATTTATTTCTTGGGCTGTTGGAAGTAAAGAAAGCGTAAGTCTTGGCCTTGAGCAGATACTAATCACCTTTGAATGGGCACTCACTTCAGCAGTTTTTGAACCTTCATAGTAGGCCAAAGTCCAGTTCAACCAACGTTCAGCATTGAATCGGTACGAGTCAGGGTCAGAAATCACTAAGGTGTTGATATGGTTTTGAGTACAAGTGTTCTGTAACAACATTGGCAGCATTCGTTTGAGCACTATGGGGCCAATGACAGCCCCATGACGACCCATCCATGCGCTACACGGTATTTACCTCCATCCTTGAGGGCCAATTCAGACATTCTTCTGTTTTCAGCATGTTCGTATGCCTGTCTTGCTTCGTCGACGAGTTCATCTTGATGTGCCTTATGTTCAGCTTCATGCCTCTTCTTGACGAATTCCGTGAGAGAGCCTTGTCGTGAGAGGCCCCAGTAGAGACCGAGTCCAAGTGCTCCAAACCGCAAATACTAGTAGGACGCAAAAGGGTTGTGAGATGAAGAATGTGAAAAATATGTTTGCGAGTTTCCAATGGATGACAGGAAGGGATGCAAGGAGAGGGAGTGAGTGCACTGATGCAATGGAGACTTACATTCACAGAGGCATAGTTGACGATGCTGGCCATCTTTGCTCTTTTTCAACTTTTTGTTGGTTGCTGAAACTCGTCAAGAAAGTCGGAGTGTGTCAACGAAATTCACGGTCGACGAAAAACGGAAGCTAAAAAGATATTTATTCATAGTTTCATGTTTCATGCCTATATCGCGAAAAATGTCACGTCAAAACTTCACGTTCGAACCTAACTTGCTTCATCTCACAGAAAACGGCTAATTCTTCAACAACAAGCTCATAGAGTGGTCAAAGCAAACTTTTGTGACTCGTCTTGTCGGCTTTAATAAGCGATCCATAGGACGTAACACTTCTCGTACATGTTGCTCCCTTCACGTCAAATACCAAAACCTCCCAACTCCCAAAAACAGCAACCCTTGCAACAATGTTTTCAGGCAAGTACACTCTCATCAGCACAACGCCTCACATCCAGATCACATATGAACTTGTCATCTCTCCTCTCCACAGGTTTCCTATCCATCGCAGCCAATCTGAAGAATCAAGCTCAGCAAGTTTTAGAGAATGCCAGTGCAGCTATCGAGAATGTAAGCACCAAATCTTATTATTTCATGATTTATTTGATATTTGACTACTGTGGCTATATACAACCGATGTTGAATGGCTCTAAACTCGCAACATCAAACATCCAAACACCACTTTGGTCTTCCAGGAACTAGCCAAATCCCCAAACGCAAAAGTCATGGCCGAAGACGATACCCTCATTGGCGAGACCCCGTGGCATGGATTTGGAGCATATGAAGACGAACTGAAGAAGCAGATTACCGATCTATCAAATGATAAAAGGAATTTCCTCGTGGCTCCACCTGATTCGTTCCAGTTTGACTTTGAAGAGTATCGGTCGCTTGCTGCTGTATGTGTGATGAAATCGCTCTGAGTGAACAACAACGTCGTCTTTTTTGCTGTAACTTACCAGTCTTGTTTTTGTGTAGGGAGCGCTACGAGAGGATCCGAAATTGGGACAGCAGAGATTTGACTTGGTTCCGAAATCGTACGTATTTGTGTGTGTTGGACGTGTAGTTGACTTTCAAGGATCATTCATTTGACTTCGCCGTTTCTTTGGTGTCTTCGACAGCATCACCGAAAACGAATTCTGGCGCAGCTACTTTTACCGCTGCTCGCTCGTCAAAGGTGGCATCCAGCTCAAACACAACCTACCAACCTCTGACTTCACAGACTCTCCACAAGCATCAACACAACAACCACAATCGACCAAACCAGAAACACCGCTGCTAACAGCTAAATCAGACCTCCTGTTTGACGCACCCGATGACACAGATATTGAAATGCCTGAAGGGGATTGGGAAAAGGATTTGCAGGATGAGCTGAGTGGTGTTGAAGGGTTGGATATTGTTGATGGGGATGATGTGAAGGGTGATGGATTTAGTGTGGGGAAGGCTGAAGATGAGAGTATGAAACCAGATACAATAGAAGAACCTATAGAATCAAAGACACCACACGATGAATCAACGACAGGTAAGAACTTTCAGCCAAAAAAGCTTGGATTAGGTATAAGTGTATTGACAATTGTGTTTTTTGATTTTTCTTCTTCCATTCCAGAAAAAGATGCAGACGATATGTAGAAACCCCAACCATAACAAACCACACACACATAATAATACTACTACCAGAAACTACTTTTCTCTCTCCTCATCTCCGCCCGATGGCGTCGTTTTCAGAGGTGATGATGAGGATGAGGGGTTGCTGGTGGTGTTGTTATTACTATTATTATTAGGTAGTTGTTGTTGATCCGTCAGTGGACTGGCCAAGATTTCAGATTCCAGTTCTGAGTCTTGTGGACCATTCTCCATTCCTTCATCAGGATTCTCATATTTGGCTAATCTGGTTCTCAGATTATTCCTCTCCACCTATGTAAAGCATATTAATCGGTAAATAAAATATGTGCAAATAAATAGAAACAGCATCATTCAACCAATTCTTCAACATCCCAGCGTATTTTTGTAGCGCCAGCCACATACCTGCAAAGCACGACATAGATTCTCCAACTTGTTTTTGGAAGCCACTGTTGTTTCCAGAGTCTTTGAAGACCGCTGGATGGTCTCAGCCATTTCAATCAAGTTACGACTACTTCGATCACACTTGGCTTGAACTGTGGCATATTCCTTTTCCAGCTTTTGCGTCTTTTTAGTCATCTGATGAGAAAAATAGAGTAAGCGAAAAAAAAACGCTGGACAACCATCTCGAAATGACAGACGGTCTCGTCAATTTTACCTGCTGCATCTCATTCCTAAATTTGGCAAACAACTCGTTGGATTTCGCCAACGTATCCTCCACTTGTTTGAACTTGTCAACGTACGTGGTGAGCTGCTGCCTCAGCTCTGCTTCAGTCTTGACAAATGAAGACATTTGGGCCTTCATTGCTTCAACCTACAAAAAATATGGATGGTTAAACGCTCGCAACCACTTCGATGCAAGGTGACAGCACAACACACCTTCATCTCTTCTTGCTGTATGATATGCCGTTGTTGCTCCATCTTGACTTCAGCTAACTGTGCTTCCAGTTGATGTTGCTTCAGCACTGCATGGAAATGACGTTCTCGTAACTCGTATTGTTCCAAAAATGTTGAGAACTTTTCCTTGAGTCTATAGAAAGATAGAGTAGTGTGAATGTGAGCGAACTCGTGTTGTGGATTTGGCCAGATATTTTTTGGGGATTTTGTGCGGGATCTTGAGCTGATTTCCCCCCAGCACCCTGAATCCATATGCACACCAACAGCACAATACAATGCACACAACGTACAATTCAGTATCCTCATAACGCCTCCTCTTCTCTTCATTATCTTCTTCCATTTTCGATTTGATTTCCCATATGGTGCTCTCGAATTTCGAGGATAACTCTTCTCGCTTCGTTTGTTCTGTCAGTGATAGTCGTTTGCTTTCCTCCTGTTGTTGTAGGAGAGTATGGGCTCAATGTTTAAGAATTGTACTTGAAGAATCGCAACAAAGAACAAAAAATCACGACAGACTATATAATATCTTGCCTTGATCCGCTTGTTCTCTTGCTGTAATTGACGACATAATGCTTCAATCTTTTGTTTCTGGCCAGTGACTTTATTCAGATCCGATTTGCCTGGTGTTTAATTGTTGGGATTTTAGTTTTGACCGAAAGCTAAAAAGATCGAGGGCGTGTAATGATATTTCTTTTCGTTTACCTGAATCCTTGTCCTTGTTGGCCTGTTCATATTTACGCTTCAGTTTAGCTTGATCTCGTTCCAGTCTCTTGTAATCTTGAAACTGTCGATTTTCGAGAGACAGAATTACAAATGATTAGAATGTTGTCATGAGACGTTACATTTCCTACACAAAGCAACTGGGTAAGATGATGTATGAACCTACCAGGTCCATGTACTTTTGATGTATCGCATCAGCACCAGCGCCACTATCCGTAATCAGCTGGTGAATTTCCTTTGAAGCAGTTTTGATTGCTTTTGCTAATAAAGGAGGTGTGAGAATATGAGATCAGGGGTGGATGAAAGGCAACAAAGAACAGTCAAGACTCAATGCAACACTGTATGTATGAACAATCACACCAAACACCACCGACACGAAGGTACAAGAACATACCCATTTCCTTTTCATCTTCCTGCTCTAGAGCAGCTTCAGCACCCAATAAACCAATCTTTGACTGGAGCATTCCCAGAACTGTTCAAGTGTAGAGTGTGAGTGATGATGTTGACACGACACACAGATACCAAACATCAGCCCATTCCAAACACGAAATCGAGTGCGAATTCCTTCGACATACTCTCTTCAGGAGCCAGTTTCTTGGGCTGCTTCTTTCCCTTCCACTGTTGCTGTTGCTGTTGAGTGCCAGTTGCAGTTGAAGCAGAGGTAGTAACAGCAGCTGGTCTTACAGGGGTACTAGTATTCGATGTTGTATCATTGGTAGTTCCATTTGGTTGTGAGGATGAAGATGCTGCTGCTGCTGAAGAAGAAGATGATGGTGCTGATTGCTGCCTTCCGTTTGGATTGGGGAGATTAGCAGCAGTAGGACCACTTGGAGCGGCACCGTGATGTTGAGTTGGCTGCACTGTTTGGTTGGAGGTAGCCTCGACAGGAGCCATTTTGTTTGCGACTTTTTTTTTGTGTTGAGAATGCGATGTCGATGAACAGAGAGCGTGAGACACTATATGAGCTGTCGTTAAAAAGAGACGCGACGGATATTTTGAATTTTATTAAACATGTAAACATGTCGATTTATCGCGGCACGATTCCATTTTGAATCAACACGTTCTCGCCATAGCTTCGCAACAAACTTGATTCTCCATTTCTACCAAAAACTCAAAACACCACACTATACCAAGCTACATATACCAATAATGGACTCATCTCATACCGCAAAGAGCATCCTCAAAGCACACTCATCCTCAAATATCGCAGAAGCAAGTTCCAATCCTGCCTCCTCAAGGTAATAAAACACATGCTGGACTCACTTTTATACCAACACCAACATATCAACACAAGCAAACACTAGTATCTTACTCTATTTATAATAGAATAAGATGGGACGAAGACAATCTCATGATGACCGAAGCTGCAAAGGGCGCTACCATGAAAATCACTGAACCAAAGACTCCCTACATACACTACAATGCTGATACCGATACCGTGCTAGGCACTTCTGCTAATGGTACTGTATAATCATGAATGCTGGAGTATTGTGTGCTGTGTATGATCATACAAGCTGAAAAAAACAACATGCTTTCATGATTATCTAGTGGCAATACCTCCCATCGAACTCACAACTGCCATGCAGCAATACTCTGATACTGTTGCCACTACCAACAATACAAAGTCACCCTCTGTACGCTCCACGTCGGCGTCAAGCTTTGCGAGTAATGGGTCAGAGTGGGATGACTCGGACGATGATGAGGAGGCTGATCCTGAAGGTTCGTTCCTATTGAGAAGTGAATGTGTTGATGTGGTGTTACGGGTGATGGTCGTAATGGAGTTGAAGCGTGTTGGACTTGTTAGTCGTTTTTAGTTCACATCACTGGGTTTTTTTTTCCTCATAACATTGTAGCTCATTTTTCTCCAATAACTGAACCAACACACTCTTCTCTCTCTATCTGCAACCATACACAGAACAGGAACGCAGGAGGAAATTCAAACAAATGCGAGCCCAGCATTACAACATGAAGGAAGCCCTGAGAAAGGCCAAACAGGTGCAAGACGAGGCCGACGAAGAAGCAGCCAATACTCCTAGACCGATAGCTGACGAGGACGAAGAAGAAGAAGAAGAACACCAGAATGGAAACAACAATCATAATGATGACGAAGAAGAGGAGGAGGATGATGACGACGAAGAAGAATCACCACAACACATAAGGCTCTCTCAACCAACATCAATACCAAATATCTCTGCCAGAAACTCGATATCATCAAATCATAATCATCACAGCAATAATAACATGGATACCACATCCTGAATGTCGAAACACCACATAACCCACAAATAGTATTGTAGTAGTTTTGTATAGTGTAAAAAAACAGAAGAACAAACGTTTTTAGCATTTGGCAAATAATAGAATCTCTCTGTACAAACCAATCCTCAAACAGTTCACACACACTTATTACTCTAGTTCGGCTGCCACTTCTCGATCATCTAGGGCATAAATATTCGAGGCCATTTGCCACACTTGACAAACATTGTCTTCGGCTACACTAGACAAGACCCATGGCTCATTGGGATTCCAACTGAAATCAGATATCTTGTTGGTGTGGCCTCCATGAACAAACTAGGTGATATGAAGAAGAGAGTGATGGTAAGTATGGGATTGACAAGGAGGAATTTGAAGGCCACCAAAAAAAGCACATGTTGATACATTCCTCAATGCAACTAACTGCCACCTCTTCTCATGAAACATTAACATATAAACATACCAAGAGTTCTGGTGGTCCATCCTCTGCATCTTCGGCAGTCTGCTCTTCGCCAATACGACTCAAATCCCATACATTCAATCGACGATCTCCAGATGATGATGCAAGAATCGTCTCGTGATGAGGAGACCATCCAACTTGGAGAATTTCATCCTGATGAGATTCAAAAGTATGCAACCTCATCTTGAAATTTCTCATGTCCCATAGTGCTACAGTCTACGTGAGTGAGACGGATTGTTCGTTGATTTGAGTATGGGTTGGTAGATGTATAAAGCCAAAAAAAGGGATAGAATCGTTACTGCATGTTGTCTCGCAGCAACAAGAACACACCTTGTCTGCCGAGCCGGTAGCCAAGAGATATTCATTTGATGGATGGAAGGATATGCAACTGACTTCAAAGTTGTGTGCTCGTTCGACAGTGTTGACGGCTTTGGTAGTGTCTTTGTTTCGAGTGTCCCAGCTAAAAAAAACAAGAGAGGTCAGTACAGCAACCTCGATTGAGAACTGATCATTGGTGTCTCTTACATTAAAAGCTTTTTGTCATCTCCAACTGATCCAAACAAGCATTCATCCTTCATGTGCCACGCAACATCCTACAATGTGACGAAAAGAGAAAAATCAGACAACCCATTGCTATAGATATTATTTCTAAATGAGCCAAATGACCTGCTTACCATAACCCAAGCAGAATGACCTGAATATACACGAAGAGGCTCCATTTGCTTCTTTTCTTTGGTGGTGCCCTTTACATCCCTGGTTTCGCAATAGTTCCTGTGTGAGATGAGGTGCCATGCCAAAAACAGAAGCACTAATAGACTCATACCATTGAGCGACGGTAGTATCCTCAGATGCAGTCAACAATGAACCTGGTACTTTGGGATTCCAAGCCATACCATATCTAAGAGCGAGACAGTCAGTCATCGCGTTGCGACGCAAAAAAAACCAACCTGATGGAGACACATACCCTTCCTTGGAATGATGAACTAGTCTGATTTCAGGCGAACACACGTCATTCTCCTTTGGCGTTGAAGCATGTCGAGTTCGATCAAAGATGTAGACTGGACCTAAGACTGTCCGGGTAGCGATGATGTCTGGATTGGTTGACATGTATCGAGCTCTGTGTATGAATGTGATGGGTAAAACAACTCCAGAGGTTGGCTACTATACTTGATGCATCAAGTGTTTTACCTGTTGACTTCACCATCATGAGGAATCTTTTGTACAATTTTAATTTTGGATTCAGCGCCCCCGAATCCACCGCCCTCTGCATTAATTGTTGTATATGTGAATGATTCGGATGTTGGTGAAGAAAAAAGTATGCTGCTGCGTCATTGAGCCATAAATTCGCTTTTTGAATCTCATACCTCCTCGTTCATCGTCATACTTTTTATCACCATCAGCCAAATCGTTTGGGAGATGAACTTCAGCAAACTGCAAATAGTTTGGTTCTCCTTCAGACGTGTGCGTTCCAAGGAGTAACCTTTGCACTGTATAGTCTTTGCCTGCTGGTCTATTATATGATAATAATGATGGTAATGATGATTGTGGGTGAGTACATTAACCATTTCTTTGCACTTGCAACAAAAAACTTGCGCAGCTGTTGAGGCACCTTTCAATGTCGGGCAGCCATTCGACGGTAAGAGTAGGCCATTCCAGTGCATGAGTGACTACCAAATCGTACAAGAATGGCGAGTTCTTTTTCCAAATCTTGTATTCTATTTTTATGAGAGAATGAGTGACAAACTGGTTTGATGTCATGGAGTATGTTAACGGAAAGGTGGTGATCTGCATGAATGATGTACCTTCATTAATGATTTTTTCTTGTTGTAGATATCCGTCTTCCTTCTTGCCTAGGAGCATTGACATTGTATCAAGGTTAGCTCAAAGTCAAACATACTGTGCAGTTTGAATCACAATTGAATGTTACCAGTAGCCGCTTGTCCAGTGGCATGATTCTCTGCAGACATCATGATTGTACAATTATAGTCAAATATTGGTCTCTCTTCTTGGTCTTTTGGTCTAGTAAGGCGTCGCAGACTGTTTTTACAAAATTCCAAGAAATCGAGCTCAATGAAGCAACACTTCCCAGTAAACAGCCAGCTATGAAACGAGTAGATTTGTGATCGATACGCAATTCCGTAGAGAACTGCCCTGTAACGACACGTAAATAAAGATTGGAACAAAAACAAACTATGAAATCAAGCTTTGGCGTATATAATGTAGGGAGACTTGTAGCAGTATGGGTCGAGTTATACGAGCGAGGCCCCAACAGTGTCCCTGTTGAAGTTGAAGCAATGACTACAGATCTAAGTGGAACTGCCACCAAATATGATTTATTACAACATCTGGTTAAGCATACATTCAAGCATACGTTCAAGCATGACTTGACTGCTATCTCTGCTGCTGAATTGAACGTGTATATGGACAAGGATGCAGAATGGAAGACTGCTCCAGTACATCCCGTCTCTAGTTATTCGCTGGTCCTGTCATTTCCTTCATAGCCAGAATGGATTCGCGAATAGCCAAGAATCGAGTCACTAAAAACTAAAATCGTCAATTCCGATTCCAATTTCATTCCAGCACATTTTCTAGATCTGTCTCGAAACGACACGTAAACGACCTTATTTGTTGTGACTTTCACCTCGGTTTTGCTTCTAGAATAATAAAACCGTAAACTTGCTGTTGCGAGGAAGAGAACACTTGGCTGATCGTTGTAGTGTAGTAATAGGTATCTCATATTCTGTGACTTCCGTTACAGATCTCCCCGTGAACTAATTACTGATCCTTTCCTCAAAATCCAGATTCTCCAAACTCTCAATTTGCACACCATGGACGAAACAGATCAACCACTCCTAAACGAGGAAAACGAGCAAGAATACTCTCTATGGTCCTCCAAAACATTTGACGACGATGCCTGGCCAACCGCAACAAGTGAAACGCAACAAGAAACTGAGACCAATGTGTTGCGATTATTGGAATCCACTCTACAGGATACAGTTCTATCACAGTATGCTCAACAAGCTTACGCTATGAATTTGCATCAACTGACTTTTCTTCTTTCTCACGCAGGGCTACCTTGAACAGAGCCGATCACGTAAAGTATCTGCTGGGAGGGTTAGGTTCATTGACGCATCACTTCACGTCGCTGGATGCCAGTAAACCGTGGTTTATGTACTGGATACTGCATGGTCTAGATCTCATGAATGTGAGACTGCAAGCTTCGGATTTGGACCGGTAATCACGGCCGACTACAGTCATTTTTTTGCCTCCCACCTATGTGCCAACACGCCACCATATAGGGTCTTGTCAACACTAAAGCGCTATCAGCATCCCGATGGTGGATTTGGAGGCGGATATCTCCACATGCCACATCTAGCTCCCACATACGCGGCCATAAACACAATCGCCATTCTAGCATCTGAAGCCGCCTACCAAATCGTCGATAGACCTAAACTATATGCTTTTCTAATGAAGATGAAACAGCCGGATGGATCGTTTGTGATGCATGAGGGGGGTGAAGTCGATGTGAGGTAGGAATGATAGAATGGTTTGCAACCATATATGATGGCTCCGATTTTTTTAGCGCTTTTTGGCTCACGAATATTTCTTTAGAGGATCATATTGTGCCCTATCAGCAGCGAGAATGATGAACATCCTAACTCCCGAACTCGCACAAGGTTGTGGCGAGTTTGTTGCTAGATGCCAGAGCTATGAAGGTGGTATTGGTGCCGTGCCTGGAGTAGAAGCACATGGCGGATATACCTTCTGCTCATTAGCTGCTTCTTGTATCCTTGGTACCATGCATCTGCTAGATCTGAAAGGGCTGACGGTGTGTAACTGATTCATTCTCGGTTAAGGTAACTTTTTTTTGGCTAGAGGCCAAGTATCTCATGCCACATTTTATTCCTTGTAGAGATGGGCTGTATGTAGACAAATGCACATGGAAGGAGGCTTCCAAGGACGAACAAACAAGCTAGTTGATTCGTGTTATGCATTCTGGCAATCGGGATCGTTTCCGATACTGGAGTCTTACTGGGCTCGGCAAAATGAGGCCAGGGTCGTGTCACTGTTTGGTCGAGGTGTGTATAGTGTGTTGTGGTGGAAGCTTGTGTGTGCAATTCAACGATATCATCAATCCGTTTTGTGGTGCTACAGATGCGATGCAGAAATGGGTGATTGTATTTGGACAGGGAGCTAAAGGTGGATTAAGGGATAAGCCTGGAAAGTATGTGCAGTGCTTGCTCGGAACTTTATCCGTTCTTTGTTCAATTATCCTCGTTTGCTCATTACCTCTTTCCTTAGAAACCCGGACTATTACCACTCATGTTACGCACTAAGCGGACTCTCGATATCACAGCATCTGTATCGATTCAGCAGTGACACACCAGGCGGATTTGATATATGTAATGATCGAGGTGACGTTCAACCTGTGTTTGGAGTGCCTAATAATCGCCTGGTGAGCATTGCTTCTGAAAACATCAGGCATTTTTCGCATCACATTTACAATCATTCGCCTGCACAGCTCCCAACACATCCAATCCACAATGTACGATTCGACAAGGCTGTAGCTATAATCAAGTATTTCGAGGGACTTCCAAACATATGACTTCCAACCAAAAGAAAGCTAATGTATTGGGGTTCTGTCAACACTATGTAAAAAACAACACAATAATAATGCAATAATGGTAATTTGTTCGAAGGACAAAGATAGAAATAGATCACTCTCAACATGCAAAACAGAATGTAGCAAAGAGTCCATTCAACCACCTTCCGTGTAATATCTAGATGATTTGAGGGAGTTAGGGCTGTGAAAGCAAAAAACCAACCGAAACGTTCAGATAAGCAATAGGACATACATATCCAACAACATCTGAAACACCCCCAGCACAATCTCCGTAGCAATCAATATAATCACAATCCACTCCAGAGCCTCATCATGCGACGACGTCATATTATCCTTCAAAACTTCCAATAAATCCGAAATAATCTGTACACGTTGATTCAGCAAATCCACCCGTTGCGTGATCTCTAGATACAGTCTAATAGCATTATATAATGGTTCGAGTGATGGTTCCGACCATAGCAATTCGGGTGCATCAAGGACATTGCTGACGAGATTCACATTGATTCGCATGGCGAAGAGGGAACCGATTTTTCGATTCACTTGGCCACGAGACATGTGGATTCTACCTGTCATGGCCATTGTTTCTGGGATTGATTTCGTGCCTTCGATGGTGTCTTCGACGAGGTATTCGTAGACTGTGAGTTTTGTGCTTTGGGCGATGGCGTGGGAGACTATGTGGTTGTAAAGAGACAAGCAGTGAGTTTGTGAGAACTTTAAGATGTGAGATTGATCCAACAGCAAATTCAAGAGAGAGGAAAACGGAATAAGTCTTGTATAAAATTAGTGCACTTACTGGCGAGCTTATGTTTCACATTCGAGGGTTTCCTCAGCGTTATTATGTCGTTGAAGATTTGAGGCGGTGCCAGTACATTGTAAAAGAATACAAAGTCTTCTTTTTCAATCTCATCCGGTTCTACAAAAACAGTGCATGTGTCAATCATCTGTATGCAACGGAGATGTTCAAAATGCACACAACATGATACTCACTAACAGACTCCTCCTCAAAAGGCCTAATCAAATCCAGCACGACCTTCTCCTCAAACTCACTCAGACCCCAGCACACCACAACCCCATAATCAAACAAGAACAACTCCCCAACAGGCGCAATCTTCTTTGCAATACTCTCCATCGGTATACTACTCGGCAACGGCGCACCAGTAGAATCCACATTCTGTTCAAAGAAAGAGTCGCGAGCATCAACTACCTGCTGATCGTCCACGTCAAGAAATCGGGTATCCAAGTCTGTTTGTAATAGGTCGGGTATTGTAGGCTGTACTTGCGGATGGTTTACGTGTGGTTGGTGCGATTGGAGTTGGGAGGGTTGGACTGTTACTGCAATGTTATTGTTTAAGGATGAGGGGGGGATGAAGGTTGAGAGATCGATGGGGACGCGAGATGGGTCGATTGTGGTGTAGAGGGCTTCGTCGTAGCGTTTAGTGGTGGGAAGAGCATCGTACGGTCTCAGATCATCGAATACGACGTGTAGCTTTTCCAGATTATATGATCTGTTTGTTGGTTGGAAGAAAAAGCAAACAAAGATAGTGTCAAAAACGAGCTTTTCCAGATGTCAAGTCCAAGAGCATACTTACGCAGCCGTACAGTAAGCAGTGACACGTGGCAGATATTTACGGTTCACTTTGGAAGTCAGTAGATTTCCAGGCTTCGGAAGTCCGGACAGGAAAGGAGCTGCCTCATCATCTGGGATTTCAGAAGGGAATTGATCATATTGGGTATCAAGCGAGATCCCCTTTTCAGCGGTTTTCGTTGTTCGTTTGGGAAGCCGCTGAGCTGTTGGTAACTGTTGAGTCTGTTGAGCTGGCCCTGAAAATGTTAAAAATGGTTGAAAAAATGTTAATTTCTTTCAAGATTTTTGATGATGAGCGATAATACAAGGAAGCAGCGTATTCATACCTGGGATGCGTATTGCGGGGCCTCCAACGTCGTTCTCAGACGGAAGTCTTCCAAAGGGCCTTCTTTGAGCTGCCATACGTTTTTGAATGTTTGGAGTTTGGCATGAACAAGCAGATGAGAGTTTTAAAATGAGGAAGACGAGATAATTGAATATGCTGGTAAAGAGCTATTAATCCGTACGTGACGCAATCTGTGCATGCGATTTTGAATTTGCTACGCGTATGTCTATCGCGTGATAAATCTGTAGTATATAAACAATGGTTTTATGCATTCTACTACTTACAATATGTTTGCTATATACAATACGCAATACGCAGTCGTGATCTTTAATCTTTCAACTTTTACCATCGTTTTGCTTATTGGCCATGCGATCCCTCCAGCTACCTTGACCGGATGACGTGGAAGCAGGAGCCCATGCTTGACGAGGTGCTGTGGCTGTTGATACTGACTCGTTATCGGGCATATTATTGAAATCACGTTGTGCCTTCCATGCTGGTTTGTCCTTTTGTGCGCGTGATGATGTAGTGGTATATGTTTGGGGGTTTCTGCTCCTCCAGTCGTTGTTTGTTGTGGAAGGGCGATTGGTTTCTGGTCGTAGAGCGTACTTGGGAGGATCGGTTGATATACCGCACTTCTTACATACTTCCGGTGTTGCATGGAATCTTTTGCACAAGTCGTCGGTACATTTGCCTTTGAGATAGTTCCAGCAGGCTACGCTTTCACGGTCATGGAGAATACTATATGAAAACGAGTTGAGCGAGTGAACGACAAAAAAACACCTTTAAATCAGAAACAATTAAGATGAATGATTTACCTCCACAACACCATATAGTTTTCACCCTTGACCAAGATGATTCGACGTTGAGTAAGAAAGGGTAATGGTGATTCCATGATGGCAGGTTTGTAAGTGACTGAACCAATCTTTCCTCCACAGTATTTGCAGTTGAATGGTAATTTCTCTTCGTCGTTGGGATGTAAGCGATCGCTCATTACGACGACTTCTTGTAATGGTTGAGTGATGGATACAGTATCTCCAAAATCGGTTTTGTTGACTATAATCATTGGTCGTTCCGGTGTATGGGTTGCCAATGTAGTGGCTAACCAAAAGAGAGAGGAGGATGCAAGGTTAACGGAGTATAGACCATAGATTTGTGAGACCAGGTACATTTTCATGGTGGTTTTTGATGTAATAAAGTTCAATGTAACGAGTTTGATGTTGAAATGTCCACAAATGGAAAATGGGTTTAATGTTCAACGAAGACAAGCCATACGTACCACATAAAGCACAAGTGATATCGAATGTATCAGTAGAAATATCAATATCATATATGATTCGAGGAGGAGCTTCGTAAGGCCTTGTTGTTGATTTGATGACTTGATTTGATGACTTGACAGAGAGTCTTGCGACCGAGCTGGCAAGTGCATGAGTTCCACCTGGATCGTTCATACCAAGCATTTAAATTACTAAAGCCTTTTTAAACAGGTTCCGTATTGCCAGTTGGGAATATTGCCTGTTTCCTTGCTTCCAATTTACGAAACTGTAAATTACGAAGAACGATGGCAACGGTTAGAGAATTCAAGGGATTCAACGTCACAATAGTCGGGGATGTGTATGGCAAGGACGATGCACCAACAGTCCTGCTTCTTCACGGTGGTGGCCAGGCACGTATTTCACAGGCAAAAACACTACGCAATTCGACAAACTGTGACGATAAACCCCGTTCGCTTCAAACGAATTCTAACCATGATTGCACTTTTAGACGCGCCATTCATGGGGGAATACCGCCAAAGCTCTCGCAGATGCCGGGTTTCGTGCAGTTAGTTGTGATCTGAGAGTGAGACATATTTTCGAAATATTCGACAAATTCATCACCGGACTTTACTCAACTGTTCAATGTAGGGTCATGGCGACTCGGGATATGCTCCAGGCGGTGATTGTAAGTTTGCATCTTTTTGGTATCAATGTGTTGCAAAAATCCACGGGAATCGAGATATCGACGTCACCACGAGATTTTGGACCTTTCACGGTGACTTTGTCAACCAATTTCTGTTGGTGTCTTTCTGTGATGAGATTTGTACAACGACAGTACTGTTGGGTCTAAAATGCGCTGTGACAAACACCATCCTACACCAAAACCACACGCATTCTAACTTTGTACATTCCAAACTGTAGATTCGATCTTTGCCTTCCAAAAGGATGTGGAAATGCTATGCCAGCAATTAACCAACTCTCACGGCGGTCCCGCTGTCGTTGGAGCCTCAATGGGAGGATCAGCTGGTCTAGCCGCGTCGCTAACTGCAAACATGAGTGCATTAAGTAAGCTTTAACGTTGATCCATGTATTTGTGAATGAAGTGCTCATATATTTACACACCTAGTTCTCGTTGACATCGCTCCACGAACCGAGAAAGAAGGAGTCAGTCGAATCGTCAACTTTATGATGGGGAAACGTTTCTTTAATTCAGTACAAGAAGCGGCAGATTCCGTGTCTGAATATATGCCCCATCGGCCAAAACCGAAAGACTTGTCTGGTCTTCAAAAGAATCTGAGGCCACTAAATGATGGTACTGGGAGGTACAGATGGCATTGGGTGAGTGGCTCCTTTCGCATATGGCTTAGCCTGCAATTTGCACGGCTGCAATTCTCACTCTCACGCTTAAATGTATAGGATCCGGCTTTCATGCAACCTGGAAACAGAGGGAGCGACCCAGCCGTGATGGAGGAAACCGCGAGGCAGATTACAAAACCAGTCCTTTTGATACGTGGAAGACAGTCGGACTTGCTGAGTGAGGAGGGAGCAAGAGCCTTCCTTAAAATAGTCAAACACTCCGAATATGCCGATATTGCTGGGGCAAGACATATGGTGGCAGGAGATGTCAATGTAAGTGCGCAGTTTAGCTGGCTACGTCTGATACGTGCAGTTTTCCTTCGAAACGGCCTTTTTTTTCGTCTGACACAAACTGTTTCTCCCAGGATGCATTCAGTGATGCAGTCATCACCTTCTTGACCCGATTGCAACGAAAGAAGGCAGCCAGCACAAAACTATGAGCTCTCAGTATAGAACGTAGATGTTTGAAGATTTAAGAATAAAATGGCAATTTGCTTCTTGAAACGTGAAGTGTACTGTGCTGAAACTCTACAAAATTGGTATGATGCGAATATATATAATCTAAAAAAGTGAATCGAGACACTATTCCCAATGCCGCATGTAGTAGTCGATAGCAGCTACAAAAAAAACGATGTGAGGCAATTACGACTTGTATCGTCTTGACTCACAAGCTTACCAGAGAAGGCAGCAAAGCCCACACAACCTCCCAGCATGGCTTTTGGTCCGGCTGTATATATTGCGTTGTTTCTGATGAGTTCAGGATGCAAAACACTTGTCGCAAGTTAACACGTCATCACCTCTTGCAGACAGAGCACCACCCGTCATGCAACCAGCTGATATACCATTGTACATGTCATTCTTTGCTCTATACTGATCTCAACAAGACGTATCAGTCTCCTGTTCAAATACTTGGTTATGTAACAAGAGCACTCAACTGTTTCAATAACACATTCCGAACTTGAGAACAGCAATGCCACCATTCCAAAGTTCTTTGCAGAAGAAAGTGATCTGGAGCCCATATCTCTTAGAGTGAATTTAAGCTGTTCCCTTGTAGATAGTTTCAAGAATTCGTCTGTTGTGCTTCCCAAATCGACACTCGACATAAACATTCCGAAAGCTCCTCCAAGAGCAAAACCTTTGAGAGATTGCAGGTGAAAAAAGTTGATTTGAAGAGCATTGAAATTGATGAATGAATCAACGGCAGTAACATAGAGTGGGTAATGCTTGATCCAACAATTTTTTCTGATACTAAAAATTTCAAGCAAATGTCGATGCTGATGCGAGTTGATCCTTTGTACATACCAGCACCTCCAGATAATGCGGCCTTGGCAGGACAACTCTCCATGACAGAAGCGGCCATTACCTGGTCGGGCGAGCTTCTGTTGAAGAAGAATGGCATGTACTTTGTCGGAGGCTCTTCGCCATTACCAAATGGAGGCTGCTGCATCCTTCTATATCTTCTCTATATGACCTGGCGACTGATGACCTAGTTAGTTATATTAGCTCTCCTCTCTGCTCTACACTCCAAACATCGAAATTCAAGTTTTGATCACGGAGAGACGCCAATCATGGCTCTCAAGCAGGTTCGTGAACGGCATCATTTTACGCGCCATGAAAGGAGCTGATCTGTACTTTTCTTACTAGCCTGATATATGGACGTACCTCAAAGACTTAGCACCACCGATACGCGCAAAAGTGTATGCTCAGCCGGCCAGTGCATTGGCTGTCCTGAGGTATACAGATCTACGCATCTATAAATTGTGACTCAATTTCATCGTTCAGTCTAATCAAACGTGCTTCATCACTATAGGTTGATGCCTGAACCTTCCCGACATTTGATTCTCAGGCTACTCTACGCTGCATCCCCCATACCTGCCAAGCTCGCCACAAACTGGTTTTACGACGGATCCATGAAGTGTGATATCAATGATATTAGCGTTCCTGTCCCTGAACAAGGTCGCTGAAAACGTGCATTGCAAACCCCCATCTTTTTCTTAATTCTAGCAAACTGAAAGATGCCATCAAAACATTACGCAATCTATACATCCTTGTAGACCCACCATCACAAGGACCTGCTCCTGGTGGCAAAGCGCCGGAACTCAAGCTCAAGTTGAATGAGACCTTCCAGCTCAATCTGCATAGGGCTCTGACTTTGTCGTAAGTCACTAAGCGGTTGGGGTTTGCATTACTTATGATTGAAAGCATCAAGCTGATATGGTAGTTTGTAGAGGAGATACGAACTCGTTTGGAAAGCCACCGGATACGCCTGATAAACATGCAACATCGATCTTGTCGTTGGATGAGTACTCTAACAAGCAATGGGAGGCAAGTGCATTTGATACAGGAATATTTCCAACTATTGCTCATACCGCTTTTTGTAGGGAGTGTTGCACTTCTTGGTTGGGACACCGGTAGCTGAACGAGAACTAGATGAAGACAATGGTAACGGCCTGGAAATGTTGATGGTCAAGAGTGGTCTGATGGTGAAAAGGTGACTTTCTTTGAAAGGAGAATTCGAAATCTCTACATGCTGATGCTGTTTCTTTTCTTCATTAGTTATAATGGCACTCATATCACAAACAAGGGATTCGCCTTCTTGCTACAGGATTTGCATACGCAAGTTTGGTCCTTTCTTGTTCACTATCTGGAAATGTGTGAGGTAACCATAATGATATCGACCCATCAGAGGGATTACTCTGTTCATACCATCCGTTTTTCTGCCAGGATTTGAAAATGGATGCTGTTCAAGTGCTGCACCTCATCTTCACATTCGCAAGTCTGAAATTGGGCCAGGTAATTATTTGCTTATTTACCCATGTTGAGATGAAAAAATAAACAGACCTTTATGTTCTTTTTGTATCAGGATTACGCTGTAGACTGTTTGACAATAGACCAAACTATGGCCCTCCAAGATTTCAAGCCACTGGGCCTAGTGTATCAACGCAAGGTATGCATTATTGATCTCAATGAGGTGGATTGTAATTGCTAACGCAGCTCGCATGTTCATAGAAGGGATCTGCAAGATTCTATCCAACTCGAATGGCAACGACTCTTATCTCTGGCTGCAGGATAACAGACAAGCCACCAAGCGATTCTGGTTTCATCATGCTGGAAACCAATTATCGTGTCTATGCATATACAAGTCAGTCTTTCTCAAAGCATGTGTTCCATAGTGCCATCTACTTATCCATCTTTTTTTGCCCAGGTTCACCCCTCCAAATATCAGTTCTCGGCTTGTTTGTGCAAATGCGAGCACGATTCTCGAATATGGTGGTCGGGCTCATTACAAGGGATAGTGTTCGAAAAGCTCTTTATAATGGAATTACTGCCAACCAAGTAAATGGTTTGTTGATCCTTGCGACAAGCTATTTTGCTGATATTTTCTCACGCTTTTAGATCATCTCGTATCTTCACACTCATGCGCATCCTGAGATGGCCAAGCAGGTATTTTCAAGTGCAGAAAAAATGTCTGAATATGAATCTGGATCATGGTAACGCGTTGCTTTTTACAACAGACACCAGTACTACCTCCAACAGTCGTGGATCAGATAAGACTATGGGAAATGGAACGTAATCGTCTCAAATTCTTCAGAGGTAATTAAACACTGCCAGACGACCAACGAGACCTAACATGTAACAGCACATGCGTAGGCTATTTGTACCAAAACTTTTCATCGCCTGAAGACTGGAAGAAGGGATTCGTGTACGCCACTGAGGTTGGAGCTTTGATATGGAGCAATGAACAGGCACGACAATTCTTTGTTACTGAAGAAGGACATCCATTGGTCAAAACATTTGTTGGAAGCCTTCGTCGTGGCGTGTAAATAAATTGTAAGAACAAATCGCATACTGTAAAAATAGCTGGAAGATAGCAATTGCAAAACGTCGCTCGTTGGCCATCACCGGCTCGTTTCCGTTGGCGAAGTCGATCATTTTGTGATTTGGCACACTCTGCGAGGAAGGGTAGTAGAAAAAGGAGGCCGCATCATTCGTTTACATTTGAAGCTCGCGTTGGATATCTAGTCGATTCTTTACTCTTGTCCTAACGATGGCATCCAAGAGCAAAAAACCGTAAGTCTGTCTCAAGTTGAATCTTTCACGCGTCAGTCCCTTCCACCCAACTAAACATGCTCTCATCCATCCTAGCCCAATGACATCAATACGAGAATTCACAGTCGCAGATGCCATCACGCTCTGCAACAGCGCATCTGGTTCAACATCTGTTTTTTGTACGTTGAAATACGTCGTCACCGAAGACCCCATCTTTTTATATGCTGCTATATTGCTGTTGCCTGCTGCGTTGATATTTGATGTGCTTGATGGGTATGTCATACGTTGATAATCCTGTTCGGTTGTTTTTTGGAGCTGCAGAGTTTGCTTTGTTTCCAATGGTTTCGGATTTTATTAGACGAGTTGCGCGATGGAGGAAGACAGCCTCACTGATGGGTCAAGAACTGGATTCGCTGGCTGATGTGATTAGCTTTGGGGTGGCTCCGGCTGTGTTGGGGTAACAACCTATCCAATAACCGTTCCTTCTTCCACTGTTTGCCTTACTCACTATTCATCTACAAACAGATTCGGTGTCGGCCTACAAGGACTCTTTGACGTGTTGATACTCCTCTACTTTGTCAACTGTGGTGTGTCGCGTCTGGCTAGATATAACGCGACGGCCGAGATCAAGAAGGATGCGTCGGGGAAGGTTACGTATTTTGAAGGGACGCCTATACGTAAGTATTCTAGATATTCCGAGATTTTTTTTTGGGTGTCGTATTTCTGTGACTCACTTTGTTTGAAACTACGTGTAGCGTCAACGGTACTAATAGCCTTGATCATATTGTGGTTTAAGCAGTATGAGTGGATTGGAGATGAGAATGTAGGTTGTTGGCTGGTATTGCAGTCGTTGCTGGAGCTTGTCAACTCACCACGTATTATTTTCTTCTTAGCTTCCGGGTGGCAAGTGGATTATATTTGGATGGACATTTCACGTAAACTGTACCATTCTCAGCTCGTCAGTCACTCGCTGTTCTAACACGCTTTCTCAACATGTAGCCATTCGCACTAATATATCTCGCATCGGGAACCGCCCAAATCACAAAGACCTTACTCATTCCCAAGCTATGAAGTCTCGGGCTGCTGCATCAGATTAACCAAACACATCATTCAGAAGATACAAGGAAATATCATATGTACCATAAGGCTCTCTTTTAATATAAACAGATGGATATTGACAAAAATTGGACGATTATTGTTTCAAATGTAGAATGAAATGCGATATTTTCAAGGGGCAAACCCTCAGTGTTTGAGCTTGGCAGTGAAAACCTCTCCACCTTCCAAGTCCAATTGGCTTATTTGGGAATCAGTTTCGAGATCGTCTCCATCAAGTTCGATAGCTTTACACGTTTTTCCGGTTCTCTCGGTGACGAGTTCCATAAGCGTCTTGATGGTTGATGTCTACGCGGATTACATTGTGTGTTAGTGAAACAATAATGATGAACCGAAAGACATGAAGTCAAGAACAACTGATGGCATACATTTTTGACTTTCAACCTCAAAACCTCGTTAGGACCTTGCCCATAGGAAATTCTAATAGAGGTTTTAGGGGTATTGTCTTCTTCATCTTCTGCACGAGGTGGCTCTGATTGGGCTCCTTTGGCTGCGACATCTAATAGCAGTGGAGGTGGTACGTGATTAAAAACATCCTTACAGCACCAAAAAAAGCAGGACGGGTAATCATGATTAATCTTACCAATTTGAACTTTAGGAAATTGATCCATTCCTAATGTCTTGGGAGTTCCAAAAGGAAGTAATGGTACAGAACCATACTTGAATTCATATTTACGTCGAAAGACATCTGCCGTTTCTGGAACCTTCATATCTGCTTCGACAGCTCGCATCATCATCTCGAATTTATCATTCTTTATAGATTGTATAGGGGTGTTAGTTATGCGTTTCAACAATGTTTACGAAACATCATTTGAGTCAAAACTGCTTCATGACAATCCAAACAACGTACAGCGTAGATCTTGACAGATATCTTTCCCGTCCTTGAATCCGTTGACTTCCATATAATCCTGAGTATGATGGTGGTTTGTTCGTCTGCTTCTGAACCCAGTGATTTGCGAGATACTTCGGGTGCTTTCTTGGGTGCTGCTTTACGCAATACACCAGCAATATCAGAAGGCAAGATGATTTCAGGCAAACTCTCCATCATTTCAGATTCGTCCTCGTGGTTCTTTGCTGCACCAAATGATTTACTAGATTGGCAAAAAAAAGCGTGAGTTGTCTATATGCCATGAATGTAACCATAAAACATACTTTATGAATTCGCTGATCTTTTTGAGTTGAGCTGGATCTGCTTGAGTTGGCTGTATTGTTGGAGAGAGAGATGGATCTCTGCGAATTGCTTCTCGTTGCTGACGTGTTTTGGCTCCAGCCTTGATGTACGAGAGACTGGGAGGCGATGAAGAGTTTGGGTTTGGAACACTAATAAAGTTCAAGTCAGATCCATGTTCGATGATGTTTAATGGGTTGTCCAAACAAATAGATACCTAGGTCGTATCTTTGCCCCTCTTCCAGACATCTTATTGCCTTTGGACGGCATGTCGAGATCACTATCTGAGTCTGAGTCTGAGCCTGAACTCTCATCCTTTGCCTTCCTGCCTATAAACGTGTAAGTGCTAAGTGTCTTCATTCCTACGCTTCCAAGTTCTGTAATTGAACAAACCAGCAAGCGTAATCGGCTTCTTTTTGATGGGAGCAGCTTTTGCTTGATTGAAAAAGTCATCGTCGTCATCATCGACTCTCCTTGGCCTCATGGTTGTCTTTGGCCATGACTTGGCTACTTTCTTCAGATCAACCTTTTTGCGAGGTGGTGGAGAGGGTGATCTTTTCGCTGGACTGCTAGCAGCTATCCTTGAGCTGGGTAATTTAGCTATGTCACCATAGTCGTCGTCTTCCTGGGATGGTGAAGGGCGTTTCAAAGTTGGTTTGCCTGGTTTCTTTACCGTTGGTGGTGTTGGTGGCCGTGGTGCTTGTTCGGGCTCATCGCCGTCCAGATCAATGACTTCTACCTTGTCTGAAGAGACCTTACTGTATGGCATGTTGTACTTTCTGAGCATTATTAAGAGTTTTAAATACAAGAGATTGTTACAAGTGCTGATGACGATGTAAGTTCACCAAAGACACGTAAGTTGGAATGTAATTCCAATACGTAATATAGATCTAACGCTGATCTGAACTTTCAATGCGAAAATTACTCAAAGATACAAAATTCACTGACAATAAGTGATATAAGATGTAACAGGATTGTTAAGATATATAAATCACGTGTTTCTAAACATATAAACATTGTTGTCCCGACATCCTACAACCACATACGACTTGAAACACACCGGCGACGAGAATACTGGTCCAAACATCTTGTCGATAGATTCGACGACTCGTCCTGTTGCACTATCAACCACGTGCATCTCACCAGAAGTCTGTATGCAAAGTATTCTATCGTTGTCCATGACGGCTGGTGAAGCATATACAGGACTCTTAACCGACGAGAGATCAGCCTTCCAAACTATCGACAAGCTGGCAACGTTAATTGCAATAATTGAGGGTGCATGAGTTCCAAAGATTAGCAAGTCACTGGATTTCTTATACAGAGGTGTTGAGAATACAGGGCAATCGAGTGGAATTGTTTTGCGTAGTTTGCCACCAGTGTCGATAAAGTTTGCTTTTCCTTCGACGCTCGTGACGGCCCAGAATCCTTCCTTCAACCATACTGGCGAAGCAAAGCATGGTTTATTGGATTGGAATTGCCAAATGATGGAGGGTGATTGGTCATCATTCACACTTATACATGACACTTGTCCCTGAAGAGTTGCTACAAGAAGACTCCTACGATTTAGAGCAACATCAGTTTCAAAATTGTACAATGGAATTGAGACTTTACTCACGAATTCAAACCATCAAAGGCGACGCTTCCAAAGATGGCTCCTCTCAGGACGATAGAGTGAACGACGTCCAATCCATTTGATGACAACCTCAAGGCTCGGAGCACTCCATCGTGCGAACCAATCCAACAGAGTTCGTTCATGTTAAATACTGCTGCACCCTTAACTACATCATTAGTCTCAACTTTTCCTAGTACACGACCATCAGCAGTCGACAAGGCGTAAATGTACTTGTCGTAGGAGCCTATCAAACAATCAAAAATATCAGAATAATATTGGCTTCTGGCCTCGTCAAATAGTGTCTCACCGACTATTAAATATTGACCGTCGCGAGAAACCATAGCAGTGGCTTCAATTCGGTCAGGTAAGAGTGTACTCCATTCTAACTCTCCTGTAACAGCATCTAGAGCAACAAAACGACCTGAATGCGATCCGACATAGCAAGTGGCGGTTCTGCATTCAAATATTTTGTTGTAAGTCGACAAAAAAACTGGGACATGTCAATCAGCAAAAAAAGCTGTTAAAGACTGTATGGATGGCTTACACAGTGTCGGAGCTCTCTCGACGAAGAACTAACACTGGTGAAGCATCAACGCACTTTTCGAGGTTGTGCTGCCAAACAGTTTTGCTCTCGACAGAAACTGGAGTCGGAAGAACCAAATCAGAGAGCAGCCTCAATGTTCCTTCGTCTGGTTCAGTGGCCCTTGTTAGAATGGAGATCTCGGTACCCATCATATCGGATCGAGGTTTCTTATTTGCAACGACATTCAATGACTCCGATTCCTTTCGTTTTGCAAATGGTTGTATTGGCACTGGTAATTGCTGTCTCGACTCAACAAAAGCAATGAGCTCCGACATGGGTCGATGCAGGATCAAATCTAGCAAGCTGAAAAAAAGTCAGTAATACGATCTCTTGCTGATTTCTTTCTGAGCCATACCTTTGTCTTGTCTCTTCGTTTCTATGTACTCTCTGAAACATCTGGTTCGATATCTGCTCTGCGGTACGAAGGGCTTGTAGACTTGTTCCTCCCGCAACCAAGAAGAACTCGTCCTGTGAGACGGGTCGTCCCAGACACGACGAGACAGTGGAGAGAACCAAATTTGTCGGATTTACGACCACCGAGTCAGTGACACTGTCAGTGCTGAGATAAATCAAACGCAGTGCTTGTGTGTCGACCTTTCCATTTATTGTCATTGGCATAGCATCGAGCCAAATGATTTTATCTGGTCGCGCAACCAAAGGCAGAACGGACCTGCAAGTTGATGAAATCTCTTGTTCCGTCGCATCTAATGATAACGAGTTTAAGTCTCTGGAAGGTCACAGACATGATTTACAAGCTCACCTCTACTAGCCAAATCATCAGCGACGACAAAAGACACCAAGACTCCATAGTTGCCTTCCTCTTGATACAGCACCGTTTTACAAGAATGGAGGTTCCGAATGCTCAAGATGGTGTTTGAAATCTGTTCCAGAGAGATTCGTTGGCCTGAACGTTTGAGCACAGTATCTTTTCGTCCGATATAATAGATTTTGCCATCCTTTTCGCTAACCAGGTCACCAGATGGTCTCATCCTGAAAAGAAAAGGCTTGGTGAGAAGGCAATGAAGATGATTCGAGATATGGAAGCGCTTACTCTTGAGGCTCTGTCTCGTCTCCTACTATACAAGCTCTAGAAGTACCTCCAATCCATAATTCACCATGTTCTATTGAATCTGTATATCGTACTTCCATCTTTGTATCAGCGAGAGGTTCACCAAGATGCACAGGCATTGTCGACTCTACAAGACCCAAACTAGCCCAGACCGAAACTTCAGTCACACCATATATATTCCAGCAACGACATGTCCAGTTTGTGATTGTAAATACCCATTTACAAAACGGTTCGCCTCCCATTACGACATCAGTCACCGACAGCTTTCCAGCTATAAGATCTGACCTTACTTCGACTGGCAAAGACATAAACAGGGAAGGCGTGCAAAACAAGCAATTGATATTGAGCTGCCTTAGGACATTTCCGAACATCTTTGGTGCTCGAATTATATGATCTTGGATGACGTGGCAGGTACCACCCGAAATCAATGGCAGTAGAACTTCTATTAAGGAAGGGTCGAAGGTGGGTGATGATGCGAATAAAGTGCTGAATGGGTTTTCCAAGGAGTTTGGAGAGAGGCGTTCCCTGTGCATGAAGTCAGCAAAGCATGGCCAAAACTGTGTTCAAACAAGCTTACCGAATGGAGTTGAGGTTACTGTGGACGCCACGTTCAGGAACCCAGACCGACAGTCCATATCCTTGACGAGTAGTGCCAGATGTATGGAAAACACATGCAGCAACGGGTACTTTTGTCAGAGTTCTGCAAAGCTTGAGGAATCTTCCTTGAAGCACTTTACAGTGTGGTTCCTCCAATTGACCAGCATCGTTCAGCTTCTTCAAAAAGGCCTCATCCGCATAGACATGGTCAATATAAGAGGCGCTTCTCAGCTTCTCAAGGGTAAAAAGGTCATCATGAGCCGAGAAAGGGACATACGTGATTCCAAGCTGCAAGCAACTAGAGATGATGAGTGAGTACAGCGTTGGATATGCAGAAAACGCGTTCATTACCTCAATAAAATGATAATCACGTCAATACTGCGACCAAACACAACTGACAACACGCTTCCGCGTGTCAGGGATTTTTGCAGTTGATGACTTGTGCCTTCAACCATGGCCAAGAGCTCACTATAGCTGATACTGGTAGATCCAATACCATCATGGCTGATACTGATAGCAGTCTTTGACGAGTTTGCCTTTGCTACGTTTTCAACTTGATCAAAAATCATTCTTCGAATTGCTCTCCTTTCCACTTGATTTTATGAGCTGAAGCATCTCAAAGGTAAAGGATCTCTTGCATGGCATTATTTACGATGATTGATCACAGCCTTACAATCTACGATGAATAAATAGTTGATTAAAGCTTGCAAGAATGGTGCAAGAAGAACATGATGATTTGAAGCAGATCTTGGAAGCAATCACTCATGATTTACAAGATGACAAGATCAACATAATACGGCGAGCCCTACTGGAGCCACTTGCCTTGCTTCTCCGTGATCCAGAGGCCTCAAAGCTGATTTCATCACCTGAAAAGTCTCACTATTGCAATCGATATGCAAACAACCTCCCTGGACTACAACGCGCATTCTTGGAGACTAGATTGCCGAATCATCTACGCTGGCTCCTCGAACATGTCGCCTTGCCAACTTTACCACGTCTGTCCAACGTAGAACGACAACAGCTCTTTACCCCATATTTTGTACCAGCTCTCGAAAGCGTAAATGGATACGTACTATCTGCATCACTCTCTGTATTGATCTCAGTCATGTCAGACAAGGAGCAGCATCTGGACGTGCTACGATTATCGTGTGATTTGCTTCACGACTTGTTGAAGCGTCATGGAGTTAGGACATTTTATCAGCATGTATTACGGAATCGAAACGTTACTCTAGCTATGGAGTATGATTCGCTGATATGCTCATTGCCTGATCGGATTAGTAACATCTTCACAACGAATACATCGGCATTCTTCTACCCAGAGTAAGGAATGGATTCGTTCGAGTCGGGTTGGAAGTGAGAGCTGAACCCACTTTGAGAGTAGAAACTATTTCAGTATGATTGGAAGCCAGATCGAAGAGTTGATTATGTTTTGGCCGAATTCAGTGAATGGTAAGAACTGATCTGAACTTGAATCATCACGGCGTGTTCTGACAAGTTTTTGCTTTAGGTTGTGATGATGAATCTGTACGCCCTATATCCTGTCTGATAGGACGAATCTGTCGGCTTGGACATAGTGGTAAAGCTCGTCCGTGGTTTGAGCCAGAAGTTCGTAGCTCAGATATTTCTGTTCTGTAGATGACATTGTCCAAGTTTGGGCTCAGCATTGGCCTCAACTTCTAGACCAAGACTCTTATTGGACTGTGTTACAGAAGTGCATCGTGAATCTATCTATGATGGAAGCAGAAAAACTCATATTATCGTTCCTCAATATTTGTGAAAGTCGACTCTCCAACAAGTCTGGAGGTAAGAGGGTTACATCATAGTCCATTTTGTTGTGCTCACGAAATGTCTTGTTAGTTGAGGTACTGCCAGATGTTGTACTATACACCTCTTTTCTATTGAAACTGGTTGGAAACCTCGTGTTGGAAAAGCCAGCAACATACGGCTATATCATGCGGCAAAAGCTTCTACTGGTCAGAGTGCTTAGTTTGAATGCTCTTCGAGTTTTAATACATACGTGGAGTCGCATTGCCCTGAATGGTAAATGCGTTTCGGAGTACTCTGTTTTGCGCCCGTGGCTAATTGTACCATAATTTCAAAGAATTGGCTTCTCTGCTGAGCACCCTTTTGGATAGATGGACAGATATTACATTCGTCAAAAACTGTACTCTGCCGCAGTTGACCTGTGAGTATAGTCCACATCAATCGCAAACACACAAGTTTGTTTACTAACTCCCTTCAATAGATGTGTCGCAAGCTATTCTCTTGACTTCCAGTTATTTGTCACCTCTATCATTGGAGCCTGCTGTACTGTCACTGCTGGAAGGTCTTCGTGTATACCTTGGCGCTACCGACTTGACAGTTCGTCAACTTGGGATGGTACACTGCTCGCATTTTTTCACAACCTCTTTTGACTCCTCTAATGCTGTCACAATAGGTCGTTGCTGAATGTCTGACGAAAGCAGCCAATCCTGAAGCATGTTTAAATTTTGAAATCAAAGACACGCTTGAGACGACATTATTAAGGTCGTTGGCTCAGAAGGTGGACTATGGTAATATCAAGGCTTCTACGTTCACCGTTGGAAGAATTGAAAGTTCAGTGACAGACTTAAAGCCTGAAATAAGTTCCAGTAAGCAAAGTTGTAGCCTTCGCTTTAGCCCGACAACACCCTGACTAGAGTCAAATCTGAGCAGCTACTTCACCAAATCGTTTGAAGGCCATACCGAGACTACATCAAGTCGACTCAGGTATGATATCTGAAATTTTACCCCTTTCAAGTGGTTGTGCTCACATGAAATCCGCGCAGATGATGAAGACGATGATTTGAAACCATTTGCTATGCCTGATGAAAGCAACGTCTCAAACACCAAAGTCAAGTCGCCTGTGTAAGTGTTATGGGACAAGTTCATTCTATGTTGTGTATGGCATTGACGCCCTCTTTGCGCTAGGTATTTACGTGACGCTATTGCGTTCCTCAAGTCTGATGAACCTGAAAAGATTGATGTGGCCATCAAAGCTTTCAAGAATCTCGTTCAAAAGGCTACTCAACGTGAAATGGGTATTGCTCGATTACTTGCAGTTTTATTGCAGTCTGATAACTTCCCAATTTTTCTGACATGAAATTCTCTCACCTAGATGAATTGGCTATTGAACTTGCAACTATAGCTTTGAATTTGCAAGATACGTATGATTTAGAAGGATTCTCAGAAAATCGTTTAGACTCTCTTGTTGCGTTGCTTGTTCGAGCTCCTGTCTTGGTGGTTCCGTAAGTAACCAAAAGGCGCTTTCGCTTCCTGCCATGCGATGAATTGCATCTTATCTGCTCATATTCAATGGTTAGATATCTAAGTACGGAATTCTACGAACGAAACTATAATCTTTCACAACGCATGGATATTCTTGCATCTCTAATGACAGCTTCTCGTGTGCTTTCCAACATTGAGGTAGAGGTAATGGTAGTGTAGTTGTACTATAGTCGCAATTGATCCCATTGTTTTTTCCCTGCTGTAGCCCGAAGAAATCGCCACTACAACAAAATCTCAAAAGTCTCAAACTACAACTGCAGCAGACGTTGTATCTCAACGTATTATGCAAAAGACCCGTATAACCTCACGTCGAATGTCTGTCAAGCAACCTGTGTCTCAAAAGAATCGATTCTCAGATGTTGCTGGTCTCTTTTTCTTTTCACTTCTGGGAAGATTTGATACAAAAGGGTAAGTAAAAGATCGAGGCAATTTGTTGTATCGTGATTGGTCATGATGCCATTTCAGTAATGTTCTCGTTTTTTTGTGCTTCTATAGTGCTATGCTGGTGACAGGGACAAACATGAATGTGCTGTTGACTAGATATGTTACCACGCTCTCCATGATTGCTTACTGCTCATGTACGCCCTCCTTGAAAGACATTTGTCCACTTGAAAAGTCTCACTCACTCTCTCTTTATATAGACAATTGTGTGGAATCACGCAAGATTTGTCGTGGCATGTTTGAATTCGCATGGGCTCTCCGATACTTGCCCGATCGGTCAAGCGAGAATGCAGGTCAACTACGACGTGCCATTCTCCTATCATTCAATGTGATTGCGAATGTCTTGCCACCGTCAATCATGTCGGACGAGTTTTCAGGAATGGAGTTGCAGGAATTGTTTGATTACATTGTTAGTGAGTATACGTGCTTGAAACGTCCAGTTCACACTTCGAACTCTTATATAAGGCTAATGCTCTTTTTTTGGTGATAGCGTCGATCTCAAAGGACTCTCATCCTGAAAATGTCAAGATTGCCCAAGGGACACTTTTAGCTTTGAAAGGCTCCTTGTCTCCAGAGTGACGTGTACTGCGTGTACAGCCATGTAAATAGATTGCTGTAAATGAAAATCGCAGTGAAGCATAAATTGCTCGTGATCCCTGCTCTTTTTTGGCCATCGCCACGCGTCATCACGTCGCCTAAGCTCATTTCAAATCGAGATCTGAGACATTTTAAGACTAGAATAGAGCACATTCGTATGTCTTCGTCCTGAACAATTTTAACAAAGCGTGTCTTGTAAAGTCTGCGTCTGCAACAACTAAAGTCACACCATAAAGTTGACAATGGCTACCAAGAGAGCTGGCAAAGGTGAAGGTGAGAACTGATCGTGCCTTTTGTTTTACAACTCCGATCACGTCAAAAGCTAATTTCCACTTCGTTTCCTCACTCCGATTGCATCTTTCATTGTTCAGACTCACAATCAAAAGCTGATGCACACCCTACAGACCTAAATCCCACTACAAAAACCTTCGAATTTGGAGGCCCACTCGGCGCAGGAGCACTCGTCGTAGTCCTCCCAGCCACAGTCCTCGGTTTGTTTTTGACCGTCAACAAATCAGGCAGTCCTCCTGCTTGGGTACTCAACCTCGACTACAACGGTCTCAAATCCGCACTATCAAGCATAAAACTCTTTGATGCAAAATCTGTCGCTGTCGTCCTCGGCTGGTTTGGTTTCCAAGTCATCCTGGAACGTGTCCTTCCAAGCGACGATGCAACAGGCACCGAGCTACGCGATGGATCCAAGCTGCAATACAGCATAAATGCATTCAAGGCGTTTGTGGCATCTGGACTTGCTATCGGTGGCATGACGGCGGTGTATGGGCTCAAACCGCTTGTATGGGTCGCTGATCATGTCGTGCCACTGGGAGTCGCATCGATGGGGTTATCGACGGCTATAGCGCTGCATATGTACTCGCGCTCGTTTGGGAAAGGTGCGCTGCTGGCGTTGGGAGGAAACACGGGTAGTTCTGTGTATGATTTCTTTATTGGGAGGGAGTTGAATCCACGGGTTGGAAAGTCGACGTTTGATTGGAAGTACTTTTGTGAATTGAGGCCGGGGTTGATTGGATGGGCGGTGTTGAATGCTGCGTTTGCGGCTAAGCAGTATACGGAGCTGGGACGTGTTACGGATTCTATGGTGTTGGTTAATGCGTTCCAGGCGTATTATGTTGTGGACGCGCTATGGAATGAGCCTGCTATTCTGACTACTATGGACATTGTTATGGATGGATTTGGGTGAGTTCATATGTTGTTGTATTTTTCTGCGAGATTAATGTTGACCAGTTCTGTTATAGATACATGCTTGCCTTTGGAGGTGAACTAATCTTAAATTCAACAACACGAAGATTCCTGTACTGACTCAGTCTATAGACTTGGCATGGGTTCCCTTCACATACTCGCTCCAAGCCCGATACCTGGCCGACCATCCAAATGATTTAGGTGCAACAAAAGCAGCAGCCATTGTTGCTCTGAAGTTATTGGGCTTGTATATCTTTAGAGCTTCAAACTCTCAAAAGAATGCATTCAGAACCAACCCTGATGCACCTGAAGTCAAGCACTTGAAGTATATCAATACGCCAACCGGTAGTCGACTGCTTACGTCTGGTTGGTGGGGTTCTGCTCGTCATATCAATTATACTGGTGAGTTATACGTTTGGTGATTGTTGAGAGTGGAGGATGGCCAGTGAATGAAGTGTTGAGCATATTTCTCATCCAGGGTTACAATGTTTCGTATTTTTTGCATAGGTGACTGGCTCATGGCTGTTGCATGGTGCTTGCCAACTGGCTTCAAGACACCATTGACATACTTTTACCCAATCTACTTTGCTGTCTTGTTAATACACCGTGCCATGCGAGACGATGAAAAGTGTCGACACAAGTATGGCAAAGCTTGGGAAGAATATTGCAAGAAGGTACAGCAGAATTGATTGCGCTAAATACCAAACAGTGTGGCTTACTCATATTTCTCTTTCAAAGGTCCCATACCTCTTTGTTCCAGGCTTGATATAAACAACAGCAGTGATAAAACTACATCTTGATATCCTTTCCTATATTTTCACGCACAATATAACGAGTTATCTATACATACATGAGGGGTTTTACACACCAGCGAATTCGTGGCGATTCTTCTTTCTTTAATGTGGATCAATCAATGCCTGTTGCTAACATACTGGGCATAATACATCAATGTGATGGTCGGCTGTCCCACAATTGTAAAGGACACCCAGAAGAGCACGTTTCCTACGGAGAAATCGAATTAGGACAAAGACACTTACGCGCACAAGAAAAGAAATCTTACCAAGATTATCAAAAAGATTCTTATTGCTTGGAAAGTATTTGCCTCTCAGATGATCAAGATATCGAGAGAGATAGATGAGCGGCAACTGCATCATCATCCCATTGAAGGCCCAAAAGTTGATGTTGTGTAATGGGACACCGATAATCACTTCGTGCAATACGGCAGATACTACAAACACTATTGCCGTTGCTGCTGCACTTGAGAATTTATGGTTTACGACGAGGGGAAGGTATACGTGTCGTTTGGACCAATTGTCTAAAAACCGAGTCAGTGAGTGAGTGCGTTAGTGCATCAGATGCTTCTTCGTGATTCAGAGTGTACTGTGTTGAATAACGTACAGACAGGCGCATTCCATAACCTGATGAGAAAAAAAACCTTAGAACCTACACTGGACTGATCAACTCAAAGAAACCATATTCCTCACCTCCAATACTGAGCAATATCACTCGAATTCCACCAAGGCAGATAGAATCGTCGATCACCAAATCGAGTGATTTCAGCCAATAGATTCATCCAAGCATGAAAGAATCCAAAAAACATCGTCAACCACATCATGACGCTTATGACTGACAGTTTCATGACTCGTTCAGCAAGTTTGACACTGTCTCCCTTTTCCAGGTACAGCAAAGAGTTTGCCAAGGTTGGTGCTGCATACTATCAAATTTGGTGGAGTTTGAAATTGATGAATATTTCCACATAGCAAGCACTTGGATAAGACATTTTTTACCTGGCTAGCAATAGAGTATAGGGCTACGAGACAAAATATGACTTCTCCCAAACGTTTCACACAAAAGTCCCATCGGAAAGTGGTTCGTGGATACGAAGTCTGATACACCTGCAGAAGATTGATCGTACTTAGCGCTTGTGGTGAGTTTGAGATTCAAACTACAACGTACCAATGTGGGTAAGACCCAAAACAGCAAGATATCTTCAAGTACGAGGTTGGAAGGATATGGGACTTCTTGCAGTGCACTTTCTTGTTTGAGACCATCCAAAGGTTCTGCTACTCGCGAATCCTTGTCTTCGTATTTCTAAAGAAGGCAATACGAGGATCAACAGCGATTCTGTAGACGCTTTTGAAAGCTCCAATACCTTGTCAACTGTACTTATCCTCAAATCACGGTTGACCATCGTGTAAGAAAACAGCTTGAGCGAAGTTACTGTGGCAGCAACGACTACCGTAAAAGCCGCTAAGGGATGAAATATCTTGTACCAAACAATAAAGCAAGCTACAGTGACACCTCCTAGTGTGTTTACATGCTGAAGTATGGCTATAATGAGGTCGAGTAGTGCATTTGGTTTTGTTACAACCCTTTTCGCAGTTTTTAGTTTGGGACTGCTAATATATAAGGCGGCTAGTTCTAGCGAGTAGGCAATCAAGACGTGGCCAGCTTGTATGAGTATGGCAAGGACGAGAAAGGGCATCTCTTGCATTAGTTCCTGTTGTTCGACGGAAGGAAGACGTATGAGCAGCCCGTACTTGAAGTAGTTTTCTACGACCAGCCGCATATTTGAGACTAGATAAGAGTGAAGGCGTCAGTCCTTGTTGGAATGGCTGTTCAAGTTGGGGTAATCTGTACCAAACAGCAGGATCATTGCCAAGTTAAGTAACCCCTAAATACAAAAGACGATCAATATGTAAATGTCAAAAAGAGAAAGAGGATGATTTGGCATTGACATCAAGCGTACTCGATAATTCTGTTCAGGGCTCTCCTTTGAGAGTGGCGATGCTCTCACAGTAGTGTGAATGTAGAGCGAGTGACTATAAGTCATTCCATGGGCTCGTGGAGAAGACGGCGAGATATGGGCTTGAGGAGTACCAGGTAGTGGTGGTGAATTGGCCGTGTTCTTTGTTGATTGCCTGCGTCTCCTTGGTGAGTTGGAAGCTTGGCCATTTAGTGGGAGAGGAAGAGGAGCAGCCTCTATTCGTGGCGACTCTACGATATCAGACATGCCGTCTGTCTCTGCTTCAGTGGCCATCACGGAATCTCCAAATTATCAAATTTGGTGCAATAGAAATCCGTCCGCGAGGTTCCTATATAAGAAAGCTAACGGTGAGCTCGCTACTATTACTGGCCAATATACACCTATGTCGCGCTACTTCATTCATACAGCTTCCTTGCTCTGTTTGGATCTATATGTTATCACAAGCGACGCAATGCCAACAGATTTGTTTGCTGCCTTCTACGAGGCTTAAGATTGGAAAGTAAAGTTGTGATTACGCGTCTGGACGCGTACAATATTATCAATAGTCCCATCAGTCGCTAGCGGGTCGCTAGCTTTACAAAATGCCCACTTCCTAGTTGCGAAAAATCCAAACATCGCTCCACTATCTTAAGGGAAGTAGAGTCTATCAGAGCTTGGATTCAATTGATTGAAGCTTGAAAATCATCAATCGCTGCTATGGTATGTACGGAACTGCACGGGATCCACTCATCAACGAGCTTTTGTTGCGCTTGATGTACTTGAATGCTGAATACCTTTGCATCTTCACACTAGGCCTCCAAGAAGAAGCTGTCTTTCGATGACAAGAGACGCAAGTAAGTACAATATCGTCTTGATCGTCTGTCTCTTGTGGTTGTCTTGTCCTTTACCACACTACATGAATTTGCCTGAACGTGTTGGCGAACGACCTGATCAAGTTCGTTCATGTTTTATGCAGAAATATACTCATTCAATCACACCGAATCATAGATTACAAGAGTTGTTCTTTGAAGTGAGCTCTAGTTCTACTGTTACGTGTTGCAAAACAAACATTCGCTGATCTTGAAGCTTACAACTCCAGACAAAGGACTTTTGGTCGTTAAAAGAGATCGAAAAGAAGGCTAGCAAAGAGAAGGGCATCGGTATGGAATCGTTCCATGTGGGATTGCACTGCATCATTTTCGTGTATAGTAACATACTCATCCACACAATTCAATCTAGTGATGCAAACAGTCAAAGAAGTCCTTGATTCACTGGTATCAGACAATCTGGTCACGACTGACAAGATTGGTACAAGCAATTATTATTGGGCATTTCCAAGTACGGCACTACAAGCGGTAATGCCATTGAAACAGAAATTTTCGAGGCTATTTTGTGCGATCTCATACCAATTGTGTCTTGTTATATTAGAGAAAGAACAAGCTGAATGATTTGGAAGCAGAGCTCAACGCAATACGTGCAAGGAATAGTGATATCATGGCACTTGTCGAAAAGGCCAAATATGGACGTGAAGAATCCGTAAGATCTGTGATAAGTATGTTTTTTTGTTGTCAAACAGTGATTTTAAGATTCAACTCTAAATAGGAAAGCAGAGCAAATCTGTTACAAGAACTCCTTGCAGCAGAAACATTGAGAAGTGACAATCTTGCTGAGCTGCAAGCATACAAGGATTCTGATCCAGTTCTTCTTGAAGCCAAAGGTATTTCTTTGCTCCACTAGTTTCTCCTTTTTTCGCAGACAGTTGCAAGTGGTTGACCTTTTTTCAACATAGCCAAAGCCGCAACAAACGCAAAGAATGCTGCAAATCGATGGACTGGTAATTCTGGCCGGTTTGATCTGGTCCTGATGTCACATACTGACACAACTTTCAATTTTTAGAGAACATGTTCATGTTGCAATCTTATTGCAGTAACAACTTCAACCTCGATCCGAGAGACTTTGCTTCACAATTTGGCCTGCCTGAAGAATTCGACACCTTTGCATAAAACCTGATTGTTTGTAACATTTTCTCATCATTGTAATACTCGACTTTGTAGTTGAAAAAAATGGATATTGGATATTTATCATGATCACAAATTTAGGCTTTGACTAGTGTGAAGAGGGTTTCATTGTCCTTTGTGCTTTTGGTCACTCGACCTTCGTCAACGAGTTTGTCCATGTGTTGTAGCAGACTAGGGTTGCAAAGTCGTAAGAAATCTCGTTGACAAAGGTCTCGCTGAAAGCACCATACCTTCTCTCAGCAGGCAAATGCAACGCAACTGGATACTTTGCATAAATAACCTTGACCAACCCCATGCTCGTCCACCCAACATACTCGGTAGCAGGTGCCAAATCATGAGTCTTTTGAAGCAACTCGACGATTTGATTCTCACGTTCTTGGCGATGATGGATATATTCTTCGATTTTGGCTGTTCCTTGCTCGATAATGGGACCATGTGCAGGATACAATCGAGCTGGTTTCAAATCTGCGGTTTTGCGTAATGATGCTAGATATGTTCCTAATTGTTCGAATACGGTCGTGCCTTGGCCTAGCACATTGTCGCCAGTGAAACAAGCGTTTTCTTCGTCGAGGATTAAGGTGAAGTGGTCGTCACTGTGGCCTACAGGAGTTTGGCAAAAAAGGGTCAGTCGAGGTCATCATTCCAATTCGAGAAGGAAGATTTACCAGGAGTATAATAACCAGTAAGGGTAGCTCCCTCAGTTTTCCAAACTTGCTTGTCTGCGATATCGGTATAGGCATATGGGGGTGGTGTGGCATCTTGACTGGTTAATCTCTTCCATATCCTAACTGGAGATCCATCTGGTAATGTCGTTCCTATGGCTTCTAAAACCTGAGGGATTCCTTCAGTGTGATCTATATTTTTGGTGGAGTTGTCAATGAGTTGTATTTGTTATGATGTTGACAGCTAATGTTACCATGATGTCTGTGAGTGATGATGATATCGGAGATGCCTTCTGCGCCAGCCTTGACTAGAGACTCGCGGAAGAGAGGTAGGAATTCTGGGATGCCTTGAGCAGCATCTGTCAACGTTTCGTATGAGTATATCATGCCATAGTTTGCTCCAACATTTTCAAATAATGCTACCATACCGATCAGAATACGGTATTTTCCAGTTCCGACAATGTAAGCGTTCGTTCTAATGGCAGTTGGTTGAAAAGATCTGAGCTAAACAAAAAACCGTGGGTGTTGCGACAAACTAGAGTCAAACCAACCCCTGGAGAGAGAATTTGCCTATAAACCAAATTAGATCATTCAAAAACCTCATTGTTGAATTCACCATACTTACTTGGATTCAAGCCCAAAACAGCTGTTACGAAAAAGCGAGTGATGTCAGTCGAATTTCAAATGACGCAAAAGACCAAAAACTGCCTACCATGAACACGGTCAGACAATTTGCGGTATGGTTCTATATGGACTAGCTCCTCTGCCATTGCACTATTGGTGTTGCTGGAGTTGTTGAGCTGGTTTGCTAGTGCTGAAAGTCGTGAATCGGCCACGGTGGTGTGTTTTTTGGGAGGAGTGAGGATGCGAGTAGTTATTTGGAATGAGAATATTGAACACGACCGTTTGAAATTAGGACTTTGGACGCACACGGTTGGGTTTGGATAGAGTGATGTCTATAACTGATACTCCGATTCCAATGTTTGACGACTTGGTAAGCGAACGGAAGAGGGAGTCTTGCTATCTGACAGGCCTCTCATGAAATCGAACGCTTCTTTAGCTCACGAAATTAAATCTTAATCGAAACAAAGTGCATAATTGCGGATTACTCGGGGTAGAGATGTCAGCGATGTTAGCTACAATACTGAACACAAGATGTCAAATTGACAGGATGTGTTAGAAACAATCGTATCCAACAACATTGGCAAGAGTTGCATAGCCTGTTCACTTGCTACCCAATATGCGTCACTGTCTTTAGCAGGAGCAGTGGCTTTTCGTTTCCTCATGTCGAGTCTGTTATGCCTATTTGCGTAAATACAGACTCACAGTTCTGATGCCCTCAACATGATGCAACAAAAAAAGGCCGTATGTATAAGACTCAATCGATAAATAAATTGCATAGACACGACGATTAAATTATTTCTTTGGAATCAAGACGAGTCAATTCCGGTTTCAAAAAAATGTTTCAATAGTACTTCATACGCCATGTCCTCTTATGTCATCTGGTCGAGTTTCTCTTGGTGTTATTGGTCATATACGTGGAAATCCCAACGCCGACGCAGACAGTCCTGATCAAGCTGGAAGGGCTTGGGAGACCTTCAAATGTAAAAAATTACTGGAGCAGTGATTGATAATCGATTTGATACTTAAATTGCCGTCCGAAACCAGCGCAAAGTGCTGATCGATCGGGCATTGAATGTCTTGGATATTGAAACACATTCAGTTTTAGCAGCGGCAGGGAGCTAGTAAGACGAAAAGATTGAGCACTAAACAAAACAATCTACGTTATACGCTGCTCGAGCACGTAGCTTTGTGGTCTCATCATCCTCGTAAAAGGAGATCCTCTTATTAACAACGCAGTTCAGTCCGTGAAAGTTCCACAATTACGATCGTGAAAAAAGATGATTTTTCTTCATGTCTTCAAATGCTGGTCAAAAGAAAGTTAGTGCCAAAATAAACGTGAGGCAGTCATCTTGGTTTTTGCTTGCTTGATTCTGAAAGATCGAGTGCACTTCTTTGGATCTAACGCAACTGGCGAGAACGGTGAAATTTGAGCTGTGTCAACATGCGCTCCCAGGATTCCTCTTCGTGTTGGCCTCATGGAGCTTTGCGCTGTTTGGCGACGAATTCAGGAAACCGCTTCACAGCAAGCTCAAACAACCTTGGGTCTTTGAATACAATATATTGTGGATGGAGGCACAAGTACAAGAGGTAGGCTTCTACCTCAGTCGCAGATCAGCCTGTTTTGGAAGATGGATGACTGACCATTTCGTTTTTTGTCATAGCTCTTTGGATTCTTGAAAGACGATAGAGCAGATGTACGATTGATTTTTTATTGATCCTAAAATTGGATTGTATCGGCAGAGTTGCGCCCCTCGACAAGAAAAGTTGTAGGCTTTCGCAACATCAAAACTCACAAACTTTTTTTCAAAGGTCCGACAATTGGCTGCTTCAAACGTCGCAGGCTTGACTGGCACCGCGGAATTCAATAGCGTATTTAAAAAGAATCCACGTGCTATACGAGACCTGATGTCCCTTATATCTGATGAAGCAATGGTGGCTCACGAAGCAATCAACGCTCTCACCAACTTGTCCGCCGATCTCGACATCTTGGCCATTATGGCATCATCTGGAACGGATTTTAACAACTTTTTATATATGTTGTTGGTCATTATAATATCCCCAAACAATATGCTTACTGACGCCGGTTGTATGCTTCTTAACAACATATCGAAGAGCACTACAGTTATCACCGCACTGCTGCCCTCTATGAACGAGAATAAGAATGTCACAGGGGCTACTACGACTGGTCCAGTGACGAAACGAGCCTCGATGTTAGATAATCTCCTCGACCTATTCGTAAAGGGAGTGAACAAGTCATACAACCCAAAGGCCGAATATCATTTTCTAGGAGGAGTATTTGCAAACATCAGTGGAAGTGCCAGAGGCTCGGCCTTCTTCTTGGAAGACTCTACCGTAGATAGTACACCACGGTTGAGTCGATTGATACCGTTTACAGAACATGCAAATCTTATAAGGAGAGGAGGAGTTGATTCAACTCTTCGAAATATCTGTCTTGCAGTTGCTAATGATAAATCTCTGGCGTCAAGTCGGTTGGAGATGTTTACAAAGTGTGTGGTTCTAGGAGCTATTTTACTGCCTCTAGCAGGGCCCGAAGAGTATGGCGAGGAGGTGAGATATGTTAGAAGTCTCGAAATGTATCTAATTCATCCAATGTGAGTATTAACGACTATTCTTATCCAGGACATGGATGGCATGCCTGCAGAAATACAATTTTTAGAGGACACCAAAAAGAGAGAAGCTGATCCAAAGCTGCGGTTGATTCTGGTGGAGGCCATTTTGGCTTTATGCAGCATAAGAGGAGGTCGAGTACTGTTACGTGAAAACAAAGTGTATCCAGTTTTGAAACATCTGCACATATGGGAAAAAGATACTCTTGTCCTTGAACGCATAGAGTCTGCTGTAGATCTCTTGATGCGAGATGAGAAGGCTGAAATTATAGAAGTCGATGATACGAGTAAATCGAGAGAGGAAACCAGCAGTACACAAACTGTCGAGGAGGATGAGGAAGATGACGTGATAGAAGAGCTGCTATAGTATACGTTTGCTCTAGTTACTATTTATTTCTGATCCTTGTATATACACCGCTATCATTTTCGTTCAGAAAAGGTAGTATCTCAACATCATGACTGCTATGACTATTAGCACCACGATAATTGGAGGTCCATATTTCTGTTTGGGACATTGATGTGATGTTAGTGAGCCTTATCTCGTGAGAAGCGCACGATCGTTTACCTGGTAGAGTAGTTGCAGATTCAGATTCTTTGAATCCTTCAAGTACTTTTTAGATTCTTGAGCCAGATTCTGTGATAGATTGCTCATTCCTACAAAACAACGTACATCAATAAGATCCTGTGTACGTTTCCAACAAAGACGACAACACATACTGTTGAGTTGTTCTCCCCTCCCTAGCACATCCTGAATATTCTTTGTCATGATACGCGTAACATCTTGCAAATCATCATTGAGCTTGTTCAGATTCCTTTGAGCTCGTACATCCTTGTACTGCTTCTTGAGCTTTTGAATGACATTATCAAATCGAGCTAGTGCATACGGCCTTCCAACACTAGCGACCTCATGACCATGTAATTGCTGGAATTCTTTTTGTAGTTCTTCCAAGTATGCGAATGCGAGTTTCTTTGGGTAGCTGCGATCACATAGCGTCAGGTAGCAGACACCAACTTCAATCAAGTAGCTAGAGTGGTGATGTTGTCTTAGAATGTAATAGCCGCGTTGAAGGCATAGCTTTATCCTCAAGCAAAGATAAATGAGTTACTTGAAGACGTAAGGGCCGGATTCAATGGAACATCTCGTGTCTGAATCTGTTGACAATCTCTTGAAAATGTCTTTTGCTTGCTGCTTGTATTCAAACAGATCGTCCGTCTACGAGAGTGGCGATTCAGTAAAGGCTCTGGTTGATATTATTCACTGCATGTCTACCTCTTCATCATCCATGCTCGCAGCAAGTGGAAGTCCATCTGCAACTCGAGCGATTATCGTAGACTAGAGCAACATGAGAGAGTTTATTAGAATAAGTCTAACTCGTTGCAAGAAATGGAATAGCAGCTCGTGGAAGTGCTGCTTTGGACGATGAAACCTACCTTGACCATTTTTGTGCAAAGTTTTTGGAAATCTTGAGTTTTGAAACTTTGGAGTGATGTGCAATAGAAGACACGGGTCAAAGTGTCTAAAATCTATTTGAATATTTTCAGGACACGTTGTAATCGTCTTAGTAACTTCATGACGCGGAGTAACCAAACTCTGCCAACAAAATGGTCGAATCATCTGCAAGAGTTGCCTCGACTTCCAAAGCATATTTTGGCATTCTATTCTACGAAAAGCAGTAAACTTGTACATTTTGCAACATATAAGATAAATAAAGGATAGGCTATTTTCGTGCAGTCAACCAAGTTTTGAGAGCTTCGACAGCCGCAGGTGCTGGGATGACACCCTGATTTACAAAGTCTCGTAGCTGAGACTGGGTGATTTTTTCTGCTCGGGTAGCTGGTTTGCTGACTTCTTTTGTAATTTCTCTCAAGCTTTTCTGCTTGATGATTTCTTCAATCTCTGCCCTCAAAGCTTCCAACTCCTGACTTAGATGAGGAAACCTGGGAGGATCTTCATATTCCTCGTCTTCTTCTTCGAGCTCTCCACCTTCTTCTGGTAGATCTTCTATAGGTACTGGAGCCGGAGCATGCGATCCTCCGACCTTTCCTTTGCCCTTTCTGGAGTGTTCACGGGCGACCATTTGAGTATGAAGGCCATAGCCGAGTTTGAATGCACCTTCAGCAGTCATACATTCGGGTTGCTCCTTGATATACTCAACACATTCCGGACAACGAATCCAGTATGCGGTCTTTTGTTGATGATAACCTTTGGATGCTAATTCTGGAATGGTATTTCCTACATATTCGACGCCTTCTGGCAAATCGTCCTCGCTAATGAGAAGTGACAGACTTCAGTCACATCATCTATGAGACATCCTCCCTTTTTTGGCTTACCAGAAGGAATGACGGCAACCTTGACAGCGGAAAATCAAACCACCGGCATCTGCAGTATTACGACCGCTATCGGAAGAGGGAATCGCAGTTAGTGTCTTCCTTACATAGTAATGGAAAAGAACTACTAACAACTCACCAAGTACTGCAATTGTGTTGAGGGCAGGTAAACATGGACATTCTCTTGACATGGTCTTCAGTTAGTGCTAAATATTGGATGAAAGTTCAGTCTAGAGCCGTTTACAATGAACTGGTACTATTTCAACCAAAAACAGGCACATGACGCACCAATGCATTCTGGATGGTACGAACGAGGACAACGAGAGCACAAGACTAGCAATCCACCATCTTTACAGCAATGGCATTGCTCTTCATTAATATATCGATCAAGCTTCTTTCGATTGCTGACAGGAGCTGGCTGCCCTTTAGGTCTACTGCCGGTAATAGTCCTGACTGCTTCCCATGAATCATTATCTATAGTTTCTTTGAGGACTGCTTGACCATCAATCATGACAGTACGGGCCTCCCGAACACGTTTGACATTATCCTTCCATTCACGAGCGACGGCTTTGAAGGATGAGTTATGACGTTGGCCTTCGAAGACTCGTACGTCGACCTCTGGCATAGTAATATCAAAGTCGTCGAGGGCAGACTCGGAAGTTGCTTCATCCTTGTTACGATTCTGCGACTTGTCCAAGATGACTTGAATATCCTCCTGCAAAAAACGAAAGGATTCAGAATGCAAGCTTTGCGCAAAGATCTCGTCTTCCATAGCTCAAACTGACGTTGAGGAATTCGTCGTAACTAGCACCCATACGAGCGACAGCGTTAGCACCAAACTTGATCATCGCCAACAATTCTGTCTTTGAGAATTGTGGCTCTCCAGAATGATGATCAGACATTTCTTCAGTGACTTTGGCAGATAAATAGAGTTTTTTTTGGGTACGTGACAAGATACGCTCCTCTACCTAGATATTTGTAACGCATGTTACTTGTTTGTTGCGAAACTGCCACAAATACAGCGAACCTTACAGTGTCTTGGCAGACGAATCGATAGACTGTGACCTTCTTGGTTTGACCAATACGATGAGCACGAGCCATAGCTTGAATATCAGCCTAGAATTTCATTCTCTGTCAGAAATTGCGGAGCCATACATTTACTGTGATATCGAGAACGACACTGTACCTGAGGATTCCAGTCGGAATCATAAAAGATGACAGTGTCAGCAGCTGTCAAGTTGATCCCCAATCCACCAGCACGAGTAGAGAGTAAGAAGGCAAAGTAAGGACTGGGCCTCTTTTGGAAGAGCTCAATATCGAGATTACGTCGTGGTCGAGACATTGATCCGTCAAGACGAGCATATCCGTAATTTCGCATACCCAAGTAATCTTCAAGGATATCCAACATGGTCTGAGGTGAAGATTAAGAGGTCAGAACCTTACAACAACAGACGTCGTACTCGTGCAAGAAAAACGACAACTCACTGTGAACTGTGAAAAGATGAGAACTTGCTTGCCCTCAGCCTTCAACTTGGTAAGCAGCTTGTCAAGCAAAACCATCTTACTACTAGCAGATACCAAATGCTCTCCACTGACAGTCGGCTCAGGTTCCGAGTCAGGGAAGAGATATGGATGATTACAACATTTACGAAGCTGCATTACCAAACCCATCAACTTTTGCCATTGCGAGCCACCTTCCTTGGTAGCGATACCCTGATTTTGCAATTCACGCCATTCGTCTTGCATTTCACGAGACAAGGCTTCCATATCAGCAGCAACTTGATATTCATGAGCTCGCTGGTCTGATGCCTTTGGACGACCACGAGGGCGTTTTTTACGGGCCAATGCGTAGCGAGGAACGACCGCCGCAGTAGGAGCTGGTACAGCGGCGGCGGGTTGTTCACCAGCTGCATCACTAGCAGCTTCGTCTGTTGCCATGGTAATGGGAGTATCGGCAGCTTCTAACGTGGGTGTGGAAACTTCCATCATGGGAGTCGACGTCTCCATCCTTGGAGTAGACGCCTCCAGCATAGGAGTAGAGCTAGACCCTCCTCCATTTGCAGCAGGTGAATCTGTGCTGCTATTGGCTTCAACGCCATTACCATTCGTACTGGCTTCGACACCATTGCCATTAGTACTGGCTTCACCACCACCAAAGATTTCATTAAAGGTGGTCAGATCCATACGCGTAATCATACGTTTGTACCAAAAGCGTTGCATTGGGGACAATGGAACGAAGATGGTCATTTCCTCCTTTGGAGGGCTAAAAAAAGAAAACTGATGAAATTTATGGGCATGAAAACGACCGTTTGAGTAACTGACATACATGGCTAAATCAACCTGCGACTTGAGACGACGAATCATGAATCGTTCCAAAAGTTTGCGTGCATTCTCCAAGACCTAGTACAATGTGAAATTGGCGTGAGATCGTAGTCAAATGAATCGATTTCAGGCATACACATATCCAAAGCACATCATACATCATTGTCAATAACGCCCTTGACCAAATCAAAAGCAGTGTCGAATGTTGCCGAAGTAGATGGAGTGAATACTTCAGGGAACAAGAAGTGCAAAAGAGCCCACAATCTAAGAGCAAAAAAACGGCTGAGAAAATTACATCAATGTTGTATCATCAGTTAAGCGTACTCGTGGAGGTTGTTCTGCAATGGAGTACCAGTCAATAACAATCTATTGAGGAAGATTTGCCGGTCAGTGAACGCCTGTGATGAAAAGAAGCAGGCAAATATTCCTGGCGTATCACTATCATTGCAAACATTACCTGTACTGAGTTCTTAATTCTGATACCGCTTGTGAGATCAACGACGCTTCGTTCTTTATCTTGTGACCTTCGTCGATAACAACATATCGGACTAAGAAGAGCCACAATATAATGTCAGTTTCATCTACCATCATGCAAAATCAACAACCCCTTGCTCACAGTGGAATCGAGCCTTGAAGTAGTTGGATTCGGCAACGATTTGCTCATATGTAGTAACAAAGACATCTATATGAAAGCAAAATAAATGTTAATAATCTTATTGGATGATTTCGATCAATCTCAAGGCACTTGCCATATTCTTCAGTCAAAAGTTGTGCCTTGATTCTGTCACGTTCAGCTTGTTGACCATGGAAACGAATGACCTGATTATGAGAAGGAATCGTAAGAAGGGGGCGTTACTACATCAAACACGCGGCCCGAATTATCTCGTACTGTCAATGTGGGATCCCAACGCTTCAGCTCGTTCATCCAAGAAGTCAATACACTCAATGGACATACAACGAGGTATGGTCCAGAGACACCTCGAACGTTCTTTAGATAAGAAAACAAGGAAATCGTTTGTAATGTCTTGCCTAATTTTGAGGATGTTACCAAGACTGTTGGAACTCTTTTTTTGCAAGTCAGTAAATCATCAATTTTACCTAGACCCATTTCATCACCCAAGATACCATTCAAACCATTATCATGGAGCCAGAGCAAGAAGCCCAAACCATGTAGCTGATAGTCCTTCATCTCACCACCCACAATGTTTGGTGGTTGTTCGTGTGGACTACGGAAGGCAGCAACATGACCTTTAGACAAGACTTTTCCATCCAATTTAGTAAAGAAATTACGATCCTTGTTCAAGAATGGCGTAAAGAGTTCTCGGTGTTGATATAGGTATCTGTTTCGACGTTCAATACTTTCTTGAGTTTCGTTTTTGACTTTGGCGTTAGCAGCCACTTGGGTTCTGAAGTTACTATGTTTTGAAGGTGACATATCTGCTGGTGGACGATGCACTTTTTCCTTTGGGCTGCCTGGAGGTTTGCGAGGAGCTTTCTGCTTTTTCGGTCTGGGAGGTAGTAGAGATCGGTCTACTGGAGGTTTACGTGCCTTTTTAGACCTTCCGTCATCCACATTAGACTCGGGCGCTTCCCATTCCATGGTAGTTTCTTGTTGTTTCTCGGCACGTTTCTTGGATCGAGACGGTTTAACGACCAATGTCACGGTTTCAGGTGCTGCCTCCGCCGGCCGACGTAGATTCATATCAAAGGGCAGAGCGTCTTTTTGAGTAACATTGTCTAAACAACAAATTTGGTGTTAAAGATGATGTTTGGAGACGAAAATGTAGTGCAGGAGTGAGTACGCAACGACGATTCCAAGACGAGAGTGGTAACGGAATCGAGAATCTCACCTTGCATAGGATGATCAAAAGAATTGTTTATCAAGGGTTTAGCTTCATTTTTGACCTATATCATTGTGGTTGAGTGATAAATTTGGCGTCCGATTTGGTTTGCCTCAGTAAACGAGTTTCGGCGAATGGACGACAATGGCCGACTAGTGCCAGATACAATTCATTGTGATATAATATAAACGCACCTGGTTTGCATCTGGCAAATTGTTGACGACATCTTGCATTTCTTCACCATTGAGGACCAGGTCGTTCTTGACTTTCTTTGGAGCCGAGTGTTGTATAGCGTCTTCAGCGACATCGAGTGCTCTCTTGGCACTCAATGGGAGTTCTATGCCATTAATTTCATCGACGGATGATGATACGGACTCCATCAGCATTCCTTTTGCAGGGAATCTGTGTTGGTATTCGAGTATCGGTGAGCGGTTGATGATGATGTAGATCTTATCAAATATATTGGAAATCTCCACATGTAATAAAAAGTTGTATTTTTCTACCTTGGTAGTTGACACGAAATTCTTTGAGATTGCGAGGAAAAAAAATCAACGAGCTATAGATAGAGACGGAAAACACAATGGATTTCAGGCAAGTACGCATGTCGCATACATTCTATTCATGGAAATAACCCTTAAACTTCTATAGTCACTTGAACAATGCGGAAAGGGCTTCTATGCAACGCATCGTAGAGCAGAGGTTAGACCACCATCTTTCTTTTGGCTTCAACGATGTCCTGACCTATTCAAATTGCTTTCCTTTACTAGGCAAATGAAGGATTTCATGCGCTTGTATGGAAACTTGGTCGATAGGTGCTTTAATGACTGCATCAACGACTTCACGACCAAAGTCGTATCTGAAAAAGAGGTAGGCTCATTGATTTTAGTTGTACGGCTTTCCTTGGTTTCAATGATGAAAGAATGTCGGGGATCTCTTCTATCCATCAATGGAACTCAACATGACTGTGATTCTAAACTTTCTTCGTTTGCAACCGTAGGGAACCTGTCTAAGTCGATGTACGGACAAGTTTATGAAGCACAGTGAGCGAATTGGTGCTCGATTTGCGGAATACAATTCTCAACAGCAGCCTCCCCAGTAATTTAAATCTTGTATAAGCTGTTTCCTCGACATAAAAACCCACTTGCATTCACCGTAACAGGCAACAACGGAACCTTTACTATCGAGAGCACTAGTAGTGTAAAAGCAGCGTCAGAGATCGTCATTCGCTCATTTTATTGACAGGTTTCTGATAACTATGAACGAAACAATCTTTTGGCAGAGTGATCTCTTGCCCTCACTGAACGATGTAATGTCAACACACTGTGATTCCATATTCGATCCTATACTAGATACATTAATAGACACAACGGAATCCTCCTCAGCCTCCTTCGTCGACCATGTCCCATCATTATGGTCGCCAACATCAAAATTGGATCCCGTTGTGACTTCCAGTACCAGTGTACAGGGCATCAATGAGGCGTTACCTCCAGCTCCGACTATGACAGAAGCTCCAAATTCATTGCCTGATAACGATGTATTTGGATTCAGGAACTTTAGCGATACCTTTGACTTTGTTTCTGCATGTGATCTGGTAAACCTTCACAAGACTCGGCATAGTTCATGATCTTTATCTAATTATATGTATGCTAAACTGTCTGATCTATCGTATTAGGCACGTGCTGCTGCCAAATTGGATGAACCAGAAAAAAAGACAGCGCAAGACAAGATACAGCAGAGTCTCGATGTCTTGATGCAATTCAGTCTAGAATCTTCACCTGATGTAAATCAAGTGTCGGCTTTTGGTGTCGTCTCTATCTGTGTCGGCTTTGTAAGCTCATGTTATTGTACAGACGTGCATCAACACCCATTAACGACCACTTCCTCCTTAGACGGTGTTGGGCCAAGGACGCTTACAAGTTGAAGATGATCTTGTTTGCTGGGAAGGTATACTACATGACTTGGTATCGAATATACAGCCAAAAGACGTTTGCTTGAAGATACCATTAGACATACTATCGAATATCCGATCTAAAACACTACCTGACGAGGATCCGATGCTCTTGTTGACACTAAATGATAGCCTGTTCATGCAGTTTTGCTTCGAGTCAGGTACATATGTATTTGCTTGAAACTTCCAAAATGAATTGGTAACACGTCTTGACTCTTAAAGACACAAGTGCTCATGAGTGTACGGAGCTATTGCAAAGGATGGCACGTGGTAAAGCACCTATTCGTGACGGTCCTGGCGGCCTCACCTCGCATGTTTTGCCTGCAGAACCTCGGCCACGTCTAACCCATAGCCAAACACCAAGACATAAAACGAATACCACTTTTGATCACTTAAAAATAACCCGTACTACCATCAAATCTAAATCCTATATGTCCTTGCCACTTTATGATCCCAAAAATAATATTGATGATGATTCAGACGAGAGAGACCAAGATGATGACTTTGAGGAAAAAGAGGAATACAGGTATGACGCGTGCTTCTCCAATTATCTCTCAAAACATCAATACTTACTCTCACTCCATTCAGGAAACGTGTGCACGAAGCTGCGTTGATACGAGATGGTATAATAAAAGCTGCCCAAGAAGAATTTGAATCAAAGAAACATCAAATACGTCAAGAAATTGATCTTCGTATTAAGGAACGTAAACTCAACAACGACAGAACTCAACCCAAACTGCAAACGACGGACGAAAGTACAGACATCACCTCAACGCGTGAATGTCAGCTATGTTTTGACGGATATGAAACAAGAGAGCTTTTACCGTGTCGACATAGACTGTGCTCGACGTGTAGCAGTCGACTTACGACACCAAAATGTCCATGGGACAGGGTAGATATCAGTAGCATGACGGATTTAGATGTTTATATGACAAGGCAGATTCAAAAATAATTTAATTAGAACGTGAGAGTATGGAACATATAATGAAGGAGTATAACCCCAAAAGCATCAAAGTTGTGCATCGAGCTGTCTGATGATTTGAATCGTAATAGCCGAGCGTGCGTGATGCGATGCCAGAAAAGTTGAAGTTTGAGCTACTGGCACCAATTTAACACCGCAGAGCTGAGCTCACTACCAAAGAGCGGTTCATGGTAGGGTCAGACAGACTGCAATAAATGAAGGAGGACCGAATTTAGCAGAGTAATTCCATAGAGATCTTAGCTTGAAGTTTGAGCTGCCGGCACTACAGTCTGAGCGCTGTCTCTGGTATTCGCAGAGACAGCGATAAACTCAGAAAAAACGAATTTCATAAATTGATTCCGTCAAGATCTTCACTCCAAAACTAGGTGTTGTGTTGTGTGTTTGGATATGGTGGGTTGTTCCTTTTTGATCTCTGTCGATTTGTACAGCATTATGGTAGATCTAGACGTTCCCATCAAATCCAAGTATTCAATCTGGTTGATCTATTGAAACAAGCCAGGAAACAAGACTTGAAGAAAGGGACTCAAAGTCAGTATCATCGCAAAGTGCACGAAAAACACACCACGTAAAGCAAAACTTCTACTAGGCATATGGGAGCTGATGAATGCACTCACGTACTTGGACTCCTTCTCAACAACGATATGAGGATACGGATACTCGTTCAACATATTTATTGGTAGGAAGGAGCACCATTTGGGTTTAGAGGATCTGCAACAGATAAACTTACCACATCAATGTCATAGGACAAATAGAGGTGCTCTTCGACGTGGAATTACCTGCCGTGATTGCAATGGAACTGATATAGGAGAAGGCACCCTTGGCTACTATGATTCAAATCGCTCGAGGATTGTCTTATGTGGTGATCGACTACATTCCATGAAAGAGATTGCTTCAACTCTACGTCATGAGCTTACTCATTGCATCGGTGAGCTGGTGAGCTGTTTCCAGCTTCTCCTCTGCGAAGACGCCCAAAATTATCGAAATCGTGATGTCACTTACATTTTCCAAAACAGACCACTCAAGAACTTTTGCGCCTCCATCTCATTGCGCCATGTTAGCATGCACTGAGGTGAGATATTGATACGATTCTCGTTTTTTTAAGTCAGAGTATAGCGATTCTCACACATTGAATACGTCTCAACACAAGATTCGGGCTTCAGCGATGGGCCAATGCAAAGATCTTTGGCCTACGTTGAAACGACGTTGTGTGGCTCGTGATGCTGCACTATCTCTACAGAACCATTCTGAGTGTGCTCAACTCGCAGACATGACTGTTGCTTCTGTCTTTGAAGCTTGCTTTAAGGATTCGTATCCACTTGAACAACAGCATACAGCTGGATAAGCTAATCAAACGTCTTGAGGGTATACTGTTTCATTGTATTTAGTACTCTAATATTCTAATTAAATTATTCTGATATCGACTTGACATCCAACTGGTTTATTAAGTGTTTGGATGTCAAATCTGAAGGCACGTTAAAACTAGACTTTATTGGTGCCAGATACCGAGGCCATATCTACTTGCATCCGTTTGATGGCCAACATCACAGCCTTGTTACCTTCTCACAAACACAAGTACCTCTGCTATTTATTATAGTGACATACCTGTGCCGTGGTCGTTTCACATTCTCTCTCAAAGGAGCCGCAAAGCCTGGCGAATAAGGCAAGCTCTACGAAGTTCATCACGAAGAGACCATCCCACGAAAGCACCAAAAACAAGTGCTGCTTCTGGAGTGTTACTATGACAATTCCATCACGACTAGCAAAACGAATACTTGTCGGCAAAACACTTTTGAACAATGATGGCTGTAAAATAAACTTTCCCCAAAAAAACTGGCATGCTTGAAGTTGTATCAACGGACTACTATGAACAAAAACAAATCGAGCTGAATGTGTGAGTTGAACACACTACCTTCACTTATGCAACGTTTACGAGAGAGACGCTCTAACCAATCCGGCACGGAAGGAGGATAGCCTTGTTGTTGATTTAAAAGCACCGGCAGGATCCCCTGTGAGATTGCTAATACCAAAACGAAAACATCTCAAGTTGTTCATATGAAGTTGAATCGCTGACCGACATCATCTATTTGTCACAACAGTTTTGGGGTTGAATTCTCGCAACACATTATTGAATGCAATGGCGGAGGAACGAGGAGCCCAAAGTCGAGTGAAATCGAACCAACGTTAACCTGTTACAGATCATTACACTGGTTGATGCTTGAATCTACGTCAAACAACATCCGACTTGTTAGAATCGTGTTCAAACAATGCATTCAAGCAAGACACTGTGATTTGGTATACGATCAAGGTACTAGTTACATTTTTGCATGGCACAATACTATAGTGGCGGAACAGTTTCTGGAGTGGTCTAGCTATGTCGGAAGTCCACGATGTGGACGAAGCTGACAATAGCCGTCCTCAACAATAATCAGCGGAAATCAACGAAAGTCACCACACAGGTGAGTCATGAAGTAACGTTGAGTTGATCTCTCATGGAGCGAATGCGACCACATTGTACAATTCGAGCGAATGCAGTTCCAGCGTGCTTCTACAACATCATCGGTTCTAGCACAATTCCTACGCGTCATTGCACATCGAAAAGTCGAAAAAATCCTTTACTAGACCTATGAGCGCCTATGAAGAAATTCGTTCGAGTTTATCAGTCTATGGAAAAAAAGGAACTGGAGCCATCTTTTTGGTATTTCCTTACCAGTAGATGCGTTGAACGAGAATTTATTCACGTGCCATTCTTCAGCAGGAGTCCACGTACGTGAGTGCCTTCGTCTGCCCCCATTTGACTTGTTGCTGTTTTGCTTTGCCTGGTGTTTTTTGAACTCCATGTAAGAGGATGCTGAAGCTGATTGACTTTTGATTAGAGCACACATACCAAATACTTTGATTTGATCAGAACGTCGCGGATCTACTCTTATTCTTATCAAACTCGAATGAGATCAAAAGATCAACGAGCATTAGGATCAAAACTGCAACTCGTCCAAACATACGTCGATTGGAAGCTCTAGCTCAAATCTATATCCACTATGACCAATAATGTTGAATCACTCTCACCATCGCCGACGAAACGCTCTAAACACGGTCGTAGATTATCTGTACAGCTCTTACGATCAACTCCTTCAACATTGTCTTTGGAACTATCATATGGCAAGAAGACGGGTAGTCAACTGAATGAGGCCATAAAGTCTGGATCTGCTGTCCGTGAGCTATATCTCGGAAACTCGAACTTGGAACGTCTTCCACATGATTTGAAGAGCATGATGGAGCTGAAACTATTGGATGCATCCTTCAACAAGCTGCAGTCGCTGCCAGAAGAAGAGCCGACGTGGACAACTTTAGCTCGAAACTTGGTCGTTCTAGATCTACGAAATAATGTATTGCAGAGTCTGCCTCCACATATGTCTCAATGCCAGCTATTGACGAAGCTCATCCTTTTCAAAAACGAAATTACCGTGCTACAAGCAGATATATTTATAAAGCTAGTGTCGCTAGAGATGTTGGACCTAGGAGCTAATCGGCTTGAGTCGTTGCCAATTACAGTATTCAAGCATTGCGTGAAGTTGAGTGAGCTACGAGTGAATAATAACATGATATCTGAGCTTCCGAACGACATCATAAATCTCGTCTCTCTGAGAAAACTAGCAGTAGACCACAATCTTCTCATCACTTTGCCAAATATGAGCAAATTGGCATCACTGGTTGAGCTAGACGCATCGTACAATAACTTACAGCATATACCGCTAACGGGCATGGTGTCTCTGCAAGAACTATATCTTCAAAGTAATCAGCTATCTACCCTTCCAATCGACTCGACAAGCCTACCGAAACTCGTAACGCTTGATATCACTAATAACCCAATCAGAGCTCTACCGCTTGCACTCTCGAATATGCTGTACCTCGATGAACTCCTTCTAGACGTGAATGATAAACTAGCAGTCCCTCCTTCGGCAGTGTGTGCTAGAGGACTTGATGCCATCAAAAGGTATCTAAAAGATATCGTAACGGGCGCACCGGATGCCTCAAAGTGTATCGTATCAGGAATTGTAGCTGAAATGAATGCACGGAAAGAGACTAGCTTTGTGATTACATGTTTTGACAAGCATGGTAAACGCAAAGCAGCTGGTGGTGATTCCTTTTCGGTGACGGTTCAAGTATTTGGTGCGGATTCGACATCGAGCAGCGTCCGTGTGCTACAAGCCAATGTCAAAGACAATGGTGATGGCTCGTATGCGGTGATATTTCCTAGCACCATATCCGGCGTATATAACATTCAAGTCAGAAGTGGAGGTGATGCGGTTGGCAAATCACCTTTTGTAGTGAAGGTCATTGCTGGGCCATTATCTGCATCTCATTGTAAAGTAACTGGTAAGTGCCCTAAGCACACTTGTTGCTGTCTTCCAGGTCGAAAATAAAGTCAGCATGAGCACTTAACCAATTTCTGCCCATTTTAAGGTCATGGAGCCAAATTCTCTGTAGCTGGTGAAATGGGGTCTCTTGTCCTCTTTGCTTGTGATGAATTCTCGAACGCCGTGACCACCAAACTTGGACTACCTATAAAAGCCAGCATGATAGCTGTTGGCAGTCTTAAAACTGCCAGCTCACCAGTCAAAACTGTAGTCAAGGATAACGGTGATGGAACGTGTGCCATCACTTATAATGCTACTCAAGCTGGAACGTATCGTCTGGACGTAATGATTGGAAATGATGAACATGTCGAAAACTCGCCATTCCAAGTCGATATTGAGCCTGGAATCAGTCATGCATCAACTTGCTCGGTTACCTTGAATTCAACGGCTGCAGTAGGCCGAAACGCTTTTCTCATTCGTGCCAAGGATCGATTTGGCAATGAAAAGACTATTGGTGGAGATTTGTTTATCGTCACCATATTGGAAAAGACCAGTAATAAGTCTTGTGGTAGTCCAGAAGTTGTCGATAATCTCAATGGGCAATACTTGGGTAAGTTTCTGGTGTTTTCCCGGTTTGTCTCGCCGTTGCGAGAACAACATTCTGACCACTTCTATATGTGATCCTCTCGCAGTGACATATCAAATCGAGAAGGCTGGAACCTACAAGGTTGATGTCGAACTTGCCTCTGAAGGAACCAGCAGCAAACGTATCAACGGGTCTCCATTCACTATTGTCGTGCCAGTAAAACAATCCGAAGCAGCAATCCGTCAAGCTGAAGGAGATAATGTATTGGCTGTCAGCCTGGTGGAAATGAACAAGAAGTACCAAGAGCTGGTTCAGCGCTCTTCACATAGTCGCGGGCCATCTGATGATGTGTATGATGGCACGACACTGAGACTCGTCGAACCAAGTACCCAAACGTGGAAGTATCAGAGGATACCAACGTTTGCATTTTCTTTTCAAGATCAGGAACAAGTGCAAGCTATAGATTCTATTCTAGCACTACGGTCTCCAGTACAACCTTATAGCTTCCATATTCTCCTTCTAGTCGCCCTACATTTGCATCGGCAAAAGAAACGGGATGCCATAGCTAGTGTCGTGTTTGATACTGTAGAAGCCGTAAAGAAGAAAGCATTTGGACGAGACAGTGCACAAGATATCGCCTCGATAGTGTTCTGGTTGTCTAACGGCGTCTACTTCTTGGCTAGATTCCCGGTTTACGGTATAGATGCTCCAGAAACAGTCGTAAAAGAAGTGAGACAGTTAGTAGACGAGTGTTTGGTGAATGTTATCAAACAGCTGCAAACACAACTAGCACCGATGATAATCCCAGCTTTTGTCGAGCAAAACCACTCGCAACACAACACAAGTAGTAAAGTAATGCCAGTACCGGCTAGATCTTCTTCGTTAACCGCACTACTGAATGCAGTGAAGCGAGAGGTAGTACCACCACCGTCGTCTCCTATTTATACACTCCACGCCATAGTATCACTTATATCGTCATTCATGCAAACTCTAACATCTCATTGCTTACCACGGTCTATTGTCGTGCATTGTATGGCCGCTATCCTCAATCACATCGATTCCAACGTATTCAATGCCCTCATACTCCGACGTGCATTGTGTACCAACTCTCATGGTAGAAAAATCCACTCATCAATAACCCAGATACAGGACTTTTTGAATGCCAGCAATTGTGGTGAATTGAAGACGTGCCTCAACCGCAGTAGAGCAGCGGCAGACATAATTTGTCTAGATTGGACCAGTAATGGTAGTCAAGTATCGACTGATGAGATAGTTAGTTTGGCTGTCGATGGTGATCTTAATAGCATACAGACTGCCAAATTAGTGAGATTGTGTCTAGCAGAGACTACATCCAGTGGTGCAACAGCACAAGCAGTGGCTTCCCGCATGAGGGCTTTGGATAAGTCACATTCTAGTAATATTAGTAGTATTAGGTCATCAGTAGCATCAATGGAGAGAGGTAGTAGCATTAGTAGTGTCAATAACTCGCCACGTACATCACGAACATCTAGTGACGAAGGACTGTTTCTGCCGACTTTTAAGGTGGATTCGCTAGCATCGTATGATTTTGAGGATGTCATGGAGGTTGTTGCTGTGCCGAAAAGTTTGTATGTGCCGTTTCTTCATGTGGTTGATCTGGATGGTTGAGTTTGTAGGCATATAATCATACTATATAGTAAGAATGTAGGAAGCTTTGAATTTCAACAAAATTTAGAACAAACTTGGACTTTAGAACCCGATTCTATAATGTGACTCAAGAGTTTACGATACAAGACGTTTCTATGATGACTTCATTTCAGCCACCTTCTTATTGAAGAGATCTTCAGCATCCGTCCACACACGAGCACTATGTCGTTCCTTGAGTGCCAATAGACTAGGCAACAAGTCGTGAGAGAAGGCTTCACTGGCTTCACGAGGAAGCAGTGTTGGCAAATGATCGATAGCAATCACATCTAACACGGGAGTTCTATATTTGGGTATTCGTGTAAGTGTGATGAGAAGAAAGTGCAATATCTCACTACAGTACTACTTACCCAGTCTTGATGTGTAGCACGGGATGATCAAAAGTAGTGGCGTCATTATAGATCGGAAGAGGATTATTTGGGTTTGTGATATCACAACTAACATCCACCACGACACTCAATACCCTCTTTGCATCGTCCAGCATGTCTTCAGTCAAGAAAGCAGGGATCTTTGCACTGAGATAGATACAATTGACGAATATATTGGATTCGAGTATTTCCGGGAATGGACCGCCTTTAGCAGTCTCAGCCATATCCCACTTGATGATGTTTTCATCATGTATACCTACAGCACGTGCGAAGTCGACAGCACCACCACCACATCGTCCTAGAGCGCCCATGACCATTACGGTTGGTTGCTTGTTGTTGTTGAGTGCGGTTGCAGCGTCTAATCGTGTTTTGATGTATTGGATGAGTTCCTTGTCGTTTGGGTATGGCTTGGTAGGTGGATAGTCTGTGTTTGGAGATAGTTGCTGGTGGGCCCATAAGTCGATTCCCATGGCACTTCCAGCAAATCCGGCGTGGTAGCCAAAGGCAGCGACACGTCGACCTGTGATATTGTGTGTTTGTTAGGGTCAAGTAAAAGGCGAGCTGTCAGAGTGGTTGCAGGTGTTAAACACAAGCTAACCTCTATCATCTTGTAAGAATTCCAAGTCGAGTAGCGTTCCTTGGCCTCGATCAAATCGACTCAACACGTCCTTCCAACCACCTTGGTGCTTATAGCAGTCTGCAAATGAGTAGATGGTGAGATACACGATACAAGGACAGTTCATCTGTGAATGAAGCGAGACACAATTGCAGTCTGTGCTTACGAGCAAACATGATGTGTTGGTGTGGAAGAGGAGTGTCATCATTCTCGGGCAATTCCTTCAAACCGATAATGTATGCATCTTTTGGAGCAGTCCTCCAGGATCCAGCATCGACCAATTGGACACCAGGCACCCTTTGAATGGTTTGAAAGAAGTTAGCTTTGTGATTTTTGATAACTGTGATGTGCACATCACAGATTACACTTGAAGAGTGATTATATCGAATAAATAGCAGCAGACTACTTACAGTGAGTATTCGGACTTGTCGAATATGGATTCCTGAGACTTTTCTATGGTGACAGTAAACCCAGCATCGAGCAAACTTTTTACCACTTTGGGGGTGAGAGCAGTACGATGCTCATTCTTCTTGGTCTCTGCGCGTAGCCATAGATGAGGCGATGAAGATGCAGCTGGCATGGTGTCGAGTTAGCGATTGGTGATGCGAATACGCTCAATTCCCTGTTTTTTAAAGTTTGCGTTTGTTGCAAATAAAAAATCCAACTCATCATATAAAACGACTCACTTCGATATGTCATTTGGAGGAGGAGGAGCTGGATTTGGCGCTCAGGGCGGTAACAATTTGGCCGTTGCTGAACAAGAACTGGTATGTTTGTTAACATGTGTCATAGTTTGACTGGATGCTCCGAACTAACCAATCGCAATCAATAGGAAATGGTTACATCTCTCTTCAACAAGTAAACGCAAGATCACTGAATGCTTCATGCTCATGATTCCCGGTACTGACTACTTGTTCTCTACTACTAGTATTGTGGATGCTTGCCATAAAAAGTGCATTGTGCCAAAGTATGCTGATGGCGACCTCAATAAGGGAGAGTCTGTCTGTATCGACAGATGTGTCGGCAAATATCTAGAAGTAAACAAAATCATTGGGGAAAAGTTTGGTGCCCTCGCACAGTCTGCTCAACAGCAACAGGGCATGATGTAGATACCCTGCCCATCTCTCTCTGTAGTCTCATTCGTTTGTAGAGTAATGAACATTGCATCATCACGTAGCCGGGTACATGGTTTACTTGAGGATTTCATGGGATGAGAATCGACACCATCGACCCTGGTCGCTCCATGTTGCTTGTCTGTGGGTGTCACTTTGAAATCATGACCGCGAGAACTATTCAGTTGCATCAAGTGCTTGATTCATAGCACCTATTAAGCGTATTTGCCGGTCTGGAACTGTTCGGGTCTCCATCGTCTTCCGCGTTATCCATTCGACACAACGTCAAAAACCTAAAATCAAGCACGAATGTCCACTGCGGACCCCGAAGAGTTCTTTATAAGGCAGGATCGTATAGGCAAAGGATCTTTCGGCGAGGTAGATATACATTCGTGCCTGTTCTTCCTCAAAAACCACAGACATCCAACATCTTCCACTTTGTCAATAGGTATTTAAAGGAGTCGACAAGAAGACAAAGGAAGCCGTTGCCATCAAGATCATTGATCTCGAAGGTAATATATTCTTGACTGCCTTCTCCGCTTTGTGCTTTTGGCTGTCTCATTTCATCATGCTCAACATTTCCGTTAATACCGCCAACTCATCACAAACATCCACAAACAACTCGTCATCAACCAATTACTCAAGAAATTAACTTTTCACATATTTGAAATCATCATGCTAAATATACATTCATCTCTACAGATGCAGAGGATGAGATCGAAGATATTCAACAGGAAATAAACATTCTTTCTCAACTGGATTCTCCCTACATTACAAAATACTATGGATCCTACATCAAAGGAAGCAAACTATGGATTGTCATGGAATACTGCAGAGGTGGCTCATGTCTGGATCTGGTACGTTAACTAGACTTGTGTTGACAAGTGAACAACATGACTACAAATTTTGCGTCCATTAATCTTTGATGTCGTAACTTTTTTTGTCATCTAATCTGTATTATTACTAAACCGTCGTTACTCTTAGATGGGACCTGGCACATTCGAAGAGATATTCATTGCCATAATATTACGAGAACTGCTAAAGGGACTAGAATACTTACATTCAGAACGTAAACTTCATCGTGATATCAAAGCTGCCAATGTCCTGTTGAGCGCTGACGGAAATGTCAAACTGGCTGACTTTGGTGTCTCTGGTCAACTCACTGCGACAATGACCAAGAAGAATACATTTGTAGGAACTCCATTCTGGATGGCACCGGGTATGTTGCGTGTGTCGTTTGAGGTGCTTTCGTCTCCCAATGTGAATCAGTCTGGCTTTCATCGTCTTGTTTTGTCATCAGTTACATTCTGACATTGTATTATTTTAGAGGTCATAAAACAATCGGGATACAATGACAAGGCTGATGTATGGTCATTGGGTATAACAGCTATTGAATTGGCTAGAGGGGCCCCTCCATATGCTGAAATGCATCCTATGCGTGTCCTCTTCCTGATACCCAAGAATGAACCACCACAGTTGGAGGGTAACTTTTCAAAGGCATTCAAGGAATTCGTTGCCTTGTGTCTTCAGAAAGATCCAGAACAGGTATGTGAAACGTTGTTTGGATTGTCGAATTCAACCCATTGGCATGAGTTTCGAAGATAAGAATATTTTCTTCTCATTTGCGACTCGCAGCGACCTCCAGCCAAGGAATTGTTGAAGCATCGATTTATCAAGGCTGCCAAAAAGACCTCGTATCTTACTGAACTGATTGAACGATATGAACGATGGAAGGCCGATGGTGGTGAAGCAGATAAACCCATCAATGACTATGAAGTCGAACAAGGGTACGCAGTCCATAAGCAGCTAGTCACATCTCTTTCTGACTTGCACCGATATTCAAATACAGGAACGGCGAAGAGGGAGAAGGTGGTTGGGATTTCGGTACAGTCAAAGCTCCAAAAGCAGTACCACCTCCTGTACAACAACCACCACCACCCCAACAACAGCCACCAAAACCTGCACCACCAGTACCAATCCAATCCTCATCTCCTGCTGCTGCTGCCGCAGCTGCCGCCGCCAACAAAAAACCTGCAGTACCACCAGCACCATTGCAACAACAACTGTCAACACCGTCTATACTACCTTCTCAACAAAAAGCACCTGAACCTGCTCGGAATATTCAGAGTAACTACAGGGTGACGGATACTGGAACTATAAGAACAGCTGGTGGAAGTGTGGTCAAGACTATTGTTGAGCCAGTGATAATGAAGGTGTGTTGAATCGTTGATTGTTTGGATGAGCCCAATGAGAAGCGAAATCGAAGACCTTTCATTTCTACACCTTGAAATTACCAAAAAAAATGTGTAAAATCACCATGAAAACACACTATGGAGTCTTTCTGAGTTTTCTTTTTTCTTCCTGTAGCTTCAATCAGGTGCCAGAGCCTCTAGTGTAGCTACGTTACGATCACTGCAGAAGGCCTTTGAGGACGCAGAACGGGTATGAATTCAACTGCTCGAAAATAGTGTGAGGGCAATCAGCAACGACTCAGCTGTTGTTTCTCCTTTAGGAAAACCCTCAAATGGTCGAAGAACTGATTCATCAGATAACAGAAAAGATGGGAACATAAGCTTGATCTGAACGACCACCTTGCCTTTGATGACGACGAACTAATAGTAAATCCTGTACAAAGTCTTGTTCACTTTTGTATCCATTGTTGTTAGAAAATTCTTTTTTTTAATCAATGTCTACACATGCCAAAACTATATAATACAAGACACAGCATGATCCGAGTGAACTGTCAGCTGTTGTTTGATGCAAATCATATGGATGTAACATGAAACTAATTTAACGTCTTGCACGTCTTTTAGCCTCATTAGGATTCTTGCCCATTCCAATCTTGATTTCGGTACTCCTTGATTTGATTCGATCTATGGGCAGATCATCAAAGAGCTCTTGCTGTCGTTCACGACGAGCTTGAGATTGGAGAGCACGAGTGTATTCACGTTGGTCTTCCCGTAGGATGACGCCATTCTTGTTTCTTCCGCCTTTTGGTTGTGGTATTGAGTACTATGGGTACATGGAAAGACAAGAGAAGTGGTTAGTTGGATTTTACATGCTCGAAACAAGCAAGGCTTTATTCTCGGTTTGCCAAATCACCCCCCAAAAAAAAGAAACAAGGCAGATGAGGATATGGACGGACATACCACTGTTCCTCTCGTATTGTACTGAAAGTTCTTTTTCAGGTACACGGTCACATTTCCATCTGCATCGACTCCAATCGAGGTTCGAAGTAATGTGGCATTACCACATGAAGGACAGAATTTCTTGTCCATGTCTCTGGTGATTCTGAATTCGCAAAAAAAGGATTGAATCAAGGACTGTACAACATCACTTTTGATCTGCTTCACAAACAACGACTTACTTGTAACAAGCATGACATCTCAAGACTGAATTCCTCACACTACGAATCATGAGACCATCTCCAGATACTACTTTGATATTCATCTGCATCATTACGTTCTAGGAATAACATGATGAGGATGTCAGATTGTATGCTAGGCAAGAGCAAGATTGGGTGGAGTCGTGTTTTCAACCAATGAGATTCCTAGCTAACCTGCATGGCAAAATCAGAAGTCATACACCCAACAGATATCTCCTTGATGACATTCTTTGGTTGGGATACTTTGACATTTTGTCGGTCCTTGTATCGCTGAATGTTGGATGGTGTAATCCACCCTTCGTCATCGTCGTCATCACTTTTGGCGCTTTCCGGTGCAGATTCAGGGAGTGGAGTTAAAGCCGTAGGAAGTGACTCGTCTTGTTTTGCTATGTGGTGATGAGACAATCAGACTTCCGACAACGACGAAAAACGAGGGATTTGGATGTATGGAATTTCACCACATACTCTGTGAATCTTCTTCAACGACCTCGTTGTCTTCGTCATCTGAAGACTCTTCCTGGTCGTCATGTTGCGCTTCTTCATGTTGATCGTCCGGTTGCTGATCATTCGTCTCTACACTCTCATCAGGTACTACAGACTCTGCAGCCTGCTCTGCAGCAACTGGCAACTTTTGACTGTCGACAGTACTGGGTGTACCACTGACACCAGCACTATTACTATGTTGTTGTTGCTTTTTCTGTTTGTGTTGCTTTCCTTGGTTGACGCGTATCTATGCGAAACGGAGGTAAGATCATGTAGCTGCAGCAAATGAATTATTTGATCCTCTGTAGGGCTCTCTAGCTAGCTTACAGGTTGCGGATCAGACTTGAGGTTTGTCATTCCATTCTCCTCCTTTTCCAGCGTCCATGCCAGCGCGATCAGACGTATATCAGTACGCGACAATACAGGGTAGTCACCAGTCCTCTTTGAGAAGGTCGTCACTAACGAAAAGTGAGTCGATAAACTTGAGATCAGGTTTTTTGCACCGCAAAATCCAGTGCAAAAAAAAAAAAAGACTCAAAAGGAACCAATTCACGTACCAGCGACAACAGCTTCATCTGAGGGCGATCTAGTAGTCAGATCATAATGCAATTGACCGTCTACTAGCGCACTCTTTGATTGCCTGTCCTTTATTTCCTGGAGGACTTCTGGGATTGTGACAAACTTGTCGGCGTACTGGGCTATTTGGGATGGAGCGACCTTGAAGAAGGCATTGGCGTCCAGTACTAGCGTCGTGTAGTGTATCGGCATCGCTGGCTGCTGCGGATATGAGCGATTGCTTAAGTGTCTTTTGCAATGTTTTCAGTTAGCTCCAGGTCATCGTGTGGACAAAAGGAGATGGAGGGCTAGATAGAAGTCGATTTTCTCGTGTTTCTACGCGTACAATGAGTAAATTGAGTGCTTATGTTCTACTACGTTGCCTGGTTGTCCCCCATCCTGTCCTGTGGTGTCTAAGTGACTGCCGAAGCTTAAGCCTTGAGAACGACAAGCCAGTGAGCTTTACCAATGATAGTTCGGTTTTGTGGTATATAACATCATGGCTGCGAATCCTGCTGATGATGATAACATCTTGCTGGCCAAGGTCGAGAATGTTAGATCTGTCGTAACTCTGCTCAAGGCAATCTCATTCAAAAACGTATGATCGTGACTTCTTGATCATTTTATCTTGATTAATATTCATATCTGATGATGCTGTACTTCATCACTCTATTGAGAGTCTCGAGCGCTGTAGCTAACATCCACACATCACACTCACTTAGAAAACAATCTGCGAAATCAACGATCAAGGCCTAAAATTCACAACCGAAGAAGCTCATTGTGCTCAAGCCCACGCATATCTAAAATCTCGCTTATTCGATGAATACCACTACACTCCAGATCAGGACGAAACAAGAACCATCTTTGCCCTCGACTTGGAAGACATGATTGAATGTCTCACTATATTTGGAGGCTCGTCGCTCGTCCCATTCGCCACAAACAAGGATGGAAGTACTACTGGTGTTGGTGCTGGCAGTGGCGGCGGGAATGCACTGTATGGGAATAGAGTCAAGGAGAATAATGTTACGTCGTTGAGAATGTCGTTCAAGAGGTCTAGGGAGGAGTTGACGCTCATGTAAGTGTGCTGTTGAAAGAATGGCGAGGTATTGACAATCGAGACCAATTGCTGTTGCGTATCGACGTATCGACATGTTACTCTGTGGTTTTTCTTGCCTCATTTGTATTTTATTGATCAGTGTCGTAGAATAACTCTCTCCCTCTGATCACATTAGGCTTGAAGATGGAGGTGTCTTGACTGTCTGTCGTCTACCTACATCCGACGCTGAAAGCAACCTTGAAATGGATCAAGAGTTTAGAAATCAACCCCTGGTTAGTAAAGTCATTGTAGCGGTATGTAGTGCTTTATGCAATGATCACGTTTTGTGGAATGTCTTTTTTGTCCTCCTCCAAGCAGACATGAAACACACTCACTTTATTGCCCAATCACTTTCCATAGTCCGAATGGCTCAAGAATAGCTTTCATGAGACTGACAGGACTGCTGAGTATGTATCCCTCCTCATATCCCCTGATGCTCCATACTTTCGAATATCGGCAATGAGCGCACCGGGTGAAACTCAAATGGACTATCCTAAAACCTCGGATGTGATTGAAGCATTTCAGTCCGATGCTACGCAGTTGTTCAAGTGAGTGGTTTTTTCGTTTGAAACTGGCACCGAGTTATATGTTGAGTGTTGCTCTTTTCTGAATTTTTGTTGTCGAAATAGGTACAAGTATCAGATGCTAGAACCGTCATTCAAAGCATTGGCCTCCTCTACAAAAACCGCATTGAAGATTAACCAGATTGGATTGCTCCATATGCAGGTAAATTGAGCAGATTGCGCAGCAGTCAAGCACAACGTTTCATCAGCTTAATATTGGTTTTTTTTCCTTCTAGTTCCTAATACCAACTTCAGAAACCGACACGTGCTTTGTCGAATATCTGGCAAGCTCTTAATCTCAGCACAAATTCTGCATCATGACACGAAACTAAATCATTCTCTTCATCATAGTGTTTGCCAATGGTTGATGTTGATGCCGAGAGCGAATCAGATTAAGCAAACTTCGGTCGTTTGTATCTTCAATTTTTGCACAATGTCTATTTTTTCCCTTCACATGTTTATATATCAAGATCAAGAAGCTCATCAACTGTACAAGTATAAATCAATTCAAGTTTTAATGGTCATGATCGTGTGCTTTCTTCAGATCCTTCATGTTGGTGGCCATGCCGGGGACGCCATAGAAAATGACCTGGACGTGGAGGAAACGAAGGATAGATACGAAAACTCTGCACTGAAGAAGATTTATCATCTCAGTGGCTTACCTGATCAACTCTAGTCGTTTCCTCACCGTCTTGATTGTCGACAATAAAGATCTAAAAAAATGAGGAAAAAATTGGCCAAGTGGTTCATGCCAATGCTCAGTCTGGAATTCCAACGTCAAATCTTCAACTACATAGATCGAATAGCTGCTTACATTGATGTTGTGGACAGATTGGTATCGAACAAACTTGAGAGGAATAACACCACCTTCCAAATCCTTTTTGGAGACACTCAATGTCTCAGTTTCTGCTATACCATCAGCTTCATCGAAGCCCAGAGTACTTGGCCTATTGACATATGTTTTGATTGTTTTGGGGCCATTGGCTATACGACGAGAGTTAAAAATATGTTTCTAGCAACCCAAAAATTGACGCCGAAGTTGTGACTGATGCAAGAGTCGATTTCTCACCAGCAGGACCTAATATTTTGATTGAGTGTAGTTTCACAGATTGATTGAATGAGATTGACATAAGTAATTGTTCGTCTACATCTGATTCAAGGAATGTAGTGTCAGCTTTGAAGATGTTCTTGACGGAAGTTCCTTCCTTTTCGTTCAAGCATTCCACTTGGTTCATCCTGGAAACAAAAGAAAGGTAATGTGAGCTGGTCAAGGAGCTCTGTTAAACACGATGATATTCGCCCTACGTGATGAATTCAGTGATCTCTGAATATGATCCACCTGCTCCCGACACAACTGTACCCTCCTCAACAGGTCCTTGATGTTGCTAGATTAATGTAAGATGCCAGAGAGTCAGATCGATATGCCAGATGATCTAATGGTTTTTATATCGCTCACCTTGACCAACGCTTCTAGCCCACCAGGATTAGCGCCTTTAAGTTCTCCGACTTTTGCATTTCCTTTATAGAATTGGAAAGTTGGCCTATGTGTCCAGCATAGTAAGATTAGCATAGTAAGCTTGGAGAGCGACAGCTGCACTTGATCAAGTGCAAAACAAGATATTGATGAGCAGAACATCGTTATTGATGATGCCTACATTGCAGTGACACCACAAGCTTGAGCAGTTGTCTGATTTGCATCGACATCAGTCCTTAGAAACGATACATGTCGGTATTTGGTGGCGAGTTCGTTGAAGAATGGTTCGATTTGCTTGCATGGACCGCCTATAAACATGTAAATTTGAGTTAGATGCGACGCAGTCAACGCTAGATCGCGGTCATTGACATCAGCGAGTAGGTACGCGCAACGGTGTTTTGATCTGGTTTACTTACACCACTCCGCGCTGAAATCAACGACAATCTACATAACATAAATATTTGGAAGCGTTAGTTAATATAATGGTTTGAATTGACGTTGCTACATTGGTCTTCACAGATGTCTCGACATTGATGTTTTGAAATCAAATCAAGAGACAAATTACAATCGAAAAACACACACCAGCTTCTTTGAATCTTTTGCGAGTTCAGCCTTGAATTCGGCATCGTTGTTGATGATCTTGACTGACATTTCGTCTGCTTCAATCACCAATACTAAATCTTATTGAATGTTGGAAAATGTGGAGAATCCGATGGCGATTTCGAACAGTTTGACGCGGTTGACATATAAATAAAGTATTTGGATGGCATTAATACGCGTATCAGAGATTTATTCTTGATTACAATCATAAAAGAGTCACGTCCTTAGGCCACCTGTCATCGCTAAACCTCAAAAAACTTCAAGTATTTGCAGCAAAGAAAGAGAGCCATGTCGTCTACATTCAGTGGAGCGCCGCAAGCACCGATGCAAGTACAGCAGACGTCTAATAACACTCGTGTCAAGTGGGCAGTTATTTGTGCCAGTAATATGAATCGAAGCATGGAAGCTCATTCTGTCTTGAAGTAAGTGATGGTGGAAGAAAAGGGAACTACTATGTTTTCCATGCTTGTCGTAGTATTTTGGTTGCTGTTTGCCAGCTCAAAGCTGTGGCGAGCTTTCAAAATATCTCGAATCTGGGCAACCATACCATATGCCAGCTGATTGTTCGACTTTGATCGTTTGGCGTCGATGATCTCAAATTCAAGCTCAAATGATTTTGCTGAGGGCTGTGCTTGTATTGATGCAGGCGTCGGACCGAAAACTCATACAAGTCACAGAGCTCCACGTTTTCAGTGGCCTTACCTCACACATGCACTACCTAGAAACGCTGGCCTGGTGGTACGATCATTCGGAACTGGAACAGCTGTGCGCCTACCCGGTCCTGCCATAGACAAACCAAACGTCTATCCATTTGGAACCCCATACGAATCCATATACAGAGATCTAGAGTCGAAGGACAAGACACTGTACGTGTTCCTACTACATCGCGTCAGAAAATACTGCCTGTCTTGATACTTTGCTGTTTTCTAGATATACACAAAACGGACTCCTAAACATGCTAGATCGGAATAGAAGAGTCAAGACTGCACCAGAGAGATTTCAAGAAAACAATGACTTTTTTGATGTTATAATAACGTGTGAAGAGAGGTGCTTTGATGCTGTTGTTGAAGGTATTGGTTGAGACTATACGGGTGGGTGTTTTTGTCATCTGCTTACCACATATTCTTTGCTTAGACATTCTGGATCGAGGAAACCGAACAAACCAACCTGTTCACGTAATTAATGTTGAAATTCGAGATAATCATGAAGAAGCTGCTATAGGTGGGCAGCTGATATCGCAGATTGCATCTCAGGTACAATGGATTGGTTTTGTGAAGCTCTACTCGTCCATCGTATCATTCATCCTGTCCTTTTCTTGTTGAACTGATAGATTGAGCAAGCTCAAGACCTGAATAGTGAAATCGAGCAAATACTGGAAAGGTTTCAAACAGAGACTGGATCCAACATCTTGTACACTGTCGCATACTATTGATTCAAGCATCTTTAATTGAAATACACACGGGAAATTGTAAATACAACCTTGAACGAGATTTTTGTGCAGACAGCCTTGTTTTTTTCTATTCTATGGTATGATGTACAGACTACAAAAAGATACGGGAAATTCTATTGTACAAAAGAGGTGCGTGTTTTTTCAGTATTCAAAAAGTCCCAAGAGGCGAATGGTTGATTAAATTGTGGCAGAATGAAGAAGAAAAATTGACGGTATGATATAGATTGACGCTAATATAATAAACTTTGATAATAGCTCCCAAAAGAACAGTATTTTCTCCCCTTCCTATGATACCAGCCATAGTCCCATGTTCTGCACTTTTTGCAGCCTCTAACCTAGAATCTAGACTATGTTTTATACTTCAACATTCATGGCCGTTTCGGTTTCTGATTCCAAGCCAGATACATCGGACGAGTCCAAACCAGATGAATCTTCAGATTCACAATCTGCCAAAGATGGTGGTAGAAGTAGCAATGACGATGCGGCATCCATCTGTTGTTGCCTGTATTCGTTGTACCTAAACATTCGAAAAGTTTTGAGCCACGGGTTATGTCTCAAGAAAGCTCTCACATGAAGCGAATGGTGACAGGATGCAGTTGCTTGGACATACCATTTAACAAACTTGGTCATTCCACGCTCAAAAGTGTGTGTTGGCTTATATCCAAGATCTCGAGACGATTTGGTCAGGTCTGCATATGTGATTGGCACGTCTCCAGGTTGATTAGGCAACTGATTTATAATGGCTTTCCTGTCGACTAGCTTTTCTACTATATGTATGAATTCATTCAAAGTGACTGTTTGGTGATTTCCTAGATTGTAGATTTCACATCGGCGCGGAGTATCGAGAGCGGATAGTATGCCAGCAACTATATCATCTATATAAGTGTAGTCTCTTGACGAGGTTCCGTCTCCAAACTGTTGAGGGGACAACGTTGGACTTGTCAATTTTTCATTCCCCACGAGGACAATTCCACTATTCATATAGCGAACGGAAGCAAGCTCCTACCTTATTAATTGATATTCCGTTGGCGATACGATCCACAAACATATAAGGAGCCATATCGGGTCGCCCTCTTGGGCCTAAAAATAAAAAATAAAAAGCCTAATCAATTTTCACCTGTAAATGTTTGAAATTAATCAAGTCTTAATATACCAAAGACAGTAAAGAACCGTAAACCAGTAACAGGCAGTTGATATAGATGAGCGTATGTGGAGGCGAGCAATTCCGTCGCTTTTTTCGTAGCTGCATATGGTGATACAGGAGAGTCTGTTGGGGGAGCATATTAACCACCTGGTTTGTAACGCTATCATATAACATCATATATAACTACCTGTGTTGTCATCTTCTGCAAATGGGATCTTTGCGTTTAGCCCATAGACACTGGATGAGGAAGCATAGACAAAGTTCTTGACATTATAGCGTCTGGATGCTTCCAGCATGGATACCGTTCCGTTTACGTTTGTGGATACGTAGAGCTCAGGCGATCTAATAGTGAGCAGATACTCCGCGATCAGTTTTCGAGTTTTGAGATGCAAGCACTTTGAGGTTTGCAGCGGTTGGATCAGTTGATAAAGGATGGATATGGATTGTTTACTTACTGTATCGAAGGACGTACACCAGCTCTGGCAGCCAGATGACATACGTGTGTGATTGAATGTCCGTCAGCTTGACAAGATGCGAAGATAGTTCGAATAGCCTCAGAATCAGCAATGTCCTGGCGGTAGAACTTGAAGCGATCACCTCCTAGATGCGAGAGGATTCTCAAGTTCTCGAGTTTCTGCTCTACACTGTAGTAATCGTTGATGTCGTCCAGGCCAACGACCACATCTCCATCTTTCAGCAATGCTTCTGCCGTATGCGAGCCAATGAAGCCGGCAACACCAGTTACACATACTACTCTTCCAACCATGGTGTCTAGTATGTTGCCTTTGTTGTCGTTTGTGTCTGCGGAATGAATGCAAATGAATGATGAGATTTGCCAGCTTTTGTAAGCAAGCCACGAACACGTCAATCACGACAAAGGGAATAATTACCTCCTAACGAGATCTGCGACTAGGTGTGAGATACGATCGAGGGCTGCTAGTGCGTGCCGCAGCTTACAACGAGTTGTATTGACTTCTGTATGGACCTTTAGCCTTTCAACTGAACCGGATCTTACAACCTCGAAAGCTTCTCGACCAACCGACAGTTGCTAACCACAACAATGTCAAACGATCGTGTATGTATTCAGCAGCTAATGCTACTCTGTTATATCTGCTCCGCAACAACTTGACTTGTTGGTGATATTCACACAATTCATCGTCAACATGCACATTTCCGTTCGTTTGATCGGAAGTGGTTTGACACCAGCTACGAGTATTACGACAACACGGCTCTCTTATACAAATATTGCATCGATGTTTGTGGGCATCTCTTGTTGCGACGTATCAATATAAATTTTTTGTGACTTTTTATTTTCGACTCCGACTTTTGGCGAGTCAAGCGAGACTGAAACAACCCAGTTAATTTGCATAGTTTGCATAAGCTAATCTAGGTCTTGGGATCGGAACCTTCGTTCCAGTATCGTGAACGATTCGAATCTATAGCTTTGACCTTTTTCTTCGGTAGAAAATGGTATCGACGACAGAAGCTCCTGTTGACCTCGTTGAGAATGTAGAGGAGACGCAAGTTCCTGAAGGTATCCATCGCACTTGATTCCAACTTTTCTTTGTTTGACGCTTGGAACTAAGTCATCACATCAAATTTCGGCTAGTTGAGACACCTTTCATGTTAAAAATCGTGCTCCCGGGTGGCAAAAACAAACTAGAAATCCCCGTATGCACATGTGGTCATCTTCATTCCGTTCCTTTCTCATTCATATCTCTCTGATTAGTGTTCTCTCCATGTCACCGTCCAAGACATACGACAGTTTCTGTTAGAGTCGCCTGAATCGAACTTTCACACATGCTTCTCGCTACGAGACAGCAACAATAACAAGCTCTCTGAACTGTCTGAACTCGCAGAGTGCAAGGAATTCAATGCTGGCGATGAGCTTCATATGGTGGAAGGTGATGCGTCGGTTTTGTGTTCTTTGACCAACAAGAAGCAACATTTAAATCGAAGCATACTGGAATCAAATTACTCACTTTCGTCATCATCTAGATCCATATTCCGACAGAGACGTTCGAATACACGTAACTAGGTTTCGAGAGGTGCTAAGTAACTTTCACAATATACTCCCTCAATATGGTGTTGATGCTGGAATCTCCTACTTGACTGCCATATCTGGCGAGAATGCCGATATAGCAACTATAATGGAGACAAAGACACCTAAAAAGAGCAATGGCAAGAAAAAGAATGGGAATAACGCACCATCTCCTTCTCGCGCTGCAAACGCTGGCGATACAGCCAATCCATCGATCAAACATCCTTTTCATGACTATGAATTCGATGATATACCAACATCCTCTCTGGAACATGCTGTGCCAGATGGCGTCCATACACCAACTATACCATGTCTGAAATCCATCGATATATCACCCTGGAATCCACCACCGCATTCCCGTCGCATGATGGGCGACTTGACATACCTAGTAGCAACCTCGCTAGAAAACGAACGATTGCACATAACTTGCTCAGCATCCGGTTTTTATATAAACAGCTCAACCGATACAGCTTTCAATCCAGCTCCAGCATCACCGAAATCGCATCACTCGCATACACTTCCTGGCATGTTATCATTCGCATCTCCATTGTTTTCATCGCATTTTGCTATATTGCAAGAATCCACTGCCAAACGTCATCCATTCGAAATCATGTTGGTAGCCTCCAACGTTGTCTCTCATCCATGGTGTGTAAAGTCTCGACCGCACTCTGCTGATTCAGCTAGGACTCTAGATGTGTATATGTCAGCTACTGATGCGATGGAGCTGTGGGGGGCTCGTGATTGGAATGAAGATATTCAAAGTAGTCGGGAATTGCCGCATTCTACACCACAGGCAAGTTTTGCAAGCAAAAAAACCGGTCATTCCTTTAATTAAGACTGACAATCGCCACTGTTCTTATAAACAGGAGCGTATAATAAGAGACGCTACATCCGCCAAACTACATGCTGAATTCGTTGATGCTGCTATCAAAGGCGCCTTAGCTATTGCCAAGAAGGCTCTACAGCCAATCAATCCTCAGGAGCCTGAATCCCATCAAATATTCATCCACGAAAACATATTCTTCTCTGCTGGTGCAGATGCTGATGGTAGACTCGAAAGTTTTGGAGGCTCAGAAGCTGCCCATGTCACTATATCAAAAGACATTGATGGTGTCCGTGTATTGAACTCGAGAGAAATCGAAGGGTGTTATACATTAGGAACTGCACTGATTGACTATGCCGGTCGTCGGATCCTTGCTCAAACAATCATACCAGGTCTGCTACGTAAAAGTCAGCAGCAGCAGAATGCAGTCACGTATGGTGCAGTCGATTCTGGGAAGGAGATTGCTAGCGATCCAAAATTCCATGAATTGTGTGAACGAGTTGCTACAGATTTGCATCTGGTCGAACATGTCGTTGAAGACGGTGATGGCAAGTCGCACTCGTTGTGGACTTCAGTGGATACTAAAGGAATTTTGGGTAATGATGGGCGTATGTACTTGCTGGACTTGTATCGATTGACTCCAGTGGATTGCGAATTCATGGAGAAAGTGGAGAAGGAAGCTGCTGAAAACCCGTATCCCCATAAGATGGTGTTTTTACGTCATGAGCTTATTGAAAACTTTATGGAGTTTAAAGTTAGAGAGTTCTTGTTGGCCAATCGACCTCAAGTGAGTTGATTGTGGATGGCTTCTGTTGACGGGGTTTTTTGGTGTTCTGTTTGCTCACGTCTGAACTAACGCAAATCTTCATATGAATCGTGTATTAGCTTGAGGCAGAATTTGCTGCAGAAAAGACAGAAAAGAGCAATGCTGTAGAAAATGGTCAAGTTGAAGCCATTGGAAATGGGCATGCTGTCCAAAATGGTGTCGATTCATCAAAAGCAAACGCAAACGGTGTCTCGACCTCAGATGAGAATGGTGTTGCTAAGACTGAACAAAATGGAACAAATGATTCATCAGGTAACATTTCTATAATGTGTTGGAGGTCGTTGCTAAAAAACCAAAGTAAATCAACACAAAACTCTGAATTTAGATCCCAATAATCTTTCTGAGCTCCACTTTGACTTGAGAATGAATCCTGACGCATTCACTCCAGTCAAGCGTAATGCTACAGAAGAGATCATTGAGGCTGAAAACGAAATCGTCCGTCAAGCTTCCAAATATATCACTGACCAAATGATACCTGGTTTCGTAAGTTTCAATTCAGAGCTTTGCCTTGAGGCAAAACAAAGCACAGACAGTCTCACTCGATAAGCAATTAGATCGTCGATGTAATCAATAACCCTTCAACTCACCCTGTTGATGGAGAAGCATTGACCAAAAAGATGCATGCCAGAGGCATCAATATGAGATATTTAGGATATCTTGCCGAATTCTTTGAAACGAAGCTTCCAAATTATGGTATCAAGTATACCTTGGAGTTATGTATACAGGAAATGATGGCTCGAGGTGCTAAGAAGGTCGTACGAGACTATCTAAAGGATACGCCAAGCTATCTCTGGTCTTATTGTGTCAGTCACTTTTTGAATTGTCTGTTTTCTGATGACGGTGTTACTGTTACTGCACCAGTTGAATCTCTGCACTCCTCTGTAAGTGATAATAACTTGAACTATGTTTCTTTTTTTCCCCTTTCGAAAATGACGGGTCGTGTCATATGCAAACTTCGTTGCTCATAAACACACCACTAGTTCCTGCCAAATTCCGACGCACCACCACCGTTTGCTGCGTTAACACCAGCTTTACTACACGAACGTATACAACGAGAAGTCCTGTCTCGATTCCGATACACGCTTGCACCATCATGGTGGAAGTCCCGTCGTCTACGACTGCTACGATCTATATGTATCAAAGTTGGTATTCAAATCGAAGCTCGAGATTATGGTCTCTCTCAACAAGCTGTATCCTTTAAACCATCCGACATCATAAACCTGTATCCGATCATTAAAGCGCCGGAGCCCCGATCTGGTATGGCCGAAGAAGCCGCAGAGCATGGTAAAATGGCCTTGTCGAAAGGCCAAAAAGATTTTGGTATAGAACTCATCACGGAGGCTGTCACTATCGCTGAACAAGTATATGGACCTGTGCACCCTGAGACGGGTCGTGCGTTGGCTCAATTGGCAATGATACACTTCAGCAACAAGAATTATGATACCGCTCGTGAGTTGCAGAGGAAGGGTGTCATTGTTTTGGAACGGACTTTGGGTGTTGATGATCCTGATACCTTGCAACAATATGTAAGTTTGTGTATGGTCGAGATGCATGTGTGAAATACTGATGTGTTTTACATTTGATGTAACATCTGTAACGTTTTTCCCCTCAACAGATGAATTTGGGATACTTTGAGTACTCGCTCAACAATCTGCATGCTGGTCTCAAGTATATGCGTTGGGCTCTTCAGTATTGGGAGATGTTGACTGGAGGTGATAAACATCCTGAGGATGCCTCAGCTGATGTAAGTAAACTCGGTTTCATCAACGACATCCGCCAAGCCGTTTAAATCGAGTTTTTCCCTCTTCGAAAAAATCTAGGCCAATATTGCTACTATGCTTCAAAAACTCAAGGACTACCCATTATCGAATCTATTCTTTGAAAGAGCAGCAGCAACAAATGAAGTCTTACTTGGCCGTGATACTATATTGACAGCAGTATCATATCAGTCATTGACGAAATCGTACTTCTTGATGAGTGACTATCGCAAAGCATTGGCATCTGAACGAGCTGCCTTCAACTTTTACAAGGAGAAGCTTGGTTTGAACGATCCTCGAACGCAGGAATCTGCAGCATTGCTGAGAACCATTACTGAGAAGGCTGTTGATGATGTAAGTTGATTAAAAACAGTTTGTTTCATGTGAGACACTGAATGCTTACAACGTCAATCAACCATGTCATACAGGCCAAGAAGGAACAGGAATCTAAAAAGAGACAAGAAAAGAAACAGAAGCTAGTCAAGTCAGTGGCGGCAGAAAATGGAGCCTCAAGAGGCCATCTCCCAGTCGACGAATTACTGAAATTTATTGGCGGGGAGGCACAGCCTATAAAGAAAAAGAAGAAGAGTGCCAGCTCTTCACCCTCTGCAGAATTACATTCAGTCGAGGTGTAGATTGAAAACAAAAAACGCAATTTCAATAAAATAAACATTTCCCATCAGATGCTACGAGTCAGAGCTTGAAAGGACCGTTAAATTTGAGTGAGAATCGACAGGAAAAGAGTGTAGATGTGGTTCTGGTTATGTTTGGTGAAGTGAGTGCTGAACGCGATGAATGACGAATGACGCGAGTGCTCCATCTTAGATGGACGATTTAGCGCCGGTTCAATTTGCACATGATTTGCCTATTGAAAAAATAGAAATGGCTGCTGTCCGCAAACACGTATAAAACCATTGCGTCCCGACTTCCAGCAAATAGGACAGCAAAAAACTCAAACATTAGCCCAGTGACTCCTTTTGCATGGAAGCATGTTTGAAAAGGTAAAGAATTTCGATTTACCTTTGGCTGCTTGATTCTCGGCGTTCTGTCGACGTAATGAGCTTCAACAAAGTCGAATCTCACAACTCTGGAATTCGACCTTTTAGACATTGACTGACCTGATTAGAGGATTACGTGCCAATAAGAAGAATGAGGACAAATATGTGGCCCTGTGTCTGGACGAGATACGCCAAGAAGTGCGTAAAAATGACCCAGACATCAAGGCAATGGCTATTTCTAAACTGAGCTATGTAAGCATGCCGAGATCTACTTTCCTGCTATCATTATTTATGTTAATACTTGCAAACCATTTTCAAAAATTAGTTACATATGATGGGATACGACATGAGTTGGGCTTCCTTCCATATTATCGAAGTCATGTCCTCGCCAAAGCTACCATACAAGAGAATTGGTTATTCTGCTGCTGCTTATTCCTTCAAGCAAGATACGGATGTCCTTATGCTATGTACAAATCTCATCAAGAAGGTTGTTTGGTTGTTTGGAAGGGTGTAACATTTGGCAAAGGCTAATCTGAGATTGGCAACTAGGACTTGTCGTCAAACAATCACTTAGAAACAGCTGTCGCATTGGGTGGATTGGCCATGATTGTCACTCCTGATTTAGGACGTGATCTGACGCAAGACTTGATTGTCATGTTAACGCATTCACGACCATACCTTCGAAAACGAGCAATTCTTGTCTTGTACAAGGTCTTTCTGAAATATCCGGAAGCTCTACGTATGGCATTTCCGAGATTGAAGGAAAAACTAGACGATGCCGATCCTTGTATGTGAAAAATCGTTGTTCGAAGCATACAAGACAAAACACGTCACTTATTGCCGTAATTTTCTTTAGCGGTGGTATCAGCTGTCGTGGGTGTGATTTGTGAGCTTGCACGAAAGAATCCAAAGAACTATTTGCCGCTGGCTCCTCAATTGTATGGATTGTTGACCAATTCTTCAAACAACTGGATGCTCATCAAGATCATAAAACTGGTTTGGACATTCACTTCCAACCTTCATCTTTTATCAATGTGCTTCTAACATTATCCTTGATCTAGTTTGCCGCTTTAGCTCCCATTGAACCACGGCTAGTGAAAAAGCTGATTCCTCCTATCACCAATTTAATTCAAAGCACACCAGCAATGTCTCTATTGTACGAGTGCATTCTTACAATTATAACAGGCGGTATGATATCTCCACCATCCGATGATCCTGAAGTAGAGAGAACAGATCTTGCCTTGACCCATCTATGTGTGACGAAACTTAAGTTGTTTATAGAGGATCCAGATCAGAATTGTAAGAACGTAATCAAATACGTATATGGGGTCGGTATATTATTTCTCTCTAACATCTTTTTGTTGTTAGTAAAATATTTGGGATTATACGCCCTGTCGAAATTATTGCCGATTCGGCCGGCTGCTGTGGCAGATCATCGTGATATTGTTATTCGGTGTCTGGACGACGGAGATATAAGCATTAGAATGAGAGCACTAGATTTGGTCTCGGGAATGGTATGACTGAATTGGTGTACTTTTCGTGAAAGTTGGTTCAACTAAAATGAACCTATGCACATAGGTCTCGCAAGAGAATCTTGTCGATGTGGTGCGAAAGCTCATGACTCATGTGCTGCCTACGCAAGCAGAAGACCAGCCAACACAGTCTGTCTCACTTGGACTGGGCCCAGCAGAATTGTCTTACCGACAAGAAGTTGTCAATCGTATCATTGCAATCTGCTCCCGTGATACTTATGCAGACATTACAAACTTTGAATGGTATATAGACACTCTGGCTCAATTAATCCAGGCTTCAAACGTCAGAGTCGGACAACTAATTGGACAGCAAATGTTGGATGTAGTCGTTCGAGTCACTGAAGTCTCTGAACATGCAGTCAGTGTAGCTAATAGTCTTTTGCTAGAGTCAGATATACTAGCCACCATTGAGAACGAGCTGAATAATATTGACGTATTGTACGCTTTGGCTTGGATTTGTGGAGAGAATTGTCGGTACTTGTCGCAGCCCACTGCAGTACTGCGACATATGCTTTTGCCAGCTGTGAAGAGGCTGCCAGTCGTTATTCAATCTGTATATATACACAATGCTATGAAGATTTTCTCGTATTGGATCAATATGCCATCAACCAAGGAAGCTCCAATAGACGAGCTCAAGGCCATTACCAACATGACACTGGAAGGCTTGGCACTGTTTACCACGAGTATAGACCTTGAAGTTCAAGAGCGGGTATGACGTTGTTGAGTCCCATTCATACGCAAAAAAAACCACAGGAAATCTGTGTAACAATAATACCTGATTGTCTTTAGGCATGTACCAATCACACCATCTTGTCGTTGGTAGCCCATCAGATCACGTCAGATGAGCTTCCGCCCATTATATCAGAGCTACCACAACTCTTCCTTGGTGACTTCAAGCCTGTAAATCCCAAGGCTCAAAAGCGAGTGCCAATTCCAGAAGGCCTGGATCTGGATAAATGGATTCATGCACCACCAGCAGAGCCTGTGTTCGAGGAAAAAGATGAGCCAGATGTTTATTCATTGTTGGATCCGGCGTCCAAGAAGGGATATCAAGAGCTCATTGAAGATGATGAGACCATCGAGACGGTATGTTTGACAATTTGTGAAATCGCTTGCATGTTTTTTACTACATTTAACGCCTCTGATATGAACCCTATAGAGACGACGAGAACGAGACGAGTTGCGAAAACGAGATCCGTTTTACATACCTGGCTCATCGCAGTCTTCTCCAACATTGCTTCGAGATGATCTAGACATAGATTCAATACCCATAGTCAAACTTAATCTAGATTCCTTACCACAGTCAAATAGTAGTAGCAGCAAACCGAAAAAGACCAAAAAGTCGAAGAAGTCAACAGCCAAAGAGCTTTTTCCTGTTGGACCTGCAGTCCCGAAGAAGAGTTATAATATCAATAGAGCATCAGATATGCCAGATGGTGCTGCAGATAGGGAAGATGATGATGCATCAGCTGCTGAACTTCAAAGAAGACGCCAACAGGATCCGGAATGGAGAGTGCATGAGATTGATTTATTTGCTCCTGAGCCTGAAGTACCCGTAGAACAGACCCCCATTACTACGGCAATGAAATCCAAAAAGTCAAAAGAGAGTAGTAATATAGAAACGGATCAAGTAAAGAAAAAGAAAAAGACTGCAGGCAAGCAGGATGATGGTAAAGGCAATGGCACTAAACCCAAAAAGAAGAAGAGAATAGCTGCGATTGCTTCTCCACCGCCACCTGCTAGCAGTTCAACACGTCCATTATCTGGATACGAAGCCCTGTCGTCGCCAGTCGCTGCTCCATTGGATGTAACACCCGCAGTTGAGAGGAGAGATAGACCACTCGCCAGGGTGGTTGCAAGCGACACCAACCTCACGGTAAACGTCGACTGGACTACCACTACAACTTCAGAGCCTGGCAAGATACCGATACGTGTAACTCTAGGTCTCCTGAATACGTCACCAGGTTTACTATCAGAAGTAGAATTCCACTTTAATGATCCGCCCAATGCCACTGCAGAGTCTGGTAATCCGACCATCAAGATTGATGGGTTTGTCACTAGTCGATACGAAACGTATCTGGATTTAGATTTGACGGGATTGATGGAGGGTGAATCAAAATCATGTGCTCCAATAGCAATCGACTCTGGTGTAGTTTACAAGATTGGAGTAAGCCGACCTTTACGTTGAGTTTAAACATTCTCAAGTATCTGCAATGCTCACAACATCTTTCTTGTCAATAGAATTCGATGCAACGTGTTAGCTTCAGCTTGGTAATTCCAGCAACAATTAACTTCATACCGATGGAAAAAGTCACCTCGGAACTATTTACATCGCTGCTCGCCGACTCTAACTTATTCCCATACACCGCATCCACTCAATTCGCCATTCCCGATCTCGCTAAATTCCCAAGTACAGCTACATCTTTAGCAGCATATCTGAGGCTCTCTGTAGTGGAAATAGTAGGAGCTGGAGTCTCCATCCTTGGACGAGCTCATAATAGCTATGTCGCTGGGCTCATTAAAGGTCGTCCAAAGCCAGCAAAACCAGGAGCCTCTGCTACATCAGGTGTAGTTAGTGTGGAATTGAAGGGATCGGATCGTGCGTTGATTGATGCTATATTGGAGGAAATCTCGGATTATGGAGTTGCATCACTGGAATAAATATGTTCATGTATAGTTATTTGTATGAAGTACATAAATTCATGAGCAAAGAGCATCCCAACACCGAAATATTATTCGGTGGCATCTTCATCAGATCTGCCCTCATGGCTTCAACTTGAACAAAGACACTGTTAGGACCTCCTTCGTATGCTTGACCCACAGTACTATAGTCTCCATTATGAGTATATACCCAAAATCGTGTTTTCATGGTTTTTACGAGAGATGTACGGCAAGCGCCAGGATGTGCCGATTCCGAGAGAGAGCGAGAATGGGGGCGATTTTTATAGTCGATAAGATGCACTCCACGCGTTTACAAGTTTACTTCGTCAGCATTATGGTGCTGTTGGGTCACCCAAATATAATCGGGTGGAAACAAATACACTCAGTGGATCGATGTTACTCCTCCTCGGAGTTGCCCAAATGAGCCCAGTGAAAGGGTCAGCAGGCATGTATAGCTCAATCTGGCTTCTCACAGAAGGCATCATTGATGAACAAATCCCGAAACCAAAACAATCAAGCATTTCCAGCAGTCCGTTGCTATTGATCTATAAGAGCAGTTCGTAATCCAAACAATATGATGGTCCTCTTGAAAGGTATTTTAATATCCACATTTAATATTAGCTTTTATACGTCTGATGCTTCAAGCCATGTAAGCATGAGCATTTCAAAATTTGAGAGTTCAAAATGTTGATGTCGTAGATCTTGAGCAAGTGGGGCGTACCAAAAGCTGATTGAATGGCAACTGCAACTTGACTCGAGTTGCCGATGTGCTTGAAGAGAGTGCGGAGGTTTAATAGATTTCAATAGGAATGACCCTGATATATTCGTTACGTATGCATTCATGCTCTGCTCTGCGCTGCCCCTCCTCCTTCTTGACATCTGTGCATGGTTTGATGTTCGGAGTCTGCCATATATGTGACTGCCCAGTTCTCCATTGATCCAGTGGTAGAGCAGCGTGGTGATGGATACTAACTACGTGACGGATACGAAAAGAAATACTGTTCCAGTCGTCTTTTGAGTGAATTGGTTTGCAAACCTGGATCAACATATGATGAGCTGAATTATTACAACCTCACATATAATGTAATGTTCACCAGCAGCAGCAATATTTTTGGCTATTAAATGAGATCTTCGTAGGGGAAATCTTCCTTCGCTAGCTTTGAATATAAGTTTCTAGTTAACTTCTAACGACACAGTTAACTTGGGAGCGGCAAACTTACAACTTCAGAAAGGACACCAGTAAGAGCGCAGATGCTATTTCGGAATTTCGGGACGTAGTTATTCAACCTATACTCTCTCGTGACAAAGACGGGGCATCAATTGGCGCTCAATCCTCAAAACCGTTAAAGCATCCTAACACTACAGTACCAGCACGGTGCAATTCATTCAGGCACGGACCGCAGCAACACGATTGACCTAAGACCTTTGATACGCCTCATCAAACTAGCAAAGTTAAAAGGGATGCTTCAGAAACGTGACAAGGTCTTCGTATCACGTAAACCTTTCCATGTTTTTTCTTGGGGTCGATAGGCGTTCGCTCACCAAACATCACCAAGAAGAGACCTTCATGTCAGACGTAGAACCTGACCTATCCGAGAGCGATGATGCACGATCGGAAACCACCGATTACTCGTACAGCAAATCGGAGGTTGCGGCAACTTCCGAACTATTTGCCATCCAGCAGTCCTTACTCCATCAAGTTGAAGATATAATACCACCGTCAACAGACTCGCTATTGGAAAATCTCAGTCTGAAGCATCTCTGCTCCTTTGATGGATCAACCTTAAAAATAATTCCACCAAAACAACCTGCAAATGCGCAAGACTTTAAGCTTGACGTGGAAACTCTTCGAGAGTCATTGGGAGCTGTACCTGTCAGAAGATTAGAGTAAGATGACCATTTTCCCAAGATTACTTTTTTGTTGGTTTGTGTGTTCGTCCTTCGCCAAAACTAAATTCCATTCTATTTTCCGTAGAGTCTCACACGTTGTCTGCACTGAATCTGATTTGGCCAATTGCATCTCTGCTTTTGATTTGGAGGAGCTTGCTCTTCGTGGCATAGCCTTTGATAAAATTTCGTGAGTGTTAAAAATCGTTTACATAGATATCGTGAGTGTTTGAGCAATCGGTTGGTAACTCTTGAATGGCTTTTGATAGACTTGAAGCGATTCTACAAGTGGTTTCAGGGCTGTTTACCGGGATAGTAGAATTGGCCTTGAACGCTCTCAACCTGCATTCAAATCCAAAGAATGTCCAAGCTCTCTCCAGATTCATAACCACCAACAAAACCGTCAAACGTCTCTACATTACCGAGAATGGATTCGATGATGATTCTATCAGTGGTATTGCAGCAAGCATACAGAAAAACACGTCGTTGGAGTTACTAGACGTTAGTGCCAACGATTTTTCAGACCGGGGTGCAATGCAGTTGAGCGCAGCTATGCGGGCAAACACCACATTGTCACGGCTGCATATGAAACGTAACGACAAAGTGACACCCAAGACTGCAGTGCATATCTTCCAAGCTCATAAAGGGAGGATACGATTCTTGTTGACTCAAGGTTCCAAGTCTGATGAGTGGACTTTTCCAGGTAATGTTCCCTGACAATGCCGTCACCAGTTTGTTCTCATGTGTATCTATTTCATAGAACCTATTCCGGGTCAAGTTAAGGTCCCTCTATCCAGTATGTAGCTGAAACAAAATGTATATATAAAGTTTCCCCGATCTGATTACTTCCCATTTCTTTGCAAAAGACGGGCTATCAGGGGCTGTAGGGGGATACGAATTTGCAAAGCTGTTGCAGGAGATGAAGAGTGGAGATTCGGTCTTTTCTGTCAATTTCGGCAACAACAATATTGATGATGACGGAGCTGCTGCTGTGGGACAACAGCTGAAGAATGATACCAAACTAGTATCTCTTGATTTACACAGTACGTGAAAATCGTCATCACAGAATTTGGAGTCTTTTAGCCAATCCCATATGTTCCTTGTAGGAAATAAAATAGGATATGCAGGCATGGAAGTGATTGCCCTGGGGCTGGAGGCCAATACGACGTTAATGTCGTTGGATTTGAGCCACAACAATATTGGGATGACTGGAGCTTATTACGTTACCAGAATTATATCAAAGAATCGAACACTGAAATATCTCGACCTGTCGGCAAACCGAATGTCTGATTCTGGCATTGAAAAGCTTGCATCGGCTCTCAAAAGCTGTGAATCTTTAATATCTCTGGCATTGCGCTCAAACCATATCAAAGTTGTTGGAGCGGTGTGTCTGGCCAAGAATCTGCCGCCACACCTCACCATCTTGGACTTGAAGTACAATACGATTGGTAATGAGGGTGCTCTAGCATTTGCAGCACTATTAAAGGAGAACAAGTCCTTGGTCAAGCTAGACTTGGCTGGTAATGAGATCGGGGATGAGGGGGCTGAAGCGTTGAGTTTGGCGTTGCTGGAAAATGATACAATGTTGGATCTGTCGTTAGGAGGTAGGTGGTACTTTGGGAAAGATTTCGACTCTGAGCTTGAAAGTTGATTCTTCTGAATAGTGAATACAAAGGAATTCATCGTGAACGTCGACGCCAATATTGGCAAGGCGCCAGCCCCCAAAGGCACTGCGCAGGTGCAAGTGCCCGCAGGCAGGAGGCAGTCCGTGCCAACGGTGATACGACGTAAGTTTTTGAGTCTTTGATCAATAGTAGCGCGTTTGAAGACATCTGACTTTTGCCTTCTTTCTTAGACAAGGGGATGTCATCGAATACGATTTCCGAGGTTGGTAACCAACATGGAGGACGCATCAAGTTCCGAGATATCACACAGCCAACTAATTCACGAACTTGAATATGATATGTGTTGATTTAGTATGAGAAATTGTATGTGTGTGAATAATTTTGCATGAAGACTGACTGACATAACATATAAAAAGACGACGAGGAGTAACTCGAAAACGCGCCGGTTTGGCGATACAATTTGATACAATCAAGAGCATCCTTCGTGTTCTAATTTGGGAGCTCGCTCAAAACCCCGGAAGCAGAAACCAATCAACAAACCTTGATTAACACGCCAAACCGACGGTTTGATTATAAGACAGCCAGTGGCATTCACCAGATCCAAATGGTAGCATGCATCAAGCTGTCCCGGGAGACCACTCTTATACTGATGATGTTTCTTTCTGGAGGCTTCTTTCTGCTCGAACTAGTGTCGGCATATGTAGCGGGGAGTATTGCTCTAGTCGCTGATGCCTTCCACATGGTAAGTCCAATAGCCATCCATACGATACGATACGATACCTGGTATCACACCAATTATTCCTATCACTTCTTATTCATTCATTCTGGCTCGCAATCACTCACACATCAACTTGACTCCAGTTGTCGGATGTCTTGTCCTTGATTATCGCATACTACGCCATCAAGGTAATTCTCAATACCTTACAGATGGAACCACCAGCTCAATTCAATCATTCTAGCTCGCCGCTCGAACTACTCGAGGACCAAAGTTCTCTTATGGATGGCAGAGAGCTGAAGTATTGGGTGCGCTGGTAAACGGAGTCTTTTTATTGGCACTGTGCTTTACCATCGTCATAGAAGCTCTGCAACGATTCGCACAGCCTGTCCGTAAGTTGAGATTATGCCAAACTTGTCCTAAGTGACGTGTCAAAACATTTATTGACATCTGTTTGTTCCAAACAGGTGTTGAGAGGCCGATATTAGTATTAATTGTGGGCTCAGCTGGTCTGGGAATGAATTTGGTTGGACTGCTACTCTTCCATGGTAATGTGACCGGATGCGTTTTTTGTGACATCTACTTACCAATATTCATATGTAATGTAGAACATGCTCATGGACATTCGCACTCGCATGGCGACAGTCATAATCATAATCACGTTGACGATCATCTCGAAGATGAGGAAGAAGCAAATGCTCCCATAGTAACCCATAGTCGTCGCTCCAGTTATCTGAATACCCAAGATGGTCCACTATCTAGCTTATCACTATACCCGGCTCAAGCTAGAGCTGATATCATAAATGCTGCTGAAATACTCAGTCATCGAGACCTCGCAGATGCAAACCCTCATCCAGAACCTGGTGCTGGATTTAGAACTGAAACTATCTTGAAAATGTCTCCTGCACTTCCTCATAACGCACAAAAGTCTCCATCATTCTCAAACAAGACCTCAGCCATAAATGGTCGAGCTTCTAAAGATACACATGTCCACAATCATGATGACCACGACCACGATCATGCTGAACATCAGCACTCACATAGTCCAGACCACGAACACGAGCATTCTCACTGTGATAATGATCATGCTAATCACAATCACTCTCACGATGGCCACAAACATCACGACCACGATCACGATGAAAAGAAGGCTCATGGAGGAGGACACTTGAATATGCAAGGAGTCTTTTTACACGTGTTGGGTGATGCTATGGCATCGATTGGCGTCATAATATCTGCACTCATCATCATCTTTGCCGATGGTGATTGGAAGTATTATGCAGATCCAGCTATATCTATAGTCATCACCATCGCCATCTGCTCATCAACTATACCTCTGGTTCGAAGTGCTGCCTTCATACTGTTGCAGGGTGTACCGCACTCTGTGCCTATAGAAGTATTGAGGACTCGCATACTAAAATTAGAAGGAGTAAGTACCTTATCGATGCCGTTTGTGTCATGTCGAGTTACCTTCATTTGCATCTAGTCATCGTTGACTTGTGGCTTGTCGCATCTACTGACAGCACTTTGTCCAACTTCAATAGATTATAGATGTGCACGAGCTGCACGTATGGCAGCTCTCAGATACAAAAGCCATTGCTTCAGTACATGTCATTGTACAGGCTCCCTTCACAACTGCTTATGGATCTATACCACCAGATTATATGGCCATAGCATCTAGAGTAAAGCAACTCTTACACGAATATGGTATCCACTCTACCACGGTTCAGCCAGAGTTCTTTTATTCCAAGGGTAAAAGTGTCAGTGAGGGACGAAGTAGTCCTGGATCTGAACCTCCACACATGGACCTCATCGATATCGTCGACAAGGTATGTTTGGTTGAAAACTCTTTGATATGTGGACTTTTGTTGATCAGCCTCCTTGGTCGACTTGTACTGGAACGTATCATTACTGATTAATTACGGCAAGTCCTCACACTCCACCTGCATTTTCTCTTCTCTTGTAGAATACTCTTGTCGAACAAACATGCTTATTACGTTGCGAGGAAGACTGCATAGAGAGTATGTGTTGTCCTGCACCCGCTACTGCCAAAGTATCACCGGCAAACGATCTACCTTGATCTACGTAACCCCCGTGAGACAGATATCCTCTTTATACACTTACTTCTTTGTATATATACATTCACACGTCCAGTTTTTGAGAATACAAAAAAGGATCATACTATAAATTGATGTGGTGCTTTTTCTATTTGACTCGCAGGAAACCTCTCACATTTACAAGAAAGTCCACCAAGCCACTACGGAAGGAATCGAATTTCGAACCTCGTAGAAACGTTCCAGAGGTAGACGTCACAACCGTCATAACATCGCTTGCAGCAATTGCCAAGACTTGGTTAAGAGATACAAATGCAGCTGATAATCGAGACTTGATGGCAACATCTTCTCGAGAGTCTACTAGCTGTCTCACAAACTCTATATACGTTGCCTAATTTGGAAATCATCAATATTCGATGTGTTATTCCACTAAATCTCGTTCTCTGACAAAACAAAACACGACAGAAACTGTCCTTACGTTTCTACATATTGTTAACACAAAGAATGCCTCCCCAGCAGACTCAATGAGGTCTGGATCAAACTCCTTAAATAAGAGACATTGCAAGATTTCAGACAGGAGAGAATCCAGATGAGGTTGAATATATACAAGTGCTGGGTCTGTTGAGGATTGAGAGTGAGAATGTTGCTTTGATGCGTAGTTGCTCAATACTCAACTATTTGTTGAACATTCTTACCCTGAATGGCTTCGGGTTTGCGAGACCAAATAGCCAATGTCATAGCAGCCTCAAAGGCTGATCGAGCAATCTCATACTCGGTAGCATCAAATCCGTAAATCAAGGATTTGACGAGGGAAGATAAGAGTGGAGCAGGAAGCTGTATCAGACGTTCAGGAAAGTATTGCACCAGTCGTGATACGAGTGGAACATATTCACGACCAAGTTGTGGGTACTAAAAGAATTGACAGGCTTTAGTTGCAACATCTTCAAAAGTCATAACTTTCGACCAGTCCAAAGTCATATGTTCTCAAACCGTACGGACCTTGAGCATCTCCGCACTGATCAAAGGTATGACTGTATTAACACCATGAAACACAACATCACCGATTTTAGCTCGAGCTACACTCTCTATGAAACAGCACAAAGTACGTCAGTCATAATCTAAATTGTGTGATTGGCTTGCAGCTCGTCTCTTCGCTATTACCTCCTGCTCCATCAGATAATCCGGATTCCATGAGAGAAGACATGAGCCTCAACAAGGACGAGACGTCCTCAAACAATTCGTCCTCTTGGCCGACTTCTGCGGATCGAGACTTGCCGATTCCAGTTTTGCCAAATGTAGTAAATAAATTGAGCAAAGTGCTGGTCAACATGTCCATATCGGAAGGCTGTAATTGTGTAAACACGGCATTCCTGACAAAGGCTTCAAAAAATTGAAGTACGTATTGTTCGACTTCTGGCGAGTTGTGATATACATCGACTAGATGCACAAAGGCTCCTAAATATGGAGCGCATGCTGCAAATACAAGAGAGGTGGTTGCCATATCCTGAGACTGTGCAAGTCCAATATACAGCTCTAACGTATTAACAACCTGGAGAATGATTTCAGGGCGATGGCATACTTGGCTAAAGTTTGGTAGCTGAATAACGGCCAATAAACGTTTTTGGACGGCTTCGTTCAAACCAGTAAAATACTCTAGTCTAGCTTCTTCTGTAGCAGCGTGTGATGCGATGGTTGCAATGGTTTGAATCAATGATCTAGGAGTCAAGGAGGTCAGCGCTGTGTCGTGCCATGTCAATGAAATCAAAACTTACGTATGCACAATGGCCGGAATTCGATGCAAATTGTTGAGAATAAAAGTAGCGATACCTTGGAATTTTTCTAGCAGAGGTAAAGAATGAGATTTTAAGGCAATTGTATTTTCTTGTCCAAAAAAAAGCAATTGGTGACCTACCAGACTCCAGTAGTGAGTGGCGAATCATTTTGTTTTGAGGAAACGTATTCAACATACGGACAATCTGTGCTGTGACATCCGGATCTGCAACCCAGAGCACCAAATTGTCATGAATCATATCAAGTATGACCTCCAAAATACGGGATCCATTGTCGTTGACTCCAAAAGCAGCTATAATGGTTGGACTACGTAAAATCAACGTCAGAGATGAACACTAGTGTAGAGAGGAGGATTTCTACGTTTGACCAACTCATGTACCATCTGGGATGCTGTTCATCTGCATTAAGAAAGAGATACGTTCTGCTCCATCTTTCCACGAGCCAGAGTAAAGACTCTGCAACGAGAGGGCTACATAGTTCCATTTGAGGCAGGGATGGATCAACAGTCACATATTTTAACAAGCCAAACAACATATTTGGAAGTATCAGAGTGGGATTGGCCTCTGCTGCCACTTCGTTCTACAGAGCAGCACTGTCAGTTCGACATTCAAAAAGGCTCTAACAATGTAATAACGTACAGAAAGAGAAGCCAGGGAGCTTGGGACTAGAGGTTGTTCACCAACACCTGAGTCTGCAAGTATATAGCCGGCAATCAAAGTTAACCAATGAGTCTGTTCAAGAATTATCGACAGATTTTCTAAATTGAAGATGCGCGTCAATGGCTCAATTTTGCTAAAAAAAATGCTAATCGAAAATAAGAAAAGTACTTGAACAGTTGGTTTACCAGCACTCTGTCCCTCAAAAGCTCGCTTCACACATTCGACCCTTGCACTAATTTCCAACATCATCCTGTCAAGGGACTGACGGGGACTATTCCTTGCCAGTGCTGCAGCGGAAATCAATTGGTCTGAATACATTTCCTTAAAAAGTCACCGCCGGTCAGATACGCGCGGATGTAGATGGAAGTGAAACAGGTGTACCTGATCTTTGAATCCCATATCATCCTCATCAATACCATCTTCTTCTTCAGACGTGACTCTGGCCGTCTCCATTTGAGCGTCGACGTAGGTTGTAAATATGGAGCCTGACTGTGCTTGCAGATATGCTTTGAGAGCATCATAACCAGGGCCTGATAGTTGATTTGCGTCCGTAACTGTACGAAAATGTAAGCCGTAAAATTCCATATCCAAGGAATTTGGAACACTCACCAAAAGCAGACCAAGTCTCTAGCAGTTCTTCGGCTGCTTCTGAGCACCACGATGCTTCAGACCCAACACCTTGACGCAGACACAATCGAGTCAAAACACTCATGTCTTCAAGGAATCGAGACAAATGAGGTGATGATCCCAATATAGGAATAGGAAATCGCGTCAATAATCGGCGAGACATTTGCACTATCCCTATTAACTCGGGTCCAGATTCGTCGTCTAGATGGTCACTATTGCTGGACAGAAATCTGCAAAAAAAGGTGTAAGCTATAAATATCCAAATATATAACTGATACTGTTAAATTTCCTTACTCCTGAAGAAGACGCATCAATCCATCGAGAAAATGAGCAGCATAAGCAATTTGAGCGTCATTGTTGGGAAATATCCTTCCATGCAAACCAGCCAATTGTATTAAACACTGGCGAGCACGGTTTCCTGCATTCGAGTCCTTGGCTAACGCCTTGTAAGCCTAAATAGCGATAAAATGTCAGATAAAGAACGACAATGTATGTGAACAAGTCGCCATATTTTTGAAAATTACCAGAAAAAAGAGATCCAGCACATCCGGTCTGACAAGCAACGCACTCCAGGACTCTGGAAACACAGACACTTGACTCTTGGCTTCATCTTCAGCAGCATTCGTATCTGGAAGTACGTTTCGTTCGAATGCGCCACCCATTGTATTGTCCGTATCTGTGAATTCCCATTGAAGGATCGTTTCTGAAACGGCGACAATGCTTGCTACCAAAACACCGGTATCGCTCGATTCATCAAAAGTGGAGATAGCTGTTACTTCTGGAAGCGACGTAAATAACACTTGTAGAGCCATCTGAAAGATGTGTTGAAGTTCTGTTTTTTCAAAGGATTTCCGGCACTGGTAGTGAAAGGACCAAGGTAGGCCAATTGCACTAGCTTTTCCAGATGAGAATTCATTGATTAGGGCCATCAATAATGACATTGAGAGCTTTTTCTAGTGGCGAAAGACGTGTGAGTTTTGAATCTTAGTCGAAACAAGGCAAGTGCTGTACTTCAAAGACAGTTCCTTGTAAAAGATCAGCAGCGTCCTTAATAACCGCTTCCATCTCATCCTGTGTAGCATCCAACCAGCCCCGTTTAACCAAAAGAGCGGCAGTTTGAAGCAGTTGCTCCCTCACATAATGAGGTAAACTGTTGGGCGATGAGAGATCAATACCAATTCCAGTTCGAAACAACGAAGATATAAAATACCTCTGACCACGAGAAACAACAGTCTTGATGAGATATGTGCGCAGTGCTTGGATTTCTTGTTTGGAGTGTTGTGTGAATTCCCTTGTAATAGCCTCTTTCATGGCAGCAGCGACTTCAAATTGGACTAATGGATGACTGGCATGTTCTGCACACAACGTATTTGGGGGATCAGTCAAGATGCAACGTGAAAGACCACAAACTTCTTGCTGACCTAAAATGTATTGGCATACAGAAAGGATGCCAGGTGTTGATCTGAATTGAAGGAGGACACGTTCACCAGCTATACGAGTAGCAGGAGTCTATATTTGATGAAATTGTCTTAGTCAAGGCGAACTTTGAGAAGCTCAAAAAAAAACTCAAGAAACGCATTGCTAACCTGGAAGTCCCGGCATGCTTGCTCAAAAGTTCTAAGAACACTATCATAGTCCATTCTAATCATGTCTCCCTCAGCCACAAGTTACGGCAAGTCGTCCATCACCAAAAACGAGCTGACTTCAGTGAAAATTTCGATGTTGTGTCGTGATTTAACTACTCGCTCTGATAGCAATAAAATTCAGTCTTTCACGTTCTTACTGGGTTCTTATAAAGCAAAATGGTATATTGAATATGGAAAAGATACAGATACTCTTGAAGATCAGCAAAACAAACTCAACAAAAAATACTCATTTACTAGCATCTTATACAACCATAAAGACAGAGACTCATACTATTTCAGAATGGAGATCTCTTGCCCTTACTTATGATGAAACCAATCAATACAAGAATCGGCAAACGGGGCAAACTTGTAATAGCCATACCGCCTTTCGTGATAAAAAACATGGTCATCAGGAGTCCACGAGCAAAAGCCATGACTTCCTTTTCATTCGATTTAACTATACGATTGGGGAGGGTTCGTACATCCATCAGTTGCAACTTTAGAACATGGTTGAGACCGGCATTCATCCCACTGCGTGCCTCAGATATATCCTTCCAGTCGTTGACACTTGCGACATTGGTTCCAAACCTTATCTTATTCAAGTCCGGAAATCCCGGGGGTTCAACTGCTTGGCGTATAGCACCAGCAGTTCAATTTTCAGTTCGGGACAACTCGAGAGCCTTCAACCTATGAGCTGATCCATCAAGAAAGGTAGTCGGGTAAGAATTCCAAGATGCTCTGTATGTTTAGGTTGTCTCGCGCGGCATTTTGGGAATACGGAGTCAAATCCTTGTGAAGCTCGATGGATTGCAACAGATTTCGAAAGCGTTGGGATACGGTTCCGTCAAGGATTGCATTTGACAGATAGTTCAGTGGGACGACGGTGACGTTTGCACAGATGAGAGCCAATACCACGTTCATAATTCGGCGATTGACGAGAGACATGGCCAATCGAGTCTTCCTATCAGATAGATCGATGATGGACACCAACAACTCGCTTGGAAATGTACCGAGATTTGGTCTGGGAAGCACATCAGACACTTTGGATGGCTTAACAACAGATATGGTGTTGATGTTGTTTGATGTCGAGGAGGAGACTATAGAAGCCAAGTGTCTAGCTGGGCCGATTAGTATCGAGAATGGGTAAAAAACGAGTGCCAGCAAGGCAGTTTCGCTGAAAAGGACGTCTTACCTAGCAGCCAATCTTCAAAAGTGAGAGCTTGCTCTGTTCGGAAGCACGAGCTTCACAGATAGAGTTAATGTAAGATCGGCTGGTTCAGATGCTAGCCTATTTATACTTATTAATTTCGTTATTATCTTTCAGTTACAAGCAACATGTCCATGCCAGGAGCTAATGTCAGCTCATGAATGTGGTATGTGTTGTCATTAGCCATCCTCAATCGCCAAAGAATCAGATAAATGCCAATTTACGCGTCATCAATAAACTGGAATCTCAGATCTAATGTCCTCCGTACGCGTCGACATCTGCTTCGGCCTGTAAGCTTCAACAATCCATAATCAAATATCAAACCTCAAACCTCCAACTCTGAGCAGCTGTCTGTTCTCAACATTGAACGGGGGCAAATCTAACATAAGCACGCAATGGCACAACGAAATCAAGTGCGGGGTCCCACATCGGCCTTGACGAGGTTGGTTTGATCTTGTTTTTTCATTACGTTTTTGCAATTACTGCAATCCTTCACCGTTCGGCTCCTGCCATAATTGCATCTACTTTTTCAGTACTTTACTGCAATTGCTACAATTCTTTACCGTTCCAGCTTCGCTTAATGCTAACTTTTGTGTTCAAGCTTTTTGAGGGAACGTGGCATCAGAGCTCCTGCTATTGCCAGACGAAATCCGCAGCCTGCTCCTCCTGCTGTTGTTGCTGATAATAATCAAGACAATAATGATGCTGAAGATGGTGATGATGTGGTGGTGGTGATGGGTCAACCTGCAAATGTCGTGCCAATTCCTCAACGACGTAGAACAAGACAGCCTCGACAGCCACGAGCTAGAAGACGACCTGATGCTCCTACACCTGATAGTGACGCTGAAGACGACGACGAAGACGATGGCAATGACGACAGTGATGAACGACAACCAGTCACTGTGCATCAACCTATACAGATAGATCAAGATGAAGCCACTACAACTACAGAGGTCAGAATCGTTAGCCGCATTCAATTTCCATATGTCTTGACATTCCATTTCTCACCAGGCAACCAAAGCTTCAGCAAAACGTAAATCAGCTCCAGTCACTTCCCCTTCCTCTGGAAAAAAAGCCAAAACCACCAGTAAATCTAAAAAGAAGCCCACCAAAAGACAACAATCCGACTCTGAAGAATCCGATCTTGATGATCCTCTTCGAGATATTCTGCCAAAATCCAGCAACACCCTTCCCAGATCCAAACACTCAAAGCTTGCCAAGAACGCCACGTCATCGACAAACGCAGCAAAGCACACGGCTGACTTTTGTCAAAATTGTAAACGTAGATTCGTTCCCGATATCGATGCTCCGAACGCTACAATGTGCCAGGCATGTCTGACTGTCGGATCTGGCCCAAAAGTTAGAAAAGTGACCAAGAAGAAGAATGCTGCCAATGTGGTTGAAGATTCTAATGAGAAATTGATGAGTCTCAAAGATATTTGTATTCGCGTAAGTTGTGTTCTCTTAGTTAATCGTATTCGCAATCATCTAACATCTTGAACGGGTGACGTTAGATTGTGGCTGAGAATATTGACTCTGTGGATGAGTTTGGAGATATTCCTGACGATATTAAAATTAAAATATCAAAAATATTGAGTCGAAATCGCACCTTGGACTTGCGAACTATGAATCTCTTCCTTGGTCCACACGAAAGGACTGTCGAGCTATTCGATTGCTCTCGTAAGTTTTGAATGCTGAATTTCGGCGCTTCTTTTTTCTTCTTTCTGACGATCTTCGCCATTCACTAGGTTTGGATGAAGCTGCGTTGAAAGGAATTGCTCAGCTCTGTCCGAATGTGACCAGACTCAACTTGTCATTTTGTGGCAGAATGACTGGTAATTTTTTTTTTGATTATTTCCGTTGGGTCTTGTTTCCATTCAGTCCTCAGTCAACCACTTCCTGTTTAGACACTGTCTTGAATGAGATCACTGACAGATGCAACTCCATCCGGTCACTTCATCTCGCTGGTCCTTTTTTAGTCAAGGACGAAGCCTATGGAAACCTTTTTTCTACTCTAGGCTCTAAACTCGTTGAACTGCACCTAGAAAACGCAGCGAAATTGAGTGAAGTTGGTATCCAAGCCCTCACCACCCACTGCCCAAAGATAAAGTCTCTCTCCTTGGTCTCATGCCAAATGGTAGGCTCTACCGTCGTCGAATATCTCAGTAGTCTGGTATATCTAGAGAATCTGCGTCTGGACGCATTGGGTCAGGCTGTAAAGGGTGTCTCTGACGAAGTGCTACTGAAAGTCATCAAAGCTGTTGGTAAATCACTCAAGGTTCTAAAGATTGAAGGGTAAGCGTCGCTCGATTTATGCGCTGGAGGTGTCTCTTCAACTAAAATGATATTTGCACCTGTAGTTTCCCAGAGATGGGAGATGAGGTGTTGGAAGGAATCGGTGCTCATTGCCCATTGATTCGCAAATTATCATTGCGTGGATGCTCAAGCTTGAACAATGATGCATTCGTGTCATTCTTTTCAGCTAGCAACACAAAGTCGCCGTTGACAGATCTCAACCTTCAACGATGTGAGAATGTCGGAGACACTGCCCTCGTAGCACTTATAAACATCCATGGTGCTTCACTTGTATCACTATCTTTGAATGGACTGGAGGAATTGACAGAATATTCCTTACGTGCTATCGGTGCAACGTGTCACAATCTCCGTGACTTGGATCTGTCTTGGGTACGCCAACTGGATGACGATCTCTTCGAATCGATTATAGATCGATGTCGCAATTTGGAACAGGTGGCCATTTTTGGTTGTAATAGACTTAGTGAAGTGTCGCTACGTCGTAGTTGGGTAAATCGGGAAGATCGTAGTATCAAGCTGATTGGTAATGAGTTTGACTGAGGAAACTCGTTGGTGGAAACTGAATATAGTTTTGTGGCGTTTTTATAGTTTGAGATCAAATCCCTTCTCTACATATTTTGTTGTTGTAAGAATGAACAAGTACTTGTATATCCCCCAAGCATTTTTGTCCAACCGTCTAGTTCAAGGCTACCGTTCGGCGACTGAGCTTATCTATGTCGTCTAGTGGGTCTCGTTTATAAAAGACGGATGCAAACAAGGCTGGCAATTCACCGATTTTGCCGTTGTCTGCATTCTTCTTTTGTTGTCTGGTAGCTCTAGATGAGTATGCTACCAATATGGTGGTAGAAACTACAACTACTGCAGCACCACCTACTACAATTCCAACGACAATCGCCCAATGGAAGCTACTGGCGGCAGGAGCCGCAATTTCTTGGGTTGTGGATGCCACGGTTGCGACTTTGGCAGTCGTGTTTGCAGGCGCAGTCACGTTTATCGGTGCGGTTTCCGTCAGATTTCCTGGTGGGATCATGATGGCTGATATGATATCCACAAATCCCTTTTACGAAAAATGAAAAAGATAAATAATCACAACTCATGAGTCGCACGTAACAATCTGACGGAGACTTACAGAGGTTGCAGACAGATCTGCCAGCGTAATTGGAGATCCTTCAGCGGTAACATACGTTCCATTAGCAGTAGCATTCACAACCACGGAAACAAGTGATCCATACGCAGTTGGATAGCTGTTGTTTAATTGGAAGAGCGTCGATGGATGTGCGGCGTCGATGACTATATGGTATAAAAGCACGCTTCGAATCTGGCCCAATGTGAGATTTGCTAGTGTGGCGTTGGCAGCTGCGAAAGCCGCGTTGCTTGGTGCGAAACTGGAGAGGGGTACAAGGTGTTAGCGAATGAGGGTTTAAGGCTTTGAGAGGTTCGTTTGAGAAACGACACACAAGTGCTCACATGGTGTAGTGGCCTACTAGACTATCTACATATTCGGTCAATCCTGTGGCGTTCAAAGCAGCACTGAAATTGGTTAGCTGACGAGCAGCGAATACCGCCGATGGTAGTTGCGGTGTAGGTACTAGAAATGAAGGAGATGATCAGCAATTACCTCTTTCTCAATCGCGGTTGGGTAGCTACTTGAAGTTACGGGGGGGATCGAACTTACAAGGTGCATCCAAAACATACAGGAAACCATTTGTTGCAGGGTAGATATTGGACGAGTTGATGGCAATATCAGCAGTTCCTGTTACGAGATGAACCGAGGGTGATGTTGTATTGAAGTTGTCTGTAGAGAAATGAGCAGTTTAGTTAGTAAGCCTCCGAAATCGGCCAGCGTCACTGATCCAAGATTAAAACGGTCCCAACGTCGTCAAACACGCCTTTTACATATAAAATCATCCATAAGCTTACCATACACAAACGTTCCGTTGGTGATAACATTCTGCAAAATGTAATAGTTGGTACTTCCAGATGCATTTATGGGCATGTTTACTTGAGCGAATCCAGCAGTGGAATTGACTGGGAAGGCCGAATCTCTAGGCATGAAGACGGTGATGCTTGCGGAGTCGTTTGCCCATATTGGATTGGAGGCAGAGAGGTTGAGTCCAGTTTTCATGTATCCAAGACCAGTCATTACATCTACAATGGAATGTGCTGATGCGCCGGCCAGTAGAGTGGCTACATAGAGGATTCCGTTGAGTCTCATATCGTTACAGTGCCTGTGTGTGGTTTGGATTTTTTTGCCAAAAACATCTAGTCGCTCGGAATCGCAAACCTTCACAGATGAACCGAAACTTTCAAACCGCGCAGGCTCAAATCACACGTACACAGTGCTCAGCATATGATTGAACGCGACTTCATGACCGTGCAAGGATGGAACCACCCACAAAATCAAACTGCGGCCTTAATTGCAAGAGGGGATAAATTCTATGTACCATTGCCCATATTTACTGCACTTACTGCAACTAGCGACGGGGAATACGCTATACAAATTATTATTCAATATTATTGCTCATGCTCCAGCCCGTGATCCACGGATGTGCCATTACTTGGTCAATGTTGATACGTCTTAGTTGATCCGGTTCCAGCATCAGATTGAGCAGATTCGTAAACGCATCTGATCGTTTATATCGTGGAGCCAGATAACGTGCTTCACAAACAGAAAGAGCGTCCGCGAATGGTACTTCGCCACCGTTAGCGAGGATGTAGAGCAGCACACCTAAAGCCCATACGTCACTTGATCTTCCATCATGAGGCTAAATAGGAAAGGGGATTGTTAGCATCCACACCAACCAATAATTGGCATCACTGATTGTCAAGACAGCGAACTACATCACTTTTTTTGCACTCACGATTTGCCTGAGAGACTCTGGTGATTGGTAATGTATAGTACCACCGTTGAATCCGATACTAAACTGAGAAGGATGCCGTGGCATTGGCTGAGCGCTTCCGAAGTCGATAAGCTTGGCAACGAGGTCTTCCGACACGACAACATTCTCGTCCTTGATATCTTTATGCACGACCCCATTATAATGCAAGTATGCAACGGCACTGGCAATTTGTCTAAATATAATCCACACTTGCTCTTCACTTATAAAGGGATTGTTTTCGAGACATTCAAAGAGGTCGCGACTCGTTCGTTTCTTTCGTGAATCTGATGTGCTGTTACTACTTGAGCTGCTATTGCTTCGTGGCTTTCGTAGATCGACGCCAGAGTCAGGCCTGTTGCTAGTGAGGTCTCGTTCTGATGGGTTTTTATGCAGTTTCCGTGTTTTCTTGGACCAGTTGTCACCATGTATTTCGGTGACGAGGTAATAATAGCGGTGGTCTTCAAAGCACTCTATGAAGCGTATAATGTTGTTGTGCCGTAATTTCCTTAATAGAAACTATTTGAGTCAAAGACAAAGGATTTAGACATGATCGCACATGGAAAGGACGGAATTACGACAATACGAGAGATCAACAGAGATGAAGTAGTTTGCATCGAGTTAAACACTTTTTGCTGATACTTGAGGTACCACGTCAACTTACGATTTCCATTGGCAAAATCCCGTGCACAGGATCTCTCATAAACCCATTCAGCCCAGCGAGCTCCTTATAAATAAACTAGCAAACAGACGTTATGTTTTAGTTGGTTGCGGTGAGTGTGTGATTTGCCAAGACCTAATAACAAACACGAAGGTTACCTTGACAGCGACGTCTTCACCCGAGATCGTTCTTGCACTTCGTACAAAGGAAGTAGCACCAGATCCCAGCTCGTTTCCATATACTTGATACTTGTTCAAGAAGGCCGGATGTAGTTGATCAAGTTCAGTACCTCGTGAGTCGGGCACTGCAGCAGAACCACCACCATACTTTGTGACACTGTTTATGGGCGAAGCAATTGGCGTTGGCAATTGAGTATTCGGATTGATCTGATAGTGTAGTGGTTGTATTGCGACATGGAGTGGTTGTTGGTTTGGTGGTTGCCTGTAATTGTCGTTTGATTTTACGTGATGTAGATGTGGAGCAGGAGCAGGAAAATGGTGGGACATAGATGCCGAAGATACGCTGTGATGTACATATCTTGGAGGGTCGACATACTTGATTGGAGCTTCTGCGAGGCGTGGATGGTGTTGGTGGTGGTTTGCAAAGTCCTTTCCACTCATCGTTGCAGCTCAAACAGCAGGTGCAGAGATGGAGTTAGCTCGCTATAAATGTACTTGTCGACGGCTAGCTAGCTATATCCTTGATGGTGCCTTCAGACAAAAGTTCTTGGTTGGGGCAAAAAGTGGTTTGTTAACGGTCACACGTTGGGGAAAACTGCTGAGCCAACCTCCACCCTCATCACGCCTCGTTTTCATTTTGGCAACATGATAATAGTGGCCTATTGAGCAGTAATGGCATTAGCCACGTATATTTTCTAACCTCTTTTTCGTAAACACACGCCCACACATGAAAGTGTATCTGCCACCAACTGTTCCTTCCCATCATTTCATTCTATATGTAAAATACTGCTAACGACTTATAAAATTATACAAAAGAAATATCAAATTGTCCCTTCAATTGTCCCTTCAATTGTCCCCGTGTCCCTGTTGCAGAATGCAATGTTGTTTCTTCTTTCTAATATGAGGCCTGATTCCTGTTACTGTTGTTGCGACTGGTTGTTGTTGTTATTGTTGTTGCTGTTGTTGTAATTCTTAACATTGGTGTTGCTGTTGTTCATTCCGACAACCTCCCTTATCAAGTCTGCCAGCGAATGACGTTTCTTGACGCTAGCTCCTGTTACTTCTGGTTCTATAATCATCCTGGGGCTGCCCTTTATCAGCGTTGCTGGTCCGCTAGTCCCTTCATCAAGACTGTGACTTCTTCCTGTTCCTTCGCTGCTGCTATCCATCAAACATAATGGTTAGCATATGGGGCTCTTTTGTCAACTTGTCATCGATTGCCATCTTGTTCTCTTACCTAGACGCAGTGCCATCAGAAGGAGCATCTGGATTTCTAGCGTACTTGTAGCTTGGTGCCGACAACCAAGACTTGACCCTTCGACGAAGAGACGTATCACCATTCGACGACGATCCAGTAGATACTCTCGGGGTCATGAGTCGAGCTGGCGTACGAGCTGATGGTGACGAGCATGTTGAATTCAGAGATACATTATCGGCCGCGACGATAGGAGTAATCACATCGACATCACCCTGTTGTGGTGGTGACGAATCGGAGGAGCCTGAGCTATTAGACTCGGAATCTACTATAGATACCATTGAAGGGACAGTCTTGAGTTCCTCCTCTAGTGTCTCGTAATCTGCTGCTGACTTTGAGAGTGGGCGTGTGTTTGGGCCGGGTTCAACTACAATCCAGTTCATCAGTCCCTCTTCTCCTCCAGAGCTGGTCGGATAGTCACCACTGGTTTGTTTCTTATCATTGACGACAAAACTGAATGCTACCTTGGAACCAACACGAGCTCCTCGTGCTGGTGTTGCGACCCACGTTCCATTCGAAAGATGCGAGGCAGGGATGGTTCCACGCCATCCGTCATCATGGATTGCCTCCACCACTACTGAATAACTATTGGCATCGTGCCAAAATACAGCGTTTGGATCTTTGGGTGTCATCACATCGGGTTCTACTGATTCTGGTAGAATGCTATCTTCCTCGTCTGATAAAGACACTCGTTGTTCTATTTCTTCAACACTCACTGAAAATCCAGTGTGGATATCAGGAAGCGGCGATGGTGATGATGATGGTACCAGCGCAGAGGTCGCTTTGATATCTATAAGCGAGGCAGTTCGTGGAGGTGCTTTGCGACCACCGTCTGGAGTGGTAGGTGGGCTTGGTGGCAATATTTCTATGACAAATGTAAGCATTCAGTTGGAGCACAAGTGACCAGCAAAATAGAAACAACTACATCAAGTAAACTTACGTTTCTCAGCCTTCAACCACATGACAAACTCCTTTGCTCTTGCTTCAACCTCCTTCCACTCTATACCTTGTCTTACGAAAGATTCCTTCTTGATTGTGGAATTCCACCATCCGAGATGTCCAGCCTGCTTTGCACCACACTTATCCACTAATACATTCTCAATCTCCCGTCTCATCATTGCCATCGCCAAATATCTCATATCAATACCAGCCACTTCCGGCGTTGATAGGAAGAGCAGACCCCATGCCGAGTTGCTGGTTGTTGTATTGCTAGAAACAGCGGCTGGCATTCCAGATGCGCTTAACTGGCTGTCTTTTCCCAGCAACCCACACTCACCACCTGCTATTCCACGATCCCTTTTCACGAGGTCTGCATCGATGTCAAAAGCGCCCATGCATGCTACAATCCATTGTGCCATTTCGAAGGATCCTTTGGGGGCTCTAAAGTACAATCCACAATATTCTTCATCGGCGGTTTCTACATCAGACTTTCGTGGTTGACCCAATTGTTCGGCTTCTTGGCCAGCTGCTACTAGTGACGGCATCGATTGCGATCTGAGCATTGAGCCTCGTAGTCCTTTTGCTACAGGTTTGTCTGCAAAGAGACATACACATCCCTCAATTCGAAATACACCTTTGCAGTCTCCAATGTTGGCAGGGGCAGCTGTGGGATAGATTCCATATGCTTGAGTTACATGATGAATATACACGCTCTGTTTGCCCATTCTGAAGTCTCGTTTGCTCTAGAAATGGGGTTTGTGAGTGTCAAGACATAGCAGTTTGATGTGTAAATTGAATTCGTTGGAAATGACCCTACATTATAAAGAGCAATATGCCCTCCTCGATTCTTCTGACTGCCTCTACGTGGCTCTGCTGGAGGTCCAATTAAGACAGCGTACATTGTCTTCCAATTATCTGATGGAAGTAATACATCCAGCAACCCCTGGAAGGTGATCCTGCTCGTGTACACGGCCGTATTGAATGGTGTCATCCTCATAGAGTCCCAAATATGATAGCTACAAAAGAAATAGAGTGAGCAGAGCAAAAGCATACAAAACTGACAACAAAACTGACAAGGGTGGGTCCTTGAGCAAATTGAGGGTATAGTATTCATTGAGCTTGGCCAGTTCGAAGTTCACGAGTGCAAATGCTGCTATCCATGCATTACATGCTAATGAGCTTGGAGCAGCTAGATATAGTCCACTCTTGAACCGACTTGGGAAGCCAGTCAATACGAAAAACGAGTCATAAGGTACAGGTGGTGGTAGAGCGTGACCTTCTTCAGCATCGTACTGCGGTATGGAAGTTGCAAATGCTAGTGTGGTAGTAACGTCGATATCGACTGGCGTTGTGTCTGCCATCTTAATCTAGCCGTGGAATGTGCACGATTTCGGGATTAACCTCAAGTTCTGATACTCAAAAAGAGGATTTCGTGGCAGCGCTGGCCACAGATATGCATTGTCCTCACCTTCTCTATGATCTGCGAAGTTGGCCGGAGTTCCGCCTGGCAGATTGAGTTTGCAGACGGGCTGGAGACATAAGTAAGTGCAGCTAGCTCAACTGCGATCTTATAAAGCTTTAGAGTTCTTCCTTGGAGCTCTGCGTAGAACTTTAGCCAAGGCAGCGTTTTCGCCGATGAGGATGGCGATGATTGGAGCGGACAACCATAGAGGAAGCCGGTGCGGTACTGCTTGGATGCTTGCGTTGTAAACTGTGAGTTGATCCTCAGAGCCGAGGCATCTTGAGGGCCCTCGTAGCTCATCGTGAAGAACAAGCCTTGGGTTTTTGTGAAAATTGACAATCTTGACTTTTGCTCAAACCCGGTCAATCAGAAAACGGCCAAAGAGAAGAGCAAGAGCAACGTTTACAAGCCAAGTTGGAAACAAGAGATCCGAATACCACCCCCCGTCTATCTCGAACAGGCTTCCTGCAGTCCGACCTAGTAGGAGGCTCGGGCAACTCGGGCAACAACTTTGTATATTATACGCTCATTTGTACTAGAATACCTTTAATTATATTCATGACAGGTTCATTCCATGAATTAGTTATATTGCACCCTCTTGTCTGAGGTTCTGAATGTCCTTGTCAGATTTTCCCAGCACATCCTTCAGTATCTCCTCTGTATGTTGACCCAGCACCGGAGGTGGTAATCTGATACTTGGCTTGGTATCTCCATACTTTACGGGAATGCCTACAGTTTTGATATTACCAGCTTTTGGATGATACACAGTTTGGATCATCTCTCTATGTATCACTTGCGGATGCGAGAATGTTTGTTCTATACAAGTCGATTAGGATTTAGTAGAGCAACTCGTATGCAAATCAATTGTCAATTAAGTGTACCGATATTGTTGACTGGGGTTCCTGGAAGATTGTTTTTCTTAAATATTCCTAGCCACTCTTCGGTGGTCTTTGTCTGAAAGCACTTTGTCAGTATAGGAATGAGTGCCTTTCTGTTTTTAACTCTGCCAGCGTTTGTGCCATAGTCTTCACTATCAGCTAAATCCATCCGATTGAAGACTTCTGACAGTCGTCTAAATTGTTTGTCATTTCCAATTCCCACTACAATGTATGAATTGCTTGTAGGGAATGCTTGATATGGTACGACGGACTCATGAGCCGTGCCCCACCTTGTGGCTTCCTTTCCTCCAACCAGATAGCTATGTCCGATATTTGCCAATCCGGCGACTTGCGTCTCTATCAGCGAAGCATTGATCCATTGACCCTCGCCAGTCATTTCTCGTCCATATAGTGCAGCCATGATAGCACCATGAGTATAGAGACCTGTACAGACATCTGTAATGGCAACTCCAACTTTGACTGGTGGTCCATCTTGTTCACCAGTAATGTACATTAAGCCAGCTTCAGCTCTACATAGAGAATCCAAGTTCAAACTCAACGTCGGATTTCACAGACAGAACCACCCTGAAATACCCACTCAATCATGACATCGTAGCCTGCTCGAGTTGCGTAGGGACCATCTGGACCATACCCTGTAACAGATGCATAAATAATCTTTGGATTCACCTTCTTGATATCCTAGTACATGCGCCGAGATGAGTTAGTTCGGAATCAAGTAAATGCGAAGTCAACTACAATACCTCATAGCCCAGACCCATCTCTGACAACTTTCCCGGTATATAGTTTTCGACAAACACATCAGATACTGCGGCGAGATCTTTGATCATTTGTAAACCTGCGGCAGTCTTGAAATTACACGTGATGCTTCGCTTGTTTCGATTTATTCCCAAAAAGTAGGCAGACTCTGGTTTTGAAGCATTTGGATGTGAATCTGGTGCTGGAACATAGTCTGGAACTGTTGGGGCAAACGGTGGTCCCCATGTTCTTGTGTCATCTATGATTATTTAGAGGAGAGGATTTGATTTAGCGATTGTTGTGAGCGATTGCTATGGATGGTGACATCACGGTTGAAAAACATCAAAAAGGATACATACCACCGGCCGTGGATTCGACTTTGATGACATCAGCGCCTAGATCACCCAGGATTTGAGTAGCGAATGGACCAGCAAGAATCCTTGTCAAGTCTAGAACTCTGTTTTTGAATGGAATGTTAGCTCAGTGTTGGATTGTTCTGGTGCAGTTGGCAATAGACGAGCAGTCGCACTGGTGAATTCAGCGTTTCAAATGTAAATATAAATCAATACCAACCTTATATGTGATAAAGGGCCAGGCTCGACAGCAGTGCTGAGAGGTTTTCTCGAATTGTTTAGCACCAGGCTCGATATTGAAGATGTAAACCTGCTTTGTCGAGCCAAAAGACTCAATCTAGACGTAATGACCTGCATGGTTGGGGTGTAATATAGGAGCGACCGCTGGGCGATTGTGCTCAAAAAAACCGCTTGAGTAACAAAGAACTTGTGGTGCTCCACGCTTTCATCAGCAGAAATAACCAACCACATCCAAGTAGCGGTCCAAGGTAGAACTCATTTCAATGTATGCTCATGTCATGTATTCATTCACATATCTCATCGTGCTAACACTGAAGTCTACCTCCTAGAACAAATCCTGGAAAATGCCTCCAGTTAAAATCGTTGCTATTGGTACGCTCACTAGCTCCAAATTCGAGATTTGCACATGCTGACTCGTACTATCTATCTTTGTACAGGTCGATGCAAGCCTGACTCTCGTGAACAAATGTTCAAATTGCTAAAGGTGAATCTGGTCGACATTGCTTACGACCTAACCCCTCAACTCACCGTAACGTCTGTCTCAGGAATTGGCGGGACATGTCCGCTCTAAAGAAGCTGGCAACAAGCAATACGAGCTTCTCAGCAATGTCCAAGATCCAAATGAGGTGAGCTATGGTTGTAATATGGCAATCTTGAATTGCGAACTGATGTGGGTCATCAATAGTACGTATTTTTGGAAGAATACCAAGATTCGGCTGCTGTAAAAATCCACGGAGAATCTGAGCACTTCAAAACGTGAGCGACTATCGTGTCTGTCGCGTGGTTGTAGTCTGCTAACGTACTTTTTGCTTTGCAGATACGGCAAGCTCCTCGCCCCTTTAAGAGGTGGCAACTCTGTCGTAAGTCCCAGTCTACATGTGCCTCCCTTCAAGTCGACCAACATTATCGCAACTTAGGTTCGATTCGTGAACGCAATCGATCCCAGCAACACTGGAGCGCGGAAGACTGGCGCAACTGTCAAAGCTATTGCCGTTATCAAGGCCAAAGCTGGATCGGAAGACCAATTAGCATCTCTCCTTAAAGAACTAGCTCAAGCTGTAATGAAAAACGAACCAGGCGCCTACGAATATACGCCAGGTAATTACGAGTATACGCATATTACGAGAAAACAGTTGATGCCTCTCCTTACTCATGAACTACTCAAACTCTCAAAACCGCCAGTTCAAAACCGAAGTGATAAAACTGAATTCTTGGTCATCGAGCAATATGCAGACGCTGCGGCAGCTAGTGCCCATGGGTACGTATCAAGATAAAAGTGATTTTGAACTGGTTTCAGGTGTACATTCCACACGTGAAGCCAATGTATACTGCACAATCAAGTAAAACACGTGTCACATGAGTTGGTATTGACTTTGTCTACATTAGCACCTCGGCCCATATGAAAGCACTAAGACCAAAGTTGGCTGCTCTCATGGCTGCAAATCTGAAGGTCCACCGTCTTGCTTCGGCTTAAAATGCATAACAAAAAATTGTTTGTATGAAGATCGATTTGCTGCAACGTTCAAATCGATGAAATAGTGATTCTAAATTGGTATTGAATAAAAAAAATCAAAGATAAAACACGTCCATGGAAATGTTTTGGAAACGTGTCATAGGGCGTGTGCCTGTTGTAATAATAGTATGTCAAATTGTGAGCATCAGCGAGGTCCAATTGGTGAGGATGGAGGGGCAATCCACTAGTACTCTACGACATCGTCCGTCACTGGCACGTACGTCGACGATTAGGTTGCTGCTTCCGACGAAGAATGAGCCCACTCAGGAGGAAAAAGTTGTACACAAACGAGAGTTGAATTCACTGCTGGATCAATTTTTGCTGGTATGTGGAAGGGGACTACTGTGACGAAATTATCGTTTTGAATCATGCTGAACCTGCTCTGAGGGCAGGACGTAATTTTTGGTAGTTGGATCTAACAGACATCTGGTGATCTAACACATTTTCAAACATAGGAAAACGAGGTATTTAGTAGAAACACCTAAGAATGAAAGATTCATATTTACTAGCAGGAGCTGCCATTTGTACATAGGAAGAAGGACCTTCCGAAGTCCTTCAAAACGACAAAACCGTCCAAACCTTCCTGGTTTCTTTGACACGAGCCTTTCAGTCATACGGTAATTATCCATGGTTGGATTGCCGGCATCTTCATGTTTCTGATGTCGTTTCTAAGGTCTTGTGCCCTGCAACTGGTCGTTTTCAACAACTGACACCTACCCTCAATACAGGTTTGATGACGCATATCCTGGAATTCCACATGTCCGAAGTTTCGAAAGGACTAGGAGTGCGCGCTGACTGGGCCGTCTTTCCTAACTACGCACTGATTAGTTTCTTTGATAGTGACGCAAACCAATATGGTACGCTTCTTTGACGGACGTGGTTCTAGTTAGTAATAACCGCTTTTCGTTTATTCTTTTATTTCAGGCACGCAGACAATATATATTCGAACTGGAGGCGGATTGAATCTGTATAAACTACAGCTGGTTGATGAACTTGCAAGAAGAGTATCAAGTTATGCTAGTGCCTCATCATTCGCTGTAAGTCGTCCTGCACGGTATTACATTCATTCAACTGACCAATTTCCACCACAATAACTTTACGAACAGCCCTCTGTTGGTAATAAGCTGCTGTCCACGAAAAATCTCGATGGTGATAACAAAAACACTCCTACTACGCCTCAGACATCTTTGAAAGACATACACAACGATTCTGCTGAAGACCCACCAGCAGAACTTCAACGAGAGCCGACCTTGCTATCTCGATTCTTATCACGAGTCTCGAAAGTCGCTCTCGAATATTCGGAACACGAGCCTCGTGAAACACCCGATTTGCATGCGGTCGATGAGGGGGACCTGTCATCAAGTATGCCGCCACGCATGTCAAGTGATGTTGCAAAATCTGGTTCGCAGGAGGAGTTGAAATCTAAGATTTTAGAGACAGCGGCCACTGGAGCAGGTAACGTGCCAGATGGAAGCTCTTGCTTTCAAACTGATTGCCTAACATACAGACACGAATACGCAGGTTTCTGGGAGCATTTTACACGAACTGCCACAGACCATTCTAATGGTGATTCGCCTTCAAAGACTCGTCACAACAGGAGCAAACGCAAAGAACCCAAAGTTGCTCTGTTTACCAAAATTGCGGTTGAAGACGCTGAAAGGAGACTAAGACAAATTTGTGATTTCCCTCCCCTCTATAAACCTATTACGCAATGGTTGTTGAATGGCGTAGCCTCTGGAGGATCAGCTGGGCTCTTTTTTGGTGGTTCTGTACTCGACATGGCCGCAGCTGCAGTCATGGGCATGTTAGTGGGAGCATTGGGCACGTTTGCTACTACTGACCGTTTCGCCAAGGTATTTGCACAGAATATATGGAAATCCAGTTTACAGCTCAACCATTGGTCGTACAGGTGTATGAGTTTGTCAGTGCCTTCGTGGTCGCTTTTGTCGCACGAATGTTGATATCTGCTAATGTGCCACTATGTTTGTAAGTGGCTGAGCTTTGTGTTGTCAACTCAAGCTGGAGTGTAAGAATCTTATCCCATTCTCTTAAGTACTGCAACGGTGTTGTCTTCTGTGATATGGTTGGTTCAAGGGCTGACGCTGACGTTGGCCGTTATCGAATTGGCCACGAGGCAGTTGACAAGTGGGACAGTAAGATTGATGGTAAGAGTATACTGACAGGGCGTAGATTTAACAGCTCAAGCGGACATTAACACTAATCACTGACTATAGTACGGCTTGGTCTTGACAGCCATACTTGGATTTGGACTGAGTCTTGGTGACACGATTGCAGCGAAAATAATGGGAGTTAGCAATACCTCTGGTACTCTGACCACTTGCAACAATCCAATCAATCCTCTGTGGTGGGTGCTCGTGTGTGGTTATTGTCTGAACTCCGTAATTGATTTATTTGGCCCCAGGTGGATTTTGCTATTTCCATTCACAACCACTGCCTTCAACATGCTGTGTAATGGGCATATGTTACAACTTCCAGTAATGGGAATAGCCGCTCTAGTTGGATTTTTGATTTCGTATTACACCTCTGAATCACTGGGTGCAAACCTTTCATCATCTCTTGCCGCATTTTGTGTGGGTGTACTCAGCAACATCTGGTCTAGATATGCAGGAGATGCGTCTGTTGTATATGTGATTGCCGCTTTATTGATGCTAGTTCCAGGTGAGCATATCTGTGTGTTCTTCGCGATTTGTTATGCGATTTTCATGCTTGAGACTGGCGTGAAAATTACAATCTGGGTTGGCAGGGCGTCTCACCTCTATGAGATGTGCTATGAGCAGCTTAGTAATTCTTTGTTAACTAGGGACAATGGCGCTTAAGGGCATTCTTACGCTTCTCGATTCCTCCGTTTTCGATGGAATTGGATTATCAGTAATGTTTTTAGTAACTTCACTAGTATCTAGTACTGTTTCTGACCAGTTACTATTTTGCCCATTCCACAGATCGCCGTTGTTTACGTCGCACTATCTTTGGGATTAGGGTAACGTATTTGCGTCGATTTTTCTGGACAAGAAATTCACTCATGTAACGTCCCTAGATTATTCATGAGCGGTCTGGTCGTCCAACCTTTGGAAGATTTGGACAAGTATTTGAGCAAACGAGTAAAGTTTCGCAGAGGAGTTTCACCACTTCATTTCTAAATTATTGAACTCTCTCATCTACCATATTTCATATCTTACTCAAGCACCAATTCATAGCCACATGTAACCAAAGTCTATAATTTATCATTTCATTACGGAATATATAGTACAAACATGTCAAACTCGCACATTCCAAAAAATGTGTTTTTTGATCTCGAGCTCCAATCAATTCTTTACAGGTTGATGAGCAGAGAAGATGTAGATACATCAGCAATAGACGCTTGTTCTTAATACGACCGGTATCAGTGAGCGACCGTCTATACTTTTGCACCTTTTTTTCCGGTGACGTCGTTGGACAAGTAGTCTGTGGTAGGTCGAAGATAAGGAACACACTCTTACAACACCAGGCCCAGGCATCATGGAGCTGGTAGAGGAAGAAAAGACGTTGATGATTGAAAGTGAGGCCGACAGGGAAGCCAGTCAAAAAAGCGTGGATTTTCAACAAC